TTCATCACCTCATCGGTACGTATTCGACTTCTTGCCACTGGGTCTACGGACACGTGAATTGACATGCATCAGGTCGTTGATATTGATGCAGGCCGCGTTTGATCTACTGTCATAAGCTGGGCAAGTAGATGGGCAGCGAAGTTACTATACTCTCGCTCCAACTCGGAGATGCTCGGCTTCGGATGCGGTGTATAACACGGATGGGACGTCTGATAAAGCTTGTTCGAAAATGAAAGAGATAGTTGCGAGCACTGATCTTTTGCACGAACTTCTGGTCTGGCATCACAGCCTGCCTAATCGTAACGGTCAAGGCAAGTCTGTAAGCTAACTTCAACAGTTGGTGAAGGCGAACTTCTACAATGTGATATCAATGAGTGGAGAGGTGCCTCTAGCAATTACAAGACGCATCCGGGCGGAAGATGGAAATGTGGCTCAATTCAGCAGGTTCCCCTTAGGTAGAGTGGATAAGTCAGGCAAATTCTGAGGCCCCTGGATTGATAGTAGAGTGATCATTGTTGGGCCTGAGGGGCTCTCTAGACTGCTAAATCTATAAGCAGAAACCATCGTATGGTAGGATCGTGTGTAGGTGCTGAGAATGCTAGGTTGTCTGACATAAACTAAATCAAGTCTTACAGATACCGTTCAAACGATACTACAGTCTAAGAAGCTATGCAACCTCAGGCCTTACGACACTCGTAGCGTAGGTGATTTGTTCTCCAAACTTTACTGTCTAGCTTCCACACCAGTCGACCATCACTAGTAGACATATCTGAATTGAGGGTTCTATATTTTTGCTCAAGGTCAGTGAAGTCCCGGGGGCTAGCCAGTCACAAGAGGCAGGTGAGCATGTATTGTAGTAAGCATACCTTCTTGTCTGTCACATCATCCTCATAGGCATGATCATAGGCCTCCATAGTACCGGCGCGGTCCCGACGTTTGTTTTGGCAGACACAGATGAAACGGTAAAGGATGTTGAGACCGGCCGATGCCGCCGCGGTTACGAGGACTGCAATGAAGCCAGGGGCATATTCTGGCGCATCTTTGGCTTTGAACAGAAGCGGTGCAGTGAACTGGCCTGATTGACGGTAAGTCAGAGGCCAATTGGGGCCGAAATTGTTGCAGGGCTAGAGGAACTTGAGACTTACCCAGGCAGTACCCAATGTGGATGGCCGATGAGCTAACAACACGCTTGGTATATCCAGCGGAATTGGCAATGGACAAACCCATGATGACACCCCAGCCGCCACTGAAAGCCGTCATCATATACACCGCAAAGAGGAGGCCGCCCTTTGAATGGCGAGGAAGCTTCCACAAAAGTAATGACGACATGATAACAAGGAGCTCGCAAACAAGAATTGCAATTGTTCTCATGTTGCGAAATTTGTAGCTTACGTACGTTGTCCCAAGGATGAGTATAGCACCAGCGGCTCCGGCAGGAATAGTTAGAAGGAGACTGTTGAGAGTATTGTAGCCAAATCCGGAGATGATGATGGGCATAAAGGTATTGACCGGCCCTGCAGCAATCATGCTCAGGAATGCTTGGGCAAAAATGAGCCAGAACTTCTCATCGCGGAATAGTTCCAGCACTTGTTGCTTCTTGAAATGAGTATTTCGCACTCCGCTGTTGTTGATTCGGAGACGAGCGACTGCAATGTATCTCTCTCGCTCGCTGAAACCTTTTGCGCGAATCGGATCAGGCGGCATAAACAAGTAGATGACAGCGGACCAGAGGGTCGTAATGATTCCACCCACGATGTACATGTATCTCCAAGGAGATAGGGAACCTTGAATGTGACCGAGACCATAATTGACCAGCGGCGCAACGAGAGTTATAAGTCCAGATGCAGCATACCAGACACTAGGAGAGCGTCAGTTGGCTGTACCTTTCCACACCGAAGGTATTGATCTCACCCCATCCTGAAAGATTGCTCGTTCTTTTTGTAGAACTGGCCCACCATAAGCATGAAAATAGGGCTCACTCCTGCTTCGAGGAAGCCTAGGAAGAAGCGTTGGACGTAGAGGGCCTGCCAGGCAAAACAAGCCGCAGTCAAGAGGAAGGTGATACCCCAGAGCAAGACCAATCCGCCAGCGACTCTCTCGATCGGAAATCGCTGGGCTAGCTGAGAAGCCGGATACGCTCCTCCGACAAAGCCTAGATAAAATATGGCAGATGCCATGGAATATCGGTTCCCCGTCAGCTCAAGATCCTTGCGGAGTCCGAAGAGGGCCTGGAAGCAAGCGAGGAAAATCAGTATCTGGCATTGGCCAGTGACCATGCGACTAGGATGGTTTTGGGGAGAGCTTACAGCCTGAGAAATCATCGTCTTGTCTGCATATTGTAATCCATAGGTTATGACGAGGATTGGCAGTAAACGCTTATCAATCTTGGTCCTGACCCTCTTCTCTTCCTGGCCGTCCCAAACTTGGTTCCCATGGTAAGCGGCCAGCACCTTCATAGCCTCGTCATTATGGACGGTGTCGACGTCGAATTTTTCGGCCAGATTTCCGTGGTCAACATCCTGGCCCGAAGGTGCATCATGCGCTTCGACAATGTCCTGCGCCTTCTCGGTTCTGGTGGGATCCATGGTATACTCAAGCGTAGAGCCCGTTGCGTCGATAGTCTTTACCTCGTACTGCAAGGGGAGACCAGGGTGGAATAGGTGGGATGGATTAAATACATCTCGGAGATATGATAAATTCGACTGAGCTTTTGAAGCTTCTAATGTCGTTCAACCACCCCTATCAGCACTTACGGCTAACAGACGAGCGGCGTCCTTGAGAGTGGGGAGCATTTTGCGGTGATTTGTGCCTCGCGAAAAGAGACGTTACATCTCTTGGTTATCACTGGCGAGATAGAGCTATCAGTAGCTCATTCGTTTAACTAGAGGATGTGGACAGCCAGCAGAGTCTGGGGAAGCTCTACAAACATGGGGTATCAAGCCCTCAGAACCCAGGGGAGACCCTGATAACGGGAAGCATGAGATTATAAGGCAGTTTACACGTGACACGGTCCGGCGCACGAATCAGAATCGTCGCTCGGGGCGGAACCGGGAATAAGAGAAGTCGGTCGGGCGGAAGTAAATCGCTAGCGGGTGGACCGCTGAATGGTGGACAGTGGATGCTGGGTGAATGGGCTTATCAGCTTGACTGACTTTCTAATCAACATACTCTCCCTTTTCGAAGACCCTTCATGTCAAGTCCAAGCCGCGATCAAGGTCCACTTGGAAACTTGTCTGGTCAAACCTTCCTCCACTGTTGCCATTCCCGATCTCGACTGCTGTGAGCTCTGACCGTCGTGGGAAGCACAGGTTCACAGGCTAGAGCGAAGAGCACAGTCAGTTCCAGTTTCTGGTTGACTGATCCGAAAGTCGAGACTGAAGCAATGGTGGAAGTGCTAGTCAGCAGGCCTCATAGGGCACGAGTCGCAAAGGGCATGGCGAAACAAAGCAAGGTATCGTTCTCCAAAGAAGGACAAAGCGAATGGCAGGAGATATACGGCCCAATCTCCTGGTGCAGAAACGACACCAGCAGAAATACGATCAACAATACGAACGGCATGTCACCTTTCGATAGCTGTAGCATAACACAACTCCAACTTCCGTCTTTGAAGATGCCAACCAGCTATCTCTCAGTTACACGTCTGCAGCCACCCTGAACGAAATGTTCGGAGCTGTTGGTCGCCATTTGCGGAAAACCAGTATGGCAGGTCTGATGTCCAGGCAGTGGCGAAACCATCGTGCATAGCACACAGTCGAGGAAATTCTCACCCTTCATGACCGGCCCTGATGCCTGTACACCTCGTCAAGCAGCCACGACAAGGAGACTTATGCGCGGTGAGAGTGGCTTGAAGGAGGTCGGCGAATCACGCACGAACTCATAGTGGTATATATCAGTAGGTCAAGATCGAGTTGAGAAGATTCGGAATCGCACGACGATTTTGTCCGTGTATGCTGGGCATCCTCGGATGGATGCTTACACCATGGGCTGTGAAGCAGCCCCTGCATGTACCGCTGCGGTGGGAAGCTCAAGGACGTGGGGATGATTCTCGCAAAGTAGACCCTCAGCGCAGCCAAAAACTCCCACTAAGGTGACAGCGAGCACGGTGACGGAATTTCAGCACGACAGTCGACATGTCTGCAGTAATCGAGGACTCATCTTCCTCGAAGGCATGACCTTCAATAATGCTATAAATCTGCAAAATGGAAGGCTTTGGGAGTCAGACGGTGTCCTATGAGATGTTTTAGAGTGGTCTGGCCAAGATCGGCCAAAGGGGAAAGGCATGGGGAGGGAGAGAGAGCGCTATTTGAGACTTTTGAGATATTCTGAGGCTGGGCAGACTTGTTCAACTTCGTCTTCAATAAATGTATAGAGTTACGACTACTATTCCGATATCACACTCCGCAATGCATGTTAGAAGTGCCTTAATGCCAGAGAACAGATGAGCCAGAGCCTCCTTCCTCGGCGAAGGGGAAACCCTGGAGGTCCCTTTTCTAGGCAACATTGTATAATACATAGAAGAAGAATTGCTCTTAGCCAGTTACAGAGTGACTCTCGCATTCATACAATATTTTTTTCCTGATACTTCTTTAACCGCAAGGGAATATCCAGTAGGTGAGTCAAGGGTGGTTGCTCCCGAGGCTCGGGCGAGCCAGGGGGTGAGCAAGGGCGGCATCACCCTATTCCCCGATTGGGGGTTTTGAGAAGCGACTAGTTCGACCATGTCTTGGCACGATTTAGGCTGCAACGCTAAGTCAACTGCCCATTAAGGCTCGCGATTGATGCTCGTATAGACAACCTGGAACTGATCCTCGTATTGACAACTGACACTCGTACTGACAACCAATACCTGAATTTGTTCCCTATGCACCTGTTACACAGTCTCTCGAGGCCCGGCGCCTATTCCAGCAGGGCAACACCTCGACCGCGACCACGCCCACAGGCGCCCTCGCCCGTTCTCCGTCTTGATATATACCCTTCGATTTCTCTACTCTTCCACCCTCATGTTCGTTATAGATGAAGCTAAGTCAGGAAAGCGACGACTGTCCTCGCAAGTCCTCGATGATGTTCAGCAGGAGCAAGCAACGAAGAAACACAAACCATCTTTGAAGACTCGTTCCGAACCTCAACATCGTCCTCCCAGCTTCTGGGACACTCTATCCAAAGTTTACCTGAGCTTCAGTGCCCTAAAAGAGTTTGACAGCAGAACAATTCAAGAGACCAGCCAGCAGTATTGCACGTTCAAGCCCGCCGCGGAACATCCACAAGGACAGACTCTCCAACGGCTTAAGAGATTTGCTCGGCGCGGTGGTCCTGACTTGTCACATATTAGAGGAGTGAGTCCTATAGTATGTGGTTGATACAATTACGGCTAATCTCGGGGTAACAGTTTGCGAGTTTAGCACTTCCCGTCACCGATGCCATGAGCGAACCTTCTGGCTTGCGAGGCCGGAAACGATCCTCCAACTCGTCGAAGAGAAGCAAATCGACTCGAACCACAAACACGACAACCAAGAGTAGGAATTTTGAGCAAAAGATGCTTGACAATGGTATATACCCTCCTGAATATGAACACCCGGATGGAAGAGAACCGGTTGAACCTGCAAATTTGGAAGACATTCAGCATGAGCTCACTACTTATCGAGCATCCCTCTCTCCGTCGCGGTTCATTGATGACGATTTCAAGGCATTTAAAAGAGCAAATGCACGGGCGTCCGGCGAAGCTACCGGCCTGTATAGGGTCCATCCGCTCATTGCTGGAAATGAAAAGGATCACCTTTCGAAGCTGATCTTCCCTTGACCAATCTCGAGCCGCTGGTAAAGGAGGTGAGCGATGCTAAACCTGATTTGTACTACGGCGCACAACCTTCTCGTATTGACCAACGTGTACGAGCCGACCTTGAGAAGTACATCATTCCCTCCTCCACCACCAGCCGTCCTGCAGCCCCCAATTTCTTTCTTGAGGGCAAGAGCAAGTCCGGAAACGCCTATGAGGCCCGAAACCAAGCGATGTATGACGGGGCCGTTGGGGCTCGGGCCATGCATAAACTTCAGAACTTTGGTGAAGATGAGTCAGTGTACGACAACAAGGCGCAGAGTTTTAGTAGTACATATCATGCCGGAACCGGAACGCTCCAATTGTACGCGACCCATGTCAGCCGAGCTGCCGACCCAGGAGGGCAGTCCGAATATCATATGACGCAAATAAATTCATATGGAATGACGGGAAACGTGAAGACTTTCCGGGAAGGTGCTGCTGCCTACCGAAACTGCCGAGATCAGGCAAAGAGCTTCCTTACTGATGCCATCGATCAAGCAAATGAGACTGCTCGTCGGCCGCCGCCTAAAAAGTGCGCAACCGAGATCTTGGACAGCAGTACATCCTGGTCAACTAACCTAATTGACGCCTCCGACACTTCTGAAGATGAGTTGGCTCGTAATGAGGTCAGAAGGATCAAACGGTCGAGACCTGCTCCGGCACAACCCTTGGCCACCAGTTCACCTAAAGCCAGACGATCCGGTCGCACTTCTGAATCCTTGGACGTTTTGGACGCTTCCGAATAGTGCCTCACTTCACAGTAAAATCTAACCCAGAAGTTCACAAAAAGGACGAGAGGCTTCTCACGAGAAAAGATTCGATTTGTCGTCCAAAACCAAAAGTTAAGACAGGTCAAGATGCTCTGAAGGCAAAGGAAGTGTCTCCGAAGCGAATGTGCTGTCAATATGACGTTCAATGATGTCCTGAACGCGCCCCTCCAGCAGTCATCGAAGACACTGGATTCACAGAGTTACAATCTTGGAGCAGGATTCTTCTGAAGCCTCTCTGCCACGCGCAATGCCGTCTTCAGCCCGCTCTCGAGTGCACCATCAATGAACCCTCGCCACCCATCAGCCCAATCAGCACTAGCAAAAAAGACGTTTCCATGGTCTTTCTGCAGTTCCTGAAGATACTTTGACATACAATCACTCCCCCAACAACACCATTCACCTTTGGCCAGGGGGTCATTCGCCCAGTCATGCGTAAGATATGCTTCCACCGTGGCGTCAGGTCGCACGTCCTTTCTGAAGTCTTCGATGATATTCTTGCTGTCTCGCGGATCCGTCAGACAGTTGTTGTATCCAAATCCGATACAGTAAGTACCATTTGGTCCGGATGACGGGTTGGTGGTGCCATTGTGGTCAGACAAAGAAAAGCAGAAAGACGAGGGAGCGGAACCATCGCACGCCGCAAACCACCCTGGCTCGGTGGACGCAAGTTTGAAGTGGATTTTGGCGCCTCGGTTTATATGTCCCTTTGCGATTGCTTCGCGTTTCAATGGACCAAGTGGCGGCCAGAACTTGATGTCGCCGAGACAATTTAGTGGGATGGTGCAGATAGCTGCCTTGGCCTTGAATGAGCATTTACCATCATTGGTCTTGATCACCACCACACCAGAAGCATCGTCCTGTATAATCTCGGTGACTATGGTATCAAAGAGGATATCGCCCCGAAATTCCTGGAGCACAGAACGTGAGAATGAGGTCATGCCACCCTTGCCAAGTTTGTAGATCCCTGCCAGCTCGAACACCTGGGTCATGTTGTGACCACCCAAGGCGTACCAGCGGAGGGCTTCCGTGAATCCGATCTCTGAACTGCGTGCGCTGCCAAATGTATTGACATTACTCTCGAAATAGCCCTTGTGAATCCCGGGAATGTCTTCAAGTTGATCGAGGCGCTGCCGTACCGTGAGATGGTCATACTTCTTCCAAAGTGCCGGCTCTCGGAACGGATCATGAGGGTACGGCATCAGGTCTCGACTGGACAGCCCGTCGATGGTGAAGAATTTCTCAGCCACGTCTTGGGTGATTTGTGCCAGCGCGGCCCCATCCATCTCTTCCACAAGGCCGCTTTCCGATTGCTTGTAATACGTTTTCTGTGCCGCGAGAGTGCCGGCCGACGTCTTTAGATTCTTGTGTAGGCCGTATCGATGTAGCTCGGTGTAGACATGTGGCTGAGCCCAGTGGACCTAGAGATCTTAAAATCAGATCAGGAACTCACATGACCTTATGTGGTGGTGGTGGTGGTGGTGGTGGTGGTGGTGGACATGGAATTTTCTTCATATCATACCCAGGTCCCACCCATTTCAAAGTCCTCTCCCAACGCCTGTGCCGTCCATGTTCGACCGCCAATGCGGTCTCGTCCCTCGACGATCAAAACGCGCAATCCAGAGTGATGGCTTGCGAGCTCCCGCGCAGCTCGTAGGCCAGCGAATCCCGCCCCGATGACGATCACATCGTAATCATCTGACTTGAGATTATTCACTGTGCTGCTCGGGACCACTGCCTGCGTGTCGAGGCCAGTGATGAGTTTGCCGTCAGTCCAAATATATCCTTCACGTGACTTCGGCATGGTAATATAGTAAGCTCCAGGCCGGGTGTTTTTGAAAATGAAAATGAAAAAGACGAAAACTTGCATTCGTTTGGGGGGGGGGATGAGGTACGCTTTTTGACCCGGCAAGGGTTCTCCTTAGCATGGCGGCTGGAGGGCATGTTTCTTCAACATCAAATTGCTTTGCTAGGTTCCCCATGTCCGCAGCGGAATGCCTTCCGAAGCCCTAAGATTTCCCAATCTGGAAATCTTTTTGTATCAAGCATCGAGAGGGTCCGAATGTCTGATAGATAAACAGGAAGACCTCCCCAGAAAGACCGAGTGTGTACCTTCGCACCTAAGAGACCTGTGCAAAGATCCTCAACGAAAGTCACCATGGTCTTAGAAGTCGAATCCAAGACCAACATTTTTAAGATCCAGAACCTACCCGGGACACCGCACCACGTGTACTTCAGTAAGTGAAGCAACCGTTTCAGTTAGAGTCGTTCTCCGGCTTGTAGCCTTCTAACCACGTTCAACAGCCGATCTTCTTGGAAGTCGTGACGAAGGGGTCCCCAACCCCATTACAGGCTCATGGTTTCGCATCGAGAAAGGACCTCCGGCCACATCTCCCAAGTACGACTATGATGAGGTTGGCGTTGTCATCAAAGGTGAGACCGCTCTCAAGGCCCCCACACAGATGTATGTGTAGACTGCAACCAGGACTCTCTGACCGACCCCGTGCCGTTGTAGGTACTATTATCTTGGAGGACGAGATGGGTACCAAGAAGACTGTCGAGGCTGGTGATACCTTCGTGATTCACCGAGGAAGCACGGTTGCCTTCTCTTCAAGCGACTATGGAATCGCGTTCAAGTGCGGGTCTAGGCTGATGGCTAGACTTTAGAGATGGCAAGTGACAGATGAGGTCGGATAGGAGTGGGATTTCTGTGAGGTTCACTACAGCCCCGCCAGACAGCTCCACATGTCGTTACAAGGCTCTCAAAACCGACCAATCGCACTTTCTCTCCGAATGTAGTAAGGCTCATGACGATAGACCCCATAAATGTCTTTCATCTTGGTCATGTCGTCTGTCTGCCGTCGCGAGACAAGCAATAATGATGCTTCTGAGTCTCTCAAACCTGGCGAAGGAGATTTGTCAACCGGCATCTGGAAAAGAAGTTGCACTTCAGTTTCCGTTAGTGGAAATAATTCACACTTTGTAGGAGCGGAGCCGCAATATAACTGATTTCAACTTCTTTCGACCGTTGTCAGTCCCATGGCTGCGGTGCCTAAGGGGGTAAAATCCAGATCCGGCTGTGTAACATGCAAAAGGCGAAGGGTAAGTCGAGGCTCACAACCGTGTGCTAAAGATGTTCAACTAAGAGGCAGGTAAAATGCGACGAAACCAAACCGCTCTGTAGACAGTGCGTATCTAAGAATCTGGAATGTCCAGGCTATGACATCCGATGGAGATGGTCAACCAAACATGAGCGGTCGACAAACTTCGACCTCCAACGAAGTCCTACTTCCCGCAGGAAAATTGCGGATTCTCTCCATTCTCCCCTTAAGCCCCCAGCAGGCATCATTTGTCATTCTCGGCAGCAAGGAAACGAGGGAACGGCGGCGCATGTCGACCAATTCAAGTCTGCGAGTCCCACTATCGACCCCGACCTTGGCAGTCGATATGGAAGTGACAGATTCGGTTGCAATACAGATCACGCATTGTTGAGTGACGTATGGGATGTTGTCGAGCGCCCTGCTTCGAGATCAAGAAGACGTCGGAGCGTCTCGGTGTCGAAATCCTCATTACCAGAACAATTGACTCTCGTCACTCGGAAACACATCTGGCCACCCCCGGACACCATCCTCGGCGGCCCGCAAACTCAAGTGGATTTCTTCGCGCAAAGGATATGTAAAGCGCTGACAGTATTTGACTCGAAAATCAATCCGTTCAGGTTGGTGAGCATATCGCGGACGAAGGAATCGCTGTTGTTCTTCTCCCTAGTCCGCTACGTCACTGCGGCCTTCTTGACCTCGAGCGGCATGGACACGAGCAGTGCCCTTGTTGTGCAGGATGCGCAGACCGATATACTACACCGATTACACAATGAGGTGGCGCGGTTACATACCTCAATGGGAGCAAACCCCGTGGATGTCCTGACAGCGATTATCATGTACGGCCTCAGCATTAACTGGGATGGATCTGACAGTCCCAGTATCTTCCACTACAATGCAGCTGTTCAGCTATACCTGCAGACATACCGGCACGACACACTTGAACCGCGAGTTGAAGATCATCATGCATTCTTATTGCACTCACTGGCGTACTGGCGGATGGGTCTTGCCTTTGTCACGGACACTACAAAAGAGACTTTGCTGGCATCTCCGGTTCTCGAGCCCGGTAATGAAGATGATACCTACAGCAAAATTCCAGCCAAGAGATACCCACATATCCTGGCTGGCGTCTCCCCGGAGGCACAGAAGCTTCTTGGGCAGGTCGGATCACTGATTTACTCGCAAAGGGTGAGGTCCCGGGAAATGTCTTTCACTTCCATGGCCAGATTACAAAATGATCTCGAAGCTGTTCAGAAGGCGCAAGCTCTGGAACAAGATGCATTATCTCTTGCCTTGCCCGAGGTCGGTGAATTCGCTGACACCGAGGATCCGGACACCCCCATACAAGATCTTATCAACACCGCAGAAGTCTATCGACTTTCGGCCCTGGTGCTACTGTACCGAGCCTTCCCTGATCTGTTGAATGTCAGACTAGGAGCCAGAGGAGATGGATTCGATGCGTGTCATTCCACAACCACAACGAATCGACGGTTGCTCTGGGTAACATCACTATCCCTTCACGCACTCGACATTCTTTCCAGGAACGGACAACGATCTGGCACCCGCAGTGTCGAGCAGATACTTCTGGTCATTCTTGCTGGAGAGCTGCGCAGAGACACGTGCGTCAATGGCTCTCGCATCACGGAGGAGCGGCTGAGTCTGGTGGACTCTGGATCGCCGACAGCGGACGCCGACGATTCTACGCTATCCCCAACGACAAGCTCTGCTTTCGACCACTTCGAAGGTGTGCATGGCTTAACAAAACCCCGTCATTCTCCTGAAGACGTCACCCCTAGCTCGAGCATCACTCAGGCTCGGGCTACCGTGCTCAAGCGTCTTCGAGCGATTCGCGAGATTTTGCCATACAAATCAATTGAGCTCGTGGAAGAGCTGGTACTCAAAACATGGCAAATCAGTGATGATGAGAATCGTGAAGTCTTTTGGATGGATGTTATGATCGATAACGGGTGGAAATTCCTAATGGTTTGAGGCAAGTCAATCAAATACTGAATACTCCCGGCTTCCACAAGCAAACCCACACTGAAGTGCAAAAACGGACAACAATGACAGACAGTTAAGGCTTGAGGCCATTGACATCCTGAGAGGGCTTGATACGAAGAATGAAGGTGCAAAGCCCAAAGCCACACGACCAAATGACAAACACAGAGAGCGCCTTTCCGATTCCATTGATCTAGATCTCGGTGAAGTACAAGTCGACTGCCATGATAGGACCCGTCTCTAGAAGTCTGGTCTACTCCTTTTTCGGCGGCTGGTGTGTCCTTGTCACGGACCCTTTTCTTCCTCACACTGATGACCTACATTGGAAGAAGCGCCAACGATGTTGCAGTTGAGGCAAAGAGATGGACTATCTCCGTTCGACAAGTTTGATTTTGTGGGGGCGCACCGGTGTGCTGGCGCTGTGACCCGACCAAATTGTCAACATCCTTGAACCCTTATGTATCCGTCATGAAATCGTGGTATGGCGCGGAAGGAAGCCATCAGATAGTCATCGTGGTCGCAGAGCACCACCTTGTCCGCCATAACTGCCTTTAGTTGAATAGTCTGGTGCAGTCGATATCTACGAATCTAGAATTGTCTTGATCAGGTTTTCACTGCGGAATTGAGCTACCGGACCCGTTGTATGTGAAATATTAGGACAAGGAATTCGCGTCCCATAGAAGATCCGGATCCACATACTCAGTGCCAGGGACGAAGTCGAAATACTTCGAACGCAGCGGGTGGTCGAGGTGACCACTGGCGCGGGACCACTCGGACATTTCTCTCCTCTGACACGACCATTTTAAGCAGCAAATGTCGCGATGGGCTGGGTTGTTGAAGTGACTGACTTTTGTTCAGAACAGTACTTCGTAGTTGTGAAGGAATTGTTAGTTGTAAGATTTGAGAAGTTTGAAGGATCCGAGTTTCACACCACAACTCCATTTTGCACGAGCACCAGCTCATCCACTCTGTCAGCAGCATATTCGACACGTTTCCAAGTCTTTAAGCTCCCCGTAGTGGTGTCGATTTCCCAAATCCTCATTCGTCGGTGAAATCGCTCCCTGCCGTACGAACAATATCCCCCGAACCCACTGCCACCTCCATAGCATAGCCAAGGGCCAGACCGAGGAGTCATGTCGCCATCTTGCTGCGATTGTGGCAGCAGAGCGCAAAAATCATTAACGTGATCATGTCCGCAGCCTAATGCTGATATGCCTCCCTTAACCAAGGCGTCGTAGAAATGGGAATTAAAGCTGGGGCACTCTGTCGGTTCTCTCCGATGGCCGTTGCGTATATTCAGATGGGGATCCCTGAATTCGGGAAGAGGGATGTGAAAAAAAGCCAGAGACACGTGAAAGAGACTGTCGGTACCTTCCTCACGAGCTCTTCTTTGCGCTTGGGAAATGTTCGTGAACCAGTCAATTTGGCTTTGCGTGACTGGGTGATAGTCGGGGTCGGTTGTTTCGTTCGGAACCTGACCGTGAGAATCTAAGAAATACAAAGTCGATAGCGGACGCTGTGACGGTGCGGTAGCCAGGATCTGGAGGTAGAAGTTGCCTACACCGTCAACCTCCTGTGGACCTGACTCGCAGAGGCTAAAAGGCAGTTTTTGAAGTATTGACATCTGTGCTGTGCCTGTAATCTGGTCAGCAAGCATGGATAGCTATCGTCCCCAAGGCTCAGCTTATTGAGATTGCATAAGTGTCTTGGGGAGCATAGTGGTCTACATGGGTTGGGAGAGTGCAACTCACGTGTCAATGCATGGGTACCCTCGCAGTCATGATTACCAAAAACAGCTGCGAATGGGATTGAACGCACGATCATAGGAGCAACCACTTTGAATAGGGCAGATTGGCTGTCGGAGATGTCGTGGTGTAACTGGTCTCCAGCGAGAATTACAAGGTCTGGCTTTTCGATATCCAAGATCTTTCCAATGAGGTCCATCGTGAGTGGATCGGCCTCGCTCTCTGGGAGATTCTTCCCGTGCGCATCAATAGCGTCGCTGCATACCCCGACGCCGGTCACCATGTGCGTGTCAGAGATCTGGACAATCCTGAATTTGCCATTTTCTCTGACTCTCAAAGCTGCCGAATCATTCGGTCTCCGCTTGGCCCTGCCGCGGAGGAGGCTTAGTCTTGCACCCGGCACCTTTGGCTGAGCGTCAAGCTGTAGCGGTGATCGCATGAGAGTCCATTGTGGTCGTGGGTCGACGGCATCTATGCCAAAGAGAACATCAACCTCTGTCACAACATCGTCGACCTTACCAGAGAACTTGCTTCTCAGCACCCAAATTCCGCCAGGTCGGCTCTCCCATGAACGATTTGAGCTAGGGTTGGGAGGCGCCTCGCCCATTGCGATATCCATAACCAGCAGATCTTCAGCTGTAAGGTCATCCTCATTGGCCAGCGCCACATATAGCCATGCGCTCCGCTGAGATGTATGCAGGTAGAGCTCCTTCTCTATGCGGTGCCATGTTTCCGGATTGAGCTCGCAGGTGGAGAGAGAATCTGTCGGAGAGAAGATGTGTATGGTCAGATCTGTGACAACCGGATAAGCAAGTGTCGTTGTGGAGGGAGCAGAAATCGTCGACATTTTGGAGGGCACGGCTCCAAGAAAGTGCGCAGCATGAAGCATCGCTTCTGCACACATTGCTGCAGATATTTGCCGAATTACCCATTGGGTACCAAGTGTCACGTGGGATGAGGGGATGGGCACCTTGAACATGAAACAGGTCTTTGTTGGAATTCGGCGCCGTGCTGGAGGAGGATGAAGACGAAATCGGCAGGGCCAGAACCATTGAAGGTGCCTTACATGAAAGTCTCGTGTACAAATATTTGTGCGACAAGCGAAGACATCAATTCAGGAAGCGCCGAGAGAAGATGTCAAAATGCGCATCGTGAAAGGTATTCTCCTAGAGTAAATATACAGGTATGGATGAGACAGGCTCCTTGGACATTACCTAGGAATAATGTTGCGAACCTACATACAAAATGGCCCATACTACTTATATATGCCGGAAAGCGCTGCGAGCGGCATCATTGAATTCGCGATCAGTTGTCAATGCTATTCACTCTGAGTTGGGTCTCGCTGCTCATTCATTTTGGCTTCACTCACTCCTATGGTCTGCCTTTGCATTATCAAGAATGTTATTGTGCCAAAAGTTTCCCTTTGATTGGACCATTTTGAATCAAAGCATTCATTATTCACTTGAAACAATTGTTGAGATGATGCACTGCATGAGGTTACCTTTGAGCACGTCTTTCTCGCGCATACACAACCAACCAGCACACTCCTCATACAGCACCATCAACACCTATCCATCTCTCAAAGAATTGTACAGTCTTTCCAATCACGTTGACCATTTACCAAATCTGGGCTCGCAATGGCCAAAGCAATTCGAAACCCGAGAAAGAAGACCGCAACCGGAAAGGGAAGGACAAAGAAGAACGCAATGAGGAAGCCGAAGTGGACAAGACCATCTGGCATGGTTGAGATCCTGAAGATATGTGACGATGACGTTATTCGCACTGTCAGACGCCGACTCACTCGCAATGGAAACGGTCAATATTCGAACTCCAACCACCGGTCTGAACTACCATACTAACAATGTTGAAGTAGACAACTTCAAGCAGTCAGCACAAAGCTCTCCTGCCAGTGAATCCGAGCCTGCAAGCCCTGCTGTTTCGGTAACTTCTTGTTCAGATGTGTACCCATCTGATGATTCGGAAGACAGTGATGTAGGAAGCATTCATCGTGAAGGAGAAGAAGAGAAAACTGCTGCGCCACTTGAATATCCAGAGATGGTCTCCCCAGAAGACATCTCAGTGTCACCGTGTGTGCTTTTCACCAGGTCAATGGCACGTCTTCATCAGCAGCAGCGAGCTCGGCGCACTCCAATCACGGCTGCGGTGGAGGATGCATACGAATCAGGTGGCGCCGATGATGATGATGATGATGATGATGATGATGATAAGCCTCTTCGCCAGGAACGGCGAAATTTTCGATTGTGTCTCACATCGCCGAAACAAGACGATTGTCTTGAGTCACCGCAGGATACTAGGGAGAGATCCCCGACCCACAACGTTGCACCTGCGAAGAAACATGGGCTATCCAAAAAATCCTCGCAGAAAAAGATTGTCAAGACGTGTACGTTTCCTCAGTCTCACCAGTCTTCTTCTTCCATATTGGGAGATTATGGACACTACTGACCTTTTCATCAGCAAAAGCCAAGAACATAAAGCCTGCCCGTAAGGTTACAGAAGAGAAACAACTTAATCGACTTCGATCTCTGATTGACGAAGACCTCCTGGTGTCGACTGACCGGAAGCGAAAAGGCACCACCAAGAACGGGAGGATGCACGAGGCGAGTTTCCAGATGATCGATCGGCTGTTGGGAGACAGGAACACTGCGAGTGGTGACATCATCAAACTCGAGAAAGAGGTCGTGGACTTGAAGAGAAAACTTGCGGACGTGAAAAAGGACAGGAAGAAGGATGTGAAGAAGGATATGAAGAAGGACGGGAAGAAGTCGTTGAAGTGATATAAGTGCACGCGTTGCCCTCCGAGACGATGTCTTGAGTCGCTGAAGCCTTGCAATGTCGACATCTACCAAAATGCCAGATCTGTTGGTGCTTTTATGGCGTGCATTTGTCAAAGCACAAAGACGGCAGTAGTAGTATGGTTGCAACAATGACCATATCGACGTGTACGTGGCTTTTTTAAACGAACTCATCATCCAGAGAGTTATAGGAGCAAGCCTTACTATTATTTCCGTTGAGACCTTCAAATATCTCCTTGATAGACCTGTGGGAGCTTGAAATCACTCTCGTTATTGTCTGTACGTGTCTTTGCGCTATATTGCTCTATGCTGACCCGCTTCTATCCTGTCTATCACCCACAAGAGTGGCCTCTTAATCACCGCATAGAGCCGCCACTCTTGTGCCCAATGTCGACTCATGACATGAAACCATGCTCTCTTGAACCCACCAGAACCCACCAAAACCCAACTGCCCCCATGGTCCTTGTGTGTATAGGTGGGCAATTCTTGAACAACAGCCAGATATCGTATAAATTGACACGGACAAAAACAAAAGATGCACTGACAGGCTATCCAATCTCTATACCCGCCACCACGGTGACGACGCCTCCGAGCCTCCCATATAACAAAATCATAATTTGGCAGCCGTCGAGAATACAGCCTTGTCGTGGACGCAAGTCACGCAAAGTTTCCCATTGAGGTAGATCTTGCCGTGAATGTTGGCCGTGTTGCGTCCGGCCGCCTGGGTTTCGCACTCGATCCGGACGCGGCTGTCTCGGGGTACGGGACGGAGGTAGGTCATGGTGATTGTCCTCGAGACGTGCCCGCCGTCCAAGAAACCCGGTTTCGAAATCGTGATCAGAGCGGTCGACGTGAGGTTGTCGAGCAAAGTCGCGGCCGCGCCACCGTGGAGGTTCCCGGACTTGTTGCACAGGTTGCCACCGATGTCCATCTCCCACACCGTCCTGTTGGGTTCGGCCTCGAGGAGGGTGATGTTGCTGCCCTTGAGGGCGTACGTGTCGAAACCGAAAAAGTCCGGGTCGGCGACGATCTGGGCCTGCAGGGCCATCACCCGGTCGCGGACGCTCATGCTCAGAAAAGCTTCTCGTTGCCACACCATACGAGATGGGTTCCGCGCCGTGTCCGGAGTTTTCGACATTTTTTTTTGGTCTATCTTGTCTGGAAGTCGACTTCTTCAGGGTTGTTGTCTTTTGTTGTTGTGTTGCCGTGTTCGTGTAATTTCTAGAGAGAGAGAGAGAGAACGGTCGAGGCTATTAGGGTCAGGACGGATCAATTTTATTGAATGAATGAATGATTGACACTTGTTGAGGTAAGAACAGAAACAAATATTCCAGTAAGAATAAGTAGATGTTTGATACGGTACAATGTAGTAATAGGATGACGATGAGTAAGAAAATGCCGTCAATGAGCCGAGGTTCATTTCCATTCATTTTCATTCATTTTCAGGGGGAGACGGAAAAACAGACAACACGTGCTGATAAGAAAACACTGTCTGGACCTTATCATGCTCGTACTCGTACTCGTATGCGTTTGGAGACAAACATGAAACCAAGCGACAGGCAAAGGGATTTTGATAGGAGAATCGACCCATTGTCTGCGCCCCCCCAAAGTCAGCGACTCAGCGATTTGTCAGTAGTAACGAATGAATTTGGTTGCATGATCATCCCAGCCTTGAGTTGCATTGTTCGGTGGCTTTGCTTTTTGCATTCGTCTCGCATCGCAGGGTCATGCGTGTTTAACGCGTGTTGGGCATTTGACGGCACCGCATTCCAATTCCAATTCCAATCCCAATTCACTGAACTGTCCGCACACACACCCGGTACAAGTACTCTGTAATGTAATGCATACTGGACGAGAACTAGGTATTCATCTCCTGCCTTTTTGCTGCTGCTACGGAGTTGCAGTACTCGGACATCTATCTACATTGAACGATCTTCTTGCTCACAACGTCGTTTTAGGGCGGTGACACAGCCACTGATCGTCCCTCCTCCCCCCGAATCCACATCGTTTCAAGACAACCCAGCACCCTCGCGATCATCCTTTTGTATCCGTGCAGTCTAGTATAGAACCTACTACAGAGTACGTAAACTCCTGCAGCACATGTTTCCCTGAGACCTCCTCCTTACAATGATCTCGACGATACCACATCGTGGAAAAGATGGAAGGGGATGAAAGCGCCGCTGCTGCAGCGCAGGTCCACCACGACAACGACAGCAACAACAAAACATCCAAGCGTGATCGATTTAAGGGAGCCTTGTCAAGGACAAAGAGTAAATTCAAAAAGAATGACAACAAGAACGAGGCGGAAAACAATGACGTGGTGAATGATTTCTTGGCCGGAGGGAGGCCGTCGACTTCGAGTTGGACTTCGGGCAAAGACATACTGCGCTTTGGGGGCAATACTACAACTTCTGCGACGCGGCAGGGTTACTCGTCGTCGTCGCCCGATCAGGCTCCTTCGCCGCGACCGTCGACATCAGACTCGGCGTCGATATCCAAACACTCCCCGAGGAGGCCCATCGCGGTGCCCAAGATCGACGTCTCCAACTCGCAACGATGGCCTGCGGCGCAGCCGATCGGTCCTCAACGGGGTGCCGCGTCGGACTTTCTCCGTCCAGAGTACCATGGTCGAAGCCAGTCTGTGTCGTCCATGACCAAGAGAAAGGGCAGGGCACGCGGGCTGAGTGTCACCTTCATCGACGATCCGCCGACCGTCATCGGCGAAGGGGGAGATGACGCACCCACGCCGCCCGTCGAGATTTCAAAGGCAAAAGCGAGAGCGAGGTCAGTCTCGCCAATGTCACCACGAGGCAGACAGAGACATGCAGACTTGTCTGCGCGCTCGACGGCCGGAGGAGGCGCTGGACCATCATACCATCAGCAGCGACCACAACCGCCGCCTCCGCCTCCGCCAGCACCGCAACTGCCAAATCGACGTTATGAACCGCCTGATGTCCTGAGACCTAGAGGGTTACAGCGAGTGCAGACGGGTCTCTCACCATCGACGGCCGCCACTGCGTCCTCAGGCCTGGACAAGGAATTCGAGATGACTCTACAAATTGGTAACAAATCCAATAATAATAGTCCCGCCGACAACGATCCCGCGTCCAACAACGGTCCGGAAATCATTGCTCCGGAACCGGTCCGTCCCGTCCAACCACCGCCACTAGTCATGGAGCGGCCTGATCGCAATCTCAAGGACCATTTTCGAGAGGGTGACGTTCTTCGAATACATCACGACCCCAACATTCCTAATGTCGAAGACACCACCTCAGCATCAGCTTCCAGCAAGGAGGTCAGCCCTGTCAAACAGCGACAGTACCAGAACTTTGTGTGACTAGTTTCACACCCATGGTTCTATTCTTTTCCGACCTCTGTATGCCTATGAATGTCCGTAACGAATTACAACGAAAGTTTCTTTCTAGGGCCGTTGCTCTCCTAAGGCCTTGAACCCTTGAATCAAATCATCCAGCAGATCTCTATCGTCCTCGATACCCACACTAACCCGCAACAAGTCCTGTTCGACCGTCGAGTCAGTCATAGTTCGCCATTCGATCAAGCTCTCCACGCCACCAAGACTGGTCGCATGCTGGAAAAGATGTAATTTGCTGGGCAAGGCTCGAGCCATTTCCGGGGTCTTCATGACGATGGAAAATACCGGACCATACCCATTCGGCATCTGCTTCCTCAACCAAGTCTTGTAGTCTTCGGTCTGAAGGCTTGCATGGTGAACCTTCTTGAGCACAGACTTGATGATCTCGACATCGGACTGAGACAATCCAGTGCCTACGGTCGCCCCGGTCAATGCACCATCAAGTGCATCAACCAGCCTCTGCGCACTTTGACTCTGTCTCGTTACACGCAACTCGAGCGTTCTCAGACTCCTCACACCGAGCCATCCCTCGAGTCCCCCCATCACCGAGCCTAGAACCAAGCGATCCTCTAATAATTGTGGAATGCAATCCTTGTTCTTGACCGCCAAAACACCACAGAGCATATCTGAATGACCACCGAAATATTTCGTTCCCGAGTGCATCACAAAGTCTGCCCCATGTCTGAACGGATCTTGCAAGGGTGGTGGTGCGAACGTCGCATCAACACTGAGATAAGCACCTCTTGAATGTGCAATGTCTGCATAGTGCTGGATGTTGAACGCCAAGCCAGTTGGGTTGACCGGCGTTTCCAGGTGTAGCAAGTCACCCTTTTCCAGCTCTTCGGGCTTGCAGTCTAGCGAAAGTATCTTACACCCAGATAGTCTTTGGTGGAGCTTCAATACACCGTGACAGCCGTGGTATCCAGCACCGATTGCGACTCTTTTCGGGTTGACGAACGTTACGAGGGCGTTGAAGGCAGAAAGGCCAGAGGAGTATGTCAGGCAAGGGTTGTGGAGGAGGACGCTCAGGATGGCTTCCAGTCGCGAGGTGCTGTGCGTGGTGTGCCGTGAGTAACAGTGTTCACCCTGGTCGTAGACAGGCGCTGGACGTTGGTGAAAGGGACGCAACTTCTCTGGGTCTTTTTCGTAGCGGAAGGTTGTGCTGACGTGGATCGGTGGTGCTACATCGTCAACGAGATTCAGAGGGTCGTCGGCGTGGATTGCTTGCGTGGCGGGTGAGAGGGAGGATATGTGTAGAGAATTGAATTCAACGTCTTCGACTTGGTCCATCGACACTCCGTTGGTAGCCATCTTGCAAGCAATAAGAGACTGGGTTAGACTAGAGATTTAATGCCAACAGAGTTTCACGATTGAAAGGAACAAATACGTCGGCAACGTGGTAGTAGTTTGGGTGCGAATCATAAAAGATGGAGCGATCCGAAACAAATTTCCAAAATATTGTAGATACGGAGTACAAGCACGCCCTACATACACCTACGACGAGTACGAGTACGAGATGCCGTAATCGGCGGGGAACTGCGGCTCGGCAAACTTGCCGTGCAGACGCCGTCTCATCGACAAGGCTGAACTCTCAAGGCTGAACTCTTATAGACGGTTTACTTAGTCATACTCCGTCCCAAGTACTGTATGCCGAGGTTCAAAGTCGAACAATCCGGCGACTCTCCAGCTTTCAAATTGCGGAGATGTGCTTGATGTACGAGGGACACCGTACAGAACGTATATTAATCTTTAGGAGTGTATCTCTAGATTTGTTTTCTCATCTGTGAGATCGAAAGTTGTCCCAACCCTGTGTACTCTCGATACTCTCGCTCTCCAACGCCCCAAAGTACATAACAGTTACCAGTACTCCGTACATAGGTACTGATCACAATGTCCACCGAAGCAGCATGGGAACCAATCGCACGTCGCAAACAAGCCGAAAGAGCATCTAGGATTCCTTCACAATGGAAGGTACCCTCTCACCTCCTCCCTTCTGACCCTCCATTGCCTTCCCAAGGAGCTCAAAATGTCATGCACATCCCTGCCAAAATCCTTTCGCCGTCAGAAGTCGACATCACCGAATCGTACAGCGTCGCCTCGTTGTTGGACGCCATCTCGTCGTCCAGACTCAGCAGCGAGGAGGTGACGAGGGCATTCTCCCACCGGGCCGCCATCGCCCAACAGCTGACCAACTGCTTGACGGAACCACTGTTCGACACCGCCCTTTCTCGTGCTAAGTACCTCGACACATACCTTCGCAAGCACAAACGCGCCTTTGGGCCCTTGCACGGCCTACCGGTCTCGGTCAAGGACACGTTCAACGTCATCGGGGTCGACACGTCGATTGGCCTCGCGTCGCTGTGTCACCAACCGGCGAAGCAAAACTCTCCCTTCATCGACCTTTTGCTGTCGCTGGGTTGCGTGATCATCGCCAAAACCAACATTCCCCAAACCCTAGCTTCCCTGGACTCGGTCAACAATGTGTTCGGCCGGACCATGAACCCTATCAACCGTCTCTGCACAGCGGGGGGCTCTTCCGGTGGCGAGGGTGTGCTAGTCGCCATGAAGGGTAGCATGGTCGGCATTGGCACCGACATTGGCGGTAGCATCCGTGTCCCCGCAATGTGCAACGGAGTGTACGGCTTCAAACCTTCCAACGGCCGCCTCCCCTACGGCGGACAGGCTCTCACGGGCGTCGAGGGTATGAGCAGGACGAGCGTCCAGGCCGTGGCGGGTCCCATAGCCAGGAGCGTCGAGGACATTGACGTCTTTTTGCGAGAGGTCGGCCCTCGTGCCCACTTATTTGGCGAGGATTGCATGCCGTGGACATTGACGCCCAGCAGCAGAGACGCTAAGCAGCAACGACGACCGACGCCGCCACACGGGAGCGGCAAAAACGGCGAGTTCGTCGTGGGAGTGCTCCGGAGCGACGGCAACTGCGCCCTCTTGCCGCCCATCGACAACGTCCTCACCGACGTGGTGGGCCGGCTGGCGGGCACTCCCAACGTCAAGGTCGTCGAGGTCCCCTGCCCGAAAGCCTGGACCAAGTCCCAATCGGTCATGAGCAAGTTGATGGGGGTCGACGGCGGCGTCACCATGGCCGACATGATCGACAAGACGGGTGAACCTCTGGTGCCGTGGATGAAGACCCGGTTCCGCAAAGGCAAGCCTCAACCCTTGACTCGCGTGGCCGAGTTGCAGGCCCTCCGAGCCGAGTTGGAACGCGAAATGCTTAGGGTCTGGATCGAGGACGACGGCGAGGGTCGACGGCGCCAAAAGATCGACGCCCTCGTCTGTCCCGTCGCCCCTCACCCGGTGCCTCCCATCGAGGGTTACAACGCGGTCGGCATGACGAGCAGTTGGGTCCTGTTCGATTACCCGGCGGGAACGGTTCCCGTCAGAAATTGTACGGAGGAGGATCTCCAGTTGGGCACCCCCCAACCCGGTAAGCCCCTGAGCAGTTGGGACGAAAAGACTCGCGAGCTGTGGGACGAGAACAAGCTCAATCGACGAATCTACCTGGACACGCCATTGAGCGTTCAGGTCGTGGTGCCTAGGTTGCAGGATGAGAAGCTCGTAGAGGTCATGGGCTGGGTCGATCGAGCTTGTAAAGGCCAAGCGGATGTCAAGTCAAAACTATGAGAGTGGTCGTGGAGAGTAACATTCCATCAGAAAACCCATTTGGATGGCCATCACAGCCAGTTGTCTGATCTTGGTACAACATCACAAATTTGAAAAATAAGATACAGTAGCATATTGAAAATCAATCAATTTTTGACCGCGAGAAACTACCTAGATAATACCTGAAAGCACTCGTTTTCGACTCACTAATTCACTCATTACAGTGCACCTGCTGAATTGATATCAAGCCTACCAAGCCTCACAGCTTTGATGCCACGGCCACAGGACGACCGGATCGAATTGTAACGTCCATGGTCATGGTCTGTGACGGGGCCGAAATGTTCCTGATCGACACCCTACTGTCACGACCAGCGTACGTGCGACTGTTGGGGCTTGTGAAGGCCCCGAAGGAGGTATTGTGCGCGGAGCCGGGGTAAGGATCACCGGCGTCGCCTCGATTGCCCACGGGTCCATCCTCTGCCGCCTCGAGTTGTCGACGGTTGTCACTCTGGACCAGACCGACCTTGTAGTGATTCTCGTCTCGATTATTTTCCTTCCTGTCGTCGACGTGCCAGACTAACATTTCTGATCAGTACCATGGAAACTCTCACGGTCGACCCGACATACACAGGCCGCGAAAAAAAAGGACAGCACTCTGCGGGGGGTTTCAGTGGACGAGCGACTTACTCAATAACCCTTGACCTGGGAGAGATCGATCGAAGCCGTCTTGCTGTCGATTCTCGATCAAAAAGTACTCCTGGCTGACGGTGTCGCCGTTCGTCCAGAGCCGGTGGACCTCGCGGGGTTCCCTCTTGACGTCCTTGAGCGAGAGGGCGCGGTTCTGCTGGTCAGGCACGACACCGATCCAGCCTTGGTTCGCCTTGCACCAGGCGCTCGGGTGGCACGGGGTGGTTCCCGGTTCGTTGCCCGGGAGGTGACCCCAAGACCCGCTGCCCATGAGACACCAGTCGCCGACGCCCGCAGACTGGACACCAATGTCCTGCGGGTCGCCATCGCCGTCGATGTCGTAGAGGTCGGGCCAGCCAAACAACAAATGGCCGAGCTCGTGGGCGCAGACGCCGATCTGGGCGAACTCTGGTACGGTGAGAAACCCATACACGCGGGTGGAATCAGCCCGAGTTTCATTCCTCAAAACCCATTTGGCCGACCAGATGTTGCCGTTGCGATCGGGCCCAGGCGGGAATTCCTCTGCTCCTCTGCCGGCATGGACCACGATGAAGGCGTCGACCTGGCCATTGTGGTCGTTGTCGTAAGGTGTGAGGTCCAGGCTTCCGTCGACGGCCGCGAGAGCGTGAGCTGCGAGATCCTGCGTGTTGGGGGCTTGGTCGACTATGCCTGACGCGTTGTGTGCGTATTGGGCCAAGGTGAGAGGCATCCTGAAAGGGCCGGTGGCCTCTCCAATCAACGAGACCTTACCACCGCTGACGTCCTCGTAGTACTCGGTGACGCTGCCTGTGGCAATCTTTCCCTTTGAGAAGAAGAGATCCTCAAAGTGTTGCCTCGACATCGTCATTGGCTTGTCGGAGAAATCGACAAGAACGATGGCAACGCTACATCACACGGCACGGAACGGCGTTAGCGTTCACCCAAGACAACTTGCTTGAGACTCGGTTTCGCGGAACATACCGAATTGCTCCTCTCAATGGAGTCCTCTCCAGAGCCGCCCTGCCCATTCGGGCCAACGATGGAACAGGTACCTGTCGGTAGTGTGATTCGGGGAAGATGGTGCCATCGTTCAAACCATGAAGTGTCCCTGTGGGACCACCCGGTGGCAGTCGTCCTGGGATCTGCTCTCGTAACGCATCTCGCCCACTCGTAGTGCTACCGACCAGGACACTTGGATGGGGTGATACGAGGCACGGCCCATGAGAGTGAGACCTCGAGCCAAAGCACATGTTTGCTAGGTTGAAAATAGATTTGCAATGAGATCAAGGTTTTTCAAACGGAAGATCAGAGGTGCAGATGACAGTGGTTGGGAGAGGAAAAGGAGGAGAAGATCATTCGATCCTTCGGCGTTTTCTTATACCTTTCCACCTATTCATTCCACTCCTCCCAGTGTCATCAATGCAGACAAGGGGGGTGGAGGGAGCCTCCTGTGACAACTCAGCCTTTCGATGTTCGTGTTTCTCCTGGATCTCGCGTGAAAAGTCTTGGGTGTCGCAAGCCATGAGCACGCTCCTGTATAAACACGAGAAGAAGCTGAGACCAAGACTGATGCGGCGGTCGACGTCAGGCGTTGTCCAAGGTGAGCTTTTGTGCCACCGTTTGCATCTCGACTGCTCTACGGCGGACTTGGCAGTCTCGCCAGCGCCACCAGCATCTTTGGAACTTTTGCATGGGAGCACCAAGAGGAGGAAAATCCTACAGCCTCATGACAGTGTTGCAGACCACAGCAAGGTGTGTCCAATCATGTTGAGCCATGACCACATGAGAGGAGGCGCCAAAGGAGGACACGAAGTGTGGGACAAGAGCTGAAAAGACATATCCGGTGTGGCAGGTCTTGGCCTCGCTTTCACAACCCCTTCCAAGCAACACCTGAGACATGGTCCCATACTTTGATTTTGGAAGATACGAGGATACCATTGCGTCTTGTGGCAATAGTCCAACGACCCCGCCTAGCGAAGCCATGACGCTGTATCGCGGCATTGGGCGCATCTGCGTACTGACGCATTGTCCTAGTGAGAGGCAGGTTTGGAGAAATGCTCGGTGGTGTCGACGCCGTTGTTGTTGGATGGGTTGAATGAAGGCGACTAAACAAGTCTGTAAAGAGGATGAAGGTCTCCTTGCTCATTCTTCCCTCACTCATCGTAGGGGCGATATCAGGTCTATGGAATATAAGGCTTTCACAGTACGACACTAGAGGACAGGGTACCGGGTAGACATTAGTCGCATTCCTCAAAATTTGTCGACTATCATATTTCTTGTGCCTCAGAGTCTCCCTGATGCGGAAGTCCGAGAAAGAGTGGCGTATTTGGTGGCGGGCTCTCCTCGAGTAAATGCTTTGGAATGCCTGGATTCCCAATGAGAACACTTGCTCGCTTCACCTGCGCAGCCACCCAATCTTTATGGATTGGGTCACGAATCCTGATCAAAGCCACAGCTAATGGCCAGGCGTACCGATACACCATGACCGGCTTCTCTCCCAGCGCCTTATACGCGATCCCAAGGAGATCTCTCAATGTGTTGTCCAGCCAAGGAGAAAATGTACTCTTGCTGTCACCAAGGCAGGAAAACAATATCTGGATAGCATAGTATTCGAGTGCGGCATGATAAATTGTCCACATAACTCGGCGTCCTCCCGAATTTGTGGCGATACGGGCCAGGGCGAGGACATCGAGGAAGTCCTGCGAGCCCCCCGAAGAAATTAGTAATTGAACTCCATTCCATGAATGCGGCGCGAGATGAAATTACCTGGCCATTGTGTTTTATCTTCTGCCACAATTGATCGAGGCTGCTTTGGTTGACAGTCAGCCCCCTCAACGCGAGGCCCAAGTTCCACACCTCCACCTTGAGCTTTGCGCATGCCTGTATAAAACTCAGGGGCCGATAGTTTTCAAGATCATCGAGCAGCTGCTCAGCAGGGTATTCCGGTCCCCACATCCTTGGGAGACAAGTGCGTGCTTCTTGAAATAATCGATCTTGGTGCAAGTGTGAATCGGCCTGCAATAGTTCCTGGGTCAATTGGCCCACCCCTAGGTTGCCAAGTGCGAGGTGTGTATCGACGATTCTATTCGATATTAGTCCTTGTGGCTACGGGTCCCAATAGTGAGGCAAACTAACGAGATGAAATAAAGGAGTTGTTGCGATGCGGGCGGAAGGCAGAGTTGGCCTCTAGGACCATGCACATCTTCCACAAGAAAGCTGCGGATGCCACTCAGATGAACTTGAGAAGCTCTGGCTAGCTCGACGTTGTAGTATCCAACCCATAGGAGAAGGAACCACGTCGCAAACAAAGAATCAAGGTCCCGATCGGTTCTCGCCGGCTGAGAGGCTCGATCTAAAAGGCGCGATAGATCTCTCAGAGCCTGGTGATAATGATCAGTGGCGAGTATCTCATGCTGCTGCGCAGTTGCAATGTCTCCAGAATCTCCAGAGTGGGAAGACATGTATCTGCATCGAAGTTCCATTGAAGCGAGCGCGATAAAGGCCCTCATGACTCCACTTTCGTAACTCGCGATTTCTGAATGGACGTACGAAAGCATGCTCCATTGCCATGGTTTCCCGATGAACTGCACGAGGAATGAATTGGGAATGTATTGGAAGCATTCATGGTCTTGTGGACAGAGCTTCAAGGAGTTTGACAGGGGAATATGGCTGGTTGAGAGTGCGGATTGGGGGGAGTTAGTCCTAGCGCTGTAGACTGGGCTAAGCTGCTGTCTGGTGTCCAAGACAAGCCGAGAATCGCCATCTTGTTTCTCGCAATTCTCAAACGTGCTTGGAGCTTCCTCAAGTCCTGAATAGATCAGTGACTTCTGTTCATCGCTGGCTGGTGAGGCTTCTGTTGGTGGTTGCGCTGAATCGGGTGTGCTGGAGGGAGTGGAAGTCGCTTTCACGGGTTGACCGAAGACTCGCTGCCGACGTCGCTGGACCGGCTTATCCCACTCACATTTCATGCCTATGCGTTCACACCGTGTGCATAATGGTCTTCGTTCATCGCACTTGAGTTTTCGAGTTCGACAAGTCGTACAGCCTAAGAATTTGCTCAGTCGTCGGGGTGTCGACAGTCACTGAATGGATGGAGCTTCTTTACCTCTCTTGGACCTTGGGCCATGTCGACCGAACTGAGGAGTTATCATTTTCGCGAGATCTGTGGGATATTGCAACCATGGATGCCGTTTCACCTGCGCCGAGGTTGTTGAGAAGAGAAAGTATGAAGAGGTTGTTCATATCGACCCCTCGTTTTCAATATGGAGGGTGGGAAAATATATGATCCGAGATAAGATAAGAACAGACGATTTATCTACTCAATGCAACCGACCAACACTTGATTTATTTTATCACTGCACCAGGGACTCCATCTGTCCATCCATTCACAAGGACGAGTTCATAACATTGTTATGATGGATCAGGCTCTTGAATATCCTTAGAACCGGCAGATTAACCATCTATAGCACATATCTGAAGCTACTGAGTTGTCTGTCCGTCTTATTTGACACCTCCTCGGGTGGCTCTCCAGCTGAGGTCGATGGCGAACGCGAATTGTACAGTTTGTCCCTGCGACGGTTTTCCCAGATATAGTAGAACAATAGAGCGACCAGGAAGACAATTCCAAGCGCAAGGCCTGACACAGAAGCGATGAGTCCAGTCTGTGCCAATGTCAGTAAGGTGGTTTGCTATACAAGAAACTGGAAAGACACATACCTGGTACCTTGGTTCCTGACTCGCCAGGAAAAATTGAGGTCCGATGATGTTTCCTGTGCAATACGCAACGAACAAGGTGGCACTGATGACCGAGCGTTTGGTGAAGCCTCCGACGTTTGAACTGATCAAGGACAACGAGAGGGGAATGTTGGTCGCAAATACCGTGGCCAAACACAAGCCTGCCATCCGAGTGGCTTTTCCTTCGGCAGCGTATACCATTACCATACCAACCAGGGATGTCAAAGTATTGAACATCATGAGAGCGATTCGTGACGACGGAATGAAACTGGCAAGCCCGGAGGTCAGGAGTAAGAAGACTAGTTGGGTGGCGCCCATGGGCATCTGAATCAGGAGTGCTCTGAGATCGGAAAACCCAAACCCTGCAATGACAATGGCACCGAACTGCAGACATAGGGATTATCATCAACATTTTCTTCTGATGAAAGGGGAAAGACTCACGCTTGTCAGACCACCATTTGCGATATTCACAGAGGCCGTGTACAGAAACAGACCCCACGTCTGAGGATCGAGGAGGGCGTCCCATAACTGCGCCATGACGAACTTGTCATGATCAAGGACACCGGTCTTGTTAGTCAACGTGCGGATGACGGCGATTTGCTGGTCTTGTTTCGAGAGAAACCGGGCCTGTTGTGGCGAGTCTGGAAGAAACCAGAAAAGGATAATCGAATAAACAGAAGTGGTGGCTCCGAGGATGAGAAATAAAAGACGCCAGGTAGGCAGAGAAGAAGTCGTTATATTCCCAATGCCGTAGGCGACAAGGCCGCCAAACATGTTCGCGATGGCATTACCTATGAACCACGCGCCTTGTCTGTTAACGCCGGCGTCAGTTTTGAAGTGCACAATTCTCCCACGTGCATGGATCTTACCGGATCGGCTGCTCTTGACGTGTGTAAAACATGCCAGTTATCAAAGCGAATCCAGGAGCGAGACATGCCTCCCCGACACCGAGAAAAAATCTCAAGGCCATCAAGCCTGCAAAGTTTTTGCATGCCCCATGACACATGAGGATGACGCCCCATAAGAAACTGAAGTGTTCACATGTTAGAAGGAGGGTTACCGGCGACGTCCTTCGAATGGAGACTTACACCATCAGAGAAACATATTTCCCCGTGGGAAATCGAACAATCAAATATGAACTTGGCCAGCTCCAGGCCAAGTAGCCAAAATAGAATACAGCGGAGCACCAAGAGTATTCCGAGCCACGAAGGTGCTGCGCGCGTAAGATCAACGGTCAGATATTGTCGACCTGAGAGAAACACCGAGGGATCGACCTACAATATCCTGACGGAGCCCGAGGAGAGTGGCCTGGCTGAGAGCGAGTTTGTCCATGAACTGCAGCATGTAGCAGAAACCCATCAATGGGATTATGCTTGTTGATCGTCAGTAAGGTCGGGGTTTCATCCCTATCAAAATCGGAGAGGCCCTTACCAGTAGTCGATGCGACGAAGGACTCGCTTGTTGTCAGCACTGCTAGGAGCAGTGGTCGACACCTCTCCAAGTTGCATGTCTACCTCCTTGGCCTCGATAGAGCCGGCGCAGCGAGCAGACATCTTCTCTGATAGAACAGACTCTGGGTTGGAGGTGGCGGTCCCCATCTTGGATTCTTGAAATCTATCTCGGGGTGTGTGTCACTGAGAAGACGATGAACAGCTTGCTGTTTCGAACACCTGCGGGTTCTCTTTCTCTCTTTCTCTCTCTCAAAGTGTCGACCAGGCGCCTCTTTAAATACATGCTGCAGCGGAATCTTTTGCTCTTTCGGAATACGTTCCCTTATCTGCAACTGATTCTGAGTTCCGCTTCTGTAGTGAATTCGATGCTGGGCTTGAGATTTGACTGATTACTTTGATTGGATCTGAGGATCTGTTCCAGGTTGAGGTCGGCAATCTTGACAGGACTTTGGTGTTTGCCAGTGTCCTTTGGGTACGCGAGGGAGCCCTGCTAGTTGTTATCTCGGCAAATATTCGACGAGGATTGGTTGTATCGGCAAATCGCTTCTCGCCACTCTCCACCCAAATTCCGCGATCGCTCTATCTGCGTTTAGCCGAAGCATACACTCGAGAGCCGAAGGAGTCTATACTATCTCGCCGTTCACGTATTTAAAGAACGAAGATATTCGATGACAAGTGTTCCGCCATGACTTTAACGACAAGGAATCAAGACATCCATATTTCTCCAGGATGATTGCCAAACTACCCCCCAACCAAGAGGTCAAGGAACGGGTGGATACCTTGATAACGAAACTAAACCAGGATCTCTGGCAGGTCAACCACAAAGTACGTGCGACTCCACTGCTCACCAGCTGGTCTGATAAATCTTGGGGAACCTCCTGACACATCTCTGCGTAGATCTGGAGCAACCCTGAACTCGGCTTCAAAGAGTACAAGGCTCATGACACGATCTGTGATTTCCTTGAAGCTCAAGGCTTCACCGTCACTCGTCATGCTCATGGGATCGAGACTGCCTTTGAGGCACGCAGTGGCTCTGGAGGTCGCCTGGTCAACTTCAACGCTGAGTACGATGCGTTGCCCAATATCGGTCACGCGTGCGGCCACAACCTGATCGCCACGAGCAGCCTGGCTGCTTTTCTCTCCCTCTCCTTCGCCCTCAGGGACTTTGGTATCCCTGGAAGGACGCAATTACTCGGGACTCCGGCAGAGGAGAGCGGTGGAGGCAAAGTTGAACTGCTCGACGCCGGAGCGTACAAGGACGTGGATGTCTCACTGATGGCGTAAGTTACAGACTGCGCGGCCTTTGGTCGACCACTCGCGATGTGGTTGGGATCATTCTAACTTCGGATACGCTTGTTGTAGTCACGGAGGACCCAGGAGAATGGGACCTCTGAAACCGTGTGATGGGATTGCCGGTGTCCGAATGGTGGCTCGAGAACAAATCTTCTGTGACTTTGAGGGTAAGAACGCCCACGCCGGCGGCAACCCCTGGGACGGAATCAACGCTCTGGATGCTTTTGTGGCTTCATACAACAACATCTCCATGCTTCGCCAGCAAACAAACGACACCGACCGTATCCACTCGGCCATTCTCGAGGCCCCCAAGGCGGCAAACATCATACCTGCCCAGATTCGAGCCATGTTCACCACAAGAAGTCAGACTTTGAAGTCATTAAAAGCCTTGACCGCCAGAGTCACCAAGTGTGTCGAGGCTGGCGCACTGGCAACGGGCTGTACAGTCAAAATTACAAAGTATTTTATTTCTCCTTCCCCAATTCACCTTGACATACACCGTACCGATTTCGGAAGGGCCATGCTAACGAGTGGGGGTCAAATCAATAAAGGGAAAAGCACTATGCGGACATTGTCATCAACGACACCTTGTGCCAACGATATAAAGCTCATGGTGACGAGTACGGATTGGAGCTAGAGGCGACCAGCCCAGAGATCTTGACCGGATCGTCAGATATTGGTACGTCGGTTGAAAACACAGGCTACGGAAAAGTTATTGTGTAGCAGTATCTAACTTCGTGACTCTGGTTCACACAGGTAACATCAGCTACGCCCTACCGACACTCCACTCCATGTTCGCCATACCTTGCCCCGAAGGAAGTTATCCTCATCACCCCTCTTTTGCCAGTGCAGCCGGAGAGGAGGCGGCCCATGGACCGGCGTTGGTCGTGGGTAAGATCCTGGCGTTGTTGGGTTGGGATGCCATCACGGATGACGGGTTTTATGAAAAGGTCAAGTCTGACTGGTTGAAGAGTGTTTCAGACACGCCAGCTTAGACTGGACACAACGAGGCACAAAGTTGCTGTATTGTAGTTTGCCAAAGAATGAAGTTGTTCTTCTCTTCTTACTGTAGGAAAACGGGATTTCCATGCTTGCTTCGTGATGCTTGCGTGTTCCTCGTTCTAGGTTCCCCGTTGTCCTTTCTTGATATTAACATCATGCTGTACAGTGAAAGTGGAAGGAAGGAGAATTTTTTCATGTGATGGTTATACATGACTGTTTAGATATTACACCCCCGTGGAGAACCATGTGATGATAGCTAAATGAACATTATTTTCCAACGGGCGCCGCGCCGTCCACAAGAGGGCCAATCGCAGTTTGCAAATCAAAATCAAAGCCAACCCAAGCAAGAAGTCTCTTCACGTCGTTTCGCTCCTCCTACCAGGCTGATTGAGTTTTGTATGCACGCTCAATCCGTTCAAACCACCGGCCGTCCCAGGTGTCCCGGCACGTTGATGTACGGGATAGGTCTGAGCCCGATCGACGCTCGCACCTTCTGCCCCGATATTGTCAAAATCTCTCTGGATATCGGGCCATAGTTGAAGGATCTGGCGTTCAAAGGCACCCAAAGGCTCTTCGCGCAACTCGAGCGTATCCTTTTTGTCATGGTCGTCGAGAACTTTCACTCTCGCCCGTTTCTTGTCCTTTCCACCACTCTCGAGAACTTCCGGGAACACTGCCTTTTTGTACACGACACCCGTCATCTTGCCCACCTGCCCTGGGGCGTTGAGGGCGATGGGCGTGTCCGGGTTCGTCTCGGTACCGTGGAGCATCCAACCCTTGAGGGCTGGCGGGTCGTACGTGCCCTTGTCGTCATACCCAAAACCGTGCTTGCCGCGGCGGATGCGCACGCTGGCGTGGATGGTCTCGTTGGTCCTATGAAGTCTGGGCCGTTTGGTGTTTTCGTCGTTCAGTAAACCACCAAACAACCTGCCGCCGATCTTGCGAAACATCCAGATGAGCGTACCGTGCTGTTGGGAAGGGAGTTCGGCCTCGCGGTACTCCCCCGGCGTGCGGATGCGCGAACCCCCCAAGCGGAAAAATGCCGTCATGCTGTTGTGAATCTTGCCCATGCCCCAGGGTCGGCCGGGGTGCGGCGCGGTGTTTTCTACGCGTTTCGGCAACCCTTCGTGAGTAAAGGTCAGATGGCCTCGTGGGATGCCTATCCCCGGGTGCTGCTGCGGCTCGATCAGCGCAAAGACGTAGGCATGGTCGACGGTCAGGATCGGGTCGAGCTGCGACACCATCCACGCCAGCGTGAGGTTGGCCAGAGCCGTGTCGTCGTAGCTCCCGCCTATGTCGCTGTGCACTCCCGGGAACCAGGTCTGTTTGAGGACTTTGAGCTCGTTGGGCTCGACACTCGGCCAGTCCCAGATGGTCGGGGAGTAGGCGCGGCGGTGCTCGTCGAGAGCCAGCGCCTGGAACGCGTACTCGATGTTGGACTCGACTCGCGTGTCGACGAAGGCAAAGTCACGGCTAGGAGGTTGCGGGAGGAGACCTATCATGGGAATGCCCAAGCCACCGACCGTGTCCCAGACGGCGACGCACTTGATCTTGATGTTTGGCCTCGTGAGGTTTTTGTCTATCAACTGCCGTTGGTAGTGCGGATCGGTGACGGGCGGCTTGTGCCCGGAAAATGGGACGTTGGGCCACTTGGTCACAAAGTCCTTTTTCTGCTGAAACTCCCAATCCTCAAACACCTGGACAAAATACTCCAGGCCTTTGGACGTCAGCAGTCCGACGGCGTTGATCAAGCTCGAGATCGACCGGGCCGTGAAGGCTCCACGCGAGAAGCCAATTATAAAGATCTCGTCCCCTTCGTTGTAGTTCAGGGCGACGAAGCTGTAAGCTTCTCGGATGTGTTCGGCCAGCCCTTCACCCGTGGCACCGCCGACATACCTGTTGTAGAGTGAATTGTCCCCCGTGCCCACGCCGTTTTGATAAAAGACGACCTGGTGGATGGCCTGTGGTGGATCGACGGTCTTGTCGAATCCCACTGGTGGAATGGCGCGGGCGATTCGAGTGACGTTGCTCGGCGTTTGATAATCACCGTCGCTGTCCATCCATGTTCCATCGCAGCATATGACGATGCGCTTTCTAGTAGACCCGTTGGTGGTGGCCATGTTGAGGAGGACGATGAATGGCACTTTTTCGGTAGGAGGTAGATGTGAAAAGAAGACGCTGTCTATAATACCACGGCGTGCTCTAAGGGGTCAGAGGCGTTGATATATCGTGTCAACCGGGCAGGCGAAGAGAGAGAGAGACAGAGACGAGTTCGCTTAATAGTGTGTCGCACTCGCACACACACACACACACACAACTCAACACATGCTCGGAGAGCCACATTCATGAACCCTCTCCTCTAGGTGTCACTGTTAGACCCTTGTTGAAGGCATGATGAGTAGTATGAGGAGGCTTGTGCCACATTCAAAAGTTGGCCTGGTAGCTCAGCTGACGCCCACTTACGCAGCCCTTATTTACTCCGTTGGAGTGATCTTTTTTTGTACGAGCTCTTTGCATGCATGCCTGACAAGGAGGGGGCCAGAACTCTCAGCTTATGCCCTGTCTAGATATTATAACCAATGGTTTCTCAAGGACCAAGACGCCATCAGCCTCCCCGGAAATGTAAGCGAGTGAGAGTTGTGTCAACTTGGACAGTACCTCTGTATTGATGTGGTGTCTGGTTGGTCTTGATCTCATTGGCGCACACCCTCTCAGAGTGTGAGATGACATCTGAGGCCACCAGCATCAAAAGAGGGGGGATTCTCTCAGCCGCATGAGCCCATGGGATCTGTGCGAGAAAACCCGAGCAACTCAGCATGGTCAAATCATTGAAACGGGGATGTGGTACTGCCACATCATGCTGGCCACAAAGCACAAACACTAGATGAGTCATGTGAGGCCAGATATGATCTGTTAAGTTGAGATTGGGATCAGCTCATGCATGTAGTCCGTAGGGTAGATGTCCTCATTGCATCGTCTGTGTGTCTTGCGAGGTTCGAAAACCTCGAAATCTCTCTGGTATTGATTTGGTATCTGTCTGTCTGCTGGTAATGCGTACTCAAGTGATTTGTGAATATTATGTACATATGCAGCAGATTCGTGCCTGCTTGCCCCGTAGTAATCTTCGAAACTAGAATTCTTGTCTTCTGTAGCGCCTCGACTCTCCGTAATCCTTTCCACCCGTCGACCGCAACCATTCAATCGACACTCTTGTAGGATCAAGCTGTATATTCCACATCGCATGCCTCTCTGGGGCTCGATCGTACCATTCGAACGAAGTCCAATCTGCTGTTGCACGGTGCTCTGATGCATAATGTGCTGTATGCAGGTTAGTATCTTCAGTAACTACGGGACTTCACTTGGATCGTTGTCAGCTCTTTTTGGCTGCAACATTTTCTTTGTTTTTTTGTCCTTTTGTCTTTTCACCTTTTTTTGGTGTTTCATAACGATTGACATCTGAGGAGCAACGATGCTCGAAATCAACGAGAACGGTCGCGTCGCGAACCCACATCAGGTCATCTTGTGAGGCAATTTTGAAGGATGCCACAATGTGGCAATGGTGCTACTGGTCAGCTTATCTCTTTTTTTCAAGCCGGGGCTGCAGTAGGTGTTGGAGTGGGAGTAGGAGCAGGTGTAGGTGTCATCAATTTCTGCCGCTTTGCGGTATCACCGTTGGTTTCAGTGGCCTGGTTGAATACGTCAGTATAGAAGCCAAGGAAAACCTGGATTGACGGAAGTTACCTCGACTTCGTTGATACTTCGCCGAACACCTGACTTAGCATCCGCCTTGACCGGCTTTGCAATCTTCTTGACAGGTTTGCTGGGTTTGACTTCGCCAGCTTTAGCATCGAAAACGTCATCGGGCAAGTCCCAACTATTGCAGTCAGTACCTGGAACAACATTTGAAGGAGACATGAATGCTCTTACCACTTAATCGACGCGAGGGTGAGGAAATGCAAGTCTCGTTTGAAGCTTGCCCAGCCCTCGCAGATATCCTTGAAATTCTGGAAAGATGGCGCGATATTGAGGCTTCCTTTGGCAGTCGTGTCGATGCCGATGTAGAAAGTGTATGTATATACGGTGTGAGCGCCTTGTTCTGTTTCTGGCTGGGCACCATCGGCAGCTGGGACAGCAGCTCCATCACCGTTACTGGTGACCAGTTCTGGGTCGGTGGTTTCGACAGTTTTGGTGTCTTCGAACTTGTATTTCATGCTACCCTTCTGGACTTCTCGAATTTGAGTTTCGTCTGAACATTTGTGGACCCTCTTGAAACCCTTTGTGAACGGACGAGCCAGAGTGATGTCTGGAATGCCCTCCAATAGCATTACAAAAATACGGACTTTGGACTCAACCAAACCTGCCCACTGTTTGGCCGAGTCTGCGTTAAGCGTGCTCGCAGTGACTCCCAAGTAGTACTTGTGATCAGCAGTGAAGAAAGAGTGCTTTTTGAAAAGATCACCCCAACGTGCTTTGCCAGCAAAGATGTTGTTTGTGATCTGGCTCCCTCTTTCCAATTCACGCAGGATGACAGCTTTGCCAGACTTGGAGATGTTGTATGTAGCCGACATGCTCGGGAAAGCAGGGGTAATTATAGGCATTAACATCTTCTTGTCACCTCTGTAAAGCGCCGGATTCCACACCTTGAACTCATTGGCCTGCGAGGGCTTTGGTTGTTCGATGTCTTTCAACATGACCGGTGTTGGCCAATCCCAGCACTTCATGACGAAGAAGAATTTGTCCACGAGCGTGGCACCAACTGCATGTGGATACAACTGGCATACTCTTGCAACTAGCATTGCCCATGCCACGCCACCAGGATAACCAACAATATTGGCGTATACAGCTCTTCGTTGCGCCCAAAGTTTGATGGCTCTCAAAGCGGTTCGGAAGGTCTTCTGTTCGGGCACCAAACTCAAGATCTCATCTGTCACACGTGGTCCTGTGACTGCTCGGATAGTTGCTTGATCCAACCCGGTAAGCAAGTTGTTATCGTTCAAAGTCAGGTTCTTCGGAATAGTCTGGAGACTAGCGATCGAGGCAAAGATCAGGTCGATTTCGATATCGTTCAAGACCAGCTTGATGATGGGGACATAGGAATCTGGCACAGGTGTGAGCGACGAGATATCACTTTCGCCAGTCATTCGTTTGAGCACGGTTGGGAAGTATTCGAAAAAGTCTTCGCGAGTGACATGTCTTGGAGCCACAGCCAAAGTATCAATATCAGATCCTATCATGTGTCAGCGCTTTGATCGATCCCTAGGTATGAATTCAAACACACCAGGTCCAAATACTCCCAAACGATAACTTCCGTAAGGAAATATCTTGCCACCGAACTGCTCGATTTGCGAAGGGGGCATCCTCCGCCGGCGACTCACTTCTCTCACGAATTCTTGAGTAACTCTATTGAGCAATCCGAGCGTAGCCATCCTCTTCTGAGTTGCTTCGAGGGGTTCATAGTTGTTTTCTTTCTTCAGTTCTTCGATCAAATCGGCCGTCTTTTCCGTGTCAATAGACTCGGGAAGCGCGGTTGACATGGGAGGAGTGATGCCCCATTGTTTAGACGGAGGAGCAGCCATGATAGCGGAGGAAGTCGAAGCAAGTATCTAATCCAGGATCGATCGTTGGTTGTTTGTGATGATTGTTTCGATGACAGGCAACAGTGGAAGGACAGGTGGGAGAAAGAGAAGGACAAGAATTAATATTGAAAGAGGGCACAAAAAGGGTGTTGAATGGAAAACATCATCGTCCCCAAACTCCAAAGGAAAAGATGATGGCGAAATATGCAGGTCGAGATGATGAGGTGGAAGTGAAGGTAAAGGTGAAGATGGTGCTGATGTGAAGACCCTGCGAAGACACAGCGCAGTTTGACACAACAATGCAGCGGCGCAGAGGGCGACGAGTCTGAGTAGTGGCCAGCGCTAGTGAAGGCGGATAACTGGATACTTGCCCTTGCTGTGTGCCCCCACCCAGCAGTACAATAGGCCCCAGTTCAAGTATCGTAGGCAGCACCGTAGGCTTATTGAGCCACTAAACTCCCACCCTCAGGCGCCTGTATCCATCTTGTCCAGTCTTCACTCGGGTACTGTATTTGTTCTGTTACCATAGTATGGCATTTGACATTTGGCGCATCCCCCAGATCAACCTTGGTAAGATTGTCCTCTACATACACATGTCAATAGCGGCACTAAATACATAGGCAATTAGCTGTGACAATAGTATGTCCATTGAATCTGCTATCAACAATGACTTCTCTTCACCTCTCTGCCATCGTTGTTTCGCCTACACCCGTGCATTCCGAAATGAAAAAACGAATTTCTCGTTTCATACCAAACCCTGGACCTCGCGAGTCAACAGTCCCAGTACGGAGTACATAGGACCCTCGATCGAACAGAGATCCCTCGAGATGCGCAATATCTGCGATGCACTTCGGCTGCTGGGGTTGTGTGCCCTTTTTAACTGTTTTCAGGTTGGGCAACACGTTCTCTATCCCTGTACTTGTTGCTTGGGTTCAGGGATCTTACCCAGGGCAATCTCGTTGAATCTCCCCGGGGGCTGCTATGCGTCGTGTTGCAACGTTCGCTTCTCTTTGGTGGCCGCACGAGACAAGCCGGTAGACTTTCGCCTAGAAAATTTTGACCTAAAGACTGGATCCCGGATCGTGCGCCTCCGTCTCTCTTCGAATGAGAAAAGTGCATCCCGTGCCGTCTCAATTCTGCCATTGCTCCTTGGCCATTTTTGGTCAAAGGCGAAGCTATTATTAACAAGCAATTAGGGGGCACCAGGGGCGCGGTGGATTCGTCGCTCGGGCCTGTATTCGCGAAAGAAATAATATGTAGTGATGGACGATCCATTGAAATATACCTGTCGCATGCTACACTCTACCCTCACCTAGTGCTGAATATTGTGAGGAAGGTCGTGACAGACCAAACGATGACCACAGGACACAATGCCTCCTTTCGTGGGCGTCATCGCCTTGGACGGGTCGTCCTCCTCGCCACGGCCCTTATCATGCTGATATTGTACGCGACCAACTCAAGATGGGAACACGAGCAGCAACCCCATCCTATCGAACCTGGAGTCCTCGAGACTCCTATCATCGATGATCCTGCCACAGTGATCGCCAAACAGGCCAACCCCACCAAGGATCAGGTTGCACCTCATACCATGGCAGCCAACCCTGAAGACTCCCCACCGACCGAGGCGCCACGAGCACCAACTGCAAAATCATTGACAGAGCATGATAAAGAAATCAGCCCGAGTGGGGAGGGAAATCTCTATTCCAAGATCGGAAAGTTGACCATGCTGTACTACAACGAAGTGTCTAAGGATACCATCTGGTATGAGAAGGCTCTCTCTGGGCACAAAGAACACAACATGCGGTTCGGGTACAAACACTTCGTCTTGCGTCACGAAATCGTGCCCGATATCTGGTCGAAGCAGGCTTTCATCCTCTCGATCCTGCTGCAAGAGTTGGCAAAACCCATGGGTGACCGTCTGGAATGGCTCTTTTGGCACGATGCTGACCTGGTCTTAATGAATTCCAACATCCCACTCGAGCTCTTCGTGCCGCCGGTCGAATTTTCTCACATTCATCACGTCGTGGCGAATGATCTGAACGGTCTGAATGCTGGAGTCTTCTTCCTGCGTGTCCACGAGTGGTCCATGTGGTATTTGTCGGCGGTCATGTCGTACACCAACTATCATCCCGAGCGACCCTTGCGATATTCGGAACAGACAGCTATGGAGTGGCTGATTCAAGAAGTGAGTATCCTGCTGACTGCACGTTGTCGAGTGTAAATTAATCTTGGTACAGGAGAAGTGGGGGCGGAACACCACACACGTTCCACAACGTTGGTTCAATGCGTACCAAAACTTTGGCATTGATGACACGGTCCCTCCTGAGTGGGAATGGAGACACGGCTATTTTGAACCTGGAGATCTGCTGATTCACCTTCCTGGCACCAGCGAGGCCCGGCCAGACATCATCAGGGGATGGCTCAGCCGCGTTCGGGATCAGAATGCGCGGTATGAAATACCTCTCGCCGACACGACACACGTCAAAAATATCACTGAATTCTGGAATAACGACGCTCGCCACGATAAGAAGAATCAAGACACGTACTGGCGTCGATGGCATATCTTGATTAGGGTTGGGACCGAACAAGATGATCAGCAAAGAGAGGCTGTCGCTGAAGCCGAAAGGCTTGCGGATAAAGCTGGACTGAGCCCTGAAAAGAAGGAGCAGAAAGTTGATGAAGTCAAGGAAAAATTCAGGATTCAGAAGATCGCAGCACTGCGACGAGCAGAACAGGATAAATTGAAGGAGGAAGGTCTGTTGCAGGAGCAAGCTCCAACGACGGAAAGATGAAATCCCAAACTGTTCTTACTGAGACGAAAGGCTGCAATCGCAGGGCATTGGTATGTCACCAGTCATTCATTGGCCACCACCGGTCCTCCCTTTGCTTCTCGACTACGGAGGACCAGTGGACGGCGAGGAAGCAAAGTCGCCATGCAGATGGCCAAATACGAGTGAGCCGGTGGGCAGCAAAGCAGAGAAGGGGACACCTCGTGCGATGATCTTTTCGACACGACTTATCAATTTGCCTCGAAGCAGAATATTCCACGCCGCCTACGAGTCGCTCTCGTACACGTGTGGAAAAGAGACACTGAAGATCTGTGAAGATCCTCAGACATGCAGGGTCTGCGGCCGCTGGCTGGAAGGGGCATGGCGTGACAGGGAGTCGGTCCCTGTTGTCCCCTGGACGGGGCGATTAGGCTCATTAGGGCTCAGATGTGGCTGGATCGGTGAAATTTTCCGGGCGCTCACTGGTCCCTGGCATCTGGATTCTGGATCTTTGGGGCTTACGATTATGCCCCTCATCTGCGCTGTCTGCCCTATTATCCAGGGAGCAATCGCCAGCTGCGCCAGTCACACGCATTGCGGGCCAACAACAATGCGGTCTAGACCACCTCAAGGCAAGTGGTGTATCAATTAGTACAGGACTTGTAAGGCTTAGGATATTGTACAATAGCCATGTATCCGAGGACCCTGTCTGCATTATTGTGCAGTCGGTACTGTACGTATGTTTGGACGTTCCGCGCGGGCCTGGCCATTGCGCATTGCACATCAAATCAATGTAGACTTTGCATCCACTCACTCCACCACGCAGCAAGTGTACAACTCCTCTGCTTGCTTCTGGTAATACACGAGACTTCTCTTCTTCAGTAACCACTTTTTCGCATTCTAGGTATGATCCCGTTATTGATTGTTCCTGCGCCGGTAACGCAGAATCTGTCATCCCTCGTCCTCCGCTCTCGAGCATCTACAGCGTAGGACACCGTCAGCCATGGCCAACAGCACAAGCACCGGCACGAGCGGCTTTCCAATCCAACCTGTAGACTTCAGTTTGGGCGATCTGCAACGAGCTCGAGAGTTCTACCACTACCTCCAGCCAGACAATCTCATTCACCCAGACTCTCGACGCCCCGACTCACTCTTCGACCTCGCCTCCGACGATGTCCCTAGCCTTAGCGATGCCCTGGCTCCCTTCTGTCAGCTTGCGGTTCTCCGCTGCGACTGCAGGAAAGCCATGCTCAACGTGATGGACCGAGACCTCATGTACTTCCTGGCCGAGGCTACGAAGGAATCCAAAGGAAAAGGAGACACAACATATGAGTTCGTGGAAGATCCCATACTCACGAGGTGCAGTTCGGTGCCATTGAAGGGGAAAATATGTGAATTGACCATCAAGTCACAAAGTGCCGAAGGATCGCAACCTACACCAATGTTTGTGATCCCGGATCTGTCGCAATCCGACTTCTCTGAAATGGAAATTGTTACTGGCCCTCCATACTACAGGTTCTATGCCGGTGTCCCAATCACCACAAGAGAAGGCATCAACATTGGCAGTCTTGCGGTTATGGACACCAGACCTCGCCCCGATGGCCTAACGGATGACGAGGTGAAGTTTATGGCCAATTCCGCGCGACAAATAATGCAGCATCTAGAAATCAACAGACAGGCAATCGAAGGGATGCGGTGTCGCCGCCTAGCGGAAGGTCTAGAAGCTTTCATCGCTGGGAAAAAAACCATCCAATTGTTTGCGCACCAAGTGGAGAGATCCATCAAGAGACGATCCAAAATGCTCAATGGCAGCGAGCCACCGAATGTCGACGGAATGCGAGAGCGCCCATCGTCAAGCGAGTACCGTTGGGCAGCTCAGAGAATAACATCTTGGAACTCCCTTGGCGACAATGACAGCACATCAGGCCATTCATCAGATTCGGACGATGGGTGGGCCAAAGTTGAAGACGATGCGGAGTCGCGGTCGCATATCAAAACCTTTGGTAGAGCGGCCAACATTCTCCGCGAGTCCTTTGGTGATATTGGGGAGGACGGCGCAGTAACATTCCTCAGTCTAAACCCGACCGCCGAGAAAACCCCTGTCCGTGGCCAAAGGCGTCGATCGATACCGTTTCTACCAGCCTCAAAAAATGCCCACCAAAAGCCACCCTCAGATGGAGAGAAAGCCAGTGCTATCCCCCAAACGACGGCAAGTCGGCCATGCTTTATTGCGTACTCGACGCAGACGGAACCTTATCTTCCAGAAAAGGAAGTGGCACATGTGAGAGGCATCGATGATGAAATGCTGCAAAGCCTGATGCGACGGTATCCCGGGGGGAAACTGTGGTCCTTGGACATTAATAACGTCTCGTCCTCGGAAGAAGACAGGACTGTACCCAACTCTCCGTTACGCCCTCGCAAAAAGAGCAGACGAAAACAGTTAGAGATGGATGCCTTGAGAAAGGAATTCCCTTCCGCTTTACAAGTGCTCTTTGCTCCCCTGTGGGATGCCAGTAGTGGGTCGTTTGCTCATGCTTGTTTTGTCGCGACAACACTAGACACAAGATCCTTCAGTTCTACCGTCGAATTGCCTTTTCTCAACTCATTCTGCAGCACCTTAATGGCGGAGTGCAGTCGACTCGATACTATGGTAGCCGACAAGCAAAAGAGCGACTTTGTCGGTACTATCTCGCATGAAATGCGGTCCCCTCTCCACGGATTGTTGGCCAGTGTGGAGTTTCTCACCGAGACCGATCTCACGGGTTTTCAGAGGTCTCTTGTTGATACGATTGACTCATGCGGTCGGACTTTGTTAGACACCATCAACCACGTTCTTGACTTCTCCAAAGTCAACTCGTTCCAGAGGGTATGGCAGGCGTCGAATAAGAAGTCGCACAGTTCCAAACGAAACAACTTTTTAGGCCCCGAAAACTCCTCTAAGCCACTATCCCATGGTGCTCCTCCTCTGCTGCAACTGTTCGGTGTTACCGATGTCTCTGCTGTCCTGGAGGAAGTGGTGGATGGTTTGGTCCTTGGTCATACGTACAATTCTGGGATCGACATAACAGACATTTCTCGCCACGCTCGAGGGCGAGGGACCAGACTTGGCAAACAGGATGGATTGGGCCCGGATACTGTTGACATCCTGATTGATGTTCAGCAAGCTGACTGGAATTTTTTGACACAACCTGGAGCAATCCGACGCATCATCATGAACATCACTGGAAATGCCATCAAGTATACCAGTCAAGGGTCAATACATGTTCAGCTACAATTGAAGTCATCGACCGAGGATGATGGCAATGATCTGATGGTTTTCACGGTAATGGATACTGGCAAGGGAATATCTCAAGAGTTTCTCTCGTCGAAGCTTTTTGTACCATTTGCTCAAGAAAACTCACTGGCACCCGGTACCGGCTTGGGCATGAGTATCGTTAGAAGTATCGTTCTCATGCTTGGTGGTACGATCAACGTGAAGAGCAAAGTTGATCAAGGAACTACGGTCGAGGTGAGCCTGCCTATGAAGAGACCTCTACCAGGTCAAACCTCAACCCAGACAACGCCCTGGTCTGGTGGGACAGTGTCTTCTACTGCCTCGGGTGGAGATGACAGTATCACCTTTCTCCACGCCAATTCAGCAAACGTTACAATGACCTTCTACCAGCCCGTGCCCAATGTGGACGTTGAGTTGAGTCAAGTGATCAAGTCATACGTCCAGGAATGGTACAATCTCGACTTTGTCGATTCCGTGCTCTACAAGACATGCACTGTTGTTCTTGTGAGAGAGGAACATTTGGAGAAGCTGATCGAGGATACTATGGGAACGCCGGGAAACCGCCCTGCTCTCATAGTGATGTGCTCTGTCTCGAGTAAACACAGCGCCGCGTTGCTACATTCTCTCGAACAACGGATAGCGAGCGTGGTGGAGTTTGTTTCGACGCCGTGCGGGCCCCATAAGCTTGCCCGTAGTATACGCATAGCTTTGGATAAGAAGCAAGCTCAGAATCCTCAGTTCGCCGCGCCTTCTCAGTCCGCACCTCCTCCTGCCAGCCCAGCAACCACCCGAACAGCACTCGAGTCAGTCACGGAGGAGTTGCGTGACATGGACTTGAACCCTCCTGGCCAAAACGACAAGGCGAAAGTGGTGCAAGCGACCGAGACTTTTGCAGCGTCACAGGCCAGTCAAAACGCACAGATGGCGCTTCACGAGCCCATCACAGCTCTGCGCACGCCCCGGACTCATGTTAGCGAAGGAGATTCATTTCCATTTCCCATACAGACGCAGGATGCATCAAGGGTGCGTCGCGAGCGGAACAGGAGCATGTCCGGAAATGGGTTGTCTCAAAATACTCCCAGCAATGGAACCACGCCACTCGAAGCGCCTCGGCCTTCCCATCTCTTGACCGAGTTGAAACCTGAACGTATCGACCCTCACGTTCTCCTGGTAGATGACAACAAAATCAACCTCCGACTCCTGGAGACGTATCTGCGGACGAAGAGAAAATACACGCGCATCTGTCAGGCCGAAGATGGTGAGCAAGCGGTTGATGCCGTCAGGCAAGCGCAGGTACCGTTTGACGTCATCTTTATGGATATTTCGATGCCCGTGATGAACGGCTTCGACGCGACAAGGGCGATTCGCCAGTTCGAGGACAGCAGGAGTAATGGCGGCAGTTCCGACCCAGGCGCGATGATCATTGCGCTGACGGGGCTTGCAAGCGGCAAGGACCAGACCGAGGTGTTTGACTCTGGGTGTGATATTTACATGACGAAGCCGGTGAGTTTCAAGGAGGTCGGGAAGTTGTTGGATCATTGGGAAAAGCATCAGAGTCTGGCTGTTGATGTGGATGGGATTACGGGCGGACTGGGTCAATCTCACTAGTGTGACACTTGGTCGGCAACATTGAGATTCAAGCTGGCTTTGAAGAGTCAGTGAACGGGTGAACGATAGAGTCGGAAATGGTATTTTGTCGAATGGGCATGAATGGCACTGTCACGATTTCAACGACATGGGTTTACGAGAAATAGGAGTTTGGCGTAAGAATGGTGTTTTGATATGGTTGCATGGTCGTTGATGCGGTTTGACACATCAACAGTATGTGTACGAAGGTATATGCTTTGGGTGGCACGTTTTTTCCCTTTTCTGACAAGGGATTTTGCAGTTCCGACGATTCAGGCTTTGTTTTACTGATGACACGATATTGTTTGGCAAGGGAAACGAGAAGATATCTGGGTCGGAATGGAGCTGTCCTTTGCCGTACGAAGTATGATGGGTAGTATGAAGTATGGTCGGTCAGTCATGGAGGGGACCTTGATAGGCATGAATTGAGAGAAAGATGTTGCACATTCTGAATACTTATTTACCACATCGTCAGAGTGTAGCAGTCTTATACTACGTACTCGTTAGATTCCTGTGTTGGAGCCATCACTTCCCTCCTCGCTTCACAATCCTATGTCCGACTCTTAATGAATCCCTGGTCAACCCAACTTTGGTGCTTCTGCGAGTAATCTCGCGAGTCGTTCGTCGAGCCACTTGACATCTTCCATGTTCCCCGGCGGGCCTCCGGCCCAGTGTCCCCAGACCGAGGGGTAGACGTCGAGGGTGCCGACTCCGGGGGACATTGATGACACTTCGTATTCTGAATCTTCGGGTCTGGACACACAAAAGTTGGCGATAGATCAATCAAAGAGAAGGGACTGGGTAATGACAACTCACGGGAAATACAAATCCGTCTTACTGGGCAACACGAGAGTTTTGGCCTTGATGGCGGCCATTGCCTTTTCAAAGTCCCCGTCGTAGGGTCCCTGGAGGCTCACGTCGCCGTTTGTCCAGGTCCACAGCATGGTCAGGAGGTTTTCCGGGTCCTTGCTCAACGCCCACGGTTCCCAAAAGGTTTGCAAAAAGTCCTCGAGCGACTTGGCCCCGTATGCCGTTTCGTGGAGTCGTTGGCGGTAAAAGGTCTGGCTGAACCCCCAGCCGGCGTAGGCGCGACCGAAAGCCTTGAGGCCGACGGTGCGTTCGGTCTGGGTCCATTCGTCGCGAGGCCGAGCTGCCGCCCTATCCTCGACACGCTCGAGGGCCGGACCCGCCGAGGACTGACCCTTTGCGGCGAGCAGGGCGACCTTGACCCCCTCGAGCATGGTCTGGTTGTGGAAGCTGGTCCGGGCGGAGCCGCAAAAGGGGACCACGACGTCCATGAACGAAGGGTACTGAGTGGCCCACTGGAAAGACTGGGCGGCCCCCATGGACCACCCCGTCACGAGGCGGAGGTGGGTGACCTTGAGGTGCTCGGTGACCAAGACGTGCTGGGCCCTCACGTTGTCGAAAAAACTGACCTTGGGGAAGGGGGAGACGGACGAGTTGGACGGCGAGATGGACTGGCCATTGCCGAACAACGCCGGGATGATGATGAAATAGTGATTCGGGTCGAGGGCCTTGTCGGTCCCGACGAGCCATTCATTGTCACTGATCAACCCGCTGAACCACGTCGGGTAGAGGATCGCCGGGTTGGAGGGAGACCCAAACGTCCGGTACGCTATGAAAGCTCCGGGGATGGTTTCGCCGGATTGTAGGGCAAAGTCCCCCAGAGAGTAGGTTGAGATTTCCGACATTGTTGCCGATACGTACTGGGTACGGACTCCTCAATAGGAGAACCTGCCCAAGATACTAGGTAGTTGATCGTATGTCGATGACTAGTATGGTGCCTCAGTTGGATGCAGATGATGCTGGAGCTGGAAAGAGAATGTGTCCTTGAATGATGGAGTGAAGAAGTCGAATGACTAGAAAGTCGTTGATCTGGCCCCTCTTCCCTCGCATGGATCAATGGAACAGTAACGAATTCAATAGGTGAGACTCGTTACTCCGTACTCGTAATCGCAATTGTTGACTGATACCATCCCTGGCAGATACATCGACCCCGCAGTTTCGACACGGATAAGGACGGGCATCTCCTTTTTAGCGAAGACCCTTAAGGCTACGGATAAAGAGGGAGTTTTCAAAAGGCCGCACAAGGCTGTGTGGATTACACACGGTGCTTCCTACAGAAAAAAAAAATGATGACGTAAACTTGAAGAATATCTCACCAAATCTACATGACTAGAATCATCATAGTAAGGCTTTTGATGATATAATCTCCTGGCCGGCAGTAGTACTTATTAATACAGTTCTCGTGCCGTCTCTCTTGTCGTTTCAACTTGGACCTGCTCTCTCTCAGCCCTCTCAAGTCGAACACCGAGCTTATCCAAGCAGGACAATAACAAAATGTCTTCGACCGAATCCAAACCGCAAGAAGCTCAAGAGAAGCACGATGCCGAATCGACCATCAAACGAAACCCTCACGGTGACTTCACCAAGGTCCAAGCGTCGAGACCTGACTGGGACCAAGACCGTGAATGGCGTTTCACAAAGACGCAAGATCCGACGTGGACCTACGGTGGTGGCGCGTCTGACAAGTCGGGCCTGTCCCGGTCTCACGTCTCGATCGACCCTTACGCCGAGGGACGCTCGCCCGTGTCGAACTACAAACTTCTCATCTCGGGTATCATCCCTCGACCGATCGGGTTCCTCTCGACTCGGTCCAAGGACGGGGCGTCCACCAACCTGGCCCCCTTCAGCTACACCCAGGTCTTCAACCACGACCCTCCCATCTTCGGGGTAGGGTTCAGCGGGGGGTTCGACAACGCCAAGGACACTCTCCGGAACCTGATGGACACGGGCGAGTGCGTCATCAACATCATCAGCGAGGATTACGTCGAGGCGGCCAACTCTTGCGCCATCGACCTGCCCTACGGCGAGAGCGAGTGGTCGGTGTCGGGTCTGACTCCCGCCCAGAGTAAAACGGTAAGGGCGTCTAGGGTGAGAGAGGCCGTGTTTAGTGTGGAAGGTAAATTACTCAACACTCAAGAATTCGAGTCCAGGACGACCCCGGGGAAGAAGACGGGAGTCTTGGCCGTGATCGAGGGTGTGCACTTTTGGGTCCGAGAGGACGCCATCAACGAGGACAAGAGTATCATCGCGCCCGAAGTCTTGAGACCAATTGCGAGACTTGGTGGCATCACTTACGCCAGGGTCCTCGACGGGTTTGAGATTCCCAGACCCATCCTCAAAGACGAACAGGACCAGGGGAAGATTGTGGACGGTATGGTCAAACCAAAAGTAGATGGGCAGTAGCTGTGGGATGGAATTTCAGCATAGAACATAGAATATAGACCACAGACGTCGGATGTTGGGCCAAATTCAGGATATAGATTCAAAGCCTCAACATTCATGATTCGAATCTGACTGCCAGACAAGAATCCATCCGAGTAGAAAAATGACATCTTCCGTCACTCCATACTCTCCTCTCCCCAAGCTGCATCTGGTCTGAACACTTCACTGACTTGCACATATACGTTACTACCTTGGGCATGTATCTACTGTCACTACGGGATGTATTCACCTGAGTGATCCACCAACAATTCATACTTTATATGTTAAAAGAGTGAACTTGTCTTCAACAAAGAAATTCGCCTTGATGGCCCAACTAGCAAGACTCACCACGTCGAAATGTGACTTTGTTACACGCATGGTTTGGAGGTTGGGCTTATCCTTGGAAAGTCAGCCCGGTTGGGATTAAACTGGGAGTCGGCTGCTTTCCATGACTACTGTAGCAACCTCTACAAGTATTACGGGATGTAATACGTTCCTCAGGGAGTTGAGATTTGTGAATGGTCATAGTCGGGATAAGTATTTAGGAGCCTCGGCCGGTCGAAAGACTGGGGTCGGGGCTTCGAAAAGGACCTTTGAATTTTTGTTCCTTGCGATTTTTTTTCAAAAACTTTTTGGGTCTTGTTTTCTCTTTCTGAAAGGAGAGTGCCAGGCGAGGGCGGTGAATACAGTCCAAAGCAAGAGGCAGTGAGTGAGTGAACATGGTGAAGGTGATGGGTACGAGAACAGTGATATTCCACAACCCACAATATACTATACAATTATCAGACTAAGCACCCCTCTAGCACACTCGAATTACTCTATTTTTTCCTGAGATGCTCTCAATCAAACCTTGTTATGCCACGGCAAATGTACTTCTGGCTCTCAACTTGGCGCCGTAAAAGTACAAGGCAAACATGCCAACGACACCGACGACGGCCAAACCGGCGAGGAGACTGACGCCACCTCCGACGCCGAGGGTGAGAAACATTGGTCGAGAGAAGACGACGCAACCGGCGGCGAAGAGGGCGCGGAAAAGATCGTTGCCGGCGAACAACGACGCCGCGTACCGTGGGTAAGACAGTGGCAAGTACACAAAGATGCACTGGAAGATGAAAAAGTTGGCAGCCACGAGGATGACAACTCCAACCATGCTCACGATCCAATGTATCGAGGCACGTGCGGTCCAGCCTGGAGGGACAACAGATTCATCAGTCGACGCCTAAAAGGGCCGGGTAGAAGAGACGGAGGAAGAGGAAAAGGAGGAGTGGTAGGATGGTACAAGACTTACCAAACATAAAGTACCCCATCGGAAGGGCACAGACACCAAACAAGGCCGGAACCAAGCGATGCTCGGGGGGCCGGAAACCTCGGTTACGAATGTCCGGAACGAGATACAGGAGCAGGTAGGAAGTAAAGCCGGTGACACCGATGAGACAAGCGATGCCGATGGTTAGAAAAGTCAAGCCCAGCTCGCCGAGGTTGAAGCCGTAGATGTCGATGTATACGAGTGGAAACACCTCGAAAAACGAGTAGTATATCCCGTAAGTCAAAGCCGTCTGCAAATGAGAAGGTCATGTGTCAGTGGATTTTCCCTCCCTTCCAAGTCGGTTCGGATTTCAAGGTGTAGAGGTAGGTATGGAGAAAAACAACATACATAGACATTTGTAAACAGTACAGCTGGATCTTTGATCATAATTTCCACAGGTTTGATGACGGCGTCGACAAAGATCGATGACACACTCATGTCTGCTTGCTGGATCTCGCTTTGAGAACGAAGGTCGTTCCGTCCCATGGTTCTACGAAGGCGCCGTGCTCGACGACGGAGGATGGTCGATCCACGTGTCTCGGGGCAGGCGATGAGGTAGAGAACTAGGATGGGGGCTGACATCCACACGAGTTCCCAGAGTGACCAGCGCCATCTATATTCAGTCGTCAGTATCACACAACACCAAACATCTAATGGCATCACTCGAGAAGAAAACTCACCCCTTGGCAGAGACTGCGAATCCAGCAATGACGGGACCCAACGCTGGACCCCAAAAGCACGCGGCCGTCCACGCAGACAGGTAAAGCGGGAGAAGGAGTAAATTGTACTAAGAGAGCAATCAGTTGTTGTTGTTGTTGTCGTCGTCGTCGGCGTAGGATGTATTGGCATCGACAGCTTTCACATACCATGTCACCCACAGATGCACCTCCGTTCGCTAAGCACGGACTGCTCAGGAATCCTTGTAAGAATCGCAGGACGAGAAGACCGGCGTAGTTCTTGACCACCGCGGTGGGTACGGACAGGATGACGAAGAGGAAGAATGTCGGGGTATACACTCCGTTCCGACCGATGGCTGGGATTTCACTGAGGGGTGCAAAAAGGAGAGGACCGATACCATCTTGAACAAGGAACAGGTCAGCTTTTTGTCCCAGGTCTCGGTATCAGGGAAGAAGAGTGTAAATGCTCACATCCTATGACATAGATTGCCAGTCCCATGGCCGCTGCAGCCTGTGAAACCCCAAACTCTTCCATGACGCCCCTATAGGAGGGTTAGAAATGGATGGAAACATGTACCCTCTTCCTGTGGGAACTCACGCCTCACCAACCACGTAGATACTGGATCCAGCATACATTGCGAAACTGTAGAGACTGTAGATATGCATGTCAGTCTACACGTCGGTATCCGACTTCACATGGAGGATCATTACCATATCTGCAACAGGACAAAACTCTTCTTCCCCTTGGACCAATTTTGTGGGTTCTCCGGGTCATCGGTCGTGTACCAGTCGACGAGCACGGTTCCATCGGCGGACTTGTGAAGAGATATCGGGATGCTTCTTGTCTTTTCCAGTTCAAGCTGACGATCCAATTCCAGTCGTTCCTGGGTAAAGACTCGACTGATTTGTCGCTCAAGACTGAGTCTACCCGCAGCTTCTTCATCGGTGCTCGGTGTTCTCTCGTCCTCTGGGGATAGATCTCCTGGACTTTCGGGTGCCTATATACGAATGCCATTGAGCAAAAGGCGGCTCGAGATGAATGGGTAAAGATGACGAACCAGCTTCGGGAGCGCGAACCCGGGTCGCTCGTCAGGGTACAGAACGGTTCGATTGTTGGTGATGAACCGAATGAGCTGGCCGAGGGGCGCATCTCTTATCGTGTCCAGCATTTGGATGAGTTCGATGTTATCGTCAAGAATTGCGATAACCTTACAGAATGCATTCTGATCAAAGTTTTGCAAGTTGGACTTTTAAGGTAGTCCAGCACCCCAATCATTTTTCCTGACCATCGTTCAGGAGACCGCCGTCTCGGACGAACACAGCTTAGCAATACAGCACCAAATCTGTCTGGGAACGACATCGTGGAGGGCTCGGAGACATTCATGTGAGTGGTCAATTCGTCAGCAATGCCGTGCTGGTGGTGGTAGTGCATCTAAAATGGGCTGCCGTATTCGGACTGAAAAGCAAAGCCCGATCCATTTCGGTCCCATCACAGGTATTCTCGTCATTTCCATGCTCCACGGTCCGCAGAATGAATGTGGATGATGGTGCTTGACGAGTCGGCCAGATTATGAACAGGGCGTTACGGGTGTCTCGAGCAATTAGTAATTTGTTGGGGCCTGGACTTGTGCTGTTAGTTCTAGGAGAAGCGAAAAAAGAATCTCTACTGGCCCACCGTGCAATGATTGACCGGGAACGAATAGTAATCACCACAAGAGTCATAACATGGTCTCAATGATTGGTATCTAGACATCTTTCCGGGAAGAGTAAATTGTCCAGAGATCGCATCCGCTCATTGATCCATAGTGAGCAAGTCGATTTGGATAGTAATTTAATGATTGGATTCAACCAATACAGGATCAGCTTAAACCGAATGTACCGAGTAGACCCTTGCAAGTACAAATATTTGATTGTCCAGAAACTGCAACTGCATTATCCTACAGTCCATTAAGGAGCGTGTATATGAGCCAGAAGGTAACAGTATCAACTGCCATGGTATCATCTTCATCCACCTCGTCGTTGTGGTCTCAATGTCATTTAGTCTTCCCATTGTTTACAAGCCTCAAGACCACCCAAAAGCATCTTAGAAAAGTTGTGTTCCTCACACAACTTGGTGTATTCTTCCTTGCCCGTACCTTTTCCGTCGAGACCAAACGACTTACCAAAGTCAGATACGAAGTTGTCAAAAGTCGTCTCACTCTTGTCACGGCAAAGGCCGCACATGATCTCCACGACTTGATCGCCGAAGCCAAGGCGAGGGAAGGCAGTGACGACCTCCTTGTACTCGGCGACCGAGATTGGGTTTCCTGGAATTGGTATATTTGGCCCAGCAAAATCAGCAAAGATACCCAGCTGTGCAGCAAACACTTCTGGCTCCTTGTTGTGAGCAATAGAAGGCGTTGTGTGCAGTGCGATCGCGTCCCATATCAATTGAAGGCGATGTTTGCCCCATTCTTCATCGTTGTTGCGGATTGATGACTTGAGAAATTCCCGCGCAATGTTGGCCCCGTCGACCTCGAAGCGCTTATCGGTAGACAACAATGATTTCGTTGTTGCCCAACCCATGTCGTGAAGAATGCTCGACAGCACGACAGCCTCGACGTCGACGTCGCCGGCCGCGAACGGTGGCAGCTTGCGCATAAGAAGCAATGAGAAGGCCGCCGAGCGCAGACAGTGGTTGACGGTGGATTGGTTGGTGTGCGCCTTGGAATATGCCAATGCCGCATTGACGATTGGGCTGGAAGGGAATGTGACCTGACATATTGGAAGAGCTGGGAAAGGTGAAGACATGATGGGATATTGTCAGAGATCTCTCGACCAAGGTAATGTTCTATGTTTGGATTCTGCTTCTTTGTCGATGGAGCTGGACCAGATAGAAGATATGATTCCTGGCGCCCACACCTACCTTTATATACACAATTTCATCACCCATCATGCACGGTTGCATGGTTGCAATTCCGCTGTTGGTCCGGTCTGACCTTAAAAAGGCATTCTGAAGCATTTGAACAACGCGCAAAGCCGATTGCTGGACACAAAGCCACCCATTTCACAGCGCTGTATGGAATTCCCTGCGGTCTTTAGCAGATTTCCGGGTTGACATGCATACCGTGCTGACAGCCTTGTTGCGGCAGTCCGGACAAGCTGGAACATGACTGGTGGACGTCGAGTGGGACATCCTCACTTGGCGGAGTGTTTTCGACTAGACCTTCTTCTCTAGGAAGGGGACTACCTTTTTGGGATGTTGTACCCTGGTACAGCGTGTTGCAGATCGTTGTAATGTTAATTCAAAGACACGCGGGTGCAATTCCGTTGATAAAGCTGAGTCAAAAGGATTCTCTGACTATTGACAATTGCGCTGACTGAGAACCCTGTTGGATATGTATGAATACTAGGTAAGAAGTTGGCATCCTCTCTGATGGTTTTCTCTCGAACTGTTTCCCGCGACAGGGATGTAGAGACGGGGAAGGCGGAGAAGGAGTTTCTTAGCCAGTTTTTCCACGCCGAAAATAACAGAGCGTGATTGGCGGATACTTGGTCCCGGGCAAGAGAATCCGCCCAGGCAACACGATGACAAGTCTGAGACCCTCTTCCTCCTCCTCCTCTTCCTCTCCTCCTCGCTTCGTTGTTGGTGACGACATTTCAACCAACCACCAGCATATGGTACAAGCACTTGTACTCGTACGCATACACCCCAAGTATTCAATCAATACTTGAGCACATCGATACGGACCCTCGAATCTCGAGTTCTGTTCTGAATTTTATCGATCGGAGACACGACTTGATCGTATACCACTGCTTCTTCACTAGATTGACTGAGCCCGCCTCGACAGGTACCACCACAGACTTTGTGTAGAGACGCAACAGAAATGTACCGCGACACGCTCGCAACCATTCCTCGCCTCGGCGTCGTGGTTCTCCTCCTCTCCTTCCTCCCAATCCCCATACCCGTTCTCGCAGACCAAACGCTCCTCCGACCGTCTCCTGAATCGAAACACCACCACCTGTCAATCCCCTCCATCGGCCTCGGCCTCTGGAACTCCAAGGACGACAATGCGACCGAGGCCGTGACCTACGCCTTTGACGCCGGCTACAGGCACTTGGACTCGGCCGCGGCGTACGGCAACGAAGCATTCGTCGGTCGCACCCTGTCGTCCAAAAAACACTCCCCGCCCCGCCACAAGTACTGGGTGACGAGCAAACTGTGGAACGACGCGCACAAGCCCAAGCTCGTCGCCGGCGCCCTCAACAAGACCCTCTCCGACCTCGGCATCCCCTACCTCGACCTGTACCTGATGCACTGGCCCGTCGCGTTCCTCCCGAACCAGTCGCCCGGCCGGACCGTCATCGACCAGGACACGTCCATCCTCGACACCTGGCGGGCCATGGAGGATCTCGTCCGGTCAAACGGGACCCGCCACATCGGCGTGAGCAACTTCTCCCCTCGCCAGCTCGACCAGATCCTGAAAAACTGCGACATCTGCCCGTACGCGCACGAGTTCGAGACCCACCCTTACCTCCAGCAGCAGGACTTTGTCGACTGGCACGCCGACAACAACATCACCGTCATCGCCTACAGCCCGCTGGCCAACATGAACCCGACCTACGAGGGCAAGTACCCAAAGCTCGGCCCCATCCTGGAAGATGGCTTCTGGGAGGACCTGGCGGGCAAGAAAAACTGCACCGTCGCACAGGCTGTCCTCGCCTGGGGCATCCAGAGAGGCACCGTCGTGATCCCAAAGTCCGTGCACGAGGAGAGGATCATCGAGAACCTGGCAAGTTTGAACGTCACCTTCTCAAAGGAGGAGATGAGGGATATACAAATGCAAGATAAGAGGTCGAGGTTCAACAACCCGTCAAAGAGCTGGGGGGTTGAACTATTTGAAGGGCTAGACGATGGCTCCAATAGGTTTTTGGCGACCAAAAGTGATTTACGATGAAAGCTTGCCATTTCGGCACCAACTATACCGGGACGCAGGACGTGAACGGTTAGGATATGGACTAGGGTAATAGGAATAGGATGTTCTGGGTGCATCCCTTCTAGGTGGTTTATACAATGCTCAATGTGACATGACTGCAACGCTCAATACTTGCACTCCCCTCCTACCAATGCTCTTGACGCCAAGTAATGTTCACTTCACCGCCAGCCCCCAAAGATGGACCCCGTTCAACCAACGCCAGGACTCTTATTCAATCTAGGGACCAAACAATATGAGGGTCATGCCCATCCCATCTTCTCAAGTGCAGAATTGTTTAATCATCGATATCCTGATGACGGGCCAAGACCTTTCGCTGATACTCCTCAGGGTCTTTCTGGTGAAGTTGGGCAGCTTCGTTGTTCAAAGGGCTCGCGCTAACTCAATGTCAGTTATTTTGTCGTCACACTTATCCAAAAGTTTCATACTTATTGGGCTCCCCGAGCAAACTCTGCAAACTCAAAAGTACCGTTTGCACATTGTAGACTGCACTCCACTTGTCCTTGAGAATGTCGAGGCATATCCTCCCGCTGAAATCAATGTTTGGATGGTAGATCGGCGTCTTGAAGAGTACGGTAGGAGCAACATAAGGATAGTTTCCCGGGAATTCAAAGCTAAGCTTGAGATTGAGGTCTGCGTATGGGGTGTCTTTGGGTCCGATGATGGTGGCGGTCCAGTGTAGCAAGTTGCCATCTGCATCTGGAAAGGCCGAGATTCCCGGAGTGGGAGACATCATCAGCGTCATCAGTTCAGACTGAAGTCTATGCCATCGTTAATGACCAGAGCAAGAGACAGAGTTGACCTGAACGAACGTACCTTTTCGTGACGCTCTGAGTATCTGCCTTTCTCGGTACAGCCGAGAATTTCTGTTGTTCCGCCATTGTGGACAAGCCAGGAGCTGCGTTCTGAGTATATTCAAGAGCAAAGTCCATAACAGTGGTGACAGGTTATAAAGATTCGACGGACGGTGGAGACAAAAGTCTGCTTTCGAAGATGGTGAGAATGTATGAGCTTGGAATGCTGCAAACGGAACAATGTTCTAGACAACAAAAAGCAAGGTCCGCTGTGCCGGCGCCAGAAAAGACTCGACTGTACAACGCAAGAAGACAAGAAAAGGTACAAGAAGGATTGAGGAGTTCTTTTCACAATGGAATAATCATCGAGGTTGGACAAGAGATATGAAGCAAGAACGACGAAGGTTAGTGGTGCGTGGGAGGATCGATTGAAGTTTCGGGCCTTGTTGACTGTGGGAGTGTCACTGGAGTAACAAGTCGCGCACAAGACACGCCTTTGCGGTGGTAACAAGTGACGTCGGGGCGCAGGCACCACTGCTTAAAAGTGCCTAGACAGATATTCACTAGTGAGCCTAGGCGGCTATTGTATAAGCTAGTGGACCCTCGTATTTAGGCGCGCCCTGGATGTTTCTTCACGCCTGGAGCCCTGCACGCGGTCTGCTCCACCTGAAAACACGCCCGCGTTGCCCATACAATCGACGGCCTCACCACATATGCGAGACAATATTCTCAGACAACGACAGCGTCAAAGGATGACGAGACGACGTTGACGTTCAGCAAGACCCTTCTTCCTCTACCGTCTCGTCATGAACGGCATTCCACATTCCCAATTGGCACCTCTGCCATCTCAGCTGCCGTTTCGAATCGTCTCACCTACAATAGGATCTGGAGCATATGCATGGTAACGACTTCTTGTTTTTTTTTGCAGATGGCTGGTCATCGAGATTGAACGCTCACTGACGCGCTTAGTATCAAGAAAGCCGCTCCTCTCAAGGAAGAAGTCCCTGTCTTTGCCATCAAATTCATCAACAAACTCTTCGCCCAGAAATATGGCCGCATCAAACAGAAACAACTCGAGATGGAGATCTCCCTACACAAACATCTCGGTCTACATAAAAACATAGTCGAGTTCTTCGACCATGGTGCGGATCCTGACTGGGTGTGGATAGCCATGGAGCTGGCAGAAGGAGGAGATCTCTTTGACAAGATCGAGGCAGATGCTGGTGTTTCCGAGGACATTGCCCACGTCTACTTTACGCAGATGATCAGTGCCATTGGTTACATGCATGCAAAAGGGGTGGCTCATCGAGATATCAAACCTGAGAACGTGCTGCTGTCTGCGGAGGGAGACCTCAAGATCGCTGATTTCGGCATGGCCACATTATTCGAATACGGAGGCCGGAGAAAACTTGCAACAACTCTCTGTGGGAGCCCACCATATGTTGCTCCCGAAGTGTTGTCGTGTAGCTCGCAACCAGGCACGAAAGTCGCCGGCTATGCAGCCGATATGGCGGATATATGGTCCTGCGGTGTCGTCCTTTTTGTTTTGCTCGCGGGAAATACGCCGTGGAGTCGTCCGGTAGAAGGACGAGACGAATATGGCAGACCGAACGAGTACAGCGAGTACATTTCCAGCAACGGACGACCCGATGACGAGCTATGGGAGGCGCTTCCTTCCGAAGTATTGTCGCTTCTTCGAGGAATGATGCGAGTTGATGTCAAGTCGAGATTCTCCCTTGAAGATGTTCGGCGGCATCCGTGGTTCACGAGACCCAATAGATTTCTGGACCAGAAGGGCAGACTCAATGATCCTATCACTCTGGCCACAGACATGTTTGAAGCACTACATGTCAGCTTTGATTCAGATCCTTTGGCTGGTACGCAGCGACAAAAGTCTGTCGACGAAATGGACATTGATGGACCTGCGGCCAAACTATCGTCAACGCAACCTGAAATCCCGACCGAAGACATGCTGTTTGATTGGAGACGGCCAACAGATCTCACATCCTTCAACACGCAGGCGGCGCACGGTTTGAGCGCAGGCGGATTTGCTACACAATCCATGTCAACCACCAACTTCCTCCTCGATGAACCGGCGACCCAGCAATTCTCACAGCGTCCTATGGTGCCGTTGACCAGAACGCAAATGGCTCGTAAATTCGGTGACATTCTACCTTCTCACGGAATGACCAAGTTCTATTCTGTTTGGGCATTACATTTGCTATTCCCATATATCCTGGAAGCTTTGAGCCGGCTGGGAGTACCGACTCCGAACACACCTCGACCTACAGCCAGGGATGTGGAATGTCGAATCAAGGTCAAGGCACAAGATAGTCGAGGATGTTCTCTACGAGGTGAGATTGCACTTGAGCTCGTCGATACTGGACTTGTAGAGGTCAATTTCGTCAAGGCATCTGGAGATCCCCTGGAATGGCGAAGATTCTTTAAGAGAATGGCTGTACTTAGTCAAGATGCTGTTTACAAGCCAGAAGAATAGAAAATATCAAAAGTTGTCCTCGGATGAGTGTTGGTACATATGACAACATATGACAATGATATGTAACGGTACCAAGTTGCTCCAGTATTTGTCTGCCATTTGGTACCGAGATGTACATAGTCCCGGGCGATCGTTGTGGGGAGAGAGAGTAGAAGGAGCTAGGGCCCTGGATCCCATGTGTTTTGTTGTAATATTGTGTGTATACACATGCTGAGCCTCGGCGAGAGACTTTTCACATGCACAATTACTGTGTATACAGTGACGTATTTCAGTGTTGACCAATTTGCCTAGGCATTTCGAGTTACGGAGTGTATCCTTGTCATCTTTCTTTTTGAAAAGCCCTCGTGATCGATCTCTCATGTTTCCTTTCTCTATTACCTTACTTTACCTAGATTTTAAGTAAACTGATTATAATCACTTGAGGATCCGACATCTGGGCCAACCCTACCTGAATTCTCCCCGTCTCCTACTGCAAACCATCTCACCCTTTCCACCAGAGCCCGAGTTTTGAGTCTTACACCAGAAACAACAATGTCTCTCAAAAGCGGTATGTATGCGCAGAATGGTCTTCTTTCGCGCGTGTGAGAGTTGGTTTTAATTTTATCAAAACACAACATGATGTGCTAACGTTGTTGCGCTGCTTCTTCTTCTCCACAGACGCTTTCCCTTCCTCTGAAGCCTTTGACGCCATCAGCGACGCCTTGTCCAACGACGCCGAAAGAAAAGCCGCCATCAAGAATGGTGGTGCGGTCTTCGCCTTTGAATTGACAAACGACAAGAATGAAAAGGAGTCTTGGTACCTGGACCTGAAAGAGAGTGGAAAGGTCGGCAAAGGACAACCTCCCAAGAAAGCAGATGGTGTGTGAGATCCTTTCGAACCTCTCTACCTGACAGAACATGGGCCTCGAAGAAGCATACTCTAATACAAACTCCGCAAAAATATAGTCACATTGATTCTGACGGATGAAAACTTTGGCAAATTGGTCGCCGGCAAGTCCAAGGCTCAGACACTCTTCATGGGTGGGAAATTGAAGGTCAAGGGCAACGTCATGAAGGGTGAGTTTAGTTTTTACTGTTTTTTCTTTGACTCTGGACGACTTGTCGACGTTGCAAACATTGTCAGAAACACCCAAAAAAGGACGATCAAATGGGCCGCTGGCTGACATACATTTTTCTAGCAACGAAACTTGAACCAATTCTCGGAAAGGCCAAGTCTCAATCCAAGCTATAAGTGTGTCGTGTCGGTATATATAGTATACACTGTGTGTGTGTATGTGTCGGGCGACGGTGACTGCGACGCCCTTCTTCTAGACAGACAATTGGTCTCGGGGACGTCGTCAAACAGGTCCAAACCCCCTGTACAACAAGATACCTCCTACCTAGGTAGGGACATGTGTACCTCTGAAAGTCTCACTCAAAGATATACATTGTCCTCCTTATGGACACACACGTATTTTGTCGAACTGATTCTCAAGCACGATCTTCGAGGTCGTCCGTCCTTCCTTGCCTTGCCTTGTTCTCTCGTCCACGTCTCTTTGTTTTGGCTTTGAGCAGTTCCTAACACTTACTTGACTTTTCCCCAGCCCAAACCCCAGGATCGCCTTCCAATGAACCATTTGTCTCCTCAACTGATGGGATTTGAACTCGATACGGTTTGCTCGCCTAGCGATCACCCGCCAACCGCAGGAGCAAGGGGTAAATTGACGAGAGATGGAGTTGCCTCTATAAAACGAACCTCTAGATGGAACAGACCGGTTTCTTCAATTCAAAGCTCAGTTGTAGTTTTATCGTAAACACCGTACTACGCGGCTCCAGAAAGGACCACCTCACTACTACGCTTGGACCCTTGAAGGACGGTCGAAATTTAAGTTACAAGATCCAATTTTTAAAAAAGGGAGGCATGATGAGTATACACATAAGAAGGTCGCCTCAGCACTCTACTAGTGTGTATTGCCGTTGTTTCGTCTGGCCGTCTATATCAATCACGTGTGGCGGTACAATAATCCGCCTGTATAGAAAGTCTTCGGCCTACCACCTACGTGTGAATGGCGTACAGTCACGCTCCCGGCTCTCCCTGGGAAAAGCCAACGACCAAGTCAGTACGCGACCGGGTCAATGTAGCTGGTTTCGCCCACTGCCCTCTTCACGACAAGCACAAGTTCATCCATGCTCCCGAGGAATTGCGTGAAGGCAGAGAGGGCCGAAAGATACCTGCGAGTCTCCCTCTTCTCGAGCACGCTGTGGTCCATCTTGCCGAGATTCGTGCCCATTTCCCTCAGCCTGTTCTCCATCCTCGCGAGTGCCTTTTCCATCAGCGGTACGGGCAGAACCGTGGGAAGTGGTTTCCCGTTCTTCAACCCGTGTTGCGCGATGGTCAGCACGGCCATGACGTTGGCCACATTCTGCTCTTCTGCCGCCCCAGTGTCACCGAAGAAGCGTTCTTTGGCGTCGGCGGGGAGCGAGTTGACGTACATGATCAGCTGGGTGATGTACTGGTTTAGATTCATGCAAAGGTGGCACACCAGCCCGAGGGTGTTTGAATCGATCGTGGACGTGGAGAACTCGAGTCTGGTCAATTTGACGCCCGATTCGGCCGGGACCAAGATCTCGCCCAGGCCGACTGCCATCTTTTCGGCGATCTCTTTGATGGTGGACGGGGAATGGACCGAGGCTTTGCAGCCGACGAAGAGCGCGTACTGGTCCTTGACGGTACCCAGGGCGTTCAGGAGCAGTTCGCGGTAGTGGCGGTTCGCGGACGGGGGCCGGGGGAGCAGAGTCACCAACGTGGCGGCTGTGAAACCGATAATCACGAGGAGCATCCGCCGCCAGAACACCTCGTATCCCACCCCGGGGTTGCCAAATCTCGGCATGTGCGTGTCCACCCAACTGTACGCGACGACCAGGTAGACCGTCGCGGTGGTGATCATGATGGCCTGTAGAAACACCGGTTTGGTGAATAGTCTCAGCCACATGGCGACGACAATGGCCGGGGCCAGGATCGCAGCCATGCCGTAAGGATTGCCTGGGCCATCTCCGGCACCGATGTACCAGGCAGCCAACCCGATGATGGCTCCCAGGACTGTGCCACAAAGCCGAAGGATGAGACCGAACAAGAAATCTGCCGTGTACGGGGCGAGAGCGAACTGTCCCATGATCAGACCCCATATCCCCTTTTCACGGTAAAAGAAGCCCGCGGTGTGTTTATTGGCGGCGATGGCCCCGAGGGCCATTGTAAGGATCAGCATCCTCAGGGCGTATACTCCTTCGGTACTGCTCAACCAGCCTACCACGGCTATCGTCAGCCTGGCGACCCCACTTCGTCGTCGTCCTCCTCGTGGCTTGACGACGTTCGAACTTGTCAGCTCCACGCTCAACGCAGGCGGTTCGTTGTCGATAGGACTCTGTTTCGTGGTGGATCCTTCTCCTCGTTCGGTCACAGTCTGGATGCGGTTGAGTTGAGGGTCCAGTTCGTCACTTCCCGCGTCGGTGGCAAGCACCCAGGGTATCACGTCCTTCAGACTGCCTGGCATCCAAAGCTTGGTCTTGATCCTTTCATGTTCTAGTGTTCTGACGCGACCAAGCAGCGACTGTACCGAATCCGCGAAGTGGATCAATCTTTCTTCCAATACAAGGACGCGCACAAGACCGGCCAAGGAATGAGTCGATTTCGAGGAAAGTCCTGCATTTGGGCCGGTCGATTGTGAATGTTGAGCGTACCTTGACCAGAGACTCGAGGCCACTTCGGCGACAAACTTATCCTTGTGAAGTTGCAGCTCTCTCAGCACCCCGTCATAAGTATGACGTCTCTTTTCGCAATCAGCCTGGGCCAATTTCATGGACCACCTTTTTCGGTTGCACTCTCTGATACCCTCTCCGACACATTCAAGTGCCTGCTGAGCGGTCTGCAGCAAGTTTCTGGACGAAACCGCGAAATCCTTCAATGAATCTTCTATAATCGATTTGTCTCTTTCATCACGGAAGTTTCTCCGCAGATCCAAAGTTCTCATAAGCTGATATTCTCCCGAGACTTCATGCTTTTCAAGAGCTCCGTGTATCTGTTCTGCAAGTTGGAGTAGTTCATCGTCTTTTAATCTGAATTCTTGGACCCCGATTTGAATATGCAGAAGAGAAAGAAAAGATAGTAGTAATTGCCGAACGGGGTCACGGAGCGATTTGATGTCACCGGCGCTCCACCTGCAGAAGGATACGTCCAAGGCCAAAAATTTGAGCTTCAGATCCAACCCACCGTACGTCTGAACGAGGTTCGCCTTGGTTTGCTTCAGTCGGGCTAAATCCATGGTCATGCTGGGCGTTGCGAAGTGTATGGAGCACGCCTCGATGAATTTGTGCATGGGGGGCAGCATTTTCTCCATATCATCCAGCACCAGATGTGACGTGGATTTGGGAAACAGCAGAACATTGCAGATCAGGCTGAGCGCCACGCCTATGGAGGCAGGGATGACAAGTGTTCGAGCCAAGGTTCCGTTGAATGTCGGCAGCAATGGACCAACTGTGAGGAAAGTGTCGCTGATGATGATCCCAAAAAGTGACACCAAGGTCAGTTTAGGTGCGGCCACACGCAATCGGGCGATCAGATAGACGAACAGGCCGATCATGCAGAAATAGGTGATGGTCACTCTTGTGTCGAGCATGTATCCTTCGAAAATGGCAACTTGCAGGAAAGTGCTGGGCGAATTTGGTGGGATGGATTCCTGTAGCGTTTGGTACTGGCGCTGTAGATCTGCCGCCGGTCGTGTTGAAAGAGCGGCCTTCATAGAGATGACTCCCCAAGCCCAGGCTAGACACATGCCGACCAGGACCGTAAGACCGGCCGCCAGTCCCATGAACACAACACCCGATGGCGGCGCAATAATGATGACGACGACACCGAAAAATGTCGCCTGTCCGATTACCCTCAGGGCCGGATTGATGAGGATCAAGAGAGTCATGACCCATGCCGCAACGCAGCATTTGAACAGGGTTTTCAGGTCTGCTTGGTTGAAGTGATCCAACCACTCCGGCAGCCTGTTTCTCCTCTTCCCAGGCGGTGTGAAGAAATCGTTCACCTCGCTCATCTCGTCCATCGTCGCGGACCGGGCTGCGTCGCTGAAAACGGGTCCCACAGCGTGCTTGAAGGAGTATGCAGACTAGATTAGTACCAATGGAGACATTCTCGTCTTAAGAGCCACGGCACGCTATCAAGTACTCCGTACTGTGGTAGTAACTGACAGAAAAATTACAAACACATCTTCTGTAATCTCAAGAGGAGCTCGCACTCGGAGGGCTGAGTGGACAGTCCGCGGACCGGTGAGTGCATTGCCCATCCGTCCTCCGTACGGGATCTTGTTTTGGGTCCATGCGCAGAACGACTCCGAGTCGACAATCACCACAAGCCGAGCCATGATTTGTCAATAAATTGAATTTTGGGTTTGAATTTGAACGTCGGCGCAGAAACTGACCATAGCACCAAACACGGCGCTCGACTCAGAGCACCTCGTTATCATTGGCAGCGGTAATATCAGAGAACTATGCAAGGCTGCCACGTGACCGAACACTGGAGTGGACAGCCAGCCCCAGAGGCCATGTGTGCATGTTTATGCATTGGCATAAGTTTCATAGATCTCGGGTTGTGCACATCAGAAGTAAGTACGGAGTATGAGTACCTGCAAGCACGAGATGCCGGTCTCTTCTCTTGAAAGGAAGAATCGAAGCTACTCCTCGATGCTCTTTCCCTCCTGCGCCTCCTTTCATGCTACATATGGAGTCAATGACCTCTTCCAAGTGTTTTCGCTACTTCTATTAGCGACTCCGGCTCGTCAAAGCTCGTCTTCGCTATGGCAGACCCCTTAGCCAACAATGAAAAAAATACCCGAGATTCGTCTCGTTCCGATCCGAGCATTGACGCAGAAAAGGGCTCCGAAAAGCCAGGCAGGTCCGATTCGTCGAATGAAAGCCGCCGCAGCGATCCTGCCATTCAGCCTCTGCAGTTCGACGCAAACCGTGACTATGAGACGCACGAGCTCCGAGAAGAGATTCCAGTATTGGAGAGAATCTACAGCACACGCAGCGAAGTCAGCAGGATCCAGAATCAACCACCAGAATTACCACTGACAGATCTCGATCATGGTATTGTTGGGTGGGAAGGGCCAGACGACCCCGAGAATCCGCTGAATTTCGCATGGCGGCGAAAAATGTTGCTGCTGCTCTTGACGTCCGCAATGTCTTTTGTTTCTCCCTTGGCGTCAAGCATGTTCGCTCCCGCAGCCGGATTTATGGCGAGAGAGTTTGATGTAAAACAGCAGACCCTCCTTGCATTCAGCGTGAGTGTTTATGTTCTTGGATACGCGGTAAGTTCACCATCTTGGGAGTCTGGCAGATCAATGGGAAACCCAGTGTGTGCACCACACTCTTACGGACGGTCTTTGCTGACCTGAACCCTAGTTCGGCCCCTTGGTGCTCGCACCCATGAGTGAGATATGCGGGCGACGGATCGTGCTAACCTGCACGAATATCTTCTTCGTCGCCTGGCAGATCGGTTGCGCTCGTGCCCCCAACATCGGTCTCCTGGTCTTCTCTCGGTTCATGGCCGGCATTGGCGGATCGGGGTGCCTGACTGTGGGCGCAGGTCTTATCGCTGATATGTTTCCGGTCGCCCAACGCGGTATGGCAACGTCCATTTGGAGCGCCGGTCCGCTCTTTGGTCCAGTGGTAGGGCCGATCTGTGGCGGCTTCATCGCCCAACAAGCCGGGTGGCGATGGGTCTTCTGGGTTTTGTTAATCGCCGGTGGCGTGGCCACGGTCGGCATCGAGCTACTCAACAAAGAGACATATGCCCGAGTCTTGATCCGCTGGAAGACACAGCGACTAGCCAAAGAGCTCGGCCGTAACGACCTGATCAGCTGGTATGACCGAGAGACCGGTCCCGTCAGCCCTCAGCATGCTCTCCGCATAGGGATGCTCCGGCCCTTGCAAATGCTCGTCAAGTCTCCGATCGTCTTCGTCTTGTCTCTGTACATGTCGATTGCCTACGGTCTGATGTATCTGCTCTTCACCACGATCACAGAGGTCTTCGAAGGCCAGTATAAGTGGTCTCCTCAAATGACCGGTCTGGCTTACCTCGGACTCGGCATCGGTTTCTTCATTGGGGCGGCTATAGTCGCTTTAAGCTCAGATCGCATGGTCGTGAGGTTGATGGAACGCAATGGGGGCGAATTCCAGCCGGAAATGCGAATGCCGCTGATGATCTTCTTCGCCTGTTTTATTCCAATCAGCTTCTTCTGGTACGGCTGGGCGGCGGACAAGAAGGTACAATGGATCGTGCCCATCATCGGACTGGCCCCTTTCGGCTTCGGAATGATTGGTATCTTTTTACCCATTCAAACTTATCTGATCGACTGTTACCCCACATACGCTGCATCCGCTGTAGCGACCCTTACCGCTACTCGATCACTTGTGGGCGCCGTCCTCCCTCTCGCTGGGTCTCCGATGTACAAATCCCTGACTTTGGGCTGGGGCAACTCACTCTTGGGCTTTATTGCCCTGGCCTGCATCCCGATCCCGTTGGTCTTGGAAAGGTTTGGAAAGCGAATCCGAGAGAAATCAACGTTGAAGCTAGGCTGAGCTGAAGCCTGCGATTCACGGAGACGTCGTCTGGGAAAGGGCATACCTCAATCTCTTAATTTTAGACTCTCTGGACGGATTAGTCGGGAACGTTGCCCCTCTGTTCATATGTTTCTGAGTGAATAAGCCCCTCGCAGACTAAACTCCAATGAATCTCGACGATGAAGACATAAGGAAGGAGCCTCTGAAAGTATCGCTGGTGTAGTATAGTTAGTGGATAAATTCAGACTTATCGCTCGTCTATAGTGGCGTTTCAGAAATCGTCGCGCGTCAGAGCATTGTCCTGCTGCAGAGGATCGTCGTGGAGCCGAGCAAGCAGATCGAGCATGCGCGAGGGTGAGTCTAGAAACAGAATGGCCGCAGGAGGTGTGGACTGATGAGAAGATAATGACAGTTCCCAATGAGAGTATGCAATTATGTAGCGGAGAGGAAAAAAGGACCGACTTGAGAGAACGATCGACGAAAGACGTGAGCGCACCATCGACACGTGATAAGTCACGTGAGTCATCCTTGAGGTAGAGTAGAAGGTGGACCACTGCACGTGTCAATAGGAAGGGAGCCAGTCGGTCCTCGTCCTCGTACTCGTAGTGCACGACGATGCGAATAGTGCCCCATGTTTCATAATGTCATGATATGTTTGGATGCCACTGACGCCGAGAACCACTGTGGCGGTGCCAGCTCTACTCGTGGTGCATGTACAATGATATCATTCTGTATCAATCTGAAGTTTGTGCCATGTGAAATGCGGCAAGAAGTTGGCAGCATCGGGGAGGACACTTCGTCCATCTGCAGAAGACATGTGTATATATGTATGTACGCAGGTCGCCCACGGTGTCACAACTGGACACAGCAAAGACTACTCGTAGACTTGTTATTTCCTCTGTCTAGTCATTTTTCTCGCATAGAGTATCCTTTTTGGTTTAGATTCCCTTCTTTTTGGTCCAGGGCCACTCCTGTCCTCTGGAGCCTGCGAGATTTCATACTGCCAACATATACACCGGTTTTACGAGGTATCAGGCTGCAGCCGGTGTTACGCAACTCCAACGATGGCCAAAACCCCAGAGAACTACTGCTTGCTGCAAGGTTTCGAGTGGAACGTGCCGGCAGACCAAAAACACTGGATCCGACTACGAACCGCACTGCAGAGCCTCAAGGACATCGGCATCGACAACGTCTGGCTCCCGCCGGCCTGTAAAGGCCAAGGCGGGTCGCAGGCCAACGGCTACGACATCTACGATCTCTACGACGTGGGCGAATTCGACCAAAAGGGAGGCAAGCCGACGAAATGGGGCCCGCGCTCCGACCTCGACGCGTTGGTGGCGCACGCCCAGGACGTCGGTGTCGGCCTGTACTTTGACGCGGTGCTGAACCACAAGGCCGGGGCGGACCGGCAGGAGAAGTGCCGCGTGATCGAAGTCGACCAGGGCGACCGGACCCAGGAGGTCGGCGAGCCGTTTGAGATTTCGGCGTGGTTGGGCTTCGACTTCCCCGGCCGAGGGGACACGTACTCGTCCCAAAAGTACCACTGGGAGCACTTCTCGGGGACCGACTACGACGCCGGGGCGGAGCGCACGGGCATCTTCCGCATCCTCGGCGACAACAAGCACTGGTCGCACTCGGTGGGCGACGAGGACGGCAACGCCGACTTCCTCATGTTCGCCGACGTCGACTACTCGCACCCCGAGGTCGAGCGGGACGTCACGCACTGGGGCGAGTGGGTGGTGCGCGAGTTCAAGCTCGCCGGCTTCCGCTTCGACGCGTGCCAGCACTTCAGCGAGCGCTTCACCAACGAGTTCGTCGCCAACCTGGAGCGCCGGTTCGGGAAGAACTCACTCTTCCTCGTCGGCGAGTTCTGGTCCGGCGACGTCGACGAGATGCTCAAGTACCTCGACGATATGGACCACAAGTTCTCCCTGTACGACTCGCCGCTGCTGAACACGTTTTCGCGCCTGTCCACGACCGAGTCGGCCGACCTGCGCGGGGTCTTTGACGGGAGCCTGGCCCAGGCCCGGCCCGAGAGCGCCGTCACCGTGGTCATGAACCACGACACCCAGCCCGGACAGACGGTCGCGACGCGCATCGAGGGCTTCTTCAAGCCCATTGCCTACGCGCTGATCCTGCTGCGGAACACGGGCTACCCGTGTGTGTTTTACGGGGATCTGTACGGGATGAAGGGCGACCACGAGGAGCCGCCGTCGTGCGGTGATAGACTGCCTCACCTGGTGCTGGCGAGGAAGCTGTTCGCGTACGGCGAGCAGGATGACTACTTTGACGACGCGAATTGTCTGGGCTTTGTGCGCCGGGGGACAGAGGACAGGCCGGCGGGGTTGGCGTGTGTCTTGTCCAATGCCGGCCCAGGCCAGAAGCGCATGTTCGTGGGCAAAGAGCACAAGGGAGAGGTGTGGACGGATGTGCTGGGCTGGCAGACTGACGAGGTCACGATTGACGACGAAGGACTCGGCGGCTTCATGTGTCCTGGAACCAGCGTGAGTGTGTGGGTGAATCGAGGCGCCGAGGGCAGGGACAAGATTGATCATCTAGAGTTTGATTCTGACATCTACAGCATCGCGTGAAAGGAGAAGACAAAGACCTGAATAGATTATTAGACAAAAGAGTGTGGGGTACGGATACACTTGATATACCGGCAAGACTCTGGTGGTGTAGAATACAAACGACGCACTAAGTAGTCTCTCGGACTACATCGTTATCTTGAGGGTAATGCAAAGAAATTTCGTCGTCTAGTCCGTCTCTTTCTTCGCCGCCATGACCGGTGAGGCGGCTCGCGCGAGCCGGGATTGTGAAAGAGCGGCATCACCCTGTTTCCCGATCCGGGGTGAGGCGCGAGCAGTTCGACCATACCTTTGGCGCCATGGGGGATAGATACCAGGTATACAAGACAAGAGTAAGCTTATGCGATGGTTGAAAAAGCCAAACACCAGTATCTCCAGTGGACCATCCTGCTTACCCCCCTGCACTTTTACGCAACCTGAAAAGCTGCCCACCTGAGCGAACATTTGCATACGAGGTCAGGTATGTATCTATCTGTACGTAGTCGCTACTCCAGTGGCTAGCGAGGGCGCCGGCGCTGTCGATGAATTGCCTGAAAAAAGACAGTGTCAAAAGCTACTTAGCTACCTAGGTTTACCTTCTTCAGATCGCGTTACGTATTGCACAATTCTAGGCGTTCAGGCATCCCACACTGGCGCAGGAAACTTTAGTATGCCAGAACGAATACGTTCCGTTGTTGCCGCCGGCATGATGCGACTTGAGACAAGAAACCAAAACGCTGACTAGAGCTTGTCCCACTAGTACATACCGTCCAACTCTCTCTTTAGGGCCCATGGTATCATGGTTTCGGCTCTCGCATGTGAGACGTTGATAGGATACATATACGCGCTGCAGATCAATAAATCTCCCACAGGTTTTCTTAACGACAATGGAGGGGATGGTGGAGATGTGATGGCATATTCCGAATGATTTCGGCATCGTTCGATGTCACATAAAAGAGCCATGGGAATGCCGCCTGACATAGGAGGGCCTTTCAGATATATCTTCCATCAACAATGGCTCCAGAGACAGCAAAGGATCAATATTTTCTGGGTCGCGATTTCGACGCCTCCGTTCGGTAAATACGCTTGACCCTACACATCCTTCCTCCAAGTCTCGATGTATGAACTGACACGCCCATGCTAGGCTCTACGGTCAACACTTCTTGACCACAAAGCGAACAAAGTGGTTACTACATCCCAAGGTACAGCGCCTGGCTGAGAGATCGGGGGTGAAGATTGCCGACGTGGCGACCGGGAATGGGTACGTACCGGTTTCCCTCTTTTTTCATTGCACGTACCCAGAGCAGGTTCAGGTGGGCAGAAAGTTCAATCCGATTTTGATCGAACGAGAACGTCGCCCAGCAAGCTCTCATCCTCCTCGCTGAAAGAATAGTGTGCTGACGTACCTCAATGACAGAATCTGGGCGTCCGAACTCGCAGAACAACATCCCAATGCCACTATTGTAGGACTGGATATCTCCGATAGACAGTACCCGCCAGCATGGACATGTCCAGAGAATATTTCTTTCGACTTGTACAATTGTCTTGAACCTCCGCCCGATAAGTTTGTTGGCACCTTTGACATAATACATATCCGCTTCCTTGCTGGTGGGCTCAGAGGTATAGACAACTTTGCGAAAGTTGTGCAGAATGTGGGATCCATGTTGAGTATGTTCCGAGTCTGTCTCTTGTAATGCAGTGTCGGGTCTGCTGTAAGTCGTCAATGAAGTCGTCAATGTGCTAACACTTCCATCTGTCATGGATAGAGCCAGGAGGATACCTTCAGTGGCAGGATGCAATGGCCCCAGGTTGGATACTCGTCGACAAGAGTCTCGAGATAGACGATTCGAAAACGGAGTTGGCAAACTTTGCCGAAGCGTTTGACAGAGCCAGTGGTGGGCTCTTGCAAGGATCTCTCAACTATAAACTTGATGAGATATTTGAGACCAGCGGTTTGTTCGAAAAGGTGGAGACTGTTAATCCGGATCTTGTACCGAGACTATTGAGGTTAGTCACTTGTTTTCATATTCATGTCTTTGTTGGCCTGTGTTTCTTTCATACTCGGATGGTGGTAAGATACGAGTCACGAGCGAAGCACTGAACTACAACTCTACAACCCAACTATAAGTCGAGGTAGTCCAGGTAATTGAGGCATGCTGATGATGGTGGTTACTCAGGTACGAGACGGACTTTGCTATCAAGGTTTTTGGCGAGATCTCGGGGCAAGTCAGGGGTATGCTCACTGCAACGGGACGAATGACTGCTGAGAAGAGTCAAGAGTTGGATGAGAGTGAGCGCTTGTTTGCTGAATATCTGGCAAATGGTGGATTGATCGTATACAAGACTGCTGTCGTACTTGGGAGGAAGGCTGAGTGAGTCTTTAAGGGAGGAGTGGTGCCAATCATAGAAGCCCATACGTGCGTATAGGAGAAACAGGGGCTCTGGAAGTTGATATACGACTTTCTTTTTTCCTTAGAAGCAGACGGAACGTACCTTCCTAGGCTCGCTAGGGAAATGTATGATGTCGGCGTAGCATTGTGCTTTGCAAAATTCCGTAACAGCCTTAATTTTTGCAACATCCAACACTTCGAACCGACCCAATGTGACAATATGAGATCCTGCTACAACAACAACAACAACAACAACAACAATAACTCCTCGTTCATTTCATAATATCTCTGTACAGATCCACTCGGATTCTAATCCTCTATCCTCTATGCCAGCATTACTAGTTATAGAGGTGTACTTAGTGTGTAACAATAAGAGAATATCAGTAGTCAATACAACACAATACAAGTGTTAAGCATGGAGTGCGGTGGCCAAGCGGAATCACTACTATTGTGTTGTACTGACTACTGATATTCTCTTATTGTTACACACTAAGTACACCTCTATAACTAGTAATGCTGGCATAGAGGATAGAGGATTAGAATCCGAGTGGATCTGTACAGAGATATTATGAAATGAACGAGGAGTTATTGTTGTTGTTGTTGTTATTGTTGTTGTAGCAGGATCTCATATTGTCACATTGGGTCGGTTCGAAGTGTTGGATGTTGCAAAAATTAAGGCTGTTACGGAATTTTGCAAAGGTCAGGTTCTGGTGCTGGTGCTGAGGCTTGGTTGAAATTCACCAACGACGTTTCTGGCCAATAATAATTTCACGTGACTCCGCGTTGTCCATTCACTTACACATGAGTTCACTACTCAAACAGTCCCTTTTCTCAACCTGCAAAAAAGTGAGCGCAGGAGATAAAATACAAAGAAATGGAACAAAAACCACACAAAAAAAAAGCTTCATAGTCTTCCGCATCGGGGAATCGAACCCCGAGCTGCCGGGTAGAGGCTTTCTTAACTGAAAACCGGCGATGTTGACCGTTACACCAATGCGGATTGAACCAGATCCTACTGAAATTTGTGGCAATTGTGATACATTTTTGGAGGTATTATCAATATATATTTGAGTTGTGTGGACGCTATGTGGGGTTGGTGCAAACTGAATCGTCCTTCACTGAGCCGTGTGGCTTTTCAGCGCATTTTAGGTTAATAAGCGGCTGCTGTCTACGTCCACCGATACTACTGTACGGATGCCACTTTCGCAAGTGCGCATCTTCACTCAGGTTCTTCTTAAGTCTTCCTGTATGACAAACTATTCTTGAAGATGCATCATTGACATTGGGAAAGCCATCCGTCACAAATCATGGCAATTTGATTGTTAGACGACATACGATCGTACCTTACGTTAGCGGTCAGCAGCCTGAAGTAATATCCATCCGGGCACCCTTCTTTGTAATCCGTACATCCTACGAGTGCTCGTACAGTACTCCGTGAAAGAGGGACGGGATGGAACTGCTCGCAAGGTCTTTTGTTTGTTCCGGTCAAATCCCGCGGGTACCAACAGAGTAAAGTCAAACTCCATCTAATTACTCCATAATTGATGAGTATCGTCTTTTTTACTCTGCGAAAAAAGAATCCCACATGAGTCTCCGTGTGCTTACCAAACTTGGCCGCATTAAATTTAGATATCGAGGGAAACTTACCGCTCGGTCCAACTTGCAAGTCTTTCGTTGCGTTGCGTGGAAAGTTTCCACTCACAAGACCACGATCAAGCACAATATACAATAGTCCGAAGCCGCTAAATCCCTAAACAGTCTACTTCGACGGGTACCCAAGTAAGATATCTCAAATCATTCTACTCCGTACTGTAAGGATGCTCCGTACTTGACGTGCTTGAAGGGAACCAATGCACTCGTTAAAGTGGTACAATACTCGTACTCGTAGTAATAGCAGTATGACCGGCCGTTCCCCCAACGGTGACATTGAGCGGTCGTTTTCCAATGAGACGACACAATCTAATCATTGAGCCGCATCCGCCAGCGTGGCCCTTTGCTATAGCAGAGGTACATTACAATATGGTAGACTAATTACGCATGCGTGTAGGCGTGTACGTGTCGACGAGGCTGGGTGTGTGTGTGTGCGCGCGCGTACAACTCTACATTGATTCCAGACTCTTGACCTAATCAACAATAGTCACCAGTGATTCGACCTGAGTGATGAGTGGTGGTAGTCACAATCACAACTTCAACCAAAGAAATATTGTAGTTCATACCAAGAATATGGGTTACACTCCAGCCAAGGAAACAGGAGTCAACAGGGAGGTCTTCTCTCTCGTCTCAAGGGGGGGAAGAATGTTTTCGAATCGTTTCATGACTTATAGCGAACCACTACGGAGTACTCATACCGAACAACATCGGTTTGATCTCCTTTTTTGCCTTCCCATGCTACAGATCAATCCAGCTCGCAAGCCCACCCCCGGGAAACGTGCGGCACAGCCCCCCACCGAAGGGGGACTATCGAAGTACGTCCCGTAGCCAGTAAGGCTTAGCTAAATCAGAACCCTTTTCTCTCAATTCCAACCCCTTTTCAGGGAACGCCATCGTGGTTTTGGACTGGCTCAATCGAGCCAAGCGAGTCCCTCAAAACGTTTCCAGTCTCGGATTCCAGTCGATGCGAGCCGACGGCGGTCCTATCATACAACAACCTACTACTTCTGTACAACTCCGTCTGAAGACGTCCCTAGTACCCCGTACTCGTGCGAGTATCCCATGTGTGTCCAGTCAGTGCACAGGTGTCCACACCCCTACTGGACTCACTTGCTCGTAACTCCGTTTGAATCTCTTCGAACGCGCCCGCCTTGACCCTAGCTAGTAACCACCACTACTACTGAAAGGGTCACCCAGGATCACACTGACCAAGGTCACATTCTCTTCTTCTGGGCAGTCTCCGACAGTTGACGTTTGGGACCTAAATTTGGCAAATCCAAAACGTCCACGTCCCCTGTACGTACAGGGCCGATATACGGAGTCACCTTTCCGGCCTAGGTAAGCACGTCCCCTTTAATTGCACGGGTATGGCAGAACAGAAGCTGTATATAAGTAGGTAGTCGTGTCTCCTTACAGAAAAAGAGATTCTCACGCCTCAAAAAACCCAAATAAAATCGCACGCAGCACACAAACCTCCCATCATCTCCTTGCCTCTTGTGAACCCTGGTGGTCATTTTACGTTCCCCAAAGCTCCATTCTCAAAAGACAAACAAAACACAAACCTCACGACAACCACCACCACTTAAAAATAATCATCAACACCCTCAACCGAACCGAACAAAATGCATTCAGCAATCACTTCCGCCGCCTTCGTCCTTTCCGCCCTTACCTCGTCAGTCCTCGCGTCTCCTCAATACGGCGACTCGGGATCCTCCTCCACGATGAGCATGGGCATGTCTTCCGCGACGGCTTCCGCCTCTGGCTCCTCGTCCACCGGTATCCACAACGTCAAGGTCGGTCCTGGCCTGACCTTCACCCCGGACACTGTCCAGGCCGCCGTCGGGGACTGGGTCGAGTTCACCTTCGGACAAGGCCACTCGGTCGCCCAGAGTTCCTTCGCCGCGCCCTGCGTGCCCATGGAGAACGGTTCGGCCGTCTACTCTGGCTTCCCCGACGACGGACAAGTCTGGCGCATCCAGATCAACAGCACCGATCCTCTGTGGCTGTACTGCTCCGCCAGTGGCCACTGTGAGGGCGGTATGGCCATGGTCGTGAACCCACCGTAAGTCCTCGGCTTCTCCCAACCCAAACTTGGGGACTTTTGCTGGTTCATATGCTGACTGCATGACACAGAAACAGCGCAAACACCCTCGACGCGTACAAGTCGGCCGCTCAAAACGCCCAAGGCTCGTCACCTGCCACGGTCCAAGGTGGTGTCTTTGGTGCCGCCACCGCCAATGGCTCATCCACCACGTCTGGCAGTGGATCGACCACCTCTGCATCGGCCACTGGCTCGGGTTCTAGCGCGTCCACTACCGCCGGCAACGGAGCCGGATCTGTATCTGTCAAGAATGGACTCTTGCTCGCAGGTGCCATTGCTGCTGGTGTTGCTGCTGTTTTGTAGTGACAGAAAAATTTGCTTAGTTGTTTTGAGGTACTTATTCTTTTGGGAGTGTGAGACGGCCTGGAGCATATTTTATTAGATCTGTGCAGCATGATTTATTCAATGAATCAGAATATGCATATTTGCGTGCAAAACTTTTATCATCTGAAAAAGAGAAATGTGATGTCTTGCTCGATTGTTTCACTCGTAGAGTGTGTATGAAGGACAACATGCTGCTAAATTCTGTTAAATTTGCCGAAAGGTGATGACACAGCAAATGATTGCATTCGTCAGTACTCTGTAGAAATGAGCCTTCTCAACGTCTTTGAATGATAGAGAGAGAGAGAGAATGTTGGTGTAGACGAAGTAAAGATACAAGTGAGTGGTAGATTGTAGCGTAATCGACGAGGCTGAAAGAACAACCACGAGGCTGCGCCAAGCGTATTCTGATTCCCCACACTCCTCTACAAGTTACTTGGTGCGGTATCTCCAAGCGTACTTGTAGGTACTCAGTTCTACGTTACATACTCATAAAACCACAAAAATATAGACAAACGACGCAGCTCCCCGTTTGTGAGAGGGACTGACAGTGTCTAAATCGCCAGACTATTGAATTTCCTGGCGCCCACCATGTCTCACGCTCGAGTGGAAGAGCTGTCCGACTCGGATCCAGACATCGAAGACCCCTCCGACTTTCTCCCACAATCAGACAACCAGATCCTGCGCCCTGCAGCAGCCGCTGCCCCGACTCAACGCTCGTCATCCTCGACCTCTTCCTCCCCGAAACCATCGCCTGTACCTTCAGGCACCCCCAACCCGACCCTCTTCCGCCCTCCACCTCCGACACCGCAGACGCAACAGCAGCAACAACAAACCAGAGAGAGCATCAAGACCTACCAATGCCTCTACCCGATCTACTTTGACAGCACGCGGACCAAGGCTCAGGGCCGGCGGGTGGGATCTAAGCTCGCCGTTCCCAACCCTCTGGCCTACAACCTGGTCATGGCCGCTCGAGACACCCTGGGCAGTACGGCGCTGCACGTCGCCTTCGAGCCGGACAAGACGCACCCCAAGGATTGGGCGAACCCGGGTCGGGTGAGGATTCAGCTGTTCGACAAGGACACACGGAGGCCCCTTCACCCTCAGATCAAAAACAAGGCTCACTTATACAGGGTGATTGGACAGTGGCTGCAGGACCACCCGACCTCCAAGGAAGACCCTCTCGAGTTGAGGATCCAAGGGTTGCCGGTCCCCGAGAATTTTGGCAAAGAAGAAATCCCAAAACCCAGAGGTTGGAAGATGGGTACGATCTTGCCCGTCCACTCTCCGGCCGTCAGTGGCGGGGGTGTGAGGGACGATTTCTTTAAAGAGGCGATGGAGGAAATGAGACAGGCTCAAAGTGCGGGTCAATTACCTGGTGGCGCTGGTGGTGGTATGCCTGGTATGCCCGGCGGCGGTGGTATGCCGGACATGGCTGCCCTACAGAACATGATGAGTAGTATGGGTGGCATGGGAGGAATGCCTGGCCTCGGCGGAGGAGGAGGAGATTCAAGTGGCGGTGGTGGAAAGAAGAAAAAGGACAAGAAAAAGGGTTGATTCTGGCCAAAAAACAAAGATGAAACGCATGACCGCACGACCCAAAAGGAAAACCAATATCAGTTGTTTGCATCACTTCCTTTGTCTCGGGGGAGATGGTTCGCCGTAGACTGTAAGCAAGTGTACCAGTAGGAAGACCTCCTTTATCTTCTCTAGAGTGCTCACCATGCCTGTCTCCATCCTCGAAGAAGATCCCTTGTTTAGATGTGATGTTATTTCTTTTCTAGCTCATGCTTAATGACGAACGTGACTTTTATGCTGAATCTATTCATCTGATCATGGACATGACTTGATCAACACCATTGTTATCTATGCTTACTATGTACTTTGGAGATGTTGTTTTTTGGAAGTGATTAGAAGACTGACATACGCGCGAAGATGTTAAATTTGAAAACGAACGGGGAAAAGAGGAAAAAACCGATATACTTTGTGGAAAGAAGTAAAATGAAGATCTGGTATATATTAAATTTTTATATTTGATTATGTGTATGTATATGACTGAGTGTTTGTAATTCAGCGAGGGCCATCATGCCCTGCCGTTGTTGTTTTTTTGGTTTGTTTGTATTTTATATACTATTTTTTTTGCCTGTACGGCCAACAGCTCGACACCGTAGATCATGATCTTTGTGGTGACACATGAACTTTCGTATATATTACTTGCATTTGCACTTGCACTTTTGTTTTCTTGTGCTGAAATGAGAACACTCCAAGACGTCCCTCGAAAAAGAGAGGAAAAACCCATTCCCAAGAAATTGCCCTACATATCCTTTCATTCCTTCCTTAAACCTTGCGTGGGGTTTTGGTTTCCGTAAAATGTGTCGTCGTCGTCGTTGTTGTTATTAGTCGACGTTGATCTTGACGTACTCGCCTTCATCGTCCGACCCTTCTTTTTCCCAATCACTCATATGTTCTTCTTTTCCTTCATGAGCGTCGGTAGTAGTAGCCTCGGCCTCGTAACGAGGTAGAGTCTCGACCGTCTCGTTTGGGTGTTCAAAGTCCAAAGTCGTAGAACGTTCGCGTTCCGCCTCGGCTTCCTTGCGCTTGCCGTTGGCATCGTTGCTACTACTCATGGATGCCTTGGCAGGGTATGGCTGGACAGGGGGGGAGTTTGGTAGGTCCGTGTACGCGTCTTGCATCATTTGGTCATCTTCCCCTTGTTGTTCCTCGGCGTCAAAAAGAAGATCTCTCTCGTTGTCGTTGTTGTAGATATCCTCGGGATTCTCGACTGGAATCTCCGGCGAGGACGAGGCGACGTTGACCGATTTGCGCTCAAAGGCTTTGTCGACCTTTGGCACGCGGACGACGAGGACACCGTCGACCATTTTTGCGGTAATGCCTTGGACGTCGACCTTGGCGGGGTCTCTGGGAGTTCCGAGGCGGATGTTCTTTTCGAAAACTCCCGTCTCACGCTTTCTGCCGTCCACAACCAACTTGGTCATCATCTCCTCGTCGACACCGGGTCTGTGAACGACGCCAGTGATCCGGAGGGCCGAGTGTTCACCGTCATACTCGACGCCCAAGTCGGTCTTCTTGGCGCCAGGAAGTGAGAGGTGCATAACATACTCGTTCTCGGTTTCGAAAATGTCAGTTCTTGGTTCGAAGTCGGTGTCTCCCGACTGGGGCGACTTGAGACCCAAGCCTTCAGCGGCCGTGGAAAGATCGACGCCAATACGTTCTCCCAGATTGTTGAGGAAGGCGTTCAAGTCGAACCCTCCAGTGCGACCGTGGTGAGGATCAAATGGGGGGTCACCTCGTGAGTGGGGACCATGCGGATGGGGACCATGAGGGTGATGATGATGTCCTCCTCGGCCACCGCGAGGACCGCCGCCCATGCCCCTTCCCATTCCCATGCCCATGCCCATAAATCCACCTGGACCGCCAGGATATCCTGGAATGGGACCCCTGCTGCCCGCAGCCATGAATGGTGGAGGACCGAAAGTAGGACCGTTTCTCCAAGGGCCTCCAGGTGGCCCTCGGTTACGCCACCACCTGCCACCGAAAGGGGTCCAGTTGGTGTTGGTGTTGGGGTTGTTGTCTTTGTTTCTGTCGGTGTCGCTGGAGCTGGAACAAGAACTTGAGCTCGAGGAAGAGCTTCGACTGCGGCGTCGACCTTTGCCGTGGCGACGATGGTGGTGATGGTGATGATGAGGTCGACCGTGACGGTTCTTAGCACGGCCAGGGCAGCCATTGTTGTCGTTGGTTTCGTTGCTGTTTTCGGCCTGGAAGGCTTTTTCAAATCGTCCACGGCCACGGAACGGCATGCCTTGTTCGGATCGGACGGTAGAGGGATCAACTTCTGGTGGATCCTCGACATTCACATCGGCTTGCTTGCTTTTGGCATTGCCACTCGCCTCCGCCGCGGCAGCAGAGGCTGTATCCGGTGGTGGTCGAGTTTGTTCTCCGCCAGGTCGTTGAGGTCTAGCTGGAGGAGGAACGTTTTGGCCACGTTGAGCGAAGAAAGGGTGGTCTTCGAGACCGGCCACAAAGTCCCAGAAGGGATTTGGTGGCGGATTGAGGTAATAGATGGGAGGCATTGTTTGAATAGAGGTAGAGATGGATAGATGGATAGATGGATAGATGGATAGAAAGGAAAGGGAAGTTCTCGTTCAAGCCACAAGAGAAGGGATGCAGACCTTATACCATGATTCCCCGCGATTAGGCAAACGTGTTTCCTCAGCGAGTGTCAAGACAAAGAGGCAACCAAGCAACGAATCAGACTCACCTAGAGACGAGGCGAGAAGGTGCTCGAACCGGGGGGATACCACACTACTATACACGAGTGACGATGGGATTGGGTGAAATCATACAAGGCAAGACTGTAGCCACGCGGCCAGGGCCGTCACTATTTCACACATCATGATTTGAAGTTGTGGTGGTGGTTGTCGTTATTGCTTGGTGCCTGGACGGGGGAGGCGAAAGTGGCAAGGAGTGTGTTCGCCTCGGGCCTTGCGGAGTATGAGAGGAATCGGGGAATTCTAATGTCCGGACCGAGCGAGTTCACGTGTTTGAACTTCACGGGGCCGACAGATTTTCATATTCCGACACCTACGGGCCGCAATCCGAGGCCCCGTGCAGGTTTTCAACAGGACATAAAAATGAAAAATTAACAAAAAAAAATAACTCACGACGAATGTCATGATAATGATGATCAGAGTGGGATTCGAACCCACGCGGTTTTACCCACAAGTAGGACTTCTTTGAACCCAAGAAGCTGTTGCTTCAGGTGTACCTGAAACTTGCGCCATAGACCACTCGGCCATCTGACCGTCAATTGGCTTAATATCTCGCCATGATTTAGGAGACAAAATTCGGGGCGAAGACTTATGATGTTTTCGCCTTTTCTCACTGTTCAGCATATCATTGTGGCTTTCTTCTCGCCGACTCGAGGACCTCACTTACATTATTAACTCTAAATGACTTAATGAAAAGCCACAACAAGTGTATACCATGAATTATGTCTATTCTGCTATCTACTCCGTGGTTGTGCTAATCATCCTGGTGTAAGTTTCGAGTATACGCCCGTCCTCCATTGGTAGCCAAAATCCAGGAGAGTCATCGCTCCAGTGACACAATCTTAATCTCTGTAGCCACTGAGTGGAAGAATCCACAATTTCGTAGACCGTCGGGTATGATACATGGGAGTTCAGAGACAATAAAGTCAAGTTCCTTGCAAATCTTCACAAAGTTTGCAAAAGTGTCGCTTCGTATCGTGGCGGAGATCAATATCTTTGTTTCGGGAAATGCGTCTTTTAGGGTCTTTAAGAGTTCGGCCAGAGGTCGCAGTATATCCGGATGATACGTGATATCTGCACCTACGATCAGACCGTAGCGTACACCAGACTGGTTGGCTTCCCTCAACAGTCGATCGATCTCCAGTCCGTCCGTCCAGTCTAGTTGACGGACCTCGGGTGGAGTGTGGTCGTCCAGTGTGCCGTTCTCGACGTTGAGATCGACATTGTTCTGGAGACTTTCGCAGACGTGGCCGAGACCGTCGGTCGCCAGGACACCTGAGGCTTCGAGATGTCCGGCACAAAGAAGGGACAGAAGACCTGTCCCGGCTCCCAGTTCGAGCACGCCTTGACGCCGTACGAGGTCCGGTCGCTCGACGGTCAGATACCACGCCAGATGTAGAGCCGCTTCCCACGTCCGGAGGCCGACATTGTTGCCTCTCGAGAGAAGGTTGCGCGCCTCCTTGATCAAGACCGGCCGGACGCCGTGCCGGTCGAGCGGCAACGGTGGAAAGTACGAGTGAACGTGCAGCTCTTGAGCTTCGTCAGACTCGTCTTGTTGCGGGATCGTCGTCAGGTAAGCCATATGCTCCATCAGCTGATCGGATACTTGCTGTGGTGGATTCAAAAAAGAAAAGTCAGTAGTTCGATGCTTGATTACAGGGCAGCCGCGCTTGAAGAACAAAACAAAACACCATCATGGACAGGGAGACAAGATGACGAGCAGCAGCTAGAGCAGCAATCGGAGCAAAATATAAAAGCCTACATCTTCTTCGGGGTCTTTGCATGACCTTTCGATCTCTTGAATGATATGCTTCAAGATTCTGGCCTGGTACCGAACAGGTGGTAGGAATTTGTTCTGTTTGACGTCGAAGAAATACTTGAACAAACAATCCTGGACATCTTGGTTGACGAGAAGACTTCCGGGAGGATAATTGACATCGTTGATCACCTGCATGTATTGACGATAGAATTTGACCATCACAGGCTCGGTGCCCGCCTTGGTGATGTCCATGGTCCTTTTACACGTTTCGTGCAACTCGCGTGGAGTGGTTTGGAGGTGCAAAGATCCAGTCCACGTACGCAACAATATATGGTGCTGCGGCAAGCTTGTCGACTTGGTCCAGCATCTGGATTTTCTCCTCGAAAGAAGTACCGGAAAAGATCTCACACAATTCTAGGCATATTCGTAACAAAGCCCTTCGAAGAACAATTTTCCATGTCCAGTCCCCAGTCCTGCCTGTAGAAATCATTCTCGGCCACATCTGGACTAGCGCACTTCCCGCCAAGTTTTCGCCAAGAAGCTCACACAATCTCTTTTGGACAGTGAACCCAAGAAGCCTTCGACGACCTCACCCAGGCGCAGTCAAAAAGATCACCCTCGAAACCACCTCAACCGCACCTTCGACGGTCTTTTCAATTCCTTCCTTTGATTGCGAGTCATCCTCTCGTCTCACACACACAGATCCGCAATCATGGCCGACTCACCTGTCACCATTCGAACTCGCAAGTTCATCACCAACAGACTTCTCTCGCGCAAGCAGATGGTTGTGTATGTGAAAAAAAGCCCTCGTCCCTTGCCACTTTCTGTTGTGCTCAAACCTCCATTGCTCGTTTTTTGCGCTGTTGCTACTACTGCACTACAACGGACCCCCCATGAGAATAGCGTTTCCTGACATGTGTAACTTCATACAGTGATGTCCTGCACCCCAACCGACCCAACGTCTCCAAGGACGACCTCCGCGCGAAACTCGCCGAAGTGTACAAGTCCAACAAGGACCAAATCAACGTGTTCGGCATGCGGACGCAGTACGGTGGTGGCAAGTCCACCGGGTTCGCCCTGATCTACGACTCGGTCGAGGCCATGAAGAAGTTCGAACCCTACTACAGACTCGTTCGTGTCGGCCACGCCACCAAGATCGAAAAGGCCAGCAGACAACAGCGGAAACAGCGCAAGAATCGATCCAAGGAGTTCCGAGGCACAGCCAAGACGAAGGGTGCCAAGAAGGACAAGAAATAAACGTGAAGATTTTCGTCGGGGCGGTGGTGATGATGTTATCCTCGTGCCGTGGGGTGTGGATGCGGATGTGGACGTGGACGGCGGGTGTAGGACAGAGGGACGAGGTGAAAAAAATTTTGCCCTTAGTGTGTGCATCGGAGGCGTTTCCTTAGTCCGCATCTTGTTTTCAAGCGGTACGAGGTGTGTCGACGAGCCCAAAATGTGACCGGGCCATCATTTTCCAAAACGCAAAAAACGAAGGGAGGGCCGAGTCACATTGGAACTGAAAGCAAATCTCGCATGTGGCTAGGACAATTGTGCATTGAACAGTTTCAACGATGGGCAAACGGCGCATGAGATCGATAATGCTTTGAAATGAAACAGCAAATGTGAATCACAAACGAGCCTTCAAAACAGACTTGGAGTCGTCGTGGTCATGAAATTCCTGTTTCTATGTATTCTGCTTTTGATGATGCTAGCTTCGTGAACAGTTGCGCCTGACTGGGCTATTGTTACAACTTAGCTGGCGCCGATTCCATGCCCATCGCCCATCCCTCTGGAAGACTCTCACACCAAAAGTCAACCGAAGCCGATGATTCCGTGTACCAGCTAGGCAAAGGTTGAGTGACAGAGCAATCAAACAAACAACAACAAAAAAACGCAGTGCTCCGCCGCTGATGGGAACATATTAGCTTCCAGATGTCCGTAAGAGATGCTTTTCCCATGACCAGAGTCTCCCGATAACACCATTTGCAAAGAGAGACAGAACAACCATGCATACAGCCACTCCAGAATAGTCAAGGTCACAATGGCAATATTGAAGCCAATTATTTCCGTCCTAATAACGAGCCCGAAAGAAATTCCTCTCAAGTACTACAGTCGTTGTAGTCTTGTGTCTCTTGATCTGTAGCCTCAGCCACGTAGCACCCACTAGGCATATGAACCAATGTTGCGATGCACTCGAGACGGAATCCCAAAACTAGAACCAAGTTGATGTGTCAATCACGTCATAGTACAACGTTTGTATAGAAAACAACTGAAGAACAAATCCGCCAAATGAGATGATAGGTGATTCGCTCAGTATCCAGACGACACATTGCTGATGGTAGCGATTGAGCCTCGAGTGGAGTCCATTGGGCATCCTGAGGAGTCTGGGCTGCAACCTTCCGGCATGGATTCTGGTCGTGTCACGAGTGGTTGGGAGCGGCAATACAATGCCCCGTTTGAGAGCTGACTTGAGGTCGTCCTCACTTGGGAACTGCGACCTGTCATCAGTGCCGTGTAACCATACGTGACGGACGTGTTGTCTGAGTGGGATTTTGGACTTTCTCGGGACGCCTGCATACGGGATTGATGAGCTTGCAAGCCTTCAGCAGAGACGACAGGAGGAGATGTATGTGGCACATCAGCAGTGAGAGAGAGTCCAATGGGTAAGATATCTGTAGAAAGGCTGTCGCCCAAGGCCATGTGGCTGTATGACATGTCATGCAAGCTGTAAGATGCGTTCCTCCTATCATCGAGATGCTCTTGGCTTGCATCGCTGTCGACTTGAGATGGAAGATGTTGAGTAGAAGCAACAGAGTCTGGAGACCAGTATATTGAGCTTCTTTGGGTCGACGCAGAATTTGGAACGCTATCCAGTGAGCTTCCGTGCGTTGAACTTGTGCCACGGGCAGAAAATGGGGTGGGTAGAATACGATCGGAGGATAGACTGCCAAGTGCTACGGTCGCAGCATATGACTGTTGAGGTTCTGAGACAACTGTGAATGCTGGATTTGACAGAGAAGTATTTTGCTGTGGAAGACAATTTTGCTGCTCAGACCAAAGCGTACCAGGGTTTGGGCGGACATTCTGAGTATGAACATAATAGCCACTTGCAGATGACATTGGATCAGTGTTAGGAAGGATATAAGGAGGAGGATGGGACGTGTATGGGCTCCGTTCTTCGTCATCGGGATATGGAGAGTATGTTCCAATATAGGGTGCTTTGGTCCAGTCAACACCGGGGTTTGACGTTCCATAAGGAGCGTATTCAATGTTCGAGTGAACAGTTGGATAAGTCACGGAGGTTTGTTGAGTGTATCTTGAGGATGAGGGTACATATTCGGGACGGTGTGACGAAGGCACCGAATAAGGCGAATATCGGAGAGGTGAATGCCAGCCTCGCAGACTGAAAGAGCCCACATCGGCCGAAGAAACCTGAAATGATTATATTAGAGTGAGGTGCGGCGAGATAGGGATTGACTTACTCGCAAGAAGCGACAGGAATCACCGTGCCCGGCATTTCTGCAGTTTGCACAACTCTGGTTGTCTCCTTCGTTCCCGCTACACTTGATTTTGCGCTTGCGGCATCGTTCGCACTATCCATGGTCAGCTCAAACAACAAAAGTGCTTTACCGGATACATCAAACATACTGCAACTGGAACACGCTTTCTCGGCCCACCTGTTGTTCTGTTGTCTGGTTCCGAAGATGGAGTAGTCCGGTTGCTCAGATGTCCTGAGGGCTCATGATAGTCCTGGATATGATGGATTTGGCTCAATGGCATATGATTACCTCGATCACTGCGTCTGAAGAATTCGAGATCGGAAGTGTAGACGGGCCGTGTTGAGATCTAACTCAATTGTAAGCAGTTCCATGGGCGAAGATGGTGGGGTGAATTTACCATGATGCTTGTCCGAGACTCTATTGAAACAAGCAAACATTGCCTTCTGGGAACGAACCAGACTATTCCTTCGACCGATGAGTGGTAGCAAATACCATCAAACTAGAGAACCAAGGTTCTCGGGGGACGTTCAGACGCACTTGAACGCGTTGTTATGAATTTTGAGCAATGAGAGTTGGCGGAGAAGATAGACTTGAGCCAGGATGAGGTAGATGCGAATGCTTTTCAAGCATACACTCCAATAGGAGGATTTGTCGCCAGTCCTTGTATCGATGCCTGAATCAAACCCATGCAATATGTCATATCCCCATTTGTATTAGGCGTGAAATATTCATTGCTCCCTCAAAACCATTGCATGCAGTAGGTCATGCTGTCGGAAGTGTCCTTGAAACTTGATCGTAAGATTTCTTTGTAACGGGCTTGCTGCAAGCTTCCGTTCGTGTCACGATAATGCTTGGTCCACTTCAACAACCTGATTTAGGAGAGGAAAGTTGGGCTGACCAGTCATGAACTTGATCAAACGGTGCCTCCCATATCAATCGTGAAACAAATCGGGGTTACTCCCACCAATGACACCTATATGTTATCTCGGAGGCTGACCATCAATCGTATCCATCATAGAATGTAGGCTGAATTGGATCTAGATGTCTTGCAGATAGGTTCCATGTGGGGAGACAAACAGGTTGTCCAGCTGCTTCTTAGACCGGTTGAGTGGGGTGTGAACATGGTGTACAGGCTGAACCAGCGTCTTCTGTGGAGAGTGCGACTCAAATCATCGTTTCATTGGCACTCCTGGTTATGATCAAGCCTGGAGGTCATGTTCTGTTTGCTAGCAAGATCAAGCTGCCTGATTGGCCGCAGATTTCTGCTTCCAACGTGGCAACTACACCACCAAATATCCAAGCAAACTTATTAGCCGGCAGGACACATTCGACACAGAAATCGAAGGAATCCGAGGTTCGGAGCCCTCCGGTGTTGAAGGGATCCGACACGAACCTTCAATCTGCCTGGCTGCTCTCGCATTGTGCGGTACGTAGACGGTCACAAATGCTGAGCATTTCCAATTAGCGCCAGCTTTTGACGCTGAATTCGGCTCTGGCCTGGCTCGTGAAGCAATGAGTTCGCGCCAGTGGCGGAAATTCAATCAAGCATTCGCAGAAGATTCCATGTAGAAGGCGGCCAGCTCCATCAAGGCACATGACAGATACCAGCAGTGAATCCTGCCACTGGTTTGAGGTAGGATCAAACAGCTTGCAGTGATGCCACAAGGGTAGCCCCTGAGCAGCTGCTGCAGAATACCTGCGGAACATTACAGGGATTTCTGGTAACACAGAGATGTCAAAAGATTAAGCCCCAGCAACGACCGGGCCAGCGCTCAACAATCCTGACAAATCAGAGACAGAGTTAGCAGTCTGAGATGGTCACACAGAGGCGCAATGGTCTAGCACGAAGACCAAAGAAGAATAAGAGTCTTGCCACACCCCTTTGAGAGCTTTTGCTAACGAATGCACCCACAATGGAGACAGGTCATGCGCAACATGAAGGGCTGCTGGGAGATTTTGGTTGGCATGTGGAAGTTACCTTCGTGTTCTAACCATAATCACACGGAAGGAGTGGCGGAGCCGATGTGCAGAATCAAAGATTGGCCTGTGAGTGCAATAGAATGCACTTGTGCCGATGCATCGAAATGTTTTTCTCCAGGTTGTTTGCGGCCCACGTGCAGCAAAGGTAGCCGTAAGTTCAAAATTAGACCATGCCCGATCGAAGCCTTCCGAAAATGGATAAGTTGTGCAAGGAAGTGGTTGATGCGACACAAGGAAGGCCGACAGCCTGACCAGGGCTGAGCGGCTGGACCTGTCATCGAAGCGGGTGGAAGCCGAGAAAGAAGGCGGTTTGTGACAGAATCGGGGGATTTCTGTATGACTGTGGTAGGTGAGTAGGGAGGTTGTGGACAGTTGCATGTGTAGATATGAACTAGTCAGTTGGCAGCAAGCCCTAGAGTTCATAGAAACAAAAGCGAGGCCGTGAAGGGCTTTCAGTGTTAGAGGTGTCAGACCTCGAAGGTTTCATTTGGGCCCATCAAGTCGGGAGATTCGTCGACGTTCCTGGGGATCGTCACTTGGTCCCATGAATATCCCTCTACTTCTCAGCATCGCACCAATGTATCAGATGGGTTTATTCAATTTCCAAGGGGATGTGATTAGCCTCAGCGGAAGCCCATAACCTGGTTGCAAAGACCGCGCTGGACAGGTCCGCAGAATACATTACCGCATAGAAACCAGTCGCCCATAAAGATGGTGTCACAAGACTTGGTCAAGCTGGGTTTCGATGTAGCTGGATGCAGGTCTCTTGACGCAACCATTTTAAGGTGACACACCATGCAGTCAAAATCATCCGAGGATTTTCTCAATTCCGCGCACGATTCGTAGGTCGGATGGGTCTACTCGGTAGGTATGCATTGCACTTCCGCATCAGATGATGGATTGAATAACCGGTGTAGTGAAAGTCGTGATCAGGGAGAAGATGAGTTGATAGACTTGAGGCAGCTTGAAAGCTCGAAGTTGGCCGAACAACGCATTTAGAGGCAGAATAGGAATCTCCAGATGAGCTGTTCCTCTTTTGGAATAGTACATATATATTTTTGTCGACTCGATTTCCAGACATTGGGGAGACTGCCTAGAGATGAGTCTGCACCGACCACCTTTATCAGTTACCTCACTACATTACACTCTGGGAGTGCTCGGATTCAGACCTGTATTCTCACGGAGAATAATCTTCTGTGTTCTTCGGCACAATTTGAATCACTCGTCACCTTGGCCGGCCATGGTTTGAGCCAAGTCCGGTTCTGACGGTTAATTCATCATGAGTGTTCTTCTAGAGACATCTTTGGGCGAGATTGTCATTGACCTCTTGGTTGAGAATGCACCTAAATGCTGTGAGAAGTAAGTACCACACATTGTTGGTCAGACTTGATCTAACCACGACTCTAGTTTCCTAAAACTTTGTAAAGTCAAGTACTACAACTTTTCGCCCATCCACACCGTCCAGAAAGGCTTCTCTTTTCAAACGGGAGACCCGTTAGGACCTGACTCTCCTGACAGTGATGGCGGCAGCTCGATATGGGGGCTTTTGTCCGGAGCCTCCAAGAAGAGTTTCATAGCAGAAATTGATCCGAAATTAAAACACACTCAGCGCGGCACGGTTAGTATGGCGACAGTGCCTTCGTCCAAAGATGCTGATGAGCGGCTCGCCGGTAGCCAATTCATCATAACACTTGGCGATGATATCGACTCCTTGGACGGCAAGGCCGCTCCCTTTGGCACGGTTGTGGAAGGGTTCGATACACTCGAAAAAATTAACGATGCTTTCACCGACGGCAATGGCCGACCTCTGAAGGATATACGCATACGCCATACCATCATACTGGAAGACCCTTATGATGACCCTCCGGGCCTGGCCGTGCCAGATGAAAGTCCTGCTCCTTCCAAAGCCCAGCTCGCTACCGTCAGGATTGCCGACGATGAAGAGTTGGCTGATGATATGGATGAAGCTGCCATGGAGAAGTTGCGAAGAGAGCGCGAGGCACGAGCCCAGGCGCTGACTCTTGAAATGGTTGGAGATCTCCCTTTTGCGGAAGTCAAGCCTCCAGAAAATGTTCTCTTTGTCTGCAAGCTGAACCCAGTCACACATGATGAAGATCTCGAATTGATTTTCAGCCGGTTCGGGAGAATTCTCTCGTGCGAGGTCATTAGAGATAAACGGACTGGTGACAGCCTCCAATACGCCTTCATTGAATTTGAAAATCAAAAGGACTGCGAACAAGCATATTTCAAAATGCAAGGCGTCCTGATCGATGACCATCGTATCCACGTCGACTTCTCACAAAGCGTGTCAAAACTCTCCAATGTGTGGAGAGATGCTACAAATTCAAAGAGGGCAAAGCGATCCGGAGGATTTGGTGGGTTTGACAGTCTGGAAAAGAAAAGCCACTACCGGGAGCAGTATGGGGGAGAGCGAGGTGGACGCGACTACAGAATGGTCTTTGACAAAGATGATATCCGTCGGAATCGCGAGTCCCGACGGTCTAGAAGCCAGAGCCCAGCACACAGTCGGAATGAAGCAGCGAGCGACAGAGACAGACGCTATCGTGATGACCGAACGGACAGAGATCTGGGGCGCCATGACGAAAGAGAAAAGGGACGGGAACGAGACCGAGATAGACACTATCGGAAATCAGATCGAGATAGGGACAGAGACCGTGATAGGGGCTGGAAGGGTAATTCTGATAGGAGAGACAGTCGCAGATGAGAGTCTCTCTCTCACATCCTTTTGGCGGTATTCTGGACGTGTAATATGTACAGTAGAAAAAAGACAAGACTTAGTGATACCCTGATCTTTTCAATCTGTCTCTCGAATATCGCAAAGCATTCAGACTGTGTAGCGGTACGTATCTCGTTGGGTGCATGAGTGGTGGTCATTGCATTGACCATTGGCTTGTCATACGTCAGCACGAGGGATGAAGATGAAGGATGAGGCTGCGCTGCGCTTTGTTTGCGGAGAATTCTTGTCCACGGGATACGGAACGTTTTTTGATCCCTTTGTCTCACTACGCTAACAAGAAGCTGAAACGAGCAGGGCTTGTACTCTTGTAGCTGTTGGGCAAAAGCTGACGGACCCCGATACGTTTCCTTTGACTGGCGCACCCCGTCATCTCTTTCCGACTGTACGACGCCAGACCCTCCCTTCTCTCATCCCCTACGAGTACTGTACCTCCGCTCTGTTTTTCTCGACGGCCGAACTGTCACAAGGGGGGGAAAAGAATCCACCGTCATCATCATGGCAGCAAACATGATGAACACGCTCCTGGAAAAGCTCCATCTGACGTCTGCGGACCAAGGAGGAGCCCCCGCCCAGGAGCCCAGCAGCGAAGACCTCAAAGAACTGCAAGAGAAGTACGAGAAGGCCAAACAAGGGCATGTGTTCGCCTTTTACGACAGCCTCGACACAGAGGGCAGAGCTGCACTGTTCGACCAACTCTCCTCCATCGATCCAGGTCGCATCAATGTCCTGGCGGACAAAGCCCTCAATCCCCCCACGCCGTCCCCGGAAGAGCAGCAACCCTCCATTGAACCACTGCCTTCCTCGGCGTGTGCCTCCCTCCTGGACGCCGCCCAAGAAGAGAAAGATGAATGGTACGACGCCGGCCTAGGTCACATCGCAGAGAACAAGGTGGCAGTGGTCCTCATGGCCGGTGGGCAGGGCACACGATTGGGAAGTTCCGACCCCAAAGGCTGCTTCGACATCGGTTTACCAAGCCACAAGTCCCTCTTCCAAATGCAGGCGGAACGGATCTGGAAAGTGCAGCAACTGGCCAAGAAGCACGCGTCTACGTCGACAGATCCCGTCGTGCCGTGGTACGTTATGACCAGCGGTCCTACTCGTGGTCCTACGGAAAAGTTCTTCCGAGAACACAACTACTTTGGCCTGTCCAGGGAGAATGTCGTCATCTTCGAGCAGGGCGTCCTCCCGTGCATTTCCAACGAGGGCAAGATCCTGATGGAATCCAAGTCCCGCGTGGCCGTGGCTCCGGATGGAAACGGCGGCATCTACCAGGCGCTGATGCTGTCCGAGGCCCGCTCCGACATGCGCAAACGCGGCATCGAGCACGTCCACGCCTACTGCGTCGACAACTGCCTCGTCAAAGTCGCCGACCCCGTCTTCCTCGGCTTCGCCTCGTCCAAAGACGTCGACATCGCGACCAAGGTCGTCCGGAAACGGGCCGCCAACGAGTCCGTCGGCCTGATCGTCCAGAAGAACGGCAAGCCCGACGTCGTCGAGTACTCCGAGATTGACCAGTCCATGGCCGAGGCCACCGAAGGCTCCTCCGGCCTCCTCAAATTCCGTGCCGCCAACATCGTCAACCACTACTACTCCTTCCGTTTCCTAGAGTCGATCGAGCAGTGGGCGTACAAGCTCCCCCACCACGTCGCGAAGAAGAAGATCCCCTACCTCGACACCGAGACCGGCGAGTCCGTCAAGCCCGAGAAGCCCAACGGCGTCAAACTGGAACAGTTCGTCTTCGACGTCTTCCCCTTCCTCCCCATGTCCAAGTTTGCCTGCCTGGAAGTCGATCGCAAGGAGGAGTTCTCACCGCTCAAGAACGGCAAGGGCTCGACCGAAGACAACGCGGACACGAGCAAAAGAGACGTCATGGAACAGGGTGCCAGATGGCTACGTGCCGCGGGGGCCGTCGTGGTATCTGAAACTGACACTGCAGGCGTCGAGGTCTCTCCTTTCATCAGCTATGTAAGTCTACCCACACGACACTCTACTTCTCCTTCTACTTTTTGCCCACGCCCTTGAGTACTAACTTTCTAACAGGGTGGTGAAGGACTTGACTATCTCAACACTCGAGAGATCAAGGCGCCGGCTGTCATCGAAAGAGCTGATAGCAAGGATGATTAGAGTTGGTACAACAACCTCGTGCTGCCTAGACCCTCTGAACTAGAGGTTCTGGCCAGTGGAACGCTATGACTGTACGAGATTTATGAAGGTATAGCATTGTTAAACGGAAAAAGAAATCAACCATTTTTACTTGCACTGGGGTAGATGGAAAGGTTCACGGATTCGCACGGTAGAGAAACATATGTGAGTTCGTCGTACGGATGGATCAGCGGTGCAATTGATATAGCACCGCGGGAAACATGACAATTTCAATGCTCAATGCTCAATTTAGCTGCCAACCTTGATTTCTTTTTCTTTGCTTCGACTGTCTGCCTAGGGTATCAACCAATCTATCGCTCAGTCACACCAGCTTTGCGATGCAAAGTAGCTCCTTTGCTTCACGTCCTGCTGCTCATCCCTCACCCACTCATCACTCATCCACCACTCATTTCTTGGCCCTCTGCTTCTTGCTTCGCTTCTGTCCTTGTCTTGTCCTGCCCAACGCTCGCTCAGCCTACTGCGTCGCTCACTGCCTTCGTGTCATGATTGGCCTTGCTGCGGTCGTGTCATATCAATAAAAAGCGTGATTGTCCATGGGGGTCAGATTTCTCATTGCGGGCTGCCGTCCGGTCCAAGCAGAAAGCAAGTAAATTCGTTGATATAAAAAAAGGGTGGCCATACTCTGCATTTGCTGTAGAAAAGCAAGATCATTGCGCCTGCCTAAAGTAACCGTGGAACCTTGGATGCTCGTGATCGATGTGTGTGACAAATTCCCGAGAGTCTCGGCCACTAACACTTCGCACCTCCGTTGTGGCCATCGTGGTGAAGGTTCGTTCTTGATCATCAAGGGGCATCGACCGTAGTCTTGCCCGAGGCTGTCGTGAAAACTTTTTCCGAATATGTTGTGGGTTGGGGGAAAGTCGTGAATAAATGATAAGAGATGTTGACGACGTACTTGACGTCACCGAAACCGAAAAAAAGAGTCAAGGCATAAACAGCCTCCAGGAAATTTGCGACGAGATGCTCTGATAAGACTCAAAATTGCAATAATGAAAAACCAACGAAATTCGAATAGCTGTGGTTCGTTCGGAAACGACTGTTGCAGCACTTGCAGATCGAGAGGGGAAATTTGATGCCGAACAAAGAGAAATAATTGGAGCTCTGCAAGTGCTTGGTGGTTGAAGATATGATGAGATAGCCAATCTATGCGACCGCCGCAGTGGCAGCCGCAGCGACATTGATGTCGGAGCCATCTGCAGCAGGTGCAGCTGCGGGAGCATCAGCAGAAGTTCCATTTGGAACAGCAACAGCCGAACCATTGGTTTCAGTAGAAGTGCAGTCTTTGCTAATATGGCCGGGCTGACCGCACTTGTAGCAGGTCTTTCCAGCTGCATTCAATGGACCGCCATTGGGAGCGGTGCAGTCCCTTGAGATATGACCCTGTGAGCTGTTAGTGGGAAGCCACCAGGACACTAAAAGGCTGGAACGTACAAGCTTGCCGCAAGCATAGCACTTCATGGCTTGTGCTTGACAATCGCGAGCATAATGGTTAGGTCCACCGCACTTGTAGCAGGTGGCAGCCCGGTTGTTGACGACGTTGTAACCGCCGCGGAAGCCACCGCCATAGCCACCACGACCGCCGCGAGTGGCAGGTCCCGCGCCAGGTGTAGGGCAGTTGCGGGCGAGGTGACCAATTTGTCCGCATGAGTAGCAGCGACCGCCTGCAGGGCCACCGCTAAGTCGCAGGGTGGGACAGTCGGCTTGGACATGGCCTAGACCCTGGCAATGATAACATTGTTTAGCTGCAACTTGTAATCAGCGGCAGTTCTGGTCACCATCTTCGGCTTCTAGACTCACTTTCTGTAGTGCGCGGCATCGGGCACTGGTTGGATTCGTGACCAGGCTGTTTGCAGTTGTAGCACAGTCGTTCAGACGAAGTGCAGACTTCTGCATAGTGGCCGACGTTGCCACACTTGTAGCATGCACGACGAGATAGAGACGACATCTTTGTAAATGTTGTATTTGAAGAACTTCCTCGATTTCCTGAACAGTCTTGAATGTCAGATCCAGCTCTTGTTCGTGATGCGCCAAAAGAAGACACGGGTATATCATATGAAAATGTGTCGCGCGGGCCCGCCGGGTCGCGAAAAGATTGGCCGACGAGGCAGCAGAGGGGTCTTTGCGCAAACGCGGCGGCAGGGTAGACAGTATTACCTGCTCAAGCTGGGCCTTGTAGAAGTATCCCAAATGCCCGCGACCTCTGGCGCAAGGGTTAGCCGCTGGAGCTGCGACTGCGCGCGGGTAGTTGCAGAGGGGGATGGGCGACCGGGGGGTGGGAAAGAGGGGCAGGATTCCAGAAAGAGAATTGAACAGGGTGGACGAGGACTCACAGATGGCGCAACTTCCCTCTCGACCTTTCCAACGTCTTCCAGCCTCCGTCGAACTCGTTCTGACAATCAACACCAGCTGATAAGAAAGGGCGACAAGACGAGTTCGCGAAAAGTCGCAGATGAAAAGCGGACAGCCCCAATCGAGGGAGAGAACTGCCAAGTCTACGCTAGTCCTATAACAGTACTAGCGTATCTGCATCACGTGAACGCATTCTTCTGGCCCAAATGTTTTTTCTCCTGCCGAGGCATCAGATCGACATCCCAGATCGATCGATGTACTGTATCCATACGAGGACGTGATAAGTCGACACGCTCACTGTGCATGTCTGGAAAGCATGTGCTCTTGAGTCGGCGCACTGAACAATTCGTCATGTCGTCTGTCCTGCATGCTCTTATGCCCAATGGCCCAACAGCGACATAATCCCAGCACCAAGGTAAACACTGACGAGCATGAAAACAATCCTCTTCCCATCTCTGGTCCTGACCGGATTGAAAATGAAGTCTCGGGCCAACAACTCCACCAACCCACTATAGATCAAGATTCCAGCAGACACTGCATCAAAAATACCACTCACAACGTTGGCTGTAAAACTATTTGGCTTGTAAGTCGTTCTCAACCCCAATCCGATGGCAATGGAGACGGGCGTCGTAAGGCCATACATGGCGCAGAGAATCCATGGTAGCCAACTCCTTCTATCGAACGGTATGGAAGACATTCGTGCACCAATCCCTAAACCTTCAAAGGATTGATGAAACACCAGCACGGGGTACAAGGTGCTAAATTCATCGCCGGAAACCCCAAGATTCATACCGATGATGACAGAGTGGAATATGATGCCGAACTCGAGGATGAGGAAGCCGGCAATCTGTTGACGGAATGCCGTCTGCACCGCCGCGGCCTCAAGATCTCCATTCATATCGACAGCAGTTTCGATGAATCGTTTCTCAAAGGCCGATTTCCTCGAACTCGAGATAGGTAAGACACAGACGCTGCTAGGGCCATGTCCTTCTGTGTCATGGTCTCCTCTTCTTTGCTCCTGGGATGCTCTCTCTGCTTGACCACCACCACCACCTCCTCCCCCTCCTACTCCCGTGATTGCCTCCTGAAGGTCTGGATGAGGGTTACCGATGCCATACTTGACCTCTACATACCATTCGGCCGCAAAGTCCATGAGGAAGATGATCATCTATGAAGGGAGTTTATTGTTAGTCGGGTTGGATCTAAAGATTCACCAACCTAGCAAGGATATGCATATGTTTTCCACTTACGACAGAAGCTAACACGATGGCCGGACACCATGAATACTCTGCCCACCCACCAGTCATGCCGACACAAGTACTAGGGCCGATCTCATCGTAGGCGGGGTCAAGAAGGTGTATCTAACAAAAAATTTAGTTAGTGGCGAGTTTGTCAACAGACTGTGCAAAAAAAGGGCAGACAAGAGTTCTCACAAAGGCCGTGGCGACAATCACACCGGCTCCAAAATACCTCACAAAGAGATAGACGTAAAGCGGCAGTCTCAGACGTGGAAACCACTTTGCCAACACCGGAAAAACCGTCGCAGCCGAAGATACAAACAAGATGACAAAGATCGAAGACACCCTCGCCCCCAGGTGTCCATTGTACCCGTTGCCCGACTCCGCGAGGGTGAGCGCACATATCACGTCGCGCGCGTTGGCCGTGGCGAGATCGACGTTTCTCGGGTCGAATGTACTACTAGTTTGAGGAGCGCCCAAGAATGCCATTTTTTCGAAGCCCTGAAATGGAATTATAGGGAGTACCAGGTCTATTATGTGGACGATGCGAGAGGTTAAAGACCGTGGGGGAAGGTGCGGTGATATTTATATGTACGTATGTACCTACGGAGTACCTTCTTGCCTCTGTACTCCGTACCTATGGTACAACGGTGGCTTTAGACACCTACCTGGTTGTGGAGCACATTTCTACATGTATGTATGCACGCACGTCATATGTAAATTCGTGTCGTCCTATGAGAGAACAGTCAATTTTGAGGACATGCAAAACTAAAAGTGAGGACCATTACCATGGCGGCATATGATATCCTGAGAGAGGTGCAATGAATAATATTCGCTGTTTGAGTACCTTAAAAGTTGTGGATAATTTAAGAAATATTTACTCCTTACAATTCCCAGAGCAAACATCCAGCCGCCACTTGCAACTCATCACTTCTGATGGCTTCTTGCAAATGACCTTAGACGTCTGTTGAAACGTTTTCTACGTGGATTGGTTCGGTGTTCAGATACTTTAAGTCCAGCAAGGCACTGCCGTGCCCCTTTTCTGGGCCAGCATAGAGAATCGTACAATTGCACCCTTGTAAATAGCTTGACCAGATTCATAGCTAGAAGCATGGTGGTAATCATGAACTCAGCCGGCCGATGAGCAACACCAACGAGTCACAAACTTGGCTACAGTGTGCCTCGCGCTGTGAAAACAGTTGGGATCTTGGTTCATTAGGTACGCAAGGCTAAGCTGGTGGTGAGCACAGGGCGGCATCATCCTCTTCCGAAAGCGGGGCGAGCTAGCCGTTGATTTATCTTCTCTTGGCGCGTCATGCAAGGATCTGCTCTCTCCGTCTGCAACTTTTTTTTACAGTACGCAGTGTAACAGACAATGTCCTCCCCCTCCACGTTCACTGCTTTCGTTTGAGCCCTCGGAGACATCATCATGGCAGAGACAGAGGTCGATGCCACCTCTCTGACCAGGGTTTACGTTTCAGGCTTGCCTCCGTCCATGACCAAAGAACAACTGCGATCGCATTTTCAAGGAAAGTTCCCAGTTACAGACGCTCATGTTGTAGCAGACCGCCGGATTGGCTTTGTTGGGTTCCCTTCCCACCAGCATGCAAAAGATGCTGTGCATTATTTCAACAAGTCCTTTATTCGTATGTCCAAGATCTCCGTCACCCTGGCCAAGCCTGTCGAGATCAAACGTGACCCTCGAGGGCAAGCAGCGCCCGTATCCCAGCGTTCTTCGAGGCAACGGCAAGAGAATGAACATCCTAGGCATACTGTAATTGGCAAAAGGAAGCGTGCAACTCAGGACGATGGAGATCAAAAAGCCAATTCTAGGCAGGAGCCTGCCGCACAAGAAACGTCTAGAGCAGATGGTCAGGGTGAGGCGTTGGTGTCTTCTACAGAAGCACAAGAAGATCTAAGCCTTGCCCAACCACCAATTGAATCCCCAGAAGATGAGTATATGGATGCGACACCTCAATCTGATAACGATTGGCTTCGAGGGAAGACCAGCAGGCTTCTAGACTTGGTAGAGGATGATCAGACCGACATGCAACAGCAGTCCTTGGGTGACGGTCAGCCCACAAAACCAGAAACTGTCACCAACGATGTTGTAGAGGATAATACAAGCGTCACAGGGCACCAAAATTCCCCCGAAAATCCCTCTCAAGTGTCGGTACCGAATGCGCGACTATTCGTCAGAAACCTGCCGTTTGATACCAGGGACGATGATATCAGGGCGACGTTCTCTCCTTATGGCCGAATATCCGAGGTACGCTATACCATTTCTTCCTTGCCCATTTTTTCATGATGATTTCCTGATAGGGACAACTTATGCATTGCATTTGATGTGAACCGGGAAAGAGTATTTTAGTAGATGCTTCTCACTTCTGATCATTCGATGTTCACTCTTAGCCTTGATTGCCATGCTATGCCTGAACACATGCTGACCAGACTCAGATACACTTAGTCACGGATACAAAAAGATCTACTGGCAAGGGTCTAGGCTACGTCCAATATGTCGAACCGCAAGATGCAGCACAAGCTCTTCTCGAACTCGATGGACGAGATTTCCAAGGCCGACTGATGCATATTTTGCCCGCTTCAGACAAGAAGATCTCAAAATTGACTGAATTCGAAATATCAAAGTTGCCCTTGAAACAACAGAAAGCCATAAAACGCAAGACTGAAGCATCCAAATCACAGTTCAGTTGGAATTCATTGTACATGAACCCTGACGCAGTTCTCGCGTCAGTGGCTGATCGCCTTGGGGTATCGAAAGCAGAATTACTCGACCCTGCTTCAGCTGATGCAGCTGTTAAGCAAGCTCATGCAGAAACGAGCGTGATCAAGGAAACCAAAGATTATTTGAAATCACATGGTGTCAAGATTGAAGCGTTCCTCAATCAGGCTCGTGATGATAGGACGATTTTGTTGAAAAATTTTGCCTTTGGAACCACTTCGGAAGAACTGTCTGGAATGCTAGGTCAGTATGGCACAGTCGAACGATTCGTGTTTCCTACCACTGGAACTATGGCCGTTGCTCAGTACGCTGAAGCAAACTCTGCAACCTTGGCGCTGAAAGGTCTTGCTTATCGAAATCTCAGAGGGTCAGTCCTTTACCTCGAAAAGGCACCTCGAGGATTATGGGAAGGTGGCCAGGATACGGTACGACATGAGAAACCCTTGTTTGTTGTAGACACAGATGGTGAGGCACCAGGCACCACGACAACCCTCTTTGTTAGGAACTTGAACTTCGCCACAACCAGAGCAAGGCTGGCTGAAGCATTCAGCCCTCTCCCTGGGTTTTTATCCGCGCGTGTAAAGACAAGAAATGATAGCAAGCGACCTGGCGAAGTCTTGAGTATGGGCTTCGGGTTTGTCGAGTTCCGCTCCAAGAGCCAGGCTGAGGCTGCATTGTCAACCATGAATGCCCGAGTGCTCGATGGGCACGAGCTCCTTGTTCAACTATCGCAGAAATCTACCGATCTAGCCGAGGAACGTCGAAAAGATGACATCGCCAAGAAGAGAAATGCCAACCAAACGAAGGTCATCATTAAGAACTTGCCGTTTGAGGCAACGAAGAAAGACGTTCGCTCTCTTTTCGGTGCATACGGTCAGCTTCGCACCGTCCGAATGCCCAAGAAGTTTGACAGCAGTGCTCGAGGCTTTGCATTTGCCGAATTTGTTACTGCCAAGGAAGCTGAGAACGCAATCGAGGCATTATCTAATACTCATCTCCTCGGTCGCAGACTCGTCCTCGATTTCGCGGAGAGCGAGATCATCGACCCCGAAGCTGAGATCAGTGCCATGGAGAAGAAAGTACAAAGTCATCAGAACAAGTTGACTCATCATAGGATGACAGGATCGGTCCGGAAGAAATTCAACGTCGATGCACGAGAAGATGTTGAACCGCTCTGATCGCCTAATATGCGTTGGACCCACCCTACCCCTTGCAGCGTTCATCTCTAGTTCGTCAGAAATACAGGAGAACTCTTCTGCAACTCCATCTCAAGGCGAGGAAAACATCAGTATGGTTAGTTCTAGTGAAGAACTGCCTCAAGTCCTTTCCTGGAGCCGCCTCACAGCCATCTCCATTTGCTCTCTATCAAGTAGCGTTCAATGCACGGGATTTTTCTACTCTGCCAACGAAGGGGGTGGGTTCCTAACCGACCAAGATGAGTGCACTGGCAATCGTTGTGCGCACGGGCCGGCTCTACCTCTGAATTCCAGCAGCAGCGGCAAAGGCCAACCATTCACCCGGCGCGCTGATCGAAGCAAATCGCATCCACGCTCCCTCCAGTCGAAGCCTGGGTTCTCAGCATCCCTTGCATTGCCCCTTCTAGACCTTGCACCCCTGCGCGGTAAGGATAGCAGAGGACCTTTACGTCGTGAGATTGCTTGTCTTGCTTGTCCGTGATTTCTAGGGCGGAACGAGATCAAGCTCCCTGAGCGTCTCTTTCCGTCCAACCAAATATCGCAAGGGTTGTGACCAAGATGCATTGGTGAGGTTTGCTGAAGAGATTGCACCAGACCAGACCATGTTTTACAATGGCTGTTATATTATAAGCCCTCCATATTACGCTCGACTCCCCAGATTCACATTCCCTTTTCCCATTCCTGAGTCTTTTTGTTTCCCATTCACTGCATATTTGCTCTGAGCATGATGCAACAAGCCCTGCTCGCATGACTTGCAATGAATATGCTGCATTCCGTGTCGTTCCAACCGCACCAGAAGCCTGAACTGGGCGTGGACCCTCTGTCTATCACATCAGGCAACATTCAGTCGACAGTCCGCACAATGCGGGATGGTCTCGAGAATGAGCAACCGCTTACTTCCTGGAGCACGCAAGTCGAAGTCGCATCTAAACCATCACTTCATCAGCTCTCTCTTCCCACAACACTGTTGTGTGACGTCCCCGACCACGCTTTCGACCGAGAACCACAACCCCAGTCACAAACCCAGTTCCTCGGTCGACGTCACGTTCCTAGGCCTGCACGCTCATTCAGATACACCAAGAATGACAAGTATCAGACCTATCGAAAACGCCCACGACAAGATCTTGGTGGTGATGGCAAACCGGTCTGGCCTCTCTTCATCGAAGATGCCTTCCAAGAAGGTGTGCTCTAAACCAGACCCTGTAGACTTCCTCTGACATTGACAGCGCTCCAATGTATACAACCCATGGGCCGTAAGAAGTGGGCCAGAGGAGGGAAATTAAATGGCCGTAACATGCTCATTTCCGAATTCATATATCACAGGACAGGACAGCGACGCACAAGGAAGCAAGTTTCGAGCCATATTCAGGTGCTTGACAAATTCCTGCGAAATGAGCCGGAATGTGTGTATTCTTACTTCTTGCAAGTTCCTTCTATTCAAAGCTGACGTATTATAGGGGTACGTCTTACTAAAGTACCTGACGACGTGAAAGGTGGCTCTCAAACTCAATCAAAAGGCCCATACTTTCGACAAAGGCCTCTGGATGACATTGGGAAACTCCCGCAGCGACCGATAGGCGGCTTCGAGCAATCCTATTACCACCCTACAGAGTGCAGGGAAGAAGATGCCTGGGATGGCAAAGATGATACTTTCTTTGATAGCTCTGTTCACACATTCATCCTGGCAAGCTACATTGTGCAGCACATGCAGTTCGAAGTCCGTGTTATCCCTCCAGCATCTTCCAATCATCCGGAGCCTGATTCAACACGTGTGTTGCATCATTATACGCAACTGTCCTCCCGCAAGTCGAGACCCAGAGACTTGCCCCTCGATAGTCTCAACAACTGGCGCCGTTCTTTCCCTCGTTTGAACACCATCATGGACGAACTCTGCACGAGTAATCCGTGTGAGATCATTCTACTCAATTCGTCGTTTCACCTCCTGGATGGTTTTCCACCTGAACATTCGAAATTGGGAATAAGCCTGGAAGTCGATTTTCAGTGTCAGGATTGGCCTGAGATGGAGCACAGCAGAGAATCTAAGCGTTGGACTGTTGCCACCCATATCTATCAAGACGGCCAGCTCGTTGCCTCGCCCACCCACGAGGAATGCCGAGCCACGATAGATGGGTTAGTCGAGCCTTCTTTTCACAGCACGTGGTGGGCATCGGCTCTCACAGATCTCACGGCTGAGAGGCTGATGGCAAAGGACTCGAGCGAGTCCGGTGCTCTTCAAGCTGCAGACGAACATTCGCGTGGATTCTTTGCAGGTCTGACGATCATGCAGGAGATCCTCGCGCTACGATATACCGTAGGCGAAAACCTCAACGCAAAGAGTGAACAGCCCCGAAGAGCGGCAATACTTTTGTGGAAGTTCGCCCAGGCAAGGTCTAGTTCAGAACGGACCACAACCTGGCAACCACTGACACTGCCCGAGCCTATCGATAGGTCCTTCAAGAATAGCCCTCTTATGCCTATGCCGAGCATGGAGTTACCATCTTTACCAATCAATACGATCGAGTACGCAATGGGATCCGTCGCTCAAGAACCTCGTCACACCTTCAATGGTTTTGACGAATTCCCTATGATGGCGGGTGAAGATGTGTGTCAACGTGGCAGTTTCAATCCATTCGATCCAGAACTTTCGAGCGCAGACCACCTACACTCCGTATTGAGTGTTTCAACTGCACCGGAGTTGAACATTGAAAACAACAACGGTAACAACCTACAATACTACGGTTTCTCCCCTCCTCACTTTCCTCCTGCGACAGAGGGCCCAGTGCCCCAGGCTGGAAATATGTTTGATCTTCCACACCTCCCCGAGCAAGACGAAACCATGCATACCTTGACAGACGCACACGAAGACGTGGTGCAGACTACCAATTGCAGTCCTGGTCTGGTCCTGCAGACGCACCAGGCGTTGCAGGAACACATCGGCATGCCGGCTGAGGGTTTGAAGATTGTGATACCATCGTCCAAGACCACCTTCGCGGAATCAGAGCAACATTCACGTACAACAGACATCCAACCATGGGATAAGGTGCCCGAGGAAGAGATGCACGTTTTGCGTTTTCTGGCGGATAGCCACCAGGAGCAGACACGCAAGAGGAAGAGGAGTGACGGGGACAAACCATGGTCACCGAGCCAAGATGAACAAGCGACGCAACGTCTTCGTCGTCGTCATCATCAGCGGCATAATCATCTCCATCAGGCTCATCAGCATTTTTCTGCGGAAACTCCGGGCGTTCATCCTCATTGGGGCTCTCATCTGGCTCGTCCGGCCATGCAGACTCACCACAGCTTTGACACGTTACCTCGACAAGGCTCTTTTGCCGACTCTGGTCTATTGGACCACACCTTCCATGATGTTTACGACTTCAACTCGGCAGTGGATGGGTTTGGTGGTGGTAGTGCTGAATCACCTTCTCAACAACATGATCATCAGTCATTCCAACCGCATTTCACACAAAGTCAACAAAATGGCATGGATGTCGGGAGTCGAGGATTGCCTCGGGCGCACAGCGAGTCAGACATCTACACGCTCGTAGGGGGTGCGGAAAACAACACCAAAGGCATTCCCCCTCTCCCTTCTTTGCCCAGTGACATTAATGACGCGTTGCCTGTGTTGAACGTGGTGGAGGTTGATGACGATGTTGATGCTGATGCCGACGACGATAACGACGACGATAACCACGTCAAGGTATTGACCCCGCCGTCGCAAGAGACACGGGAAGTGAAAGCGGTGCATTCTACGGTCGATATGGACGCTGCGAGCCTGGGTGATGAGCGCGGTGGTTACGTTGAACAGTCCGAGCTCGACGTGTAAAGCATCACTGACTTTTCTGTACGATCCACATTTGATTTAAGAGTTTAGTGGGATATGCATGTCTCGGGCAGTACGAGTGGAAGGGTTCATCGCTACGGGGAGAGAACAGGAGAGATTATGGCCGCCATTCATTCATTTTCCATGTGTATTCGTATTTTTTACCCTGGAAAAGGGCATGGATTTCACTTGACGCGGTCAAGGATCGTAGTGTTTTGATTTAATCATTTTATGGGTTCATGTTTCATACCCTTTTTCATTGTTTCTACCTTGCTCCCACTTATCAGAAAGGCTCATTTTATGATTGTAGGTCCACATTGCATACCTGCCTCTTTGCTTTGTACCTGTTCCGTGGTTGAAACGCCGGTCTCACATTTCCACTTGTCTTTCGGTCTCGGGATTTTATGATTCAGTGTCCAGCCTGGATTGACCCATTCGTGTCCTGCACCTCAAGCGGCAAAGCCGCTCTTTCAATGAATGTCGACCGCAACACGATCATCCATGTACCTGTGGATCTTGCCTATGAAGCACGAGCAGATAATGGCCAATCCGCCGAAGGCGAGTGAAATGTAATAGACGATGGAGTAACTGTCGGAATAGGCCTGTTGGCCAGCGCGAACGATCATCTCGTACGCCGTCTGATTGCCGGCCACGCCGGGGAGGTAGATGATGTCCTCGGTCAACGACGTCGCGGTGTACTCGATCGCGGCGGTGATCTCGGTCTTGTTGAATATACCCAGTTCGCCGACCATGACGTGGGAGATGGCGGAGATGAGGCGAGGCTCGAGCTTCTGCACAAAGACGCTGTGGTAGATTGCGTAGGCGACGCAGCCGCCGATGACGCGGATGGACAAGGTCAAGGCCGTGACCGTGGCGATGATGTCGTCGGGGCAGATGATGGTGGTGATGATGCTGGCCGGGACGACGATGCCGCCGATGCCGAAACCGCCAATGAACAAGAGGGCGTACACGGTGTGCAGGTTGTGCGTGTTGGCGCACGCCAGGGCCCCCGTGCCGGCTGTCATGAGGATGCTGGACCCCAACAAGATGGAACGGACGTGGCCTTTCATGTAGGACAGCAGTGTCAGGCAAACCACGCAGCCACCGAGGATGGCGAAACCGATGGGGAGCGTGCGGATGCCGTTGTCTAGAAAACATGTGATTTTCAGTCATGGCTCTCATCGCGATCTTCCGACGTGGCTCTTTGGGTGGAAACAAAAGTGAGGGAGGAATGAGTAGGTCAGAAAGAGTGAGAGACGTACCAACAGGATCATGTCCATAAACATTAAAGGACTGTGTGGGCCAGAACATGAGTACGGAGAAAAAATTGGCCCCCGAGATGGCGGTGATGATTAATGTCATGGTGAACAAGCGCGCTTCCTGTTTCATGCGCGATGGAAACATCGGGTGAGTTGCGAATTTGATCTCCCATACTGGAAACGCGACGAAGAGTAGCAGTGCCCCTACGACCAGCGGGGCAATGACATGGGCCGATTTCCAGGGATACTGATAACCACCCCATGACAAGCCGGCGACGAAGATGCTGACACCTGCGATACTCAGGAAGCCACCAACAAAGTCGATCTCGGAGATGATCTGTCGTTTATTGAGGCCTTTGGAGTTTTCTCGCGGTGGAGGAAAGTAGAACTGTCAATATAGAGAGTGGTGAGTGAAGGATAAACAGCCATTTGAGAAGAGCACTTACAAACAGCACACCAACGAAGCCAACCAAGGCCCACCCACCTGCGAAGAGACAGCAGTATCTCCAGCTTCCGTATCCCGCAATCAGCTGAGCATACAAAGCGGACGGACAAAATGGGATGATCTGGGAACCATCAGAAGACCCATAACAGTAAGTCTTTTAGGATGAAGTGCCTACCGTAGCCACCAAGAGTGCGACGTAAAACCCACGTTTTCGTGCTGGTACCAGCTCCGACGTACCGGCGAGACAGGTCAGCTCACAGATGCCTGCTCCGCCACCAGAGACGCACATGCCAGCTGGGAAAAACAAACGTCAGTTCGGGCCGTTCAGTTCGTAGAGACGAGATGCATGACAGACCAATGAATTGGTTCATATTGAACGAGCTCCCACAGACGGCCATGCCAATAATGAGCAGACTGGCCCCGAGCAAAGCAACATAACGTCGACCCAAAAGGTCAGATAAGCTGCCGACGAAAGGGCACACGGCAGCAAGTGCTACGGCATGACCGATCACAAACCATGTCCATCGGTCAAGACCGCCAATGTCCCTGTAGATGCGAGGAGGAACACTACCGAGGAGGTACATCGGGATCTGGGAGCCTGTCCACAGGAATGCCATGGCCACGAAACTCAAGATACGCTTCACCGTCCACTGAGGAGCACAATCATCGTCAGCCACCGCCAAAGTTGATCGTCCAGATAGATATAGGGAGTCGATGTTCTTACCGGTGGCTGGCCCTCGTTGGCTTCATCTTCACCTCTCTCCTTGTCTTCAGTCTCGACCTGCTCAACATGACGGTCAATGTTGACGTCGGAACTGGCAGAGGAAGCGAGGTGGGCTACCTCGGGTTTCTCGATCATGGAAGATCCATTCTTGAAATCGGGGTTCTCCATTGCTTTTGCCATCAATGATTGCACTGGGTTATTCAAAAGGGCTTCGGGGGTTGATAGGAGGAGCTTGCTGGTATGAGCCGACAAGTCTGGCATGGCCAGATCATGGTTGTTATATACATCTCAAACGACTTGAGGTGTAGTCATGGTGTTGCACAGGACTACTAATGATTGAGGCTTGTCAAGACTCCGGGGAACAGAAGCTGTGGGGCTTTGGTGGTATTTGTGGGGGTTAGGGCGCTGCCGGTGTGCAGAGCGACAGTCAAAGCCTCCCTCCTGGACAGCCTGACTCCATATATGAGTTTGCGGGATTGGTTTTGACGTGAAGTGAACTATTCAGTAAAGGGAAACAAGTGCCCGGAGGCGAGTATGAGCCCCGTATAATGCTCTGGCGATCAGGCCTCTTCAGGCGGGTCTTCGTTGTTCATGCCATATTGGGCTTAGTGGCGGGGATTTGTTTCCTAACATAGTCCGCAAGACAGACATCGTACTTCTCTTTCAACCCCGCCGTCTTCGCTCCCTTTCATCATCGAGTACATGGTGTCCAATATTGTCCTTACCAAGTACGATCCCTGACTCATTCGCTCCGCATGTCGACAGCCAGCACCACGAAACCCCGAAGATCGTGTGACCGCTGTTACGCGAAGAAAGAACGATGTACGTTCAACAGCCACGGCGCTTCTTCGTGCACATTGTGCGAGCGCCACCAAGCCGACTGTACATTTGTCCGCGTTCGGCGAAGAGTGGGACGACGGCCAAAGGTCAATCGCTTCGGCTCGCGCGATTACATGCACGTCTGGGACAGTGATCGAACATCACAAAAATCGACCGTCCCTGGTGCCGAGGCATCAACCTCCAGCAGCACACTTGCTCTTCCAAATACCCCTGCCACCACAGCCACCTCTGCGACGGAATGGGCAACCGAAGATTCTAGCGAGGGCGATGCAGAGACGCTCTCAATACGGACTGATAGATCGCCACGTGCCGTCAGCCATGCCGACCCCGCCACACCCAGTCTCGACCTCGAACAACGAAATCCTCGAGGTTACCGAGTGACCATACGTTGGTTACAGAATCAGTCTCAGTTTGTAGCCAGGGAATTGTTCGAAGATCGATATGTGGACCTCGACGTTTTCTACACCACGAACGACATTTTCATGTCCGGGCCCAGTTTCGCCAACCAGTACCGCGACAGCCTGCTGCTAGTGTATAGGTTCTCACCTGCCTATTTGCGTGATATTGGCCGGGCCATGTTATCTGCACTCACCTGGGCGCGTCTCCGCACTTCCTCCTACGAGCAGGTGGACATTACCACGGGCGCCTTGACTCTTCAACGACTGCGGACGGCTACGGTTTGTGACCTTTCGGGTGCTGTGATGGCCATCGGTCTGGGCCCAATTCTAGCTGCATTCGACCTTCTCACTTCAGGAATAGGGTCAGCTCTGATCCTGCGCCATGCCCTAAGGTTAGCGAAGCCATGGTACCAAACGCTCCTGGATACCCCGGCTCTCAACCCAGTGACGATCTCCTCGATATTCTGGGACACGGCCCATTGCCTCCTTAACCGACAGATACCCGTGGTTGAATTTGAAGCCAGAGATGAACATGTCATCGACCGAGTGGCAGGCTTATGCACGACGCTTCTGCCCTTGCTTTACAGACTGTGCACTTTGAGCCATGGCATCGCCCAATCAAGTCTCCAGGTACATCTTGAGCCTCTTCTAGATCTCCACGCGGCCATCTCATCGTGGACGCGGACATTGTCGGCGGAAGAAGAACAACGGTTCTCCACAATGGAATGCTTGCAGCTAAACACACAAGCGAGGATGTATCGCACAGCCGCCTTGCTGCTGATCCACCGTATCATGAACCCCATGGGAACAAACGACTACGTTGCAGTGGCCTACGCCGATACTGTTGCCCTCGAGCTATCAAACTACCTCTCCGCGGCAGCCCCACGCAAGAAGCTCCAGTTTGTGTTCGTTCCAATATTTCTATCCATGTTGGAAAGCCGTACTCTTTCGGAAGAAGTCTGGAAAAGCTTGAAGATCATGGACGGTCCATCACTCGGTCTGGACAAATTGGCCAAAGCAGTCAAGGCAGCATGGGACAAGCGCGACGCGGGCTTCTCTGGATCGCTCTTTGATCTCCTTGAGAGCGGTCCAAGCTTCGTGGTACTCCCATGAGCAAGAGTAAGAGTCATGCTGATGATATCGATTTTCAGCACTCAGTAAAATTTATTAGAGTTCGCCATTGTCTATCTGAGACATGTCATTCTGTATAAGATCAACCATCTTCCTCGGGATCTAGTGCCCTATCTACACCAACTATTAATGCGCTTCAAATTGAAAGAGACGTGGGATATCCAGACTTTCGCTACGTCCAAACCAACTCCAAACGCCAATGTCGAGGTACATAAACTATACGTACTTTTTCTCAGTCCTAGAAGTGTCGATGAACTTCATTCCCTTTGTCAGACTTCCATACTTTGCAAAAAATACATCTTCGAAATAACTCCTTCGTGCCACCCATGGAGTGTCTTGAGACGCTTTGGGTAGACTTCCAGACCCTAGCCTGACATACGTCGACGTCAGTGGCAATGAGGGAGTGGGTTTGAGAGATCCAGCGTCCTCCAAATATGGTGCAGCGGCCTTTTGCTTTTTACTGTCGAGCGCCTTGAGGAATCGGCAGACGAAAAGAGCCGTGGCGTCAGCACCCAACGTCCACGAGGCATTGGGGTATCCCATGACGAAGGCGGCGTTGGGGATGTCCTGTATCATGACACCATTCCACCAGTATTTTGAGTGAATCTCGACGGGCTTTCCGTCGACTTCGATCTTGACTCCTCCAGCGAATTGCAGCTTCAATCCAGTGGCGGTGACGATCATGTCGCAGTCCAACTTCTTGCCCGAGGCCAGGACGATGCCATCTTCGACGACGCTCTCGATCGTGTCGGTCTCGACGTTGGCTCTGCCTTCTCGGAGCGCCGTGTAAAAGTCGCCGTCGGGACAGATGCAGAGCCGCTGTTCCCAGGGCGAGTAGCTCGGCTTGAAGTGTGGGTCGTACGGGATGCTCTGGGGGAGTTGGCTGACGGCGCCTTTGGCGAACAGGGCCTTGGCCTTTTCTGGATTCTTCATGCACCAATTGTATATGAAGCGGCCACGAATGATCCAGAACAGGCGCTGGAGCTTGCTGAACAGGAACCGCGGCATGAACCGACTCCACCAGGGGCGCATCCGGACCTTGTTGGGCAGTGAGACAATGTACGTCGGACTGCGCTGCAGCATGGTGGTCGAGGCGGCCTTTTGCGCCAGCTCGGGCACCAGCGTTATCGCCGTCGCGCCCGATCCGATCACGACGACCTTTTTGTCCGCGTAGTCGAGATTCTCGGGCCAGAATTGGGGGTGGATGGTGTGTCCCTTGAAGTTCTCGAGTCCGGGGATGGCGGCGGCCAGCGGCGTGTGGTAGTCGTAGTACCCGGCGCCGAAGATGAGGAAGCGGGTGGTCAGGAACGTCGCCTGGCCTCCGTTGACGGAGACGCTGAGCGTCCAGAGGGCATCTTCCGAGGACCACGACGCCGAGGCCACCGAAGTTTCGTACTGGATCTGTTTGTCGATGCCGTACTGCGACGCCGACTTTTGCATGTACTGCTTGATGGACGTGCCGTCGGCGATGGGGTTCTCCTTGTCCCAGGGATTCCAGGCGAAGCCGAACGTGATGAGGTCAGAGTCGGATCGAATTCCCGGGTACCGAAAGAGATCCCACGTGCCGCCCATGCGAGGTCGAGCTTCGAGGATGGTGTAGCTGTAGCTGGGGAGTTGGGTCTGTAGGCGATACGCGGCGTTGATGCCAGATATTCCCGCACCTATGATGATGACATCCCAAAAGGCCTGCTCTTTCGAGGGCTTGTTCGTTGCGTTCATTGTGCCTCCCAGAACAGCTCGTTGTTGGTGGTGGTGGTGGTTTTGGTGATGTTGTTGGTTTTAGACTTGCTGGAAGTGAACAGTGTTGCCTGAGATGTGAGGAAAGATATACCAACTCCCATACGAGTCGCCACAGAACTAAAATGATACCTCGGCTTGACGTCTTGAACTCTGTAGGCGATTGAGCAAGCGAAACCCGGCGTTGTGTACTGTACAAACAGACTTCGCGGGGAGCGGGCTCTGGTGAAATACCCGAAGGTGCCTGAACGGACACACACTCGGACCAAGGAGGAACAATGATGTCCGTGTGTGGGTGGGTTGGGGGGCGGCGGTGCAATCGAAGGAAAGGGGGCGGGGGAGGAGATAATACGGAGTACGAATTTACCAACTACGAGTCCTTCACGCGGTGCCCTTGAAGAAGCCGAGGCTGTGTAGAAAAGATAAGGACGTGCTACTCCGTATGTCCTGTATGTTATGTTTTCCAATCCCCCCTCGATATCTCGTACTGGTACTTGGTATTATGAAGGAACAAAGTCTACTTACTCAGAGTAACTCATTCCTCCGGCTATAGTGTTTGGTCCTCGGCTTCGCAGGGGAAAAAATGGTGGAGCCCAGACTTTCTCGTCCGGGATTCTCGACATCGCGAATGATTCCCAATCGGGTAGCAACATTCCGGTGGAGTCCACCATAGACCATCACTTCACCCTATGTACACACTTGACGCTCCGTCAAGGAGTACGAAACGTAGTCAGTGATAACGACACAAAAATTAAAAACACTTTTGTTGATCTAAGCCACCTGAATAAACAAAGTACCTCGGTTCAATGTGACTCACCAGGTTACATGACCACGAAACCTGTTGGAGTTCAAACGGGACTTTGTTGTACAGTGGCTTCTGTCGTCAGTGTCGCAAGAGGTGTACGAATCGGGGTAAGCCTTGGCCCTTTTACGCCTGTTGAGACGGGGATGGAAAAGTACCTTTCTACCCAATACGGGGTACGGAGTACGGAGCAGATACGAAAAGGCACACATGGCTGTTGAGACCAACCCACCAAGTTGTCAAAACCGAGGACGGTGTTCAGAAGACTGAGCCATGACCGTTTTGCCCCGTACCCATCCCCCCCATACCTTACCTTTCCTGAACAAGAACATAACACGAGGAAGAAACCCAAGTACATATTCCTGTCCAGGGCCTACTTCCCTAGGGAGGTACCCGCTTTAGTATATAGGAAATTGTATCCCGCCTTATTTTCTTCAGTTCTTACAATAACTTGACTTTTTGGACGGGTACTACAAGTCTACTAGTTATCAGTTACTAGCACTACACATTCTGTGTGAATACGGCAACAAGAGCTATTCGGAAAAGAATGGATTCTTCTCTCCAACCCCTCGTCAAAATCATACACTCATTGCTCGACCGACTACCTTCACGGGCACAAGACATCGTCAAAGCACCGCTGACTCGATACGCCTTGGGAGCATGGCTCGCGTTGCGGTTGTTGCGAGGTTTGAACAGTCAACTCTCACGGTACACTCTCAACAATTACACCACGCTGAGCAAATTCGAGCCAACCAACGAACTCGCCGTCGTCACAGGAGGCTCGAGCGGGATAGGATGGCAGATCATGAAGGACCTCTCGGCGTTGAACGTCAGAGTTGTAATTCTGGACGTCCAGGAACCAAAGGGACCCCTGCGTAAGTACGAAATTGTCACTGTCGTCCACGACGCTCCGTTGGAGAATGCCACATCTAACCAAAAAACCTTCATTTGCGGCAAAAATAGCACGTGGTGTATGGTTCTACAAGACAGACATCACGTCCACCGAAACTCTCAAGATCACGGCCGACAAGATCCGACGGGAACACGGTGATCCGACCATCCTGGTGAACAATGCCGGAGTGGGCAACGGCGGTTCCATCATCGACAAGTCAGAAGAGTTGATCCGACGGACGTTCGAGGTCAATCTGATGGCGAACTACTGGACCGTCAAGGAATTCCTGCCCGCCATGGTACGCAACAACCACGGCCACGTCGTCTCGATTGCGAGCGTCGCCAGCTTCGTCTCTTTCGCCCGGTCGAGCGACTACTGTTGTTCCAAGGTCGGCGTTCTCGCCTTCCACGAGGCCCTGACGCAGGAGATTCGGCACCAGTACGGTGCGAAGAGGATCCGGACGAGGTGAGAATTGGCCCTTTTCCGTGCAGGCACAGTGACGTCCACCCCGGCTGAATACTGACCCTTGCCCCACAAAATAGTATCATTCATCCGTTGTGGACGCGAACCCCCATGGTAGAGGCCTTGGAGAAGCAAGGAGCCAAGTTCGGGAACAACATCCTGAAGCCAGAGGATGTCTCAGGCGCCGTCGTCAAGCAGATTGTCTCCGGAAGTAGCGGTCAGATCGTCCTTCCAGCCAACCATCAGCACTTGGCCAGGTTGAGGGCGTATCCTATCTGGCTCCAGGAGTTCGTCAGAAACCAGCCATCAAAGATGTCGCAAAAGGCAGCACGTGTTTAACAGTAAATGGCCGGTCCTGCTTTTTGTTTGGTGGATGGAGATGGGTAGAATCTAATTTGAGATGGGAGAAAAACGAAGCATGGTTAGGAATGTTTGACATAGATCGCTTTGTAGGGTCAATTGGTTTGGGTGATAGAACTTAGCGTCGACGGGTCGGATGGACAGTAAGACATTCGCAGAATTTTATACCCAAGAAGTAGCCGACGATCCTCCTTCTAGTAGTAATCATCATACTTCGTCATCCGGTCGTTCAGGGTCAAGCAACCGTAACGAGAATTCCGACTGATCCTTAGGTTGTCGCTTCTTTCTTGATATCCAGTCCTTCAGTCGCGAAAAGAGTCCCTCGCTGTCCTTCTCCGCTCTTTGATTGACAAGGCGTCTCTTGACGACAGGGATCAAGCGCTTGACAGTGAATACTAACAGGCCGATGACAAGGGCAAGTATCAGGACCAGGCTGATCACAACAACCCATGGATTTATCCCTCTAAGACAACATCCATACATTGACATGTAGAACTCGACCGCACTCTTCAAAAGACTCCCTTTCGGCTTTTGGTCTGGCTCGATTCCTTTGCGTGCAAGGTGCTTGAATTTTGGGCCAGTCGGACCACTGTTGTACTTCTTCAGCCCAAAGTACGGAACAGTACTTTGCCGTGGATCGTCGTCGGGATACTGTTTGTCCCCCCAGCCACCATTGAAATACAACCAATCTGTCGGAGCTGATTCTGGCTCCAAGGCCACGAAGAGGTCGGTCGTAGGATCATATGAGTAGAACCAGGCAGGTGATACCGGATCCCAGATGCGACCTTTATCGGCGACATCGATCAAGGCGGAGTCATGTACGTGGCTCCTATCCAGTTGTTAGCCCTCAACGATATATCAGCATGAAGAAAAGTCCGGCGACACATTACCCTGCCGAAGGATAGTTGGCGTGTGAGCCTCTAGCACTGTATACAACTGGCTTTTTGCGCCAAAATAAGCACACAAACTTGTATTCCATAGAACGAGAGAGCCATATCTTACCCTATCACTTTGCATTGAAAGACAAGCTTCGTCCTCCCAGAGACAAACTTCGCCAAAGCCATGTTGACTGAACCACATACCATAAGGTACTCCATCCTTGAACCGGATCATGTTATGTTCCCTTGAGAAGAATAATTTCAGATAATGTTGGACTGGGAAAAGTAGTGATGTACATCTCCACTTACCAGTCTCCGACATGGTTTCCAAAATGGTCGCCTGGTTTAGCGTCGGGCAGAATTTTGTTCAAAGGTGGCACGACTTGTGTTATGTCGGCGCCCTCGTCAAAGGAGTAGAAGTAAAAGTAGAACGCATCCGTGACAGAACTGTCTTTCTCGACGAGAACGACAGCACATGCGGTAGAGTTGTGCAAGGCCCCCTTGGCGTCTGGTGTCTCTCCCAGCAGCCAGTCCGGCATTGAAGTAACATTCTCAATCGCCGTCAGGAACGTGTCCTTACTCAACCTGTTCAAAGACGACAAGTTGTCGAGATCCATAGCCGGGGAGTCTCGTACGGGCTTGAAACCGTCGTAGGGAGTGGTATGTGATACATGGCCGAGTATATCACTGGGCATCAACGAATCTTCCGAATGAAGCCATATAATAGGAGCTGAACAACAACATTAACACCACTCGCGTCAAGAACGTACATGGGGCATTGAAGAAGAAATGGCTTCCGACCAACATACCATGTTTCTTGACATAGTCTGGAGCGAATGAATTCGAGAGCACAAGTTGTGTAAATCCGATCAAAACAAATGCCGTTATTGCAGATATATACCCATGCATGGCCTGGTATGCCATAGCTCCTACCAGTCACGACAACTCAGCGCCACATGTCCACAAACTGCCAACCAAAAAAAATACAACCAAAATCATCAAAAGCCATCACACGCGAATGCACGGTAAGCTCGATATTGTCAGCATACCTAGAATGAGCTGTTGATGGCCGCGTGGTGCCGGACTTGCCGGGGGCACCCTACAAGGCTGTGATGACAAAATCTCAATCCACCAATAACTCCAAGTCTTGGCCAACAAGGCTCTACTTAACCACTTTCAAACTAGCGCGGGATTTTCTCCATCGAGCTCCAAATTTCGAGAAAAAGTATCACCCAAAGAATTTCGCAGTCTGCAACAAGAGAAGAGACAATCCAAGGTTATCTTTGTCGCCCAATTTGACTGAAAATATCAGCTCATCTACTCTCGGCACTTCCAACCCTTTCACCTTCTAATCCCACAAGGAAAACACACAAGCGAAGAGATGGCTTTCGGAGGCCCTCCACGAGGCCGCGGCGGCGGCGGTGGTGGTCGAGGAGCACCTAGAGGCGGCGCAAGAGGTGGTTTCGGTGGTGGTGGTCGCGGTGGTGGCTTCGGCGGTGGTAGAGGTAAGCCAGCAACATTTTGGAGGTGGCTGTGTCTACTCTCTAAAAACACAAAAGTGTCAGCGCAATGCATATACTAACCCCTTCTCTTCTCGTCACAGGCGCACCAAGAGGCGGTGCTAGAGGTGGTGGCCGAGGAGCACCTCGTGGTGGTCGAGGAGGACGAGGAGGTGGACGAGGCGGTGCAAAGCCTGGTATCAGAGGAGGTGCCAAAGTCATCATTGTATGCTCCTCCTTCCTCTCAGTGACCACCCGGCAAAGGAGAGTGAGCACAAAAAGTATTAACAAAATTTCTTTCCACGCCAGGAACCACACCGACACCCCGGCGTCTTCGTAGCCCGCGGCGGCAAAGAAGATCTCCTGGTGACCAAGAACCTCACCCCAGGCGAGTCCGTGTACGGCGAGAAGCGCATCTCGGTTGATGCAGCACCTGCTCCTGCTACCAACGGTTCCGCCGACGAGACCCCCGCAGCCACAAAGACGGAATACAGAGTATGGAACCCCTTCCGCAGCAAGTTGGCCGCCGGTATCCTCGGTGGTCTCGACGACATCTACATCCGTCCCGGCGCCAGCGTGCTCTACCTGGGTGCCGCCTCGGGAACGTCCGTCTCGCACGTCGCCGACATCGTCGGACCTACGGGCCGCGTGTACGCCGTCGAGTTCTCGCACCGAAGCGGTCGTGATCTCATCACCATGGCCACTCACCGCACCAACGTCATCCCCATCATCGAAGACGCCCGACACCCTCTGCGCTACCGCATGCTCGTCGGCATGGTCGACGTCATCTTTGCCGACGTGGCCCAGCCCGATCAAGCTCGTATCGTAGGCTTGAACGCTCACCTGTTTCTGAAGGTCGGTGGCGGTGTGCTTGTTAGTATCAAGGCAAACTGTATCGACTCGACGGCCAAGCCAGAAGTGGTGTTTGCCTCGGAAGTGAAGAAGATGCGCGAGGAGAGAATCAAGCCCAGAGAGCAACTTACGCTAGGTATGTCGTTCTGTTCCTTCTCGTCCATACCCATAAAATGAGCTAACGTGATTACCCAAACAGAACCCTTCGAGCGAGACCACTGTATCGTGGCTGGTATCTATCAGCACAGCGAACAGTAAATTGTCCCGTCGACCTTTGCACCATTGATACACCAGCCAACGAGGCCGCCTCAAGTTGCTTGGTCGAATCCAAGCTAGATTTAGCTCTCTGTTCGCCCCGTAACTCACGGTGTCTCCGGTCTGATGTGTGAAGTACTGTACAATCCTCTCGTCATCTCGGGATAGCCTGAGCCAGCGAGGAGGGCCTGATTGATCGAATTGCAAATATGCGGCAGGCAAAAAGGGTGTTGTGTTGTATGGATGGAGAAGTCATTCGCCACGCCGAATGGTCCAGTCCGAGGGGTTTGGGGACCGGAAGTGGAACACGGAAGCCCAATGGTCATGTTTCCTTCCTGTATGAAGTGGCAATGCTTGAACTTGAAAAAAAGGGCGTTCACGGCGTTTTCGATGCGTTTGTTGGCAAAGGAGCCGGGCAATGAACTATTTTACAAGACGTCTTTAGGCTAGGTTTTATTTTTGGTAGAATGACCGTGTGAAACAAAAATTTGTGCACATTACGGACATCCTCAGGGAGAGATCATAAACACAGTCCGAGGACACTGACCTTCGAGGGGAGCTGTCGTCTCGGGATATGACTTTCTGACCGCGCACAGGAGTAGAAGAAACGACACGCACGACGGGAGGAAGAAAAGGGGAAGACGGATATACGTTGCCGAGCAAAAGTGCGAATTTGCGCAATGTATTCTCTGGGACTGGCACTTGCAGTTGCCACTGAAATTTGGTGCCTGATATATTCTACCTGTGCGTTTTGTGTCCCAGCACCATGCATCTTGCCATGCGAACTGGCAGCCAGAAAATGATTCAGGCTTCCTTCTCATGTCTCGTATACGGCGTAGCCATGACGGCCACATTTCCCCTACTCCTCACTCCGTTGTAGCCGGGGGAGGTTGATCATACGCTTGTTGGACAACAAAGTCGCTGGGGCTCATCTCGGAAAATGCTCGTGAAACGAAATGACCAGAGCCATTGGTGATGTAGACCTCGACCACCATGATGACGCTCACTGGTCATCTCTCGTGATTACAGGGAGAATCTTCGCCATGGTGTGCGTTAGGCAATCAATCCCATTTGAGTTTTCAAGGAGTAACGACAGTCTTCACTCGAGTGAGAGCATGACTGGTATACCAGGCCTCTGACCTATACTCGGACAAAAGCTGTGATTACCCCATTAGCAATGGTCCCAATTCCCTGTTCGAATCTTGCACATGAAATTTGTACTTACTGGCATCGATTTGTTTGACCTGTGGTAGAGCCAGGCGAACCTTGTTCCTATACACGGCAGGACCGGACAGTTGTAGAGGGTTCATTTCGAAATACACCGTCTCCAGGTTTTCCTTGTCGGCCAGTTCTCGTTCGACCTCTCTGAAGTCGGCGAGTTTATTGCTGCTGGCCCACAACTCTTCGAGGTCCTTGAGATGACCAATGTTCTCCAGATGAGATATCTGGTTGCTCGAGATATCCAACACGCGAAGTTTCTTGTTGTTTGCGAGGGCCGATGGGTCGATCCCAGTGATACCGTTGTGCGAGACGTACAGTTCTTCCAGATTCGACAGCTCTTCAAGACCTGTGATTGAAGTAAGGCGGTTCGACTTGATGTCCAGAAGCCGTAGATTCGTCAACGGCGATAGATTCTTGATCTCGGTGATCTTGTTCTTGCCTAACCACAATTCCTGTAGGCTCTTTAGAGGATCTAGGTTCTCAATTTCACGGATCCTGTTCGCACCCAATTCTATCAGGGTCAAATTCTCCAGACCATCGAGATTCTCGATCCTGGATATCCGATTCTGGACGAAGAATGCCTGTGTCAATTTGTTCAGGTGGTTCAGATTCTTGATGTGTTTGATCTTGTTGAAACTCAGGTCCAAGCTCGTCAGATTCTTCAACTCGTCCAGTCCCTTGACGTGGGATATCAAGTTGTCATAGAGATCCAGCTCTTCCAACGAGTCACCAAAGTTCTCGGGCAGAGATATAGATGTGATGGCGTTCTGGCGTAGACACAACCTCTTGAGTTGCGAGAAACGCTCGAGTTTGAGGGCAGAAATGGAGGAGATGCGGCAGTGGACAAGATCGACATCTTCGGAGTCTAGAGGATAGTCGTCCAGGAGATCTTCGTCCGCATCGATCTGCTCGGTGGGAGGGGCTTCGGGGTCAGAGTAGTCTGGATCGGAGAGAGCCTCCGGATTGCTGAGGACTGCATGGCGCGAAGGCATGCGCAGTTTCCCATCCCATCCATTGCTATTGACCAAAGGTGCAGACGAATGCTGGTGCGAGGAATCTGAGGGAGGAAGTTCTATGTGAGGGTGAACTTGGTGATCGCCTTGACCTTCAGGCTGCGACTGGCCCTCTGAGGCCTGTTCGACCATGACGTGGGGAATTGGCAGGGCTTTTGCAGACGTTTCAGAGGTTCCTAAATGGCATGCGTTGAATGTGAAATTATCTAACCAGCGCAAAGGAAGGGTAGCGAGTCCGACAGTGTGTAGTTGAAGACAGCGGGGTGTGAGATGTTTGCCACAAAGTATCGTGCCACGCGATCAGGTCAGATCGAACGAGATCGTCACATGCAAGGTACAAAAGTGCATTTATAACATGCATAGAGAAGTGGTCACATTCAATACGCCCAGCAGACCCTACAGCGTTCTTCGTCTTCTTTACGAAACAAAACTTCAATAGGCACGAAAAAACTCTTCAGAATTCTGGCAGAACTGGCCAGTGGTCTTGAATGGACAGGAGCAAGAAGTGATCATTTATTCCTCAGACTCCTTCACAACGCGCCGTATTCATCTGTAATCCTTCTTTTCACAAAGCTCGAATCAACTCCGAGGCCGTTGTCGGTATTTCTGCTATCAAAGCTTGAAAGATGGGATAGCCTTGCATGGTGATTTGCAACCACTTGTCGGTACTATACAAAATATGACTGAACTTGAGCTTTTGTCTGCATCCCGTGTACCCGCTTGTCCGTGTTTTGCCAGATAAGTCTAGGAGAATCTCTTCGTAACCTTCGCGATGACTGTAGAGGGTGTTAGCTGTGATTTCTTCGATGACAAACCTCCAATTGGCTGTAGTAAACACATACGATGCAAGGCGACCACGCTGAAAATGAAACCCAAACTCAGAAACAAAATAACCATGGGGTCAACCTTGAGCCCTGGGCTCTCGTCGGTGTATAGCCTCAGCATAGTGCCTGAGGAACCACCTGCGCCGGCGGCGCGTGTTGAGGCTGGTCGAGCATTCTTGACTGATTCCTTGTGGTCGGCAGCTGCGCGACGTCGAATAGCAGATCGAGGACCTCCAGGAGGCGAGCCTGCGCGTGCGATCGAGGACGAACCACTGGTTTTGGCAGCGGACGGAGTGGAATCGGGACCGGATTCAGGGCCAGAGGTCAGAGGTGAGGAGGGTCTGGGAGAAGCCTGAAAGCCAATGTTAGCACCGCATGCTCTTGCAATCTGGCTTGAAGCACATGTTGTGCCTCTGAAACGGAGGATAGGTGATATTGAGCAAGGAGAAGGAAGAGCCGTACCATGGCTGGAAAGAATTGTAGGGGTGGGCAGTGATCTCGTGCCGCGACTTGTGGGCGACTGCGCGAAGGTAAACGAAGAAGTGCTCAAGTGATTGTTCCAAAGACTATCGAGCGCATGAGATATCGACGCGCAGTTGCTTTGCAAAGGAATGTGAGTTGCGGGTTGTGGTTTGAAAGGTGATTGTGGTTGTGGACACTTTTACCAAACGACTGAAATTCTGGGGAAATTCGCAGCACCAACAGCTTCCGAAGTTCTGGCCAGCGCATCCCAGCCTTGTACAGTACTGTACATATTGTAACCCCTGGAATGCCCAGTAGCCCCTGTCACTTTCTGTCTCTCAGAGCTTTGCCCTCCTGACTCTATGCATCCATGCATCATACTACTGTAACACTCCCAGCATGCCCTAATGACCTAGGTAGCCATCTTGTTCTACCTCGCCGTGTGAAGAACAATCCCTAGCGGACTACATCATGACCGCAGCCTTCACCTCCACCACGTGCAAGCTGACTTGCCATCAGTGGCCAACCATCGTGATTATAGGACACAATGCTCATGCTGAATTCAGTGATAGGTCCATGCGACCCTTTGGCTAACAGAATCTCCCTGATAGTGCTTGAGTAGCCGTGATGCCCTGACAGCAGGTAAATTTGATGAGACGATTTGTTATTTTGCCAGGAATAAATGTGTTAGAGTGAGTGTAGAGTGAGTGGTATGATCCTTTCCGATAGCCATCAACAGGATGACATTCACACCATTGTAAGGCGAAGTGTTTTACAACGAACGACAATACTGACACACAATTAGAAGCCCACGTTTGTCAGAGACTCGTGAACAGCAACACTATGAGCAAGCAATCCTGCATAAACACTACCGTCCAGAGCAGGTTGGCAGCGACGGTAACTATTTGGCTAATGATATATCACCAAGGATGAATGACGCAGAGAACGAAGCAACAGGCTCAAATCATAGTTCTAGAATCAAACACAGATTCCTGTCGTTCTGGGAGAAGAAAGTTGTTCCCGCTTTCCCCGAGGCTGTAGCAGACATCACATTATTGAAGGCGACGCTGAAAGTCGAAGCGATGGTTACCAAAGACATCAGGGATGCGACTAAACACCCCGAAATTGCTCAAGTTGCTACTGTTAGACGGGGCTTTGAGCTCTCTCCTCAAGAAGTGGCATTTCGAGAAGCCAGGAAAGCTAGGGTGAAAGATGCCTTCTGTCGGTACTTGGGTCTTGATGCAGCAGAAGTACATATTGACGACGTGCCCATTGTGGCTTTTGGAGGCTCGGGTGGCGGATACAGGGCCATGCTGGGTCTGCTTGGATATTCCCATGGGATGAAACAGTCTGGGTTATGGGACTTACTCACCTACGTTGCTGGCGTGAGTGGCAGTTGTTGGTCGTTGGCCGCCTATTACACATGGGCAGATGCAAGTATGGAAGCGGTCATTGAACATTGCAAGAGAAGGCTGAGCCCATACCATCCCTTATCACCCGAAGCTATTAGAGATGTCCTCCATTCGCCGGGTGGCCCGACAACTACCATTGGGCCCATCGTGCAAAAACACCATTCTGGTCTGCATACAGTTGCCATGGACCTATACTCAGTCTTTACTACCGGGCATCTCTTCTTGCGAAGCGACCCGAACATAGACCCGAAGGGCATGGGAGTTAGAAAAGAGGTTGCAGGATACCACGACCAATGGTATAAATGGTCTTCCGCATAACGATACATCAACGATGGAACAGAGCCTTTGCCCATCTTGACAGCTATCCGTCATGAAAGACCCTGGAAAGACTGGGCAGATGCAGAGCATCCATTCGTGCATGCAGATCCCCATACGAAAGAGCAGCAGGAAGCTTCGGATGCGTGGTTCAATTGGTTCGAGCTTTCTCCCATCGAGGTTGGATGCGACGAACTGGAGGCCTGGGTACCTACCTGGGCTTTCGGTCGACCCTTCGAACGAGGCCAGGATGTTATGCAACTTCCTGAGCAGTCTCTGGCCTTATTGCTAGGTCTTTGCACAAGTGCACCAGCAGGACCGTTGACGTCTTATTTAGCAACCATCAAGAGAAGCCTGCCTTCGGGGTTCATTGGCAATTCTATACAGGACATGGCAAAGGGTATCACGAGACTCTGGGGCCGAGAGGGAACCGAAGAGTTCCAAGGACATCATCCTCTCCATGCAGTCAACGAGCACAACTTTATGTTCCATCTGACAAAGTCTGAGGCTCGAGAGCAGCCATCACCGCCAGTCGAGAATTCACCAAGGATCCATCTGATTGATAGTGGCATGGACAACAACTGTCCCACCTATGTCATGCTGCATCCCCGCAGATACGTTGATGTCGTCCTGAACATGGACGCATCGAGCGACGTATTGAAAGACAGCTTCCAAGAGCGTGTTGATCAGATTGCCAGTCGCAGAAGTCTAAGATTTGCCAGGCGGTCCCCGAAGCCGAAGCCAGACCCGGAGTCGGATAAGGCGAACCAGTTCAAGGGGCTTTATGCGCAAATATATGATGGCAACATTCTTGTCGATAGACCAGAAAAGGTTGTTGATTCTTACGGGCATACAGTCACAAACCCACCAGCACCTCCTTGTCTTCACAAATCAACGATGATATACATGCCGCTTCTGCCAAATGAAACTGCGGTGCCAGACTTCGACCCGTCCACTGCCAAATTCTCTGGCTCGTACAACCTTGTCTGGACTCCTGAACAAGTCGAGATGCTCATCACAGTATGCCTCGCAAATTTCGCGGATAGTGAAGATAACATCAAGGATGTTCTGCGCGAAGCATGGCTCAAGAAGAGGAAACAACGGGAAGGTGGTGACGCCTCCGTTGCCCTATGATGCGTGGATGTCAGCCGTAGTCCGATTGAGAGAATCCTCAACATGATCCATCATCCGCACTTTGGATAGTGTCAGATTCCAAATTGAACTGTTTGGTGGTAATTGGCTGTGCTATCTGACCATCCTGTTTGTAACCCAGTGTGCCTGATGCGGCTGAGCGCTCTCCAATGGCACCTTCTTTCAGCTGACTCCTTCCTCCCCACCATATATCAAGGTACTTCACTGCATCGTTCCTGCCTCGACAGTGAGTGTAAGGGAATTCAGGCCAAATTCATTGCGCTCATTAAATTTGTGATCCGAGATGTACTTACTCAACACCCTCATCTCGAAGACACAACGGTGGTTATTCTCTCCAAACACCATCGACGCCGCCGACATGGGTCCCACCAAAGTCATGCAAGCAATTACCTCGGCTGCGGCCATTCTAGCCACAGCGTCCCCTGCAGCAGGCGGCCTAGTCGTCGATACCGCACCAACCACGCCTCAGCCCTACGTCCTTCCCAACCTGAGAGGCAGCGCAGTCGATTTCGGTGGCCTCATCATCCGAACTCTCGTCCCAAACACCACCTCATGTGGAAGTCTCTCTATCGTCGGCGTCAACTCTGGCCCGTCTCCACTCAATCTCATCCACTACCACAAGGAATTTGAAGCCTTCTACGCACTCAAAGGCGGTGTCCAGGTCTTCCACAATTCAAACCAAGGTCGTCAAGTTCAGGCCAATGACTTCGTTCTTCTCGCCCCTGGAAACAATCACACCTACCGTCCAAATGACCTTGACTTCCAGCTCAGTCTGTGTATGGCCCCCGGTGGCATTGACGAATTCTTTGCGGCTACCGGTGTGCCCTATCAATCTTCTGCACCATTCAATCCCGAGGATCAGTCTGAGCTAAACGTCACCAAAGTCTTGAGCTTGATGCCCAAGTTCAACATCGTTCCTGAGCCATACAATACCATCAATATCGAATGGATCAACGGTACCACCGCAGATGGGTTGGATACCTGGCATATTGCGGATCAAACCTTGCCTACCGACCCTTCGAAGCCATACTTCATATCCAGCAACCGTGGCCCAAAGTACCTGCAGCATGGCTCGAACAAGGTGATTGCTCAGCTTGCCAGCGGTAAGCAGACGAACGACAAGCTCAGCATTGCAACAATCACCATGAAACCCAACCAACCATCTGCCCAGATCAAATTCAGCGTCGATCAAGCGTTACAAGTCACCGAGGGCCAGGTTCATCTCCAGATCGGCAATGACACGGCGCAATTGATCTTTGGTGATTTGGCTTTCATTCCCAGAGGCACGTACTTCAGATATTGGTCTACCGTTGGTTTCACCAAGTTTATCAATTGGTCCGCCGGTCAAGGTCTAGCCGATAGCCTCATTGAACAGTCTCAGGAATGGAGTCATGCTACTTGGCCGGCATGATAGCTATTCTCGAGCTTGAATTGCGCGAGCATTACTTCTCTCGGGCACGATTAGGCAGATGCATCATCTTCTATTCAGATGTGACGATATGATGACACGCATGCTACCACAGCATGATAAACGGCGCGAAGGAGTTTTGGCATGGATGATGAAACAGTTTTAAACCATAGCATGCTGATAAGCTCCATATCTTAATAGAGTAATTCTATTTGAACCCTGGTTCCATTTCGTGTCGTGAAATCGGTGACAATGGAGGTTGTTTGTAGTACTCGCAGCCATCAACGCTCTGCCTTGGTTCTGTGGACGCAATGCACCGAGTATCGCGTCTGTGTTGATGTTTTGGTCATTTGTATTTCCACAAGTGCCACGGATTAGACAAGTATTGTATACGTACTGTACATGCTGTTTGTGTGCGAGAAAAGGAGAGTTTATCTTGAATTTGGTATTTTCGATAATGATGATCAATCCCGTCCAATCTAGTATGCGACCTGAAGTGATGCCAGAAATCGTCCTCATGATACAACCATTCCGCTACAGCAGGAAAGGGGGGAAAGGAAACAAAGTACGAGTAGTTAAACATACAATGCTTGACAGAATGATACCTGAGGTAGGTAGGTAGGTAGCCGGAGGTTTTTCCTTGTTGTTCCTTTCAAAACTTTCCCATAAGAGCTTGAGATCCCATATGCTTTCCTGTCAACCAGACGGTCTTCCAAAGGTTACCAAAATCCAATGTACTACTAAAAGTATCCGCGAAGCCTAAAGGTACAAAATTGTTTGTTAGCGAGCGTGCCGTGGTGGTCGTCGTTCTCCTCATGTTCTGAAAACAGTGGCATACAGACGAAGAAAGGGGGCGGGAGTGTGTGTGTGAGTGAGAGAGAGAGAGCAAGTGCTTACCGAATGGTAACATGGCAGGAATCCAACCTTGGGCGAGTTCCAGGGCGAAACAGGGACCTGGCATCGAATACTGTCTGGATGTAGCGCCACGGGGTAAATGGTTTTGATCTCCTGCCCGGTAGACTTGTGCCGTCAGGTCACCCGGGCCCGCAAAGTGTTCCTCGCCGACCAAGATGGTAAAATAGTCGTCGGCCATGTGTACACCGGAATGACCCTCTGTCAACAAGGCGGTACCGAAAAAGATCAAGTATTCCGTCAATGAAGCGTGTAGAATCACCATGGTGCCCTTTGTATTTGTCAGTTTTTGGCTATTTTACCGAGTAACTTTCTTCAGAAAAAGAAGGGGGGGAAGGCATAAACGTACCATGGCACCACCGGCATTGTTAAAAAACCAATCTTCCTTTGTCCAGTCGTCGACAATGGCACTACCGTATTCCGCCTTCAAATCCTCGGTGATTTGCCTCATCATGGGTAAGGTGTCGTTGCCGTGAACCGCGATGGCATTCTGAGATATCTGTTGTAACTTGACAGGGTCGAAAACGTAAGCCTTGTGGAGGTTCTGGTCGAGAAAGTAGAATATAGGTAGGAGCAAGGCCCCGAAGAACAAGAGTCGTGTCGAGAGCATTATTTCCTCTGCTCTTTGGGGTTGTTTTTTTTGTCCCTGGCGAAACTCGACAGTTCTTCTTCGTTTTCTTTTTTTCCAAAGAAAAGTAAATGCAAAATTGAAAAATTGAAAATGAAAAACGAAAACACAAAAGTGCCCTTGTTTGACAGGCTTGGAGGTGATTGTAAGGTAAAAGTCAATGGGCTTGAGCCTTGTAAAAAGAGTTCGCTCTGCTTCAGCGATTATCTATCTACCGTAAATACGGAGTATAATTTTTGGGTCGGAAAAGGTCTTCCCCTGGTGGTACCACTGAGATTCGGGTGGGTTTTCGGTACGGGGTAGTAAAAAGATGGTGTCAAGCCTACCTAAACGAATGTGCCCTGACTAGTAGGTCTCTAGGTGAAGCTTGGCCCCTAGGAATAACGGGTACGGCCGATGAACCGCCCCCGGAAGAGGGCATATTGTCGCCGGTACGGATGCGAGTACGCCGCCCGAGGAAGCCGTATGTAAGAGCGACAATAATGCACAAGTCGTAATAACCTGGAATGCAAGGAGGCTGAGCAATAAATTTATTGCATACCTACTCCGTACATTCCTTGCTTACGAGCATTTGTCGAATAGCAGCGTACTCGTATATCATCACCACCGCCACCACCACCAACAATAACAACAACAACTATCGTGACATTCAAAATAACGAATACCACCGACACCCATCATGAACTGCTTTTCTGTAATACGAGTCAGAGCATGATCGGTCTATGCTAAGAGCAGCATCAACTCTTATCCCTCCACGTCGATTAAATCATGGCACTTTTAAAACATTTTTCATTCCCATCCACGAAAACGCGTCGATCGTATCTCGTAGCTATCGGAAACATATTCTGGTCATGTTTCATGTAGGTTTCTAACATTTCATTTGGCGACCTTGAGCGCATACTTCCTGGACAATACACCACTGATTTTCCGGCCACCCAACTGCCCTGGTGGCGTGGAACATCATGTCAACTTTTCGCGGCAACAATCCCGGAAACGAGATTATCGGCAATAGTAGTTACACTGATGCATTCAAGACGATGATGCGAGTTGGAGGCGGCTGGGGGACAGTTAGGTAGGTGTAGAAAACTCCCCCTTTTCATATGTGCTGCATCGAACCGTCTCTGCGTGGGTTATACGCGAGATCTGGAAAGCTAGAAAAAGCTCCAAATACCTTGAAACTCAAAAGCTGACCTTTGTCCGCTCGCTCAGTGGTCCAGGCTTGTTGTAAGTGCTGCATTCTCTCAAAGCTCGACGGCTTTGTGCTAGTCATGAGCCTTGGATAGCTTCCATCTTACGTATATCCTGATCTGTACTTGTGTCGGCCACTGACGAAACACCTCTTTGGGCCACAGCATGGTCCGCGTCATAATTTCCGGCACCGTTGCATCGGTGTTTATGGGCATGACTGGTGCTACAATCGGCGCCATGATATTCGACACGGCAACCGTCCCGTTCGTCGCTTCCGCATGTACGGGGTTCGTGCTCGGGACCTTGGGTTTCTACCGGGACGCCGTTCGCAAATCCCTCCGCAGCCTCGATCGGTATCCTCGCCTGTTGCAATTACATCTGGACGCGAACTTCCCACATCGTGGTTTCGAGACATGGCCAGCCAGCCGCTTCAGAAGTTCCGAGTTTCGGCAAAGCTGGGTATTGCGAAGTATGTTGGTCGCCAGTTGGTTGACAGCGACACATGCAATTGATGTAAGTCGCTCGTTATTGTCTACCTCTGTCACTGGATGAAGCTATGTGGCGTATCTTTCTTGACCTTTGCTAATGTATCTATCAGCGAATCTTGGAGGCCGAGGAGGAAGGTATCCTGGCACCTTTTACGAAATCAGCCCTCGAACCAGAGATAGAGGTTGCAGATTCTAGCACCAAGCACTCATAATGTGTATATGAGCTTGAAGGAGCCCATAGTCATGTATATACAAGCAAGCAACACGGATGTCCCTCTGTTATGAAGCCTTTGTTCCGACAAGCCGACTGATCGGTAACATATAGGGCAGGGGTCAAAAACTTTCTATACGATTGAGGCTTTTCTCTGTAGGTACCGGATGAGGTCTCGATCGGCTTAGTCTGAGGGCTCGAGGCTAAACGTTGTTCGCCACAAACAAGCGCTCTTTCAGATACACTACGAAAAGGACAAAAGAATCACTACGGGAAATAGGACTATTACAGCAGGAGTGTTTGAAACTAGTGAAAGGTCTGGCGTGGGAAAGAACGTTGTAAAGACGCGTCTGACGGAGTTTTCCGAGAAGGAAAGCACTCTGCCGGTCAACACCATGTCTGGATGCAAAAACCGCTATATCAGTTGCCGGATAGAATGCCAAGTCGGAATTTGGTCAGACCAGTAATGGCGAAGCTCCCATCAGACTAGACCAAATATTCACAGCTGGAAATTCTTTGTCTGAACTCAAGCTTCACAGCATTCCAACACTGCTGCCTTCATGAGTTATTCACTCATTCTCCTTGATCATCGATTTTTCCCAATTGCCTCCATGATCCTTGACGGCCTCTGTGTAGAGGCAGCTTCGGTCGCTAAAGATCCGGTAAGCTCCAACTCCGTCAATAGATAAGAGCTGCGAAGATGGCCCGAGAGAATCAAGTTGTCATCGCTCCTGATCAGAATTCCTACCTTTGCAATTCCTGTGGCAATCGTTCCTTCAAATCGGAACATTCATTACTTCAACATTGTCGGTACGCAGCATGCCACCAAGACGAGTGGTGTGAGAGATGCCGATGGCTATTTGTCTCTTCACACGCCCGACAGAATCATGTCGAAGCATCGTCGCACCATTGGGACTGTCACCTGTGCAATTATTTCGACGGCTTGGATCGAGAGAGCCTTGTCGAACACCTGGCAGATGAGCACGGCTTCTGCTGGGACTGCGAAGCGTCCTTTCGGTCTTACGAGCAGCATCGTAGAAAAGATCACAATCGATGCGCCGACTGCAGCCAGGAGTTTGCAACTCGAAACGCGCTTTTGATGGTAAGTCGTTCATCCTTGGGGCTTTTCGGCAAACCCAGAATGTGCTAACAATGCCTCGTTCAAAGCACGCGCAAGTCCATATGGAACGCAATGAAGAATGTTATGGCTGCGACAAGATGTTCAAGAGTCCATCCGGTATCCTCATCCACCTCGAATCAAGGACTTGTCGCTCAAGAGTCACTCCAGCACACATTGAGCAATGGGCGTTCGACTCCTGGAACAGCGGCAGCTATACCAACCACCGGTCGAGTCACAACAAGTATCGATGCCCCGAGTGCGACATGAATTTCCCCAAGGTCAGCGCATTGTTGCAACATGTGGAGAGTCCAGCCTGTAATGAAGATTATGGTGCCTATTCTGATGTGGAAGCATTGCGAGCTCGCATCGAAAGACACGTCGGAGATATGCTGGATGACTGGAGTGATGATTATTCGTGGTAGAGGTAGTAACTCTTGGTCGAGTGAGCAATCCAGCTGGCGATGAGTGATCTCAAGTCATGTATGAGGAACGAATACGTTGAGGATCATTGAGCGTTTGGGGTGCTACCCTCGAAATTGGACAAAATGGGAAGTGGCGTTTATCTTTCATGTACGGAGTACAACCATGCGAACTCATTATTTTCTGCCTCACTTTCCACTGTGCTGACTTTATTCGTACGGATAGGAGTAACTATGATGCTTGTTCGAGGGCATGAAGACAGAGCACCTGACAAGGGACCCAAAGTCGGGGCTCATCACTGACCGGTCCGACTGGGACCGGTACACGTCATACTCGGCAACTGGGTACAATTACCCCGGATTTCTAAGAAGAGGGGTAAGTTAGTGTACAGTACAGTACGGCGTACTACTGCAAACACTTAGCCACTACGAAGTCTTCGCACGCGTACCCATACATACAGTATGACGGGCTCTTACATTGACCTACGGAGTAATTGGTAAAAGATACGTCGCTTACCAACCCAACTTCTTACCCTTGCTATTCGTAGAGGACTCGTACTCGTAAGTACTCGGATGCAAGCAAGCACTGACCTCATCCTTGACATGGTGGGGAAAGTACGTGTTGTACTCCGTACCTTGGAGGTATTTTCCTCCCCATGGTCTACTGTAATACGAGCACAAATCACACGTGCCCTTATTCTACTTCGTTCCTTACTCCTCTTTCATCCCTCCTCGTCTTGTGGGTTGAACCTCGTATCTTTCTCAGTTACTGTTCCCAACCTCCTCCTCCTCCTCCTCCTTATCAGAACGAACATCCATCCCACGACTACTACCTCTGAATTTTATCTTTAGTTTAGTTGATCTTGCTCAGAGTCAAACCTACAATCTACGATAACTCACCACCATGTCTTCATCATCCTGGCAAGATCGTCGCTTCATGTTCCCCGCGGGCCGTGAGGTCCATCAGGGTTCACGTCGATACAGCGGTAGCAACAAGGACTCGGATCCTTCTGTCAGTACTGCTGCTGCTGCTACTGCTTCCGCCGTTGCTGCGGACTCTGCCGTCATTGATTCCCAACCTCCTCCTACCACCACCACCTCCACCTCCACCGCCGCGGCCGCAATGCCTACCGGAAAGATCCTCCCTTCTTGGGAAGGAGACCGAAGATTCATGGGTACAGTACCCAGGGAGATACACGAGGGTGCCGGAGCTCGTCGGAATTCCCAATCCAGTGACAAGAGCACGGGAAGTACGGGATTCGCAGGGGCCGTCAAGACCTCAGCCTCACCACCGACGTCTCCAGGTGGTGGGATCGCAGCTGCGATAGCGGGTAGAAGAAGGGTACGTTACTGAACACCAGGTCTATACAACCACCACCACCACCATCATCGTCATCACCATGACCACAAAATGACATGACCCCCCAGCCCTCCCCTTAGGCATGTTTTGTCTGTGATTGAGCCCAGAATCCTATTCACTCCAACATTCATTCTGGCATTCCCTTACCAGAGAGTCCAGAATAAGTACTGACATTCACAATTTCTCAATAGTCCTCGGCTTCCAATGGTGGTGTGTTCAGTGGTCTCATGGCCACTCGCAGCGGCAAGGATGATTACGATCAACGCCGTCAGGGTTGGGAAGACATGAAAGCTCCAGGTGGACTGGGTGGCTTGTTTGGAGGATTCGTCAACAAGTCTGGAGACAAGAAGTGATTTTCGAGACTCACTCCCTCTTTACGTCTTTCGGTTCGAAAGTTTGGACTCTTCCAAAGAGAATGGATACCCCCCGAATTGAGAATTGGAAATCCCCACTAAGTAAAACACCCACAAAATGAAAAAAGAAGAAAATCCAAAAGAAAAAAGGGAAAAAAAGAAACAAAAAGGAAACAAAAAGAAGGGAGGGCAATACTCTCTGACAAAACACGCGTTCGAAGGGCACACCGGAAACAGTGAAAACAGTGGAGGGAGGAGTTTATGTAGTATATTCAGACAGTCAAGTATTTGATTTCAACTCTTTGACAATAACAACTCGTGTTCTCTGTCCTTGATAACAAACATGTTTGGTAAACGTTGTAACTGTGACGAGGATACAATGTATCTCGATCAAATGGATTGCTTAATGTCATCTACCTCGCCGTAACAAAAAAGGGTATCAATAATTCAAGTGTGCCACACATCCACATCCCACACATCGACCACATCTTGAAAACGAGACACCAAAAAGGGGTATCGTCACATCAGAGTAACAAGTACTTTCTCGCAAACCTGTTCCAAGTCCACCCTATTCAGTCTTGACGGTGGTCTTCTCCTCTGGCGTGGCGGCTCCGCTGGTCTCGTCGTCCCCGACGGCACTGACGCGACCATGAATGGCCGGATGTTTCTTGCCCGAGATATCCAAGATGATCGACTTGACGGTGTGGGCCATTGTCTTGCGTCCCTGCCACAGCGGGAACAATCCCACGGCGAAGGTGCTGCAGAAGAGCCACAGGATACCGACGACGACCCAACCTGAAATTACACGTCAGCCCAAACACTCACGCACATGGGATCTGAAACATGTCGGGGACATGGTACAGACACCACAATAGCCTACCGGTAAAGAACTTTTTGCTAAAGACGTATCCACTCCCGTACATGGGCATGGGCCACAGTACCAACAAGGCGACGGTCATGAACGCGGTCAGACTTCTGGCGATGATGGCCGCCTTCTTGAGCTTCTTTTGCTCCACGGCCTCTTGCTCGGCCGTCTCGTCCGGGACGTCGGCGGTGGGTACGACGTCGCTCTCGACACTCACGCTCGCACGACGGATGATCTCGCTGTCGTCGCCCTTGCGGATGGCCCTCATGCTCTGCCAGTCGTAGTTTTGCTGGCCGAAGGCAAACGTCAAGACCGGGACGAAGATGAGCGGGCTGAGCAACGCCGTCACGTTGCCCGCCAGCATGGGGTTGTTGCTCCCCGTGCAGTCGACGTTCAGGACGCCGCACTCCTTCTTCGCCGTGACGAGCCAGGCCACGAGGGCACAGGCCAGACCGAGCACCGGGGCGCCGGCCGCGGCCTGCCAGTTCTGGCCCTTCCACATCAGCGACAGCGTGGCGGGAATGACGGCGCTCGAGATGATGCAGCCCATCATCAGGTACAAGTACCCCATCGAGACGCCGGCGTAGAAGAGCCCCGTCGAGAAACTGGCGAGGATGAGCGCGTAGACTATGCAGGCCACGTGCGACATGCGGATCAGGAACTTCCCGCTGGCCTTCGGGTTGATGTAGGTCTGGTAGATATCGTACGTCCAGATCGACGAGACGGCGATGAGCTCCGCCGACGACGCCGACGTGACCGCCATGAAGATCAGCAGGAGCGTCGCGCTGGCACCCCCCTTTCCGAGGAGGGCCACCGCCGCGTACGGCAACACCAGACCGGCAGAAACGTCTGATTGCGCCATTCGATTCGGATAGGTTGGAAAGACCGGGTTGTTCTCCAGAGCGAGAGCCGCTAGTCCCATTGTGGTGGCACATAGCCAGGGGATGGCGAACCACGACAACCCTCCCATGACATATCCTGGCAATGCGTCGACCGGAGAAGCTGCGATTGCCTTGTTGTAATATCCGTTGTCCAAGAAGACGGTCCTATAATTTTCTTCCGTCAGAGATATTCTTCAATACAGTAGGGGGGTTCAACGTCAATCAGAAGAATTGACCAAAACCTTACCCAAAATTGCCCACGATGTTGATGACGAAAAAGATGGCTCCCTCTCGAGATTGCATGGTCAAATAGCTACCTTCGTGATTGCCCTTGACCGGGTGTCGTTTCGCAGCATCGACCAGAAGTTCCCAGACTTTGCCCGGGGAGCCTGCAACTTCGTTTGTGGCATAAGCTGAGAATGCAAAGACGAATATGATGACCAGGATGATAACCGTATGGACATAATCAGTCAAGAACGTCGCCTTGATTCCTCCAAACATCGTCTGAGTACATGAAGCATTCGTTAGCATTGAGAGACTGTCGTGGCTCATCCGAGGTTGCGACGGTGCATCCATCTTCAGGGGTCGGAAAAGCACGAGTGAATGAGGAAAATGGCCAGAAAGTGCGTGCTTACGTAAAGAACAACGCCAACAGGGAGCAGGAAACAAGCTGCCGCTGTGGGAACACCACAGAGAGAGCTGGCCACCGCGCTACCACCGGTCAAGAGCATGGCCGTAACCAAGATGTTTGTCATCAGACCAAATGTCAGGAAGACAATGTGCGTGACGACTCCGTATCTAGCCTTGATGACTTCGAGGAAAGTATGCGCATTTGGAGCTCGACGCTTGAGCCTGAGAGCTTGTCAGGATCGTAGGTGGAGAGGAAAAGTTTTGAGGTGAGTATACTCGATAGCCAATGTCGCGAAAAGTATGATCTGCACAGTGGCTCCTGATGCATACCAGACCGGCCCAGAAACGCCATAAGAATAGGCGACGCCCGACGATTGAAGCAGAGTTGCAGCCCAGGTCCAGCTCGAGACAACAGCCGCTGCAACGAGACCAGATTTGACCGTCCTACCGGCAGTGGAGAAAGCCTCCGAGGTTTGGACCTGGAAATCCTTAGTCTTGTGTATCCTCGACGCCAAACGAGCACAAACCTCTCCATGGTATCGCTTCAGAGCCCACGTAGTTCCTATCATGCCCAAGGCAAAGGCGAATCCTAGACCGAGGATGATGCCATAGCCGAAGCCTTGTGAGAGAGGGACGTACGCAGACCCCGCTGTATCTGGCATGCTGGGTGAGAGTGGATTCTTGGATGTAATTAGAATGAGAAGAGAAGGCCTCCAAATGGTCCTGAAGGGCAGGATTTTCGTGGGATGCCGTGCAAGCTATATAGTTCGTTCAGTATGATGTCCGGAGGCTGGGTGGAGCTACACGAGGAATTTCGATGATCAAAAACAACCACAAAAAGAAGATCTGGAGCTGAAACTCCTCCGTACGGAGACAATCGGTGGTTCCCACGGCTCTCGCATGAGCGCACGCGATCCTGACCCAGGAAGCTCAGCATGTGGGTTTGGTTTGGGTCGACGGGCGCCGATAACGGCAAACTCGACCAGAGTCGCAAGCATGGTGACAGCCAGAACTCGACTGTAGAACGGTCACTGGACCAGTCCGTGGTGGTGTATGTGGTTGGACACGACGGGGGAAAAATCGAAGGCAAGGATGCTTGAAGCTTGTGACGCGCGCGAATGCAAGCTACGAGAACTTTGGGGGGGGGAAACACTGATAAGCAAGCGATGTACCAATCAGTATAGGCGATATAGGGGGGCAGTTACGGTGGTTGTGCAGATCATCCGTGTACGGAGTACGAGTACAGTTGATGAGAGATAAAGAAGACATGACACATCTGTGTCTCTGTGTCGACATGATGTCGTCGGTCGACGCCGTTGCTTATCAGACCAAGGGAGCGCGGATGGTGATTGGTTACGAGGCTCTGTCGAGGCTGATGGAGTCTTGTGGTCCATTACTTGATGCCCTTTGCTAAGCCAATCCCCAGACAAGCAATCAGCCTCCCGCATATCTTAAAAACTACCTGTATCTATGTCCCCGTACCTACGGAGGGGATGTTCGCTATCATGATCTACCTGCCAGGCTCCGGCCCAGACTAGAAATTCTTGTTGGTCCAGCTATGTCTTTTCTATCAGGCTACTCCATGCGAAAGAGGAAGGCGATCCACTCCTTTCACGTCTAGGGAGGACGAGCCTCCTACTTCCTCCGCGGCCAGAAATTGCTTTTTGTTTGCTTATTCCATAATCTACTTCGAACATTGCAATTGCGAGTTCTACTATGGACCGTCTTGCCGCACGACCCGGGAATTGAAAGATTTCCAGTTCCGAGCAGAGGCGTCGTTGCAAGTCTTTGTCCCGAGTAGACATTGCTGTTGCCACCAAGCCCTTGATCAAGACTGGGCGACCAAGATTCGGGATGGAGACTGATACACAGACTTGTCCCCAGGACTTTGTCCATGATCAGAAGCACTACGAGACCAAGCATCAATTCTTGCACAGAAGCTAGCTTACTGATAAGTCACCTCTTGATTGGTCTCTTCAACACTGGAGAATGGTCTGGCTTCGTCTAGGCCGCGATGCAATCCATGGTAATCTCGGCGAGGATCACGAAAGTCAAATCGCCTCTGCAGGTCTCTACAGGGCTTAGCAGGTTCGAGGAATTTTCCCGATTCTGCGTGTCACTGGACGAACATTGCGGCTTCCTACTAGTCGGGAAATGCAGCTGCAATCAAGTATTGTCACAGCCTCTTTCCACCTGATCCGAAACAAAAGCAAAGCGTCCTCGCACAATCGACGCGGACGAAGAGAACAGTGCAGCGGACGAAAGACAGAAGAAAGTTCAGACAAAGCTGTCTGATGTGATAGACGACTCCTCCCACGTGCAGTTTTGTTGTCTCGTGGCTGTAGTGACTGCAATCTTTCGGGGCAAAGACTTCGAATTTCTCTTTCGGATGACTGTCGTTCCCGATGTCGGCGGTTGCTTCCCACGATGGACAAGTCGAGGTATGTCTATTAAACCTGATATTCTTCTGAATGGCACAGTCTGTCAATATTGGCAAGGTTCCGTAGGAACACCAATTCTCCTGGAGTCAATCTGATTCAAGTCATTTTGCAATTTCACAACGTATGCAATTGGAACAGCCATCGTAGCGCATCCTGCACGACTTTTGAGCCCGGAATTACCGGTCCCATGCTGGCATCTTCAATCAAGTATCAGAAACGTAAGACTGGGCGCATTGTTGGGAGCCAGGGAAAAGTCCTCCAGCAAAGCGAAAACAAAAGAGGTAAAGCCAGAATCTCGAGTATGGCTATATTTTCGGCTCTCAAGGCTCTGAGAGATGTGTCGAAAGTGGAAACAGGTACTCTGCGCCAATTAGCATTGCCATCTCTTCGACTTTAGGCATTCTGATAGAACGCCCTCCCCTAAGATGTGTTCAAATAAGGCGCGTAATGGGTGAAAGTCAATGCATTTTGTAATCTGTGAATATGTATTGTCCTTCCTTTTCGATACATGAATCAAGTCCTAAGATTACAAGGGCAGCCAATGCAAAATAGGGCGATGTTTTTTCGTCTAATGCTCGTGGTGTGCCTCGCCGTGATAGCCGACGACCTTGAATCTTCCGATCATTTCACCAACGGTGAAAAAACCCAGTACTTGAGCGAAGACGATGCCAGCCGTAGTCAATTGTCGAGAGTTCATGTTGCGGACGCCGCCGAGGAAGGATTCGGGGCTAACGGTGTTGGACACAGAGCTCAAGCTGGAGCCGATTGTTCGAGGGTTCCGGAAGGCGTTGACCAAAGGCTGGAAGTATGACTGCCATTGTGCTGAGGATCTGGGATCTATCAGTCATTGCTCAGTAGAATATCTGCTTGCAATACTCACGGAGGCGCCATGTTTTGACCCTTGAAAACAATTCTTGCAAGCTCCAACCCGACGCGTGAGTAGTATAGAGTCGGTGGTATTAAGGCTGTCCACAGTCAGTAAGCCTCATCCATATCGATCCCACAGCCATATGACCTACATTCAACAAAAGAAATCACTCGTCCTGTCCTTCCGCCAATCTTGCTCACTGCATTGTAGGCCGAAGATCCAACTCTGGTGATGGCCGAGCTAGCGGAGCTCTGAACTCGGCTGAGGCCTTCTGATGCTTTTGATACAGCTTGCTTGCCGGTTTCCTGTGCTTTCGAGGCCGCCTCTGAGGTGGTAGAAGCTTGTCTAAAAGCGTTGCGGCGCAAGACAAGTCGGCTTTGGCGGAGAACGGCTCTCGAGACCGGAGCTGCAGACATGGCTACAGAAGCTCCCTAAGGGGACGTAGAGAATGAGAGGAGAGGTGAAGGAAGAGCTTGCGTGACTACACACCGGGAAAGGCGCGTCCTGATCACAGATGTCGAATGATGGTGGTTGCGAAGAGGGAGTGAAAAGGCATGAAAAGCAGCTCCCCAAATTCTCCCGATCGTTGCCATTATTCCACACCAAAAACTGCGCCCAGCCGCCAAAGCTCGTGATTGGTCTAAATATTCTCCGGTACCTGGGCTGGCAACAACCAAATTGACATGGCGAAGAAGATACAGAAGGGAGAAAAAAAGACGACGTGTATACTACTTCCCACTCCTCAATGCCTCATTCGGTCATTACCAAGGGTTGACACTGTTGCGAAGTGACCTCATGTGGTCATGAAAGCCAGGTGTTGATTCCTATCTCGAAGCCGCTTCTCCTTCGCCGTCCAAGGCCTCGTATGTCCTTTCACTTGCCACCACCACCTACAGTATTCACAGCAGACCATCTAACCATTTTTCTGCGTCCGGTCGCCTCGCCTCACTTTCTCTCGGACCCCCCTAAATACTGTCTCACGTCTGCCATAACCAGTCTTGCGGTTGTCAAAGGAACCTGAAACATTCCGTGAGGCCACACTTGACCCAGAGGAATCCATATCCGAGCTCCCCGGTGACAGTGCCGGCCCCCAAGCCCCTGCAGGAGACCCGATCTTCGGTTGTTTTTCACCCAACTCCCAAAGACAGGGAAGACTTTTTGATCATCTCTCTTTTCATTCCTCCTTGGACAACGCTCCGCCATGTAGCAGAGACTTGACACTACATACATCATCATTCTGTTGCGTACATGGGGTAGGTCTCTTCTGACTTGCGATTCTAGGGTTCTGGGGAGGCGTTCTTTGTTTATCCGTCATGTTCTCGACTGTCACTACGGTCCCTCGCGTTCTAGCAAACTTTTTATCACAGGCGCATTTGTCCTGATCCTATCCCTCGATCGAGCCACAAAAGTAATCCCTCGCGACGCATAGTTTTGTTCTTCTCAGACAATATTGATCAATGAGAAGGAGAGTCGACAACTAGTTTCCCAGGCCTCGCGCCGTCTCAACAATGGCCGCCAAGCCGCGCCAGGCGCCTCGAAGATCATTAAAACAATCCCTCAAGGATGTCTTTTTGCGTCGAATGCGAAAGTCACCAAGTCCTCCCGACACCATCGGATCGGGCATCCTGCGTAGAGCAGATCCTTCAAGTTTTGTCGTTTCATCCGTCACAACCTTTACTTCATTCTCCGACCTGACCAACAGCCAAGCCAGTTTGGACCAGTGGACCATTTCTCGATCTATACCAAATCGATTTCAGTCGCCTCCTCCCAACGTGGCCTCACCAAGCCGAGCTCGTCAGACTCTTCTTCCAGCGACGAGTTTGAGTCAATTCGATCTTCATCACGCGTATCTGCAACAATCAACAGTTCCATGCGGGTATGCACAACAAGCAGTGCCGCCAAACTGCGCAACTCTGACCAGTCGACAAGGGAGCATATCGACTCTATCATCATTCCAAAGCACATCCACCTTGAGACTGAGAGACTCTCACCAGCATCTCGTCGAGCAGCGTCGACCAATATCGGGGCTTGCCCCCTCACAGCCTGTTATAGGGAATCAACAAATTCGGAAGAAGCAGGTGTCATGGCTGCAATCTCCATCCATCAGTTCTGCATCCATGTCGGAAACTCACAGCTGGCGGAGCAGCGAGAGTGTGTCCGGAGACATGCCCTTGGTCGAACACTTCAGGTCTTTTTGTGTGCTTGACACAGCTGCTCCAGGTTTCCCTGTGGTGGCTACGTCTCAAGAGCTCAGATATATCTTTGAGATTGGCGAGCACTTCTTCCTCAATAGTTGCGAATGTGAAGGAGCTTCGATGGACATTGTGACTGGCCAGGACGCAGCGGGGGATCCTGTCACTCACCTTGTACTCTTCAGCCCACTGGTTATTCCAAGCAGTGGTCGCTGCAGGTTTATGCTTGCAAGCTTGGTCGATGTCACCCGGTTCATCTCCGGGGCTGCGTCGTTGCCAGAATTAGACAAATCCCCGGAAAGTTCTCTCATGGAAAGTGATCTGCAGACCCCAGTGCAGGATCGCTTAGAGCCTAGCTGGGTTGCATCGACTCCCCAGCTGTCAGCAGAGGACCTTTTAGGTGGTTGCGTCCTACCAGGAGACAGAGGAACTGGATCACTAGGCATCGCACATCGAGAAGATATCTGGCTGAACCTTGCGCATGAGGAGAAGAGTAGATCATCCACCCGCAGCAGCACTCCTCGGTCGACACCGAAAAGCCATGCGCGGACAAAGTCGTCGAAGTCGACACCTTCATCTAGCAACAGCAGCACTGTGGACGAGGTTTTGGAGGAGTTTATGGGCAATTTGCAAGAGTTATACTCCGACTGCTTCTTGCTCGGTAAATCTCCTCTCGATGACACATACTATGAGATTTGCAACGTGTCGCCCACGGTGCACGCCGCGAAGGATTATGTCAATGGACATCTTTCGCACACGGGACAGGAAGCTATTGTGGAAATGAGTGAACGCCTTGCGCAGGGCCAGCGCTTCTCAATGAAGGTAAAATGGGGTAACCAAGGCCTTGGGAAACATATGTACTGCAGCCCACTCTACGGGCAGAACTCTACCACGTGGATATGTTTCCTAGTCGACGATAACATGCCACCATTGTGGTGACGAGGCTTTGACTCCATCCGTGATGAAGGCTTCCGAGTTGTTACCGCGGTCGAGACACATGCGAATCGAAAGCTGTTTGGTCTGAATAATAATTTCAATGTTGCTTTTCGTTTTGTGACAGCGAGTCGCGAGGATATCACTACTCATATGCAGCGTGTGATTTTCTTCAGACATCACCGCCAATCAATCCGTCGGCATAAGAGCGTTCGCGGCCTGGGTGGAAACGTCAAATCGACAGCAGGGGTCCGGGCTGAGGTGAGGAGAAGTCCGAAATAAGGATGGGTAGAGTCGGATCAGCAAGAGAAAGGCCGAGAACATGGATCAGCTCCTCAACGTCGCAATTGAAACGGTACAAATCCTTGATTGTCGAGGTGGCTTGCTCGGGGGGCCAGATGGCGCCTCCCTGGCACCTTTGGAGGCACCTCTGGAACTTCTTTGGGCCTTCTCCACGTCGCTCTGGGCACCCTCGGCAGACCACCAAGGCAGCCGGCCATTCCTCCTTGAGCTTGGGCCCCAGAGCCCTGCAACAACCTGCCAGACTCAGCAACGCTTCCCCGATTGCCGGCGGGCGGCCTCTCTGGAGCCTGCATCACCCAAAGCATCCGCCCCATCGATGTTTCGCTCGTATTTTCGCTCGCCTACGAGGGCCTGTGCGGGCACGATACCACGATGGAACGATAACTTTTAAAGGTCCGACACCCCTGCTCGCTGTTTCTTTTCTTCCACACATCTCGATCCACTCACCAGACGCTGTTATTATCCGATAGGCACCGATCGCCTCTTCACTTACGCCATGACGAGCGGCGGTTTATACTTACTCGGTTACCACCCAACATCTAAGAAGGAATGATCTTCTTTTTCAATGTGACTCTCCATTGAATTCAATACCAAAGGACTCTGACCTTCCTCGCGTCGCCGATATAGAATAACGAACAGTCTCGACATCCCACCTTCTCCTAGTCGTCCACATATACATCTCGAAGTTTTCCATGCCGCAAACCGGGACTACAAGCTGCGATTACTGATCTCTCTCCCTGCAGCCTCCTGTCGGTTGAACAGTCTGCAGACGTGGAAGAGGAAGTTGTCACAATGTTCAATGAAAGTTTCTCCTTTGGCTCATCACCAATTGAACATCAGCTACCACCGGCCGTTGACGAGTGTACCTCATCCGACATCTCCCCGTTTACCTCACGATGCTCTTCACCACGCGAGGACCGGAGAGCCTCTTCTCAAAGAGACTCTCGCTTCGATACGCACCGATATGTCGTCGCACCTCGACACCCTTCCGTGACGGCACTCACAGCACAATTACAGTCCCACGCTCTCAATGACACCGAGATGAAGTCACCGTCGCTGTCGCCCAGCGATCCTTGTTCACCTGCCGATTCTGCATGCGCAACTGACGTAGACGAAGGTTTTTATGATGGTCCGGATACTCCAGCCACCACAGCGTCCGATGAATATGAGTCGGCCGAAGTTGATCCTACCTGGTGGGATTTGAGCATGTCCGACGCCATGACAGCTACATCATCACCCCGACCATCACTATCACTTGAAGCACAGGCGCTGTCCTCGTATACGATGCGACGAAAGCAACGGCAAGCATTGGTGAGGCTACAGTGTTTGGTATCACGGGCGCCAGATCTTGCTATGTTGATTGAAGAATGCCATCCGAGTTCACTACCTCTTGGTAACGACACGGCGAGACTGACGAATGGGAGGAGCGATTCGACGAGCGGGCTTTCAGGGTTGGGAACAGCTGAAATTATGAACACCGGACGGATCGAGAAAAGTCGAAGCGGTTCAATTGCCACGGTCAGAAAACCAGCCAGGATGAGGAAGAGAACCAGTCCCTAGGCATTTCTCTGGACAGTCCTACCTCTGATTGCCATTCTCTGTTGTCTTTCGAGCGACGCAATACCCGGCAATTAGCCTCTTTCTTCCCCAGGCGTCACGTTATTTACCCGGCAAACAAGGGTGAGGGTTGTCTCGCAGGCAAAATCAGGGGACTCGAAGCCCCGCACGAGACGAAATACCGACGGCCACACAAAATAGTCATGGCATTCGAAAGACAACCCATGCGATCGACGAGTCTAGACAAAGATGCCGGTTCGATTTCGCCTCGAGATTCTCCGAGATCAACGGGACAGTTGTGCCGCTCCGGCAGCCCTGTCAATCGGGGCTAAAATACTCGCACCATTGTGTACGCGTGTCTTGGCGGACTTCTGCGTCATTATGCATGTGGTATGATAGGCATTATCAACGTGGAACACAATCCGCACCTCCTCGTACTCTACGGCACATGAGACGGCGTCTGCCAAGGGAGAGGTGGAGGGATGGGACCTCTCGTTGAGTGGAAACATATGGCGTTGCCACCCGATGTCGTCGTCGTTGCTTGCGACATGAGTACGGAGTGCCTGATCCCCAAGCACGACGGTTTTTCTCCTTTTCAGAATCACATTTTTCTTTTTCAGACCGAACAAACGAAGTGTTTATAGGAGCAGGAGGTTGGATCTTACAACATTTTCAGACGGCATGGCAACGGGCAAGCATTAGAGGTCTACGGGCGGGGGAAATGGTGAATGTTTTTTTTTAATTTGGTAACGAGAGTTCATGATACCCCGGATGTATTTTGCATGTTTTGCTTATAGGTAGCTATAAGACTCGATTTTCTTTTCCCACAATGGAGAAAGAGTAGTATGTATTGGTAATGCCAACGTCCCAAAACGAAAAACAATTTTCGTATCCAGTTAATTTCTTGTCCGGGTTTCTGCATTCTGGGATGTCGAGAATGATTTGGCGACCAAGTCCCGAAGATCGAGTCAAGACATTTTTGATCTTCCTCTTTGGATGCCCGCGTGTTGTGGTTATGCTCTCGGGGTGTCGCAATACAGATATCTGTGCAGGGTAGGTGGTAACATGTAGAAATTCTAGGTAGTGTCATCTACGCAGGTTTCCTTTCAGCTGGCTGTCGGTTTTTTTGTTTTTCATTCGATCTTGACACACCTCTCGTGTCATTCCTTCACCATCTCGATCCTGGGAGATTGTAACTGGGACATGTATACTGCACGACACTACCAAGTTAATGCGGCGGATCCGCAGAGCACGCGAGGCAAAGAAGACGGAGAAGCGTTTGCGCTTCCGCTTCCACTGGTAGGTGAGTGACCTAGGTAAATCACCTACAGTACTGTGCGGAAGTATGTAATCACAACGCAAATCGACAATAGTGTCCCGGCGGCTGTCGAGAGTAAATGATTGAGTCATGTTTGGCGGAATCCCCCTACCTGGTACCGTCGGTAACAGGAGAGTAGTTCAGTCCCACGTGTAGGCTACCGCCGATTCCGTTTTGCTTGCATGGGTCATGGTCACGGGTATGAAATGTGAGAGGAGGTGTATATAGACGAGGCAGTGGGCGGCTACGACCGTTTGGTGGCGAGATGGCAATATGGTCAACACGATGAAGCGACGGTATAGGATGCACCTCTTCCAGTCGGGAACCATCGGCTACGGGGACCGCCGGTGGTGATGGGTGGTCCAACGGGGTGATGATTTTGTCGATGGGTAAAAGGCGGCTGGCACCAAACAATCAAGCCTTGGCCCCTGGGAAACTCGGCCACTGGTGTTTGTCTAGGCGTGGCGAGACCTAGAACAAAACACCACTTACATACAGTACAGGTAATAAATACGAGGGGGATTACCGAGTACTCAGTAGGGAAATCTCGTATCCGGGTGCCACGCCAGGCTAAAATGAACGCCCCCCCTCTGGAATATCTCGGGAAATTCCCTTACATGAACAATTCGGAACCTCAACCCGCCCCGAAATATTCATCGTGGTACTCGTGATGAATCAAATCGAAGCAAATTGCCGTGCCGATTCAAACAAAAAGAGCATCGGTCAAGTTACCGAGAAGTCAGGATACAATGACCCGAGAAAAAAAACAAGAAGAAAGAAAGAATAATAAGAAAAAAAAGCCGTGCCACCAGTGATTAATCACTGGGTACTAACGAAAAAATGACAACGCCACATCGGATGATATACAGTACACACCGACAGATTCCAAAGGATGAGGAACGTGCGCGTTTTGTACCGTAAGAGGGGGGGTACGAACGAAAGTATTTCCCATTCACGCTTTTTCTAGTCGCGAGTCCACGGAGAAGAGAACGAGGTACATGGTTTGGATAGGGTCAAGGCCCAGGTGGTGGTCAGTGTATGTGTGTTTTTCCTCTCTCTTTGCTCGAAATCACGTAACAGCAAAAGGCACGGTACGAGTACATCCCCTGCCTACCTATGGTAATAAGAAAAGTCCTTCCGTGTATATCCGTACCTACCGCAATCTGAAAACTACGGTACTTATCACTACCAGTGTGGGAGCATCCGAGAACCAAAAGGGCCGCTCCGTCGTTTGCCATCACACAATGGTACTCGTTACGGCCATCCCGGGGCGGAACATCAAAAACGAGAACATCCGGGACCGCAATGTGCGGTACTGTACGCGCTTCCGCTCGAACGGAATGAACAAAGAACCAGTATGTCAAGAGCAAAGTCCCTCGTTGCGGTTCCGAGAGAGAAAAAGAAAAATCAAAATCCACGTCTACTTGCCATGTGAATCGTGTGGCGAGTTCTTGTAAAACATCAGGTGAGAACGACGGTTATTTATTTTGGGGAGGGTCTCAATGGAATGCGGATACGGGCGACGTCCGAGTCAACCCTGTTTGTGTTGCTTGTCGGCAATGTTTACCTACCATACATACAATTACAAAGTCTGGAAGGGACCGCTCAGTCAGGTACGATACCGTACCCAGGCTTGACAGGGGGGGGGTGTGGTTGCGGTTCTAGACTCTTGAGGCTCACCCAACACTTACCGAGTTAATAGGCATTGGACAGGTACGGAGTACACCTGACGTTACTAAGCCCCCCAGTCTGAACACGCACATTCTTTTACCCGGGCCTGTACATGCAATTTTCATAAAAAGAAAAGGAGACAACACACGGTACCCAAACCGACAACCTTGGATCACTATATCGCCCACCTCTGGTGATGACCCGGCGGTAGAAGAAGCGGAAGCAGAAGCGGAAGCGGAATGTTCATACTCAAAACTGCCGGCGTCGTTCAATAAACCGTATTCGATACCAAAGTACTCCCTCCGTACACACAACGCTCAAGTAAACCCTTCCTATTCCCCATTCTCTGGATCGGCTGTTTGGTTTGCTTCTTTCTTCTTCTCCTGCATACTATGCACTATCGCACCACGTTTCCGATTAACCTCGCGCCTCTCGTAGCCGCTTTGCGTGCCGATCCTGGCTTTCCGTTTCATGCGTTTGGTCTTTTCGTCATCGTCGGCGTGGATGGCACGTCGGGACTGGACGCCGTGGAGTTTGAGATCCTTTCGGGTAGATTTCGACACGGATGGCAACGCATGTAGAAGCCACGGCTGTAGGCCCCCGTTGGCAGTCACCGGGACATCGGATGTGGTTGTGGTGCCGCCGCCGTCGCCTGCTCCGGTGGGACGATCCGACCGGACCTGGGCCTTCTCACTCGCGGCGATCACATTGGCGATGCCTTTGACGTATTGGACATCTTCCTTGGTGTAGAAGCTGACGCAGACACCACCCTCCCGACCAGCCCTCCCAGTCCGGCCTGCACGATGGACGTATCCGGCCACCGTGTTGGGGATGTCGTAATTGACCACCACGTTCACGCCACGAAAGTCCACGCCGCGCGACAGCAGGTCCGTCGTGATCAGGATCCAGATCTTGCCGAGCCGGAAATTCTGCATGATGCTCGAGCGTGCGTGCGCCGGGAGTGACGAGTGCAGCACGGCAATCCGTGAAGACCCTCCTGCCGGTGCAGGGATGTCGTACTTTAGTTCATCGTACAGCGACTGTGCTCGGTCAATGGTCTGGGTGAAGACGAGGAACGGTGGTCGAAGCGGTGCCGCCGCGGCTTGATATCCGCCCTTGGAGGATGACGCCCCTCCTGAACGGGACGGATGGAGCAACTGGCGCATGCCCAACAGCTTTCCAGATTCGGTCGCCGTGTAAGTCAAACGATGTGATATAGTTGGTAAGCTGATGTCCTTCAGCCCGATGATCGTCCGCAGCAAAGGTGGTCGATCGCTCCGGCGGATCTTCAGGCTCTTCTGTCGATCGTGGATCTTCTGCACAGCCAATTCCTCAACGTTGGAACCAATCGTTGCCGACCACATGCTGACCCGTAGCGTGGGAGATGTGCATGCTGACCAGATCGCCAGTGTCTGCGCACGAAACAGAGGATCCAGAAGTACATCAGCCTCGTCGAATATCAGGGTTTCGATCTTGGGAAGAGGATTAGGCGGTGTCGTTTCGTCCTCTTCCCAGGACGGACAAAGCGTATGGACAAGACTTAGCGGCGTAGAGACGATGATGTCGGCTTTGGTCAGCGTGGCAGACTCCCTTGAATGCTCGTCCTCGCTCTCTTTCTCGTCATCTTCACCCTCCGATTCCTCATTTTCCACAGCCGACTCTTGCATCCCGAAGAGCCTCATTCCCTTCCTCATGGCTGTTATTCGTACGCCGGTCTTTGTGCAGAGTTTTCGTCCTTCTGTGACGATTTGCGACACGAGCTCTTTTGTTGGAGCTAAGACGATGGCACTGGCATGTTTTTCAGTAGTGTTGGACTGCTCTCTGTGACTTCTGGACACCTTGTCTATCAGCGGGATCAGGAAAGCGAGAGTCTTTCCGCTCCCGGTAGGCGCAATAGTCAATAAATCTGGTTCTTGGGCATCTTTGGAGAGACTCGACAGGAGTAGTGGAATGGTTGCCGTTTGAACTTCTGTAGGCTGGAAATACGCCTGTTCCGAGACATTACGGACAAGAGATTTATTGGCATTCTGCTGAGAGAGTTGATCGAACGTAACGAGAGGCTGAGGGAAAATGCGCGACTGTTCCTTTTGCGCCTTTCGTGATTCTTCGGTTTTACCAGCCGAACGAAATCGATTTAAATCGACAATTTTTATCTTGTGCTTCTTTTGGTATTGTCGAATCTCATCTTCAGTGGGTGGGACCCTGGTACTCGGTGATGCTGTAGTCACTGCCGTCACATCATCTTCTCTTTTCCGTTTCTGACCTGAAGATGCACCGGGAGAAATTGAATTTATTGATTGTCCCGATGTTGGCACTTGATTTTGTTGCGAAGGCCTCGTCGTCCTTGATTTAAGGCCTGTTGACCGAGACAGTATTTGGAAGGCATTCATCTTATGACACGGTCATTGTCCGCGGACTATTCCCTCCGGATTTCGAGTTCGTCTCAAAATTTATTCAATTCTCTCTGTCGATTCCAGGGCAAGGAAGATTTGGCTTTGATGCCAAGAACTTGCGGATAAACTTTGATCCCGGAATCAAAAGCGCGCCGCTGCGGTTTCACCATTTAGTTCTCAGGCTCAAGTACGTGGCAGAACAAAAGATGATACTTCGAAATCACTTTACGTTCGACCTGATACTGGTCTTCTTGTCTCCTGCTGCGATAATACAGCTACTTTGATCATCATGCGCTACCTCCCTTTTACTTGTACTCGGACATCAACACGTCGAAACCAGGAGGTCATCTTTCTGTCAGACAACGTTATTTTTTGTCATTGCACTAAAACGTCTAAAAGCATGAACCATGATTATGTGACAGAACTAGCCTCAAATCGCAAGCTTTCCAAGTTTCTACAGCCAAGTGCCAACTTGCGCCGACTGCAGTATCATCTTGCGCCAGAACATGCAGCGCTTCTAGCATGACGATGGCATTCTCAGAGAATATCTCTGTTATACTCAGGCGTCCATACAAAACATACAAATCCTAAAAGCGCCCCTCACGATGGTCATTGGATTGCTCATATTGACCTCGATTCCTACTGTGACTGGCGTCGCTCAAGCCATCTCCGCCCAGAAGACCCGCGATGAGCGGCAGAAAGATGAAAAACGAATGAAGAAGTTCCACATCGATGTGTACTGCGAGGCTGTGAGCTCTCGCACAAAAGAGATTCATGAAAAGAGGCTGGTCTTGAGGGATGATAGGGTATGGATAGGCCCGAGGGAAGCGTTGAATCCCTGTCCCGAGGGCTATGTCGCTGAGTGTTTCTACATCGAGTATCCGGACAACGAAGTAAGCGATCCGACCTTGTTTACGCAAAGACCTGATCTCCGTGACAACTAACGTGAGTCAAGAGAGTGCCGATACCGATTGGCCTTGTGAGCCAGGTTCGCGAGGACCCTCCTTTGCTGAATTGGCTATATGTGGACAAGGACACAATGGAAGTAAAGTATGGGAACAAAAGCGCAAGCATTGAGCATCATGTCGGGCCCTGGGACTGGACCGAGGATGAAGAAGGCATTACGTTCGATGAGACGGAAGACTTTACAGCCGTGGAAGATCCAAAAACCCACAAATGGCAGATATATTATGACATGGATAACGATGGATTAAGCAGATTTGTACCAAAGGGACGACGGAAGATACAAGTTAGCCTGGAGAGGACATTGATACCTGGAGCCAGTGTGCCTGGAGCATGATGGCAGTGATGGCCTACTGGTTTTATTTATACTTGTAATGACGAATATTTATGCCCAGGATGTAGCCTGTCTAACCAAAAGGATACCTTGGGAATATTTTAGGAATTATATCCGGAACTTCACATCATTCTCATTTCACTGGAACATTAAAACCCATTCACTCAGATTATTAAAGATCAAACCCCTCGACGCGCATTCTATCTCCATGCGACCATTATTCGTCGCATGGTTGACAGGCCTTTGTCATGCACAACACTTCACATAAGGCATGCATGCTGTTCCCGATAGTTCATCTGGACTGGCGCAAGTTGTTGTATCACCGGCCAATTGATCACACTCTCATCGCGCAAGTTGCTGTGTCAGTCAGTAGCTCTCAGCCATGAATCCAACCGCGTCAGAGCCACATATGTGGCAAATCATTGGAAAGAAAGGCGGGCCATGGATTAAAGTCCCAATAAAGCCATTCACTGACGGGCAGTCCAAAACTTGGCCCGGTGAAGGCTCTTTACAAGGCAGATACCGTCCAAGTTCCGAAGAACGCCACTTAATCCAGTTGGCCAAAGCATGGAAGAAGCAACAGCATGACCTTGCTGAAGGAGTTAATTACTACCTAGACAAACTTCCCGAGGGATATGCTGTGTTTGAGCTGGATCAACTTACCGGCAATCAAGTGTGGAAACGCCTGTTCGGCCACCCTAGCGGAAACTATTACGATTCTATTGTGAGGTTTCAGGTTCACTTTTTATGGCTGATGTCCGGCAAACAGGGTGACTGTGGATGTATCAACTGTGGAAAACCTCAGACACGACCCGCCATAGGACGAAAGCCACGCCCGACCGGGTTTGAACGACTCCTTCCCCTGCGCGGAAGCGAAAACAACGGATACCAATCTGATAATACGTCAGGATCGACCTCTGCTGGTGGCAGTATGACGGGACGCCCCTCCAGAAGACCTCAGCGTCAATTAAAACCAGCCGGAGCTCACTACGCCGTTGATGAGGAGGGAAACGAAGATGTTTACAAAGGGTATCTCAAAAAGCTTGAAAATAGCAGGGATGGCAAGAAAGGAATCGAAGACGACATTCGAGAACTCAACTCCTTTGACTGGAGAGCTGAGCACGAGGAATTCGCAAAGGATGAGAAGTATGGAGTCGAACTGATAAAGCGACATCTCACCTTGATCTCACAACAACATTCCTTCGCGCCTAGAATTGGCGAGCTCGTTCTCTGGACGCCACATTTCCTTGACGATCACTATCTGATGCTAGACTCTACCAGGGGCGAATTCAAGTTCTACTCCTTCGACCAGAAACAATACCACGGATTTCCCCGATGGCGGGCTGGTCTTGTCACCCAGGTGCCATTGACAACTGCAACAGATGGCCCTGTTGATTTTCCGGACATTCAAACACTGCCGGATAAGAGCACTTCTCTGAACACTTCTGGCTTCCGCATCGAGACCTTTCCAGACCCGAACGATGAGATTGACAAGACAGCATCCAAACAGTATCGATATGTCCCGCTGCGGAATGTCCGACCGCTTAGCCATTGGCAGATGCTTCTTCGTGGAATTCCCCATTCAGAGTGGCATCCGTCTATCATGTCTGCCATGACCTGTATGACGAGTATATCGTTGTACGAGAAGTGGTGGTTCAAGGGAGAATGGCCCACTGCAAGCGTCTTGTGCAAAGGAATATACATCGGTCCTGAATTCATCATGACAGGTGATACGGTCAGAATAACTCCCGATGCCAAAGCTGCGGGTAAGGTCAAGAGGTGCACAGATGTCATGATCGTGGACTCAATTAGACTGAATCTGCTGAACATCCGATCAGAAGATGTCTTACCAGATACACCGCTCCTCTCTTCTGCATCCTCAATCACTCTTGTCGGCAGAGCATACACTCTGGACATACGGCGTCATTATACAATGCATAACCATGACCCGAATGCCGCCCAGACGGTGCTACCAGCGCCAGTGCCACAAGAGGAAGTCAAAACGGTATTTCGACCTGTTGGTACGGGTGATTACGGTACTTGGTACTACCTACACGACCCAACTAAGAGGTATCAAATCTCTTATGACCGCGTGCTGGGCAGGTTATACGAAGCTGCGGCGGTGAAGCTATGGACCGGCCAATCACAGTTCAAACAAAGAGGTCGTGAGCAGTTGGATATCAGACCGAGCCTGGACTTTGATTTGAGAGCTATCGAGCATGGTCGGAAATTTGCGAGCGAGAATGATGAGCGCATCGAGGAACCAAAGCCAGGTCAATTAGGATGGTTTTGGGCTGACACGAGAGTCGAGGCACTGGATATCCAGACAATCAACGGCATTGAGGTTGGAAAGTATCACGATGCCAGGACCCCACAGACTCTCCAGCAATGGCGGATGTATATGAAGCTTATCAACGGACATACAGATACGCCAGAGCTCTTCAAGTTCAAGTCGGATTTTCCTTCTCTATCAGGACTCTCAGGGGTGGGTGGCCGCCGTGGAAGGAAGCCTGGCTCAAAGCTTGTTAATGGCAAGGTGGTCATGCCAGGCGATCCAGGATATGAAGAGGCTGCTGGTAAAGCGTTCGCAGAGCCCAATTGGACGCCAAGACACGGGAGCAGTCAACTTGCGGGAGCTGCTTTGGTATCAACTGATGATGAGGACGATGAAGGCGACGAAGACGAGAATGAGCATTTCGAAGATGCTGAGGAAGTGTTGCCATCGGTTGAGGATCGGTCGCTGGTCAGTGCAATGGATCGTAGAAGTCCTCTTCCTCAAAAGAAGAGGACGCCGGTTCAATCAAAGGCACAGATTATGCAGAACCCGGAGGATATCGATGACGATGATGACGATGACGACGATGACGACGAGTGGTTGCACAATCATCCCCCAATTCGGGGAGGAACAGAAGAATCCGAAGGCGGTGACTACCGACCTGATTTTGAGTAGATTCCGGCAACAGGGAGTTTTGGGTCTGGTCATGATGGACCTGGAATGGTGCAGTTGTTTATTGGAGTGAGAAGTGAGACCCTCGCATGAATACGAGTTCAGTGATCACGGACACAGAGTTCTTGATATGGGAAAGGCTTCGATGACTGGAATTGTGGTGATTGGTTTAGAACAGAGGGCTCAAATGTACACAATATTGCCGAGAATCGTCTCGCAGCACGATGCTGAATATCCTAACCCCAGATTTAATGTTCTCTAGACAGCTTTTTTCAACCTGTTCGCGTTGTTGATGATGGTTACACACTGTTCCGATTGCTCGTATATACGTAGAAAGTGACTACAGTTCGTAGAGACATTACCAACAGAGACATTTGGTCCGAAGTTGAATTTTGTCCCCATAGCCTCGCGAGCCTGACAAGGCTGTGGATGTGGGAAGTGCCAAGACGCACACGTGACGAAAATTATTCGGTACACCTGCCCTTTCGATTGTGTGAAATCGCAGTCTTGGCTTTCGCACATCCCAAATTCTGGCAAAGTCGATTTCGAGGATCAATTGACAACGCCGATAAACAAAGGACCATCTCTTTACCGCACACAATCGACAAGATGGTAGGACAAGCCCCGATATCATGTTATGCTATACACAAGTACTCACAAATACTTTTGCAGGTCCGCTACGCCCCCGCCGACCGCATCCCCAGCGCCAAATCGGCAAAGAGCCGTGGCAGCTACCTCCGAGTCAGCTTCAAGAACACCCGCGAGACGGCCCAGGCCATCAACGGCTGGAAACTCGAGCGCGCCGTCAAGTACCTTGAGAACGTCCAGGAATTGAAGGAGGCTGTTCCGATGAGGAGATATGCCGGCAGCACTGGCCGAAGCGCACAAGGTATGAATTCATGCACCGATTAGGAAAAAAGAATTTGGAAAAACAACACAGCGGCCCATGGGATTTGTGGTCTTCTCTCGCTGTTGGCCAGCCGTACTTGCTTTTGTCGATGCAAAAGGATGGTCGAAAAGACATCAGACGTTGGCCTTTCAAGAAAAACCTACAACCGCACAAAACCGTCAAAAACTTCAATGTACACGTGGGCTAACAATTCTTCTTCTCTCTCGCACAGGCAAGCAATTCGGTGTCTCCAAGGCCCGCCACCCAGTCAAGTCGGCCGAGTTCCTCCTCGGTCTGCTCAAGAACGCCGAAGCCAACGCCGACACCAAGGGCCTCGACACCTCTAACCTGATCGTCAAGCACATCCAAGTCAACCAGGCCCCCAAGCAGCGTCGCCGAACGTACCGCGCCCACGGTCGCATCAACCCTTACATGTCCAACCCGTGCCACATCGAGCTGATCCTGACCGAAGGCGAGGAGGCCGTCACCAAGGCCGAGGAGTTGGGTGTCTCCCAGAGACTGAACTCCAGACAGCGAGGTGCTCAGAGACGAAAGGCCATCACCTCCTCATAGACGGGGTTCATTCTCTTTGCTTTGCAAAATCAATCAACTCAGTCGAGGAGATTCTGAACCGCAAGCTGAAAGGACACGAATTGAAAAAACAAATGTCGTGAACCGACCTTTTCTTTCCCCCCTGGGCGTGAAAGATGATGATCTCGATCGAATGGCAATTTTTTTTGGTGAAAGTACAAACGTGGTTGATGGATGACGGATGGGAAGGCGAAGGTGTCGTCGCTAGCTGGACACACACAAGTATGGCGGCTCGACTGCAAAAGGAGAATTGTATGTAGTTGGAGTCGATATCGGCTTTCGATGATCACACAACTTTACACTTGCGGCATGGAAGGGCCTTAGGACTTGAACGAGAGAAGAACGTGCATCTTTCAAACTTGTAGCATGGTAATTCCCCGCAATGTGAAAAAGAAGAAAAAAAACCATTTACTTCAAATTGGTGTTTGTTTGCTTTTTTTTGGTCTCATGTTCCATACACGTCTTTTTGCTATCTTCTCTACTCGCTGTGGCATTGAGGCGTCGCAATCTTTTTGGCGCTCTCGTGCCTCTCCTCCTTACCCTATCGTGTTGAGCCTCACAAAAGTATCCTGAATCCGTACAAACTGCAACCAAGTAGTTCCTGATCCCCTTGTGTCGTGCTGATGCTGCTGGTGATACTGTCTCTCAGCAATGAAATCTCGTGCTCGCCAAACGCCTCATCTCTCCCATCCAGTCTCATGTCACCATTCCAATTCTCCCAAAGTTCTCCAGTGCCAGACCAGGTCTGTAATATTCAAGTGGCTTGTGATTCAAGTGTGCAATCGACAGGAAATCAATTTTCTCTTTCTTTCGCCGAGTCTGTTGTATTTGACTTCTATCTTCTGTCTTTCGTAATTGCATGTTTCCATCGATTCCCATTTAGTCCGTTCATCTGGACTTTGCCTGCTGACAAGTACTCTGTCGCAAAGGTGAAATGCGAGTTTCTGACTTTCCGACATTTTGCAAAAGGAATGGCGTGGCAGTTCTTTTAGTAGTTCATTATCGCCCCGTGAGTCTCATCGTGACATTCTCCACTCTTGTGTCATTTCTCAAATCAATGCCAACTGATCTCATGAGTCTCTGATGTATCAAATTCAAGTATCTTTTGCGGGGGTCCGGAGTATCTGACCGCTTTTTCTCAGTGTTGATTCAAGAGTCTTCGTCAGAATCGTCGTCGTCTTCGTTGTAATCGTCTATGGCACTCCGGCGCGGCCAATCGCGCAACGGTTCGGACCTCATCAGGCGTAAACGGCTCATTTGTGCCTCGCCGGGCGTATCGCCGCACTCGAACGCCGCCAAGTCGGTGTCGCCGTGTGGGGTTTCGACGTCGCCACCGTAGTAGCTGACTCCCCGGAACACGTAAACCTCGCCCGGGCCCTGCTGGAACTGGCCGGGTCTGGGGACGGCCGACATGACGGGGTGCCTCGGTGTCCATCCGAAGATTGGGATCTCGAACAGACGCCAGACGAGTTGATTGACGGCCCTCGTCTCGTCGACGACCGTGCAGAGCGTGAATGGCCGGTCTGCGTGGTAGACCTCTTGGAAGAGGCGTGGCGGCTCTCTCACCACCACCACGTCCTCCTCGTCTACATCGGCCGCCATCGTGCCAGCTCCCTCCTCCCTGCCCGCGACCCTTCCGACAGACGTCCCACCTGGACCCATCGTGGCCGGGCTCGCATCCCCCGCCGGCACCTGCTGACGTGATGCCCCCATCGGGGACACCACGCCAGACAGGTGCTGGACGGGAGATGTCCAGTGAGCACCGACCACGCCCAACGACCGCTCTCTGGCGACGGCGTTCCTCACATCACCAGGATATGATCTTCTTGGCTGCTGGGTGATGTCTGTCGGAGGGCCGTCCTCCACCTCCTCCTGACAGCGGCGTTTTAGGGACAACAGCCGCCTCGTCTCCATGGCTTGTCTTGCCCAAGGCGAGACTCGCGTGTATCCGGTCTTTCTGACCCGTCTTGGACGACGGGCCGCCTTGGGCTCGAAGTCGTTGGCAAACGCAGACGGAAGTAGCCTTCCATCTGGCCTCGTATGCTTCTCCACATACTTGGCTTTGTGGTTGTCTGTTGCCGCCGACGCCTTGGAAGTGCCGATGAGCTCGATCCGCACAGACTGCTGGTGAGCCTGCGCGTCCTCTCTGGCCGACTGGATGCTCTGGGTGCGGCAGGGAGGGCCGAGCGAGTTGGAGAGGGTTTGAAAGGTGGTTTGACGTTTGTAGGACTCGAGGTTGGCCAGGAACTCGGCCCATTCGATCTCAACTTCGTCACGTCCAGCTATGGTCGACATTCTTGCTGTCTTTGTGTGGGAGGATTGTCTGGTCACAAAGAAAACTCGACAGTAGCCAGGTGTGATGGTCTTGCAGTCTTTGTTGGATAAGATGAGACACAAAGACGTGCAGAGTCTGATCTCTTGACACCAAAAAAGGACTGAGATCGAGACGTTTGTGAAGTTTGAGATATTGGAAATTTTTGACCAGCGAGAACAATAGTCAAACCCTTTGATGATGCGTGTGTCCTTGTCACTCTCGGCGACACTCGGCGACGACATAATCGACATGGTCGACGATGACATCGTCCTGAAATGCCGGAATGTTCAGTTGTATGATGTCGCCGCTGGATCTTGCGCTGCCGCCGCCCAAGCAGAGACATCCGTACAGTACACAGCCTCAAACAATCCTCCTTTCATTGACCCAATGGAGGACCACCATTGTTGGCGTCGCTTTCAACAAATATATATATATAAATTGCATCGATCCATGTTTGTTTGGATCGGTATCTCGCCCAGACAAATGAAAGAGAACAATTGCTTCGGCACTGCCCTCTTACAACAAACCGCGAACTGCCTGACACGCTAGCAACGTGGTTCTTGCTGAGGGCATTCACCATGCACTCACACGTGAAGTGCTGCGAGACCATGTTGCTCGTTTCTGGAGTCACCACAAAAATCACAGAGAAACATCTTCGCACAGGCGCCATTCGCGACCTTATTCATGTACCGAATCGACCATACTCAACGGAATTCCAAACTCACAACATATGAACAAGAAATTGAGAGAAAACAAGCAACGCCAAAGATGAGGGCTTTTCACAAACCCTATAGGCTGAAAGTGTTTGGACTCAGAAAAACAGAGACCCGAGTTGACAATAAGGTTGCAAAGAAGGTTACAGGGCAGGAGGGTGTTGACTAAGCGCACGGAGGCCCCTCGAAGGAAGAGACGGCCGCAAAGACAGACTCTTGTCGATATGACGAGCATATACGTGACAATATCGAGAAGGCAAGGGCAATGGTTCGGGCAGACGTTGGATGGCAGACACGGTTGTCGAAGAGGAAGAGGTATGTCATGGGAGACTTTGACGATGGAATTGAGGAGCAACCCTGAGGCCTGGGTGAATTGATAGTTAAGCCATCAGCGTATGGCATGGCGATGACACGGACAATGTCAGAATGAGACTTCATGACGGCGAAATTGCACCTCGAAGACAATACCGAAGAGTTTGCGATAAGTTACCGCCGCCCTCTCTGCGTGTTTCCTCCCCTTCTGGTGAGGGAGCGTGAAGAAAGTAGGGGGTTACCAAGAGTCAAGATGGCGCTTGATGTTTGTAATCGACATGATTTTCTCTAGCAACAAGTACTTGACACCCAGACATTTTGTTGCTGGGTGACATTTTGTTGCTAGTAGGAAAGGAACGACGCTGGCCGCTCTTCTAAGCGAAGATTGTACCACACGATCGCCGGCGACAACTTTAGTATAACTGGGCGGGCTCGATATGAGATGAGAAGAGCTGCTTTGTCGTTGGTTCATAGATAGGAATAACACGCGACAAACGGACAATTGCTATACATGGAGATTGGAATTGAACGATCAATGAACAAGTATGTCAATAGGGAGGCCGTTCAAAGTCCAATTATTCCTGAGATTGCAAAGATGGAAGAAATGGTTGTTGTCGTGTCCCAACGTCGCGATATGCTTTTTCCCGCTAAAGCGGCTGTTCCAAGTCTAACCGGTTGTGGCGCTTGACCCGCAATGCCAGCATCACAATAATACGAGTATTAGATCAATTTCCGAGGTCTAAGGATACAGGAGATCCAGATCCTGAAGAAATGTGTCCAGTGGAGGAAGGAGTACAAAGAGTCACGGTTCTCGAATAGGTTGTTGGTGATCACACTTTACCAGTGTTGTCAGTCGCAGTTCATCCCAATGAAAGTGAATATAACATAGCCTATGCATCTACAAGATTGTTGAACGAGAATGATTTCTGCTAGGCGACATGAAGTATCTTCCTTAGCAAGATCTTGGAAATTCGTGAAAGTACGGATGCGGATAGGTAACGTACAGTAGTCCGCATATTATTGCCAATGCCCTTTTTAGCATCATTAAATGACTAGAATACCATGACTACGAAGATCTGTTCCGAACCGAGGCGTCCTCATCGAGCTTAGAGCCGCCCATGCATTGTCGCACGTGGAGTATGTGGAAGACCTCATGGCAAGTCAAGGGTCGTAGCACGATAGAAACATCATTCACACGCGAGAACACTCATGCCCGCGAACGAGGAGAACTGGTTGTCGAGGATTCTCGTGTCAAGCGATCTGTGGGGAAAGAAGTCAGCGTCGCCAAGGGGTGTCTGTCCACCTGGTCTCGACGCCACTGGATACAATATACTTTTGTTACTAAGGTGTGTTCTGACGTCCCGCGCTCGATGTGGTATCTCGTGATGCCACTTACTGGTTATGAGGGAACACTTCCACCGGAGCTTCCGGTGGTTGATTGTGTGTGGCGTCGGGGCCCCGGATTTGACGGCGACCTCGATTTATCGTTTTGAGGGGAGAAAGATTCCATTGAGAAACGACTCGAAATAGGGTGAGGCAGGATCACAAGCTCTGGGGCATTTTGTCTCCTGAACCTTGCCCCCGATATGCGCAACAGTTGATACTGAGTAGACATCATGGTTGACACCGTACCTAGTAAAGAGTACTCCGGATGCCCGTACCAAGCCCGAATATGGATCTTGCTACTATAGCCAAGCCTTCCATATCTGGTAGGACAGCATCACGTGAGGTCCACTTAGCCGGGTGTATCACCGACTTATGGACCAAGCCTTCTCGTCAGGCAAATTTTTCCTCCATAACCAACTGCTGTAATTCCGCACCCTCCATCGCTTCGAGCCCAGTCGGACGATCTCTTTGTGCCCAGAACTTTTGCCATGAATTATCGACGACCGAAGCGGTGGAATTTTCGACGCAGGTCTCGGCGCGCCAGGCCAACCATCACCCGGTGGATGTATGTACACACACAACCACCCTATCCATCCCACGACCTACCTAAACTTTAATGGGCTATATTTCCATATGCATACCGAGGCAGCCTTACCGGATCGAGTTTGAATCTGACAAGGGCCGTCTGAATATCTTGCTGTATCGAGTCTAGAGACCCTCTCCGAGTAGGGCCAAAGGTGTATTCTCCGTGAATGACTCCAGAAGTAACTCCAGCTCTGGCGCAACTCCACGCTTGATTTCTTGCCCATGCCCCCGTGCCCCGCGAGCATGGTAATTAAATGGGTTCCCTTTTCTTTTCTTGTTGTTGACAGTGACCCTGGTATTATAATAAACCCCGGATCCTCTCCAGATCACTCCTCAAAATCATCCCCTGAGCTTCACTTTTGTCCTTTTCCCATTTTCCTTTTGTGCCATCTATACAGTGCACACATTCTGTCTATCTCTCTCTCTCACTCTCTCACAAACACCGACTCACTGACTCTTACCCCCCTGCCATACCCAACATGACGGACAAGATTCAAGATGAGAAGCGAGTAGAATACGGGGCCGAGGAGAAGGGCCTCGGTGGCGTCTCCTCTGACACTTCTCCAGACGTTCGTCCCAATGACGGTGGCCTCCGTACCGTCGACGCTGGTCTCTCTCCTGACGAGGTCATCGGTGAAATGAGCCCGGCTGAAGAAGCCCTCGCCATCCGCAAGATCGACTACCGCCTTATTCCTCTTCTCACCCTCTTGTACCTGTGAGTTGTGGATACAAGTTCTGATTGGCTGCGTTCCATCACTGACTGTGTCCGTACCCAACAGTCTCGCATACATCGACCGAAGCAATCTGGGCAACGCAAAGATTGCCGGCATGTACGACGACCTAGAGCTCTACGGAATGAAATACAACACGGCTCTGACCGTTTTCTTCGTGACCTATGTTATTTTCGAGATACCTTCCAACGTGGTATGTTTGGCCCATTTGAGCGCTGGTGGTGATGGTGATGGTCGTCGTCGAGTTGATCCGGGAAAAGTGGGTCAACAAGATAGACCGGGAGCATTCACCACAACATCACAACGGGGGAAAATGTACTAATGTGACTCTCTTTTAGGTACTCAAAATCCTCCGACCATCGATCTGGCTCTCCATCATTTGCTTTGCCTGGGGTCTCGTCATGACTCTGATGGGTCTGGTCAACTCTTACTCGGGTCTGCTGGCAGCACGTATCTTTTTGGGTGTTGCAGAAGCCGGATTTTTCCCTGCTGCCACTTTCGTAAGTTTGATTGGAACCTCCAAGCCTCCTGTTTTTGTTGTTGTCCTTGTTATGGTGGCGGTGGCGGTTGTCTGGTCGAACTGACACGGCGAACCTCACAGCTCCTTACCATTTGGTATCGACGATACGAAGTCCAGAGACGTATGGCAATCTTCTACGCCGCAGCCTCGTTGTCGGGTGCATTTTCTGGTCTCCTCGCTTTTGCCATCGAGAAAATGGACGGAATCGCCGGCCTCGCGGGGTGGAAATGGATCTTCATCCTCGAAGGCCTGGCCCCGATAGCCGTCTCCTTCACGCTTTACTTCCTCCTCCCGGACAAACCCGAGACGGCCAAGTTCCTCACCATCCGCGAGCGTGAGTTCGTGGTCAACCGGATCGCGCTGAACACCGGCTCCGGCGCCGGCCGCGTCACCAACGCCGACAGGATCAACTGGACCTCGTTCAAGGCCGGGTTCAGGGACTGGCGAGTCTGGCTCTCCGTCATCCCCTTCTGGGGCTGCAGTATCGGCACCTACGGCTTCACCGCGACCGTGCCGACCGTCGTCAAGGACCTCGGGTACAGCGACGCGAACGCCCAGCTGATGACCATCCCCATCTACGTCGCCGCCACCTTCGCCACGGTCGGGGTCGCGTGGTGGTCCGATCGCATCCAACAGCGCACGCCGTTCTTGATGGGCGGCTTCGCCATCGCCTGTGTCGGGTTCATCGGCGAGCTGGCCATCCCTCACCCTCGCCTGCCCGGCGTGACCTACTTTTTCTTGTTCCTCGTCGCCATCGGTCTGTACTGCCCCTTTACGTGCGTGGTCACGTTGGTCGGCAACAACCTCGCCCCGTCGAGCAAGCGTGCTGTCGGCATGGCACTGTTGATCAGTGTTGGAAACGTGAGTCAACTTCTCTTTTTGTTGGTTTCTCTTCATTTGGAGGTCACACTGACTTTTGACCCTTTTCTTTCTTTCTAGATGGGTGGTATCTGTGGTTCCAACATCTACTTCGCGGCCGAGGCTCCCAAATACCCAACCGGTTTCGGTGTGTGTCTCGCCATCTGCTTCCTTTCCATCGTCGCGGCCGTTGTCCTCCGCATCGCCTACCGCCGCGAGAACAACAGGCGTGACGAGTACGTCGCCAGGGAGGGAGAGGCCACCATCAAGGCCAGGTTCACCGAGCAGGAACTCTTGGAACTCGGAGACTTGAGCCCCTTCTACAGATACACTCTGTAAACGTCGAAAGAATGGGCCAGAGTTGAGAGGGAACGAAAACACACACAAGGGACAAGTTTATATATTCCACTTAGGGAATGAACCATCAAGCCAGACAGGGTCAGTCATCACAGTAACGGTATCAGTATACCTGGCTGGCCTGCTGGCCACAAAAATGGATAGTACGGATTGTCAATGTTCACCTAGGTACTCAATCGATAATGATCCAGTGCGATTGTCGGGAATTTAGGGGTATAAGCCTCGCGTCCCGAAAATAGCATTTTTGGATACGAAAAATATGAACAAAACATCGTTTTCCATTATCCAACTGGTAGAACATAACTATGCTCGGAGACGGTGACCCCCCCCCCCCCCCCAAGTGGGTCCAAATCTACTCTTCCTTCATAACACTTATTAAAACTTATCAAATGTTTCCATACCCTCGAGAAAAGGCTGAATGGGTCAGATATTCTCAAAGCAGAATAATCTCTGCAAACGGGTATGCACACTCTGGCAGAGAAGAATTAACTCGCAGAAGAGACGCCATCAAAATTTAACCTTGCCACTTCACCCGATCTGATATTTCTGTTCGGAGGAAATCGTTGCTTTTTTCCTTAATACGAAGTCTCTTCCCTTGCATTCTGACGCGAATCGAGACGAAAATCCTCCGTAAAGAATGCGAGGGCGAAAGGAATGAAGACAATCACGAGCTGAGGGATGCATAGTTGACGATAGGCAGCGTTGAACGATCGAATGACCATATCGTGGGGATTGGCGGATTTCGCCGTGTTCACGTCGCCCACGATTGCGGCGATATCGTCGGCGGAGAGGAAGTCTCCAGCATATCTCCTCAGCTGTCGAGGCAATTGATGAGTCCATATCCCCGTAGAGATGGCAGACCCTATCGATCCTCCCAAGGACGACCAGAGGCCCAGCAGAGCGACAGCGATGCTGAGGTCGGTATGATGCACTGAGCCTTGCGAAGCCACGGTTGAACATGTGACCGACATGCATCCGCCAAGGTTGAGAAGAAATTGAGCCCAGAAGAGTGTTGCGGTGTTGTAGTGCCCGCCAGACGAGTAATAGTTGATTCCTGCACCGACGATGCGGATTGCGAGCGAGACGATCTGTAGAGTCTTGTAGCGATGTGTGTATCGCTGGATGATCCCTGCTATGAGACCGAAGAAGCAGACGGTGACCGTTTCGATCTGGTTCATGTAGGTATAATCACGGGTTGAATAGTCTTGGATGACGTACAACCGTGTCGACCAAAAGGTGTCGGTCAAATTGGATCCGAGCTCGTAGAGGAATTCAATGCCGACGCAGAGGACGAAAGTCCGATTGAGGATTCTCTTCGGCATCAAAGGGTAACGAGTGCCCCATCCCTCCCACAAAATCAGTGCGATGAACAAAATACCTCCGACAGTCTGCATAGCGATAAGCGAAGGATTTTTCCATCCGTGAGACGCCGTGTAGGACAGACTAGAAGGAGCCAGCAGGAGGGCGAAGGAGAAGCCGAGGAGGACAAAGCCGAAGAGATCGGCTGTCTTCAAACGGGACCAGATTGCTGAGACTGTAGAACTTTTGGTGCCATGAGCAGACTGCGCGTGCATCTCGCGAGATGGAGCAGTCGAAGAGTTTACTGTAATCGGTTAACGATATAGCATGTACTGAGAACAGCGACTTGACTTACAGCCCAGCTTGATGGCGCGACGGTCAGCCCAATAGAGGGCAATGATAATAGGCGCGAGGCACACAGGCATGATGATGCAGAACATACCAAACTATAGCGGTCAGCTTCGTCGGAAATACGGCACATTGACACGGACGTACACCCCATCGCCAATTTTGCAATCCTAAGCCGTCGGTAATATTTCCAGCAACAAAAGCAAATGGTATGTATGAGAGATCCAGAACACTGATCATGAAGCCCCGCCATTGCAATGTGGTCAGATCGGCGACAAGCAGGGTTTCCAGATACTCCAACCCAGAATTTCCGAGCGTGTAGACAATTTGTCCCGCGCACACTGCGGATACGGTCGATGACACGGCGGTCACAAGATATCCGAGCGTGTATATGCAAGTAGAGAGGAGTAACGTCGTTGGACGGGTGGTGAAGTTGGCCATTTCCGCCCTTTAAAATCAGTGTTCGCCCCGAGACATTCACAAGCTGAACAGAATGATGCCTTACCAGAAGGGAGAAGTTACACCAGAGATGATCGAAGTAATGATGGAGATAGTCCCTATCACTGGCTGGCTAGAGTATTCAGAAGTAGCAAACTGAAGGTCTATGTTGTGTTGTCAGCTGGGCGCTTCACGGTATTGTGATCTTCTGTCACGCACACACATAGGTTGTATCGCTATCGAGGCTAATGGCAAACGTCCAGGTAAGAAAGGCGGCACAGAATCCCCAAAACCGCCAGGATCGACCGAAGACGGCGTAGAATGACTCGATTCGACTGGACCCGGTCGCCTGGTGCACCGACACGTTCTCGTTTGACAGACTGTCCGTAGGTGCACCCTCGGTAAGGTCTGTAATTGCCGCTGATACATCAGCCTCCTCATGGCGGAAATGCTTCGCAAAAGCATGAATCTTCACCATGATGGGCAAAACGACGGGTGAGATAGGTCAGACACAGAATTGAGCAGAGCCCCTTCACCCCTTATGAATGGGCCATCGAGCCGACCTCCGAAAGTATGTCGCCGAACCCATGTCATTTGTGTAGCCCTCACAGCACCCGACATCGCCTCTACATACCCAGTGCCACTTACCATTCCTTCTCAGGCATGGTGAAAAAGCCACATGAGAAAAGCCTTTGACCTGATGGAACGTTCAAGTACTCCATGGCCATGTAGTGGGGAAAATCTAATCAGATTACTGGTATCTTATCGAATCAGATGATCCACTCCGGGCTCGCAGCTGCGGAATCGGAGCGAGCTCCAAAACGCTTGACGTAACGCATTCGCCTATGAATCTCTCATATAAGCAGGTTAAGCCTTCTCGGACTGAGCTTGAAAGAGAGGACATCTTCAGATCCCGCTTCTCATAGTGCTGCCCAAACATCAGAGCTGTGGGCTCCTCGAAAGTCCATCTATGTGGGGCCTTATTAGACTTCGAGAACAAGCTCCTCCTTAACCTCTTAACCCTCTTCAACGGCTAAGTCAAGAGTACTCGCTCACAGGGCTCACGCGTTACCCAGGGCGACATCGACCTCCCTCCAAGAACAGGGTGAGGTATGAATGGTCAAATAACGCCTTGGTAAGATAAAAACAATCTCATGTCAAACAGTACGAGCTAGGAGAACTCACGAGATCACAGGCGAAACACAAGTACAAAGTATTGAGGGAGGGCAATCATTTCTTTCTTTTCCTTGTTTAGCTGAACGGCATATGCCTTTTCCCTCCTCCTTGTTCAGATTCGGCAGCTAAACCCACCTATTTGCGAATTTGCTGCTCTTCCTCACCTAAACGCCATGTCCACCAACACCTTTGCCGGTACCACTGTCTTTTCATTGATCAGGCCCGTTGGTGTGCTGGTTTTGACGACGACTCGGGGCGAAATGCCCAGTTTCACTCTTGCACCTCTTGCCTCCAATTGATCCGTCGACATGCCATTTGGCATCGTCTGTTTGGAGGTCACCATCATTGCGTTTTTCTTGAAGAGCGTACTTCCTTCTGGCATCTCGAATCGATATTGGTCCGTGGTCGAGTACATCATTATTGCCAGCCTGTGTGCTTCTTCCATCAGCGAGGCCATGTCGTCCCAATCTCGACTCGTCTTGTTGTGCATCAGGGGCAGCACAATTTGCTGCCAGAGCTCGTTTCCACGGTCCTGTGCCAGCTTGCCGACGAATCTCATGAATTGAGCATTCTGCCTCAGCTCTCGCATCTGTGCTGCGATTTTGTTGAAAAGCTGAAACTTGACTTGGGCAGGCGTCGACTGATAGACCTGGTTCTTGGCATCGTCGATCATCGAGTCGATGTTGGCGTTGAAGCCTCGAAAGCTGTCGGCTCTCAGCACCTTGTCTTGAATCCAGGCATTGATGACCTTCGCCACCAACAGGTAACGGGTCGCTGGTGAAGTCATCAGAGGAAATGCCTGCGTCGGTGCCGCTGCTTGGAGAAAACGCTCTTTGATGTGTCTGTTCAGTTGGTTGTCCCCGTGGGAGCTGGGGAAGTTGACATGTGACCAGCTGAACTTCTCGACCATGCCGAAAACGCAAGCGAACTGCTCATTGATGGTGGTGGCAGTGCTCGTGACTGCCGAAACCGGCACCAATGCCATGTTATTCTCTGGCTGTTGCATGCCGGTTCCTGGTGCCCTTTGGCCTCCTCCGTGAGCCGACGGTGGGTTGCCAGTGTTGTTGGATGATCTATCCGCCGGCGAACCGAACGGGTTGACACTGGATGGGTGGTTGTAGACTGTCTGATGCGTCGAGCGCATCGTTGGCCCCATTGATTGTACCACCGTCCTATCCTGCGGTGGGTTGTCCCCACACCCTGTGGGTGTGGCGTTTGGTGCAGGATAGTATTGTCTCGGATTAGAGATCGCCACGCTCTGGTTCCGGATTGTGGCTTGTTGACGGACAATCGTGTCTCTCAATCCATTCATTTCGTCCTCCATTTGTCGGAGGCGCACTCGAAGTTGTGACATCTCCCCATCTCTTTGTTGACCCTCCACTACTGACATTGGCGTCATAGCCCTATATTGTATGAGACTTTGCAGCTCCTGTTGGATCTGCGCATGACTCATTCTGGCGGAATTCAATTGACTCTGTGCTTGGTCAAGCACAGGCGAGAATCCAGAGGGCATGGCCGTGTTGCCGAAGTAGTAAGACATCTTCCCGGTGGTATAAAGTATGAATATTGTCTTGGAAAGGTATGGAGGGTGTTGGATAAAAGATTTACAATCCAGTCTGTGATTTTTATTTTCTTCAAAAAAACAGGTTGGATGTTGATGGTTTGGTGAGATTGTTTTGACTTCGGTTTCTTCTCTTTCTCTTGATATTTGTGACAAGTGTTCAATCACTTGCACGAGTTCAAAAAGGTTGAAGATCAAACTTCTTCAGATCGACTGTGTTCGACTTAAACAGAGGTGTGTGATGACGAGTGGCTGTTGAGGTTTTTGTGGAAAGTCGGACGTGTTTAAAAGTCGAATCAATATCGCCGATATTCTGATTTTGTTGAATGTTTGAACTTCGAAGGTTCTGTGACCAGGAACAAGAGACTCGAGAGAAGAAGGAAATGCAGTCAGGAGACAAAAAAAGGTAAACTAAGACAAAAAAGGTCAGTTCAAATTCCTGTATCAAAATCAGAACGCCAGCCGCACTGGATGTTATTGACCCTTCACTCTGAAAAAGACGATGGTGTATGTATGTGTTGTGTTGTCCGAGCGGCTGCAAAAATCCGTTCCCTTGAAGCAGTCTTGTCGATGGCAATGATGTTGTTGCTATTCTCTTTCGTGCTTTGATCTGAGCGAGCTAGAGAAGAGCCGGCAGTGTGAGATTGGTAATGTCGATGTCGGTTTCTGAAGAGTGAGATCGATGGCAAAGAATTCCGTTCTTGCTGACCAAAGTTTCGATCGACAGGGGTTTGTGCAAGAAGATTTGCGTGTAGTTGCAGAAAAGAGAAGCTCATGAGTGTGCAGATGGTATGATGCTTGTGATGAAGAAGAATGAGGAAGGTCGAAGAGAGTATCTGGCCAATTTATATCCTGGAGGCGGAAGGTTGTGCGGATCCTTGCAATTGTTGAGGCTCATTCACTCATTCACTTTGTCATCACCTTCTTTGACCGCCAATAGCCATGTGCTTGCTGTGTTTGCCTGCGTGCAAGTGACAATGCTGATGGACACAATCGTCAGGTCACGTGAAAGGTTCACAAGGCGTTGACCCCTGAATAAAGCGAACAAGACTGAGTGAGAGGAATGATAGTTGTCATCCACAGTGGCAGTGGTTCTCATTATCAGATCAAGTCTGACAATATCATTGTTGTCTTCAGGTAAGACATGTCCAAGGTGAGTTTCAAGGCAGTGATGGCTCTCCCTGTACTCAGTACCACAAGTCTCCTCGAGCTTTCCACGACTGAGTCTTTAGAGGGTCCAGTACAAATGTCATGTCATCTTCCAGTATGGGTTTGTTTCATATTATTTTTGGTGTTGATCCTCCTCTTATTCTCATCCAGTGAAGCCAGCGAGACAAAACACAGATATGGCAAAGTGAACATACCAGAGACACAAGAGACACCAACTGCCATCAAGGCAGGGCTGAGCAGACTCTTGATAATATATATTTTGCATCTGCTGATGAATGGTTAATCGAGATGTTTTTGAGGCGGACACTGCCTGCAGATCTCACTTACTTTGAAAAGAGCCGGAAGGTCTCCTAACACGGGGATGATTCTTTACAAGAAAGAATCATCCCCGTGTCCAAGAGGAGAGAGAGTCAAGTGTGTTGCTACAGAGAAAATGATCAACAAGTCCTAATCCAAGAGGTTCTGATGATGATTGTGATGATCTGTCGCTGTCCGCACTTGGGGAGAAAAGAAAAGAGAAAGTTCAGGAAGAGAAAAAAAGTCAAGACTTTATAGTTTTCACCAGGGCTAGAACGCAAGGACAAAGCATCAGCCGCTTCTATTCATGGATTAGACAGCAAGCCAAGGAGCATTCGCGGCTGATGAAGTGCGGCTGTTGGTGGTAGGACGAGGATTATGGTGCCTTTTCGTTCCGCATGTTGTGAAAGCCCTCAACGAGAAAGGGACAAGCGAGAAGAGATCATGCAGAGTGCTGGTTGATTCGAACCGCTATCCTAGGAGATTCCTGTTGATTCTCTTGACCTGAAAGCATTCCAAGTGCTCTGTCTTCGCTACGGCGAGCTACTCTCTTTGACAACATCAGCACAAACACGCCCTGATCAAACATCATCGGGCCTCCTGGTCACATATCCGGTCTCTTCCTTCTCACAGTGTTGAAAAATCCACGTTGGACAACCGGACTGGTCAGCCTATTACAAAGGGAGGGCCGTTCTCAGGATCCTGTCATCTTCGACGCCCTTTCCTTCACGAGTGGTCCTGAAAATAGGCAAGCCTCCACTTTCACCTGCTCAATATCCTAGTCCAAAATCTGTTGACAACTTTCCATGATAGCTAATGAACTTCCTAGTCTAATTGGTCGATAACCCTCCTCCGCATCCTCAGGAACAAGTGTAGCACTATCCCCAGCGATTCTCATTCAGTGTTCAGGGCCAAGAGCTGCTCCCAAGGCAGACCAGTGTTCAGGGAGATGGAGCCTGCTCATCTTCCTGACACTTCGACGATGACAAGCACAGTACAATCATTCCGGCCGCTACAGAGGTATCGATTTGGGTCTGGGTCCGGTTGTGATACGACCCATCTTACAGAAGTCGAGAGCAATACCGCCACCAGGTATCGAAGCATCTGAGATCTGAGAGACACCAATGACAAGATCCCGGAAAAAGACAAATCAGTCTTGTCGTGGCGGAGGCAAGCGAGCGTCAACACTTCTCTATTTGGCTCAAAAGCATTACATTTGCGGCCGATTCGACTTTCAAGGATTACAGGTCTACGACGAATGTCACTAGTTGACGGTCAACAACGAGATGGAAGATGCCACAACGACAGGTGTCCCACTGACCGTTGGAAAATGAAATGATTTGGATTAAGAGACAATAAAAATAATAGGAGGAATGGCAGGGAAGGTCTACACAGCATGACACGTAACTGCAACTAGAGACAGAAGACGCGGGTACCGAGAATATTATTACTTTTCGGGCTCTGTGACTCTAAAGCTGAATCCTCAAAGTTGCGTTCGAATGGCGGTGGTATAAGATGTATTAGATCAAAAATACCTTTATCTACACACTCGCCCAGTGAGCAACACCAAGCACCCGGGGCCAAGAGGCATCTGCGGCACTGAAGGCTGGGAACAACCTAGTTTGACCTGCGAAGAGGAAAGAGTGCGTATCATCTTTTCGACTCAGTACGAGTATACAACGGGCGTGGATTACTATCAAAAAGTCATAACGAACTTTCACACATCAGTAAACATCCAGATTCTGGAGGGGACATACAAAATGCTCAAAGAACAAGGCAAGAAGAGCATCGAATGTGACTAAAACCCCTAGCACATAGATGGTCAGAGAAAAGACGCCGTAGCATTCAAAAGAGTATGTCCTAGCTATCGGTTAATGTCCTTCGCATGAAAAGAAATTCACGTCGTCAAGATCAAATCGAACAAAAAACTGCAACGCCGACCTACTAGAGCACCTGGATGGGCGTGAAGCAGTACTGGTGCTCGCGATGCCCTGGTACTGGAAAGGACCTGGAGAAAGGCACTAAAGACTGTCAACAACAACAACCCCGGATCTTGACACACCAGTCGAGATTCCAGCTCTGACCATCCCGAACTCCTCCCAAAACGACTAGCATGCCCGGCCTTGATGCAGTAACGAGTGCTGACTTTGATGATATAGGCTCTAGTCCCACCATGATTCGCGACATGGTGGCTGGGAGTTGCGGATCAATGTCTTCGTTCGGAAAAGGTCACAATGCCTTGGTCCTAGAGAACAAGCTGCTGTAGACGGCGTCAACGACTGGCTGTGCGCTGATTTGCCTACCACCGAAGTAGCGGCCGTTGAGGCCTTTGATTGCGTTCTCACCACCCGATACACGTTCGAACTTCAGATAGATGTCGCCCTGAGTATTCGGGTCAAGCGAAATGTGCACGACGTGACCATATTTCTCCTCGCACTCGGCTCGCACGTCGTCCTCGAGCTCTTTGATCCAGCTGTCGCCTTCTTCGCTGTACATAACTGTCAGTAAAAATCGCAACGAGCGGTGAAGAACTTACTCAGCTGGGTCGAACATGTTACGCAGCAAGACACAACGACTCGCTTGGCTCACGTTGACAGGAAGAGGCTTGCTCTCCTTCTTCGGAACAACCGTTTTCTTCTGGGATTCGACGTTTGAATCGTCTGTCCTGGCGAGTTTACGCATCAATGCATCTCTGCTATAGTTGTTGAAGTTCACACCGGCAACATCTGTATCGTCTAACGCACTTGCGCCACCAGTACCTTTGTCATTGTCACGGCCGCCTGCGCGGTCGAAGGTCCCGCCAGAGCCACCAGCATGGGCACCTCGTCCGCCAGATCCAGAAAATGCAGAGCCTTGATAACCAGAGTGGTTTTGACCCTGGAAGCGCTGAAGCAGATTGGCCGTCGATTCGGGTGTGAACTTGTCGTTGCCTAGACCCACGCGGATGGGACGACCTGCAAGATCAAAGCCGTTCATCTTCTCAAGAGCCTCACGAGCTTGATTGGGATCACGAAATCTGCAGACGTCAGCACCTGTAGATAGCAATGAGCGAAGAACTTACTGTACAAAGCCATAACCGCGACTACGACCTGTCTCATCTTTTTGAAGTTGTACGAATTCTAGCTCACCGAAAGGTTCGAAGACGTTCTGTAAATCCTGTTCAGTTATGCTGAAGTGAATATTTCCAACATAAAGGCGGTGAAACGGAACGGAATTATGGTTGCCACTGCTCGCCTCCGGGTTGCGAGCTTGTCGATTCTTCTCTGCTTCAGTGAGTTGAGCGATAATGGGGATTCCGAGTAGCTTTTGTCCAGTCATCTGAATGGCGAGGGGTACCGAATCTTCATCTTTGAACTCAACATAGCCAACACTGTACACTTGTTAGTACAAAAGAAGCGACCTGAAATGTGCATCAAGCTTACCCCTTGGAACGTCCGCTGACACGATCCTTTACAATCTGTGCCTCTTTGACCGGGCCGACCTTCTCGAAGAATTGGATCAACTCTTTTGTTCGGAGTCGCGCGGCAAGTTGTTGTACGAAAACCGTTCTCCTGTCACGCTCATCCTCAGTAAGCTGTGGCTCTGGCGTCTTGCGCTTCAGGGCGTTTTTGGGACTTTCGGAGCGACGGCGGTCTCTGTGACCCTTTTCACGATCCCGGCGCTCATCGTCGTCACGTCTTGATCGGCCTTCTGCTCGGTAATAGCGATCATATCCAGGAGACCTCGATCGTCGGCGATGGTAACCTTCGTCACGTCCGGAGCGTCTTCTGTCATCTTCGCGACTCCGACTTCTCCTCCTGCTCCTATGACTGCCATTAGCAGAGCCGTGTTCGCTTCTGGGGCTTCTTATGTCATCGTCTCTGTCTCGATCCCGATCCCTTCGATGTTCTCGACTTCGATCCCGTCTTTTGCGATCACGGTCCCTATCACGGTCTCGCGAGCCATCACGATACTTGTCCTTGTCGCGACGCTCGTTGCGTTCGGTCTGGTGTAGGTCTTCATTATCGCGAGGAGAGTCTTTGACGTCGCTAGTGGCAGTGGAGTCGAGAAGAGCTTCGACATCGATTCCTGACATTTTGAATAATAGTCGGCGGCTTGCTCAAACTTGATATATTTGCTGAAGGAGAGAGTCACTTGAGCTGTCAGAGTCGAGCAATGAAGCAAAGGGTGCGCAGGCAAACCCTTGCAAGAAAAGTTGTTAGACGGTGCTGCTCCGTATAGGAGCTTTCCTTCGGCCTGCGAGGCGGTGGTTCTATCGTATACGGTCAAAAGACTGTTATTAACGATTAGAGTAGTTGGTCGATCCGACCGAGAACAAAGGGGTTTGAGAGTCGATCTGATTCACTTTCTGGTGGGGAGTAGAAGATGGAAGTTGAAGCGGAAAGAACAACGCAGTTTGGATTTGGCGCCTATTTGGGCTTGGCATGATTACATAAGGCGACATTGTCTACCTTACCGACGTACCGACGAGTATCATCTTGGGCCTGGTATTTCTGTGCTCCAAACTCTCATCAAGCAGATCCAAAGCGATCCAAGCACTACTTGCTGCCTTCCATCAATCCTAAGCCAAACCCTGATACAGATTTCATATCCAAGTCCCTTGACATGCCCTGCTGTTGTCACATCCATCATCACCAGCTAGGCTAGTCTCTGACTGAGCATCATCCTTCAATTGTTGACAGCAACCCAGCCAGAGGCCCGCGAGACATATTGGCCGTTCTCAGCACCATCTTGAGCAAGCTCTTCATCACCAGATGACTGTTCGTTGCCACTGATGCTCGCTTCATAGCCCTCGGAACAGCCAACACTTGAGCTTCGATGTATTGGTCCGTCTTCAAAACTTGATTCTAGCCGCTCAGCTGCGAGTTCCGTGCAACGCGGACAAAGATAGTCCTCACAATCTTGTGGTATCTCCGTAAGACCTGCACAACGAAGATGAAGCCAAACATAGAGACACGATGCGGAGCTGCAGCGAATCATCTTCTCATGAAAGAGCGTCTTATCGCAGTAACAGGTAGCTCTGATCTCCTCCAGAACACGCTTGGTCATGCCAGACTTGGGTTCGTCTTCGCATTCGGATTCGGAAATATGCTCAACCTCCAGGTCTTTGACATGGTCCATGCGGTTTTTCCACTCCAGCCCTTGCTTCTTGTAGCTCTCCCTGTAACCTTCAAAGAGTACTGGAGATAGAATGCGAAGACCTAGTTCGTCATTATTCAGGTCTATATGTTGACAGTTATGGCCGGAATTTATTTTTCCGAGTTCCTCATGGATTTTGATAACGTCGTACTGTTTTTGACGTCGGAGCCGGAGGCCTTGTTTACAGTTCGATCCTTTACCTGGTTCAAGTGTTGGTCCTTCGGGCAGGTAGATGCAGAAAACCTCTTTTTGCTTTAGGAGAGGATGAAGCTTTTCAGCAGCTTCCATGATCTGATCCTTTTCACAGGCTCCATCGATGTTGTAGGGGAAGACCTTCCGCTCGTTCTCACCTGCAGGCTCACTTGGCGAAGCAAGCTGGACGCAGTCGAGGCAGAGATAAACGCTATTAGTCCGGGTTTCTTGGAGGTCATTCTCAACGTTGTCGGCCATGCTCAGAGAAGTACTTTCATGTGGAATGATATACGTCAATCCCCCACAAGCAGTGCTGCAACGGTGACAGATTCTGTCCAAATCATTCTGCATCTGCAGGATCTCAACATTTCCTTCATCAATGTGGAGTTAGTGTCTGCAACCAAATCAGCTGGGCTGGGATCTTACTAGGCGCAGCCAACTCTTGCAGCTTGAAGCCAGGGCGCGTGATGTCTTTCGTGATTGCTCCCGCCGTTTGGAAATCTCGTCCAGCACGACCCCGAAGCTCGAATTTTCTGGACGATGAAGACAGTCCCTTGCAGTATGTCTGACCATCCTCCTCTTTCCGCTCAGGCAAAGCCGAACGCGACTCTGCTTCACCATCTTCTGGTAAGTATGAGCTGGAGAGCGGCATGTTCTTCAGTTTCTGGTACAAGCTCGGATGTGACCACCTGACGAAATCTTTAATGTCATGCTCGTGGATACGGTGAGTCGCGAAAAGACGTCCTGAAAAGCTTCCTGCTCCTGACTCGCCGCATAGATAGACCGAGTCGGCGTGACGGCCTCTTCTGTAAACACCACTCTGAGATAATCGCGGCATACCCACCAAGTTTCTATGCCTCTTTTCGATCGTTTCGGAGGGGAAGGGCATTATTGATCTTTGTGGTGTGTGTTCTCGTACTGCCGCGGTGAAGTGGCATCTTGGTCTACTGGGACCTACTCGAGGTAAGGTGAGGCAGACGCAATAAGCTCACCACTTTCCAATTTGAGCGTGAAGCTGCAGTGAATGAAATTTGTCCTCTAAGGCCTCGACGGATTGACCAACCTGTGAATTTTGGTTTGTCCCACCAACCTAGAAACTTGGTGATGCTGTGGACTGCTGACCAGTTCCCGTCCGTTCCCTCGGCAGAGTAAGCCAGCATTCTGTAGCGTCTGCGATCTATCTGCTCGAAGTAAAGGTCATGTCCAAGTGAAGAAATCAGGGATATCAGTGCTTTGGGTCAGTTGATGTCTCCGAGAGCCAGACAACAGTGCATAGCCTTCTTTTGCTGAGTAGAGTCATGTTGAATGATGAGTGATACTGCTTGCGACTACGGCGAGAGGACTAGTGTGGACACTTGGTTTGATAGAAGCAAAGCTGTTCAGCTTTGTTACTGTTGCAGTTGTTGCGACAATCCATAGTACATCACTATTTCTGAGCGACAGTATATGAAGTGTTTTGTTATGGTATTAACAAGGACAGTTACTCTAATCCCTTTCTCTCTGATCACTGGCAGGTCGGATAAGGCTGGAGCCTCTAAATGCTCATTGGACAAGTCACGCACAGACACAGACACAGACGCTATACCCAGATAGGCATGGCTGGTGAAAACTCTTGGCCACACGCACTCCAAACTTCTGCTTGAAACGCAGTCTCACAAGATCTCAAATTCTGATTTCGCAACGACAACGACAATTTACATCGTCCAAACCACCACATCTTTCCGAGGTATGTGGACCTTCATGCGCTCTTCAGCTGGCCTTGGATGAGCAATCCGATTGTCCGTCTGGATTGTAACATTTCCGGATGGCGCACTCAGGATACGCTCATCTTTTGCGACACGAGCTGAAGAACCCTTGAATGGGCACTCTTCCTGCTCGAGGCTTCTGAAGACTAACATATTTCTCGACAGACACCTCAAGTCCTTGTTCTTCCTGACTTGAGAATCTCACTACATACCGCCAAAATGGTCAAGACCTCCGTTCTCAACGACGCTCTCAAGAGCATCAACAACGCCGAAAAGGCTGGCAAGCGTCAAGTCCTGATCCGACCTAGCTCCAAGGTCATCATCAAGTTCTTGTCTGTCATGCAGAAGCATGGTACGTTTGCCCCCGCTGTTGCGATTGTACAAGGAAGAGGAGGACTGCGCATGGTATTCGGGTTGATAACTAGGCGGCGGTTTCAGTTTGCTCAACAGCCTTTGCCCTTTAAGTACCCGAGAAATCAAGATCTCGGCGGTCGATCTTACACATTTGCTTTCTTTCTTCGTGTTGGTTATATGTTTATTCGATCGCAACATACTCTACCTCAACTTCTGCTGACGGCTTTTGCACAGGTTACATCGGCGAATTCGAGGAGGTCGATGACCACCGCAACGGCAAGATTGTCATCCAGCTCAACGGCCGTCTGAACAAAACCGGCGTCATCTCGCCCCGCTACAACGTTCAGCTCCGAGACCTCGAGAAGTGGGTTGTCAAGTTGTTGCCATCTCGTCAATTCGGATACATCGTCCTGACCACCAGTGCTGGTATCATGGACCACGAGGAGGCCAGAAGAAAGCACGTCGCTGGAAAGGTTATTGGCTTCTTCTACTAGACATTGCGTATTCTGATGTTTTCTGACGATGACATGAGCGTGGGAATGATCTCGAAAAGTTCTCTCGAATTTTCCAGCTTGTCATAGACACTGGACAAGAAATCACATAGACCTTGAGGCAGTGACTGTCAATTCAATAAAAGCAATCATCTGCCAGAAAACAGCAATGTAGAGACTTGTATGCTTGTATTATTTGTGCAGACTTCTCTCAGTCCATGCGTTTCCTCGCGTGCTGCTCCGTTCGACTTTGGCGCACCACAAATGTCCCCACCGCACTTTTCACGCCGTGCCAAGCCGGCCCGCCCACAATACCTATCTCTTCAACTTTGAACATCAAGTCTTTCAGTATCCCTAGTTATCCGTCAAGACAACATCGCAAAAATGGTATGTTTATTTCCAAGCCCGGTGCTGATGTCGCGGAGAACTCGTAACTGACGATACCAGGCGCCCGCAGCATCATCCGGCGGCAAGAAGCAAAAGAAGAAGTGGTCAAAGGGAAAGGGTATGTTCTGAACCTGCGCATCCACGTTCACCATCTCAACCAGCTACATTCGAACATTTCGCATTCTTCTGATCAAAAAGCTAATATTCTGCTCGTCTACAGTCAAGGACAAGGCGAACCACGCCGTTGTATTGGACAAGGCCACCTCCGACAAGCTCAACAAGGACGTCCAATCGTACCGACTCATCACCGTCGCTGTTCTCGTTGACAGACTGAAGATCAATGGCTCGCTAGCACGAAAGGCGCTCGCTGATCTCGAGGACCGTGGTGTTATTCGCAAGGTTGTGGCACATCACAGTGGTGGCATCTACACGAGAGCGGCTGCCGGCAGCGACTAAATCACAATTGGTTTACGAAGCAAGGCGACTAGGAAAAATCAATTCAGTCTTTGCAAGGCACCAATGCCGAATAGACAATGAGGCTCGATGGCGCTTGTATGATGGTCACGAATATGCATCTGGGACGGGTCCAAGTGTGGTCGAGGATGGCCACGGATGAGAACTGAGACAGGCATAATGCAAATTTCCTGCACATACGGAGGACTGGGGAGCAATTTTCAGACCCATGGTCACGATTATCCCGAAGGATACGCGATCCCATTCTCGATCATTGTCTGCAGTAACCTTCGTTCCAGGAGGAATTGATATCCATGTTGTCTATCATGATTTGTTTCGACTCTAACGATCAACGCCATTTGGTCTTGTCCTGAGCTCAATTACTGTACCGGCTTTCCTTGCGCCTTATCTATTTGCTTTCCCTTCTTCCTCTTGGGTCGTCCTTTTTCAGCCGGCTCGCACAACTTTGGGGCATCACCTGTGTACTCTGGCACGCCTACCAGCTTTCCCACTTCAAAATATTTCTTGTGATTCCTGTAGAAAGCCTCCCACTTAGCCACTTCCTCCAGGACACGTTTCTTTGCGTTCCTCCTCTCTTTCTCAGCCCTTGTTTTCCTCGCTCCGCTCGAGATGTCCTCATCGGTATCTTCTTTGGGGATGTAGATTTCTTCTGCCCCTCTCAGATCACCCGTTCGATCTTCGAGGAAACATCCGGTGACAAACGCCCTGGTGGCGTCTCTCCCAGCAAATACTTCATAGCTTCCACCAGGGCCATATGTCCGTCTTCCCTCGGTAACATCGAAGATCGTGCGATTGATGGCGAGATATATCGGCTTTCTGGGGTCTGTGCCGTTGTATAGCGCCAGCTCGTCAGGACTTAGATACAGTGGCCCTTTCCACCATCGCGCGAGTTGTGCAGGGTTCGCGAACCAGGGATGGTAGTTCCAAGTGAAGGAAGAGCCAGAAGTTAGGTAGTATGACAATGCACAGGAGACGCCAATAAGAGTTATTATAACCCGAAGGACATCGAGAACGGAGATTACTCGAGACGTTTGGTCTTCGATCTCATCTTGCGCGGGAGATTTCGTTCGCACTGTTGAGCTTTGGGTCTTTGGTGGGCGTCTACGCAAGGAAGAGTCTGCCATTTCCGTGAGTCTTCAATTCTAGTAGCAGAGGATGCACTTCCAAGAATTTGGTCATCGAGTTGGACAATGTTTGGTGCTGACAACAATTCGTCTGGTGAGAAGTGGGCCCTGAGTTGCGTAGCTGCAATCGCAGGCTGGGAAGGTCGAATAGGCCGCGGCCTAATGAACCAGCCACATGGATTCCACGAAAATCAAAGCACAACCACCCATCCCCCAGCGCTCGTCCCTCTTTTGTCCTCCTCATTTCCTATCGATTGCGCATTGACTCTGTACGGAGCACGGGTGTATCGATTTCATCTCAGGAAGTCGTATTGCGCTCACCATAGAAAGTCATCGACAAACAAGCCTCGGCTTGACGAAGTAAACAAACGACCAGCGGTCATACCCACAATCAACATTCCACGACTTCAGAACTTCGAGCAGTCTGCCTCCATGACTATATAAGTCGGCACCTTGTGCGATAGTAAACGCGATATGTCCTATCAATATACTGTCACCGAACGCAGGCGCAGAACAGCGAATACCGGTGGCTACGGCCACTCCGGGCATAGGTCCGCATTTGGCTACTGGGTTCCCTTGGTCGTCACTGTCACAGCTGCGGCCATCGGAGTTGCCGCCTGGGTGTGGAGTGAACGGCGCGATGATGAAGAAGAGGCGAGCGAGGAGGAACACTACCAAGGAGGAGTACCACCTCCAGGATATGCAAGCATGAGCGGTGCTCTACCTGCCGGCCCACCGCCTCCCGGTGGCTATCAAGGGCCTCCAGGCGCTGGGCCAGAAGGCTTTCAGGGTCCGATGATGCCTGGTCCGAATCAACCCGGCGGCTTCCAAGGCTATCCACCTCCTCCTGGATTTCCAGGACAAGGCCCTGATGGTTACCGTGAAGCTGGCGGAGAATATTACGCTTCAAGATCAACGGCGGAAGAGCAGCAGGTAGAGACTGGATTCGTCGCCAGGATGTCAAGTGCACTTGGATTTGGTCGGTCAACAACCCCATCGCAGCCGTTAATACGAGGGGACTCCGTTCAACAGCCTTACGACTGGGCCAACAAACCATTCGCTTCCGGAGTCGCAGCTGCTGGCGCCATGGTGGGTGCTGCCATCAGTTCTATCAGAGGCGATGGTGGCGACGGCTACGAAGACCATGAGCGGTGGAGTGAAGAAGTCGAACAACGTGAAACCGACAGGGACGTCAAACAAGGAATCAAACGTAGGGGCACAGCCGACGAGTTCTTCTCTGGCGATGTCGAAGTTCCAAGAGAGTCGTCCATTGCTCGTCAGAAGAGGAAAACTGTTGCCGTCGTTGTTTCTGCGGCCGGTCTAGGATCTGATGGTGATGTGGATCACGCTGTAAGTTTTATCCAACAGTCAACACTCCGTCTACGCAAGCTGACAAGAGCAAGTCCATTTTGTCACATCTTCCTGAATATGTTGACCCCGACACAACCCGGATTTTTGTACTGATCTACGCTCCTGAATTGAAGACGCATCCACTTAGCCACAGAAGACCATCACAGTCAATGACGTCGTCCTTCTCGAACATTAGCCAGGCCGAAGCACACACACCAGCTCAAACACCTGGCGACTTCCCATCAGGAACGCCAGATGATGGTATACTAGCACAGGTTGATCCCAAGCCAGTTGAAGATGGATTCTCCGCATATAAGGCTCTTCGCGATCAAGCTCTCACGATAGTGGACAGGGAGACCATGATTCTCCCATTCACTTCATCAAAAGGACACAAACACATCTTACGAAGCCTAGCACCAGAACTTGTATACATTCAAGAATCTCTCTGCGGAGCTGATGGCGAACTTGTTTCCGAGCTTTCTGGTTGGGTGCGCCAAACTGTTGTTGTTATTGGTGACGAGGGAGGGCACGGCGGCTTAGTGGACACGGACGATGAGTCGGTTACCCATAAGCATGAGATATGGTGGCAAAAAGAGGAAAGGACTGGACTGGGGAAACGTGTGGGCGTTGTCGAGAGTCTGAAGATAGGCGAGGATTGGCAAAGGCGAATTAATGATCGAGACTGAGCAGATTGATGATTTTGATGTCAACAAATGGCATAATGGCTCTGGAGGCTCAAAGCTGCCACATGAATAGTCTAGTTACTATTTAGCGTATTGAAAGAAGTGTTTTATACCGAAGGCTTCCGCCTCTGATCAATGAGTACAATACATCGATACTTCGATATCTGCCGGGGAGTTCAGCATAGCGAACATCGCTGTATAGGCTAATGAATGGCTCATGTAATTCGGAGAACGTGCCTGTAAAGACTATCAGGTAGGCATTATTGCAGCCCTGGGCCTCTGACTTGACTGCCACTGCCAGTCATCCGTACGGAGTACTATTGCATCAATCTTCTTCGTTGTGCGGATATGTAGCCGACTGCTATTCCATAGGTCTCGACGTATTGATTGGCCAAAGCATCTCCTTGTGGGTCTCAGCCTCGCTCGACAACTTGATGCTCGATACGGAGTACTCTCCAACACAAAGGGCAAAGTGTCAATAGAGCCTAAGACTTCAGATAATATCAGTAACAGCCTCAGAGTAGTCATGATAGTCTTGAGATTGCCATATTCAGTGGGGTGGCGGACCATCAATCAAGAAAACCATTAATCCTTACTGTGTTATGCGGATAGATCACATTCGTAGAGAAGAATTGTATGTATCATCGGGTCTCACTGACCGGCATATCCTAAGCCAGTACAAATTCTGGGTCAACCAAAGATCTTTTTGAAGTCTACACAGTACAAGTACGGAGTAGGGGTAAGTCATATCTGGGCGCACGTGACACTTGGATCGGTGCCAAGGCCGAGCATCTCTTAATCATACCCCGATCTCGCGAGAACCTGGGCATGGGCGACGACATACGAATGACCATCATACAGCAATTTCCATTCAACAAATATCAACTTGTACACGACTGTCGGTCTGGCAACGATACACGTATTGAGACACTTGGTAGAACAGCAAGATCAACAACATATGCCCCCAGAGTTGCCTGCAACGCCCTGACGTGCCCCTCATGATGCGCGTGTCGCCAGTACCGTCGCAATCTGGCCGGGAACCTTTACAGGCTTCTACAGCTTTTGAAGAGTTGTTGTGACAAGTCCAAGAGCCTGGAACCCCACATTGATCGATAGTCACGCCCAAGATGGCTGCTGTCGCGGCAAAGGCCACAGGTACGGCCACCAAAATGAAGAAACCGCCTGCACCTGTCCTCCAGACGAATACGAACGGAACGAAGCCCGCTGCGCCCTCCTCCTCCCCGAGTAGTGCCAGGAAGACGCTCCCTGGTCAAAGCCAAAATGCTCCCTCCGCGGCTAGCAATAGTGCCGCAGTAAATGGTACCGCGAGGCCAAACCGAAGACTACAAAGACTCAACACGAGAAATAGCACGACAGACACCCTGGGTTCAGATAAACGAGGCACCAAGAAATTTCCTGAGCCATATGGTATGTTTCCTACACGTAAGATATCGTGCGCCTTTGGACTAACACGTGTCCTCGGTATAGTTCCTAAAGAATCTCACATCTTACGGAAATTCAAAGGTTCTCCGCCCTCACTCATTGTTCACCTGCATCCTACCCACTTCCGTTTCGATCAGCAAGAAGGGAGCTTCAGTTACCACTCCGAGATGCGCATCTTCATCGACCACCTGGCCAAGGGTACAATACCGCATGATATGGTGGAAGAGTTTCGGAAGTCAGACGTCAAATACTATGATGGTTGGCTCATAGTACGGGTACTCGACTACAAATCCGTCGCGAAAGATGCCGCTGCCAACGATGCTTGTAACGGAGACGAGAAGCCTTTCAGTATACACAATTACAACCAATACATCACTCCATCCCCGTACGTGCCATATCCAACGAAAGAGCAGTCGGTGGCTCGATCACCACCAACGAAGCAAGAGCGTCGGGACTCCATATCAGGAGAGCTCAAAGATACTCTCAATTCTGACGATACTATTGATGTCGCCCCGAAATCCACGAAGCCAAAACCCAAGATATATCATGTTGCTTTGCGACCTACCGTCCTCTCAAAACATATGGATATGGTAATTGATGCTATGACTCCTGATCCAAAATCCGTCAATCGCAAACAGTCACAAGCGAACTCGAGTAATCGAGCACCAGGGTCAGGAGCTCCACAAACCCCGATCTCCGGGGTACCTTCAACGCCATCCACCGACAAAGGTCCACCGCACAAGAAGCTGAAATTGAAGATCGACCCCAAGGATCTCCTCGACTATGAGGCTCGGATTGTGAACGCCACTGCCCCCCCTCTATACCTAGATGCCGTTGAAAGCATCGAAGAGGCAGAGACGCTGATGGATATGCTCCGAGATCCTTACCACGACGCACGTCCTCCTTCACCAATCAGCCGGAAGCGAACTGTTGCAGAACTCGCTGCCGACGACGCGCATGCCAAGGAACAGGAGAAATTCATGCTCATCATGGATGAGCGCACGTCCGGTGCATCTGGTGCGCCGAACGCGGGAGCTGTTGATGGCCAAGCTGCCTCTGCGCTATTCCAACCACGCTTCGAGAAGTTCAACGCTCTTGATAACATTAAGAGGGAAATCGCAGAGCGGAAACAACGTGAAAAGGATCGGCAACTGCAGGAAGATGAGAATAGGAGAGGCCAGCAAGAACGCCTACAAGAGGAGGAAAAGAAACGCATACTGATGCAGCGGGCGCAAGAGGCTAGAGCCATCCGTGCCCGCCAGCAAGAAATGCAAGCAGCGTTGGCGGCGCAACAGCAGTCAGCTCAAACGAACCAGAGACCGCCTTCGCAGCAGATGAATGGCATACCTCCAAATATGCAGAATCAGATAATGGCTGCTCAACAACAACGTGGCTCGCCAATACTCAGACAAGGTACTCCTCACGCGGCATCCTCACCCGTAGTCACAAACGCTACTGCACAAGGTGGGCTTCCCATGGTAGTCTCTGGCTCACAACAAGGCAATGGCTCGCCGGCTCGACCCGGTTCCGCAGTTCAGCACGCTCATCCCACCGCTCCGATGGCAAGAGTCGGTAGTGGACAAGCTCTCAGTCGCAACGGCACACCACAACTGCCCCATGGAACACCTGCTGGTGGAAACGCCACGCCAATCATGCGCCAAGGCACTCCTGGTCAGCATATCAGCCAGGCAAGCCCACATAGTAGCATGGCGGCGCCTACACCTCAAATGATGCCAAACGGCATGCTTCAAGGCATGCAAGGCCAAATGCCGAACGGTGTCCCAAGACAACCCAATCCTCAGCAGCTCGCAGAAATGCAACGACGCCATGCAATGCAGCAGCAGGCTGCAGCCCAACAGGCTGCTATGCATCAGCAGATGATCAATGGCACTCCTCAGATGGCCCAAGCCCAAATGGCTCATATGCAGGCTCAGCATCATGCACAAATGGACCGCCAAGCCGCCATGCAGCGTCAGCAAGCACAGCAGCAAGCTATGCAGCAGGGCACACCACAAAGTCAGCACATGTCGCCCGTTCCTGCACAGAGTCAGAAGGCGTACAACCAGTCCGTTGCCGATCATGTCAAAGCACAAATGCAGAGCCTTCAGCAACCACACTCCCAAGGTTCACCTGGTCAGAATCAGATGACCCCTCAACAACAAGCTGCACAAATGGCACAGGCCCAGCAACAGCAAAGGATAATGGCTGCTCAGGCTCAGGGCCAAATGATGGGTGGCAATGGCCCTCAACAACGACCACAGATCAGTCCCCAGCTACAGGCGCTCTATCAGAACACCCTTAGTGCATACACCCAACGCTTTTTGACCCAAGCCGCTTCTAAGTATGGCGGCAATACAAATATGCTTCAACCTGCCGAACTGCAACAGGTGCAGGGTCAAGCCAAACAGGCGGCCATGACTGCTGTGCGCAAACGTCAGGCTGAGATGAGCCAGATGAACCAGATGCAGATGCATGCTCAGATGAGGCAGCAAACTCAACAAGGTGGAGGAGGAATGAATATGAATGGCGGTGGCATGGGCATGAATGTCAATCCGAACATGGCCGCAGCCTTACAGCAGCATCAGGCTCAGCAAATGCAACAGATGCAGATGCAGCATGCCCAACAAATGATGGCGCAACAACAACAACAACAACAACATCAGCAGCAGCAGCAGCAGCAACAACAACAACAACAGCAGCAAGGCATGCAATTTCAGCACCAGCGAGGGTAAGGTCTGATCTTGACATCTTACTTCTGGATTTTTGCCAGAACAGTGGGAATCTCAATTTGGTTCGCATCCCTGCTTTGGTGAGGCAATCCAGGGACCTCCCCTCCGAGGAAATTGGGTATCATTCTGTTGGTTCGACGGGGTCTCTTTGTGCATTGGGACGGCGGGGTGTGTCGATTCAGCGAAATTTTACGACATGACATGATCGGGTTTGATGGCACGCTTTGGAGTTTTGTGGTGGCCAAAGTTGGGCCTTGCACACGCTGAAGGCCTCTTGCCTGGTCAATATGGCAACGCTTGAAGCTTTTGAGGGAAAATGAGTTGGCGTCATGACGTTTGAGGATCGCTGCACCAGATCACGGATGTTACACGAATGCATAACCCATTGGGATGTATACCACTTGGCATTTGCTACGGCTTGGACATTGGCCATTCAACGAAGTTACGACCAAGACCAATATCACAGTGTCGACTTGAATTGGTGTTTATGGGGGTTGACCTTTTTTTTCTTCTCATTTGAATTTCGGGGAAAAAGAAAGTCGTCTTTGGTCAAAAGACGAACTATGCAAGGCATTGCTTGATTGGTGCGAGTATAGCGGTTGTGTTTTGTTGTGTTTGTCAACTTGTCTTTGTTGTAAAGTGGTAAGCTGCTCTCTCTCTTTCTACGGAGAACGAGAACTTGAAGGACGGCTTCGCACAATAACAATAAACAGGGGTTCGATTTTTGTGATTGTGTGTTGGGCAAAATTCTTGAGCTCTGCAGTCACAATCGCACACATGGAAAAATGTATATTGAATAATATGTACTGAACCCAAATGGGATTGAGACCACTAGAAAGCCTTTGAAGATTCGACCTGGGCTTGTTCTTTTCCAATATTTTATTCCTGTTTCTGATAGTTACTTTGTGTGTGCGGAGTGATGCACTCCAGGTGTGACGATTGCAAAGTATCGTTAATGCTACATGGGTCGGCAGTAGGGAGTAGATTTCTTTAGAACTATCGTAAGCAAACGAATGTTCTTTGGTGTGATTGTCCAACGGTACGAATAGGAAAAAGATGGCTATGCATGCAAAAACATTTTGCTCTGTGGAGCGAGAGTACCAAGGAGAGAAAAAAGCCGATCAGGCCGTCTTCATCATACACTTTTGCTCCAACCACCTGGCCAACTGGACGCTCTTCTTGTCGACGTACCGCGTGACCAACTCACTGATCCAGAACAAGGTGGGGATGGCGATGGCGGCGTAGAGCAAAAACACCAACCAAGAACCGACTTGGCCTTCCGGTCTGAGACCGACGTGGGAGGGAATTCGAGAGAGAAAACGCATCAATGGCCTTCCTATGCTGTTGATCAAGGTGACGTGCATGAGGTAGATTCCGAAAGAGTTCTCCCCGAGGTACTGCGGAAAAGGGGTGGACAGGAACCTCCGAAGCATTCGTGTTTGACCCGTGTAAAACACCAGAACCACCGAGGCGACGCAGACCGGGAACCGGCCGACGCTCGGGAGTTTGTCCCAGCTGCTGGGGTCGAAAGACTTGATGGTGGTGTACAGCCGCACGTCCCCCATGTGAGGGTACTCGGGCATGGTGACGACGGCGAGGATCGCGACGAGGCCTGAGATGAGAGCGACGCGTTTCAGTGTCAAGGCAATCAGATTCGTACGCTGACGAGGATTTTGTGGTTTCTCGCTCGACAAACCGACAACACCGGAGCTGTTGGCAGAAGTCGAAGCGGACGTGGACGTGGATTGTGGCATCGTTCGGTTTTCAAGATAATGGTGAAGGTCGCAGCACAGGGGTCCCGAGAGAAACAAAAACACGTCCCACTGTCCTTGAGCGACGCAGTATAGGACGAGCGACGCTATGACGGCGAACCTCAGGGGCGGACGAGTCCTGCCCAGGGCCAGGAGGACCACGAAGACGATGATCGACCCTCGATACTCAAAGGGGATGGTCCACATGCCGATGGCGTACCGTAGGCCCTTGATGTTCCAGGAGTGGTACCGGTCGAGGTTGAGCGGGTTCAGGCCCGTCAACAGGTCGTCCAGCCAGTGCCACAGGGTCGCGGCCACGGTGCCGTCGTAGGGGACGTGGTCGGCGCCCTCGGGGTCAAACAGCTTGAGGTAACTCAGCACGGCGTTGAGGAGGGTCAGGAAAACCACGGGCGCGTAGAGTCGGATGCCGCGTCGGAAGAGGGCCGACGAGAGGGACTCGGAAAACCGGGTGAAGTCGGCCGTCCGCGTGAGCGACAAGGGCCGGCAGCTCAGGGCGTAGCCGGATATGACGAAAAAAATGTCCACCATCGCCGGACCCGTGCAGGGGAGGCGGAGGACGGGGAGGCGGAACAGGCGCGAGTCCGAACTCTGCCACGCCGCGCAGTGGCCCGGGTACAACAAGAGGGAGTTGTGGTAGAAGACGACGGTGAAGCACGCGATGCCTCGGAGGCCGTCCAACCACGCCGTCGCGTGGACTTTGCGATTTGTCGTCGTCGTCGGACACAGGATGGTGGGGCGGACGGCCACCCAGGCCGCCCTCAGGATCGAACCGGTTTTGCTGTCTCCGGTAGAAAACGCAAGGAGAGATGCTTGTTGTTGTGAAGAGCTGTCTAGAAGTGACCGTCGTGGTTTCAGGTATTGTTGTATCAAATAAAAAACTGCCAATGCTTTGGCGAGTAGAGTACGTCGTCGCCTTTGGTCGTTTGATGAAGCCTGGCACGCGCCGCCGAATTCTTCGTCTTCGAGATCTCCATTCAACAGCGGGTACTGCTGGGACCGGTGCCGCTCGTCGTCGTCCGGTAGGACGTTCTTGAATGACTGTATAGCCATCGTGACAACGAATCCTGTAGGTATGGGGAAACCTTCTACAGTACTTCGACCGAGGAAGGAAGCATCATGCGTTCTACATGAAGAAGCTGAACAAGACTTACCTCAAATTGTACTTCCATGGACATCGAAAGGGGGTTTCTTAGCTTTCCATGTCAAAAAAAAGGGTCACGGACCAGATCGTTCGTCCTTTAGATTGAAAACGCGTCAAGAGAGCCTTTGACACATGTCACTCGACATGCTCCATGGAACAGCCGCACGATGATCGTGCAGAGGCGGGACGTTATAGACGCAGATATGAGATCAAGGATGATCCCATTGTGTACTGTATGTACTGTCAAGGGCAACAGACTGCCACCTACTGTGGTGTATTGTGTATATATGGATCGTAACTTTTCGTGATATTGAGGCATTGTTGGACGTTTGTCAATGTCCGTCGGCCTCGCTTGTTTGATCCACCGTTTTGAATACGGTGGAGTTTATCTTCTTTCGAACGTAGCGCATTGTCCTCTTCTCCCTCTCCTTTTCCTCGAATATAGAAAAGTCCTCAGCCCTCCCTGATGCACCGTCGCGGTGAACAAGGTGAAGACACCCTCCCCAACCACAGTGAAGACATCCTTCAATAATGTTGTGTTTAAATATTTCATTTTCAGAATTCCAGGCAACAATGGGGTACATGGCGTAATGGTAGCGCTCACTTTCAGTCTCTGACCCTCGTCCTGAACGGCGGTTGGGGCGCTCAGGAAACAATTTTCGGACCTCCTTCTGGAGGCTGGGCTCTGTGAACCTGAGCAGGGAGTGACCGCTTGCCATTGACGTTAAAACTCCCAGAGTGTTGCCCCTTTAAACATCTGGCATGTCCAGGTTTTCTATTCTCACAACCCCGATCTCAAGGGTTGTGAGATGAGTTTTTGTTGCTGGCTCTTGCTTCACAAAAGCCTCTCTATACATTCAATTGATGAACAGCCTCCAGCATCTATATAGGATGTCTTGCGTCGGAATCCTGAAGCTCCTCAGACTGCGCCATGAAAACAACTCGGCGCTATGGTTGTATTCCGCCCGGCTGACATGAGACTGATTGTAACAGACCAACTCGGGCCTTTCCTCTTATTCAAAGGCGTCGATTATTTATCGTATGGCGAATCGTCTCTGACGATGTAAACTTGGGCGACAAGAATGGCGCAGCCTATCGCCATCGCCACCGAGATGATGGGCAGGTTGACTTTCGCGAATTCCAGGCGCTTGACCTCGATATACTTGCGTTCCAGGATGTCCCTCCACAGCAAACCAGCAAGTGAGGCGCTGAAGACTGCACTGAATGCGCCGTAATTGACGCCAATCGCCATGCTGTATACGGTGGCCCAGAATGTTCGGTTGGAGATTGGGATTCCATTCTGGCGATGAATCGTCTGCCATGCTTGAACCACCCGAGAAAGAAGGATGGCGCTACCGATGTTCGTCCCTGCGAACTAGAAAAACGCACCACGCATGTCAACTGTGATCTCACTTCCCGTGAAGTCTTACCGAATTTTTGGTGTTCTAGAAAGGACTTACGTTGCATAACACGACGGAGATAAATCCCATACCACCAACGGCGCCCACAGTTCCCGTTTTGTTTACCCAATGGTCCCACCCATAGGCAAAAACTGGAACCCAGCCTCTCGTAACGAGTCCCTGCACAAGGACAAACATCGAGAGAGCGAACGGCACAAGAGCAAACGGCAGATGCGCAGCCACCACTGTGACAGTTGGGAATTTTGACTGAAACCATCCAAACCCTTTTTTCACGAGACTTTCGAACGTCGTCGGGCCGGAAATTGTGCGAGCGTCGAACTCTTCAGACATGTCGTCACTCGACCTTTCCTCTTTCTCGTTCGCTGTCAAACTTGCCCCAACCGGTTTTTCTGCTGATGTCCGTGAATGAAGAGCACCATGCGCATAGTGTCTCTCATCGACTCTGTCGGTCATTGTTCTCGAGACGGAGCGGTTGGGTCTGGTCATTTCGATAGGGCAAGTTGCGGATCTGGAAAAGTTCGGCGACGATGGTGAGCTATCTACAGGCGACACTCGATCATCGTCATTCATTCCGGATCGCCCTCGGGTACCGATATGGGCAACATGCTTGGCACCTGGCACGAGGTCCTCCTCCTCGGACAACACGAAGCTGCGAGATCCGTCGCCACTTTGGCCATGCTTTGCAAGAGATGAGTTTGCCTTCGAATCCGCGATCTGGTATGACTGCATTTGCTCCTGTGCCACTTTTCGTAATTCTTCTTGTTCAATCCGATCGCGCTTCTCCTGGTATTCCCTGAAATCCCGCCGCCACTTGGGCAGCTGAGACAGCCCATAAAGGGCGTCCCAGGAGAACATGACGAACGCGGCCGGCAGAGTGACCCAGTAAACGGGATGGGTGCCTGTGGTTTGACTGACCGCGTTCAGCACCAGGATGGTAACAAGCGTCACAGACATCAAGATGGCTCCGAACGCCGCACTTTTCTCGTCGATGTATGGGTTCATGATTTCTTCGGCCATTCGCATTTTGCCCTTCTCATTGTTGGCCTTTTTATCCTTTTCCTCGTCCCCGCCACCACTCTTGACATGATCGATGTTGGGATTTCCAGGCTTTAGCATCATGATAGCTTCCGGCAAGACTTTGGGTTTTATCGAGGACGGGATGTAATCCTTCTTCTCGACATCGTCCTTTCCAGAAAAGACAACATACAACAAAAAGGGAAACAAGATGATGCCGGTGACTGTGACGGGGACAATCATGTTGGCTGTGTAGTGGATGAACTTGATGTCGAAGGCTCCTGCCAGTACAAGATTCGTCGGGTTGGAAGAGACCAGTATGGCCGAGACAACGTTCGCCACGGTGAACTGCGCGTGGATCCAGGCTCTGGCTGTGTGAATATTGTCCGACACTCGGGTCATGTATGCCAAGAATGCGGTTCCAGATAAGATGATGGGATCATTGCCGATGAAACTCCCCAGGCAGAAGAAGAAGGCGTAAAGGTAGAAGAACAGGGCATGTCCATTGTCTCCACCCTTCTCGAGCGCTTTCAAGGCCAACCACCTGATCAAGCCGGAGGCGTCGATAGACACGGCCAGGTACGCCAAGGTCAAAAAGAAGGCCATGATGTCGATGGGCGAGATGTTATCGGCCCCAACCGTTCCATCGTGAACCTCTTGACGGCCAATGGCAGAGATGGCCAGCAAAAAGAGGTCGGCAAGCAGAGGCGCCGTCACAAAGTTCATGGGGAATTGGAAGCGCATGAAAGGCTTGACTTTGCCGGTACTGTCGGTTCCATAGTTGAGGTGCCGTCGTCGAGGCGAGATGATGCGTAGAGTTCCCAACAGCCGCAAGATCCCATCCCAGACCCGCGTGGGAAAGAACAGTGACACTCTGAATGGGAACAGCACAGTAAGATCTACGCGACCGCAGACAAAATCAATCTCAGAGAACGACCACGGGAATTTTGGGAAAGACCATGTTGTACCTACTTGTCAGGAAGAAAATAATCAGAGTCACGATTGACCGCCAGTCTTTGATCTGGCCAGTGTCTAGGACTTCTGCCATTGCTTTCTTCTCCGCCCTAGATCCAACCTCGAATTGTCGCTTCTACCTGTCTTTTGGAGCAGACATAGCAGGATTTGTTGTTTCAAGTGCGACAGGTGTTTGACTCGGTGTGATTCGGGTAGGGAGAGAAATGCTTCAGGTTCGGCGTAGAAGGTGTCGCAAAATGAATGATGTGATGCTCACCAGAGCACTGCCACTGTAAACCAGCCCTCTTAGGACAAAGCATTTCCGCCACGGTCTGCTCCCTGCCTTTGACGGGCGTGATGAAAACGCACACCGCACAGCAGTCTGCCCCTCAGTAGCTCTCACTGCCACTGTACGGAGTATTCGTAAATATCCGGAGGGGCGGGCGATGCTAGGACCCAAGGCGTCCGACGAGTAACCATCCTGCGGATATGCAAGGCGTGAAAGAGGGCCGCATTAGCACCCAAAGTTTGCGTTTTGCAGCTGTCCTACGGTTGGATGATTGGGGTGTAACCATGTGTTGGTAAAGTGGCTGGAAAGGCATCCCAACCAGTGTAGGGGTTATGACGAGTAGGAGTACGCGAGGAGTTTCAGCTCTACTGCCCTGCTGTACTCCGAAAATAGGAAAAGGACGCCTTTCATTCCACCCCCACCGCCACTTGGTCGTTTCTTAGCGAGGAGAAGCTCCACGGGGTGACCACTTTAATCCAGATGCATGGTTCGGAGAGCAGATGAACCTCAGGACATGCTTCGTGTTTGTGCTTGGGTTCCACAATGTCCAGAACGTCGGGCTCTCCTTTGACTTCGCGCGGCTGAGGAAAAAGTGACAGAGTAAGACTGCATGCAGCACTGCAGCAGCTGTTACACTGTCACAAAAAGAAAAGCAGTCAGGGCAAAAATTGCTCCCCCGATAAGGCTCAATACAGGGCACACCCTGGCTAGTACAGCCGCCTCATTTCCAATCAAACTCTACTACCCTAGATCCCGGTTCCAGCTCTCTCCCTCTCTTTTTCTGTGTCTTGTTGTCCTGCCCCTCCAAGTGAATCTCGCACAGTGTATCCAAACGAATGGCAGAGACAAGTGGAAATCTTTCACACTTTGACTCCATCTGAGCCTCTGGATCCAGCACGATGATTGATAAGACGAAATGATGATCCATGATGCCATACGTGCTCCGTACAGTACAGTACATTCGGGCCAGAATGGCTGCCAGTAAGTACTTACCTCGTCTTTTACGGTCTCTACCACGAATGTCAGTTGTTGGCAACACTATAATCAAAACGTTCATTTTCCGTAGGGGTGACTGAGAACATTTACAACTCCAGATCAAACTTGGCTGGCTGTTGTTTGGCAGCGCCACCGTAACTGACCATCAATGATAGCCCTCTTGGTTGTAGTAGTTCGTTCGAAAAGTGAACTTGGAATGAATGCACCGTGCCGTATACTCCGTACTGTGCAACGCCATTTCCTGTTACCAAGTAAATGACTCCAGTGCGAGGACTCCCTGGGAAATCCGGAAATCAAAGCCCCGTCCATATCACAAGAAGAAACATCCACTCGATTTTCTCAGCCTGACACAATCATCGATTAAACGATAGCCTTGTTTTTTATCACCTCAAGCCCTGCAGGGTTCATTCGTGACGAAGGCAAAAGGGCCCGAACCAGCATGGGGGCACGCGACCAGTTTCCGAAAGTGACAAGTAAGCCATCCCCGACATGGGAAACAAAAAGTCCCGTTTTCTCACAGACGATTGGTGCAATTGCGGACAAGGTCGACGTAAGAGTCGAAGTAAAGCTGGGGCGAAACGAAAGCTTCGATGTGGCCGGGCCCTTGTGGTTCGGCCCTTGCTTTCGCAAAACTGATAAACACTCTCCACTCTCGCCTCCCTCCCCAGGTTTGGTCGTTTGCTTCCATTACTCCCAGACGATGATGGTCTTTGGGTTCAGATGAAAGTATCATGCCAGTTCTGCCTCCAACTTCACCCATAGCAATCTTACTGGATCGAAGCGTGACGATCGCTACCACCACCAATGTCAGCAGCCATGCGGTGAAAGTCGTGTGTGCATGGCCAGTGTCAGGCCAATATGGGCCCGGCACGAGGTTCCTGTAAGTAGTTCAGCCCTGTCTGCGGAAACTGCCCATCTGCCGGTCACACCTTCTGCCCCTTCTTTCTCAACAGAGACACTAGCTTACTGTCTCATGAACCATCGATAGTTATTATGCTCTTATCAGCGCATGTTTTTTCGGTAGGGAAATACAGTGGCTCAGAGCGGCTTGTTTGGCGGCGGCTCTGCTGTTCCCTGCCGTTGCTGCCCTTCATGGGATTGTCATCGCCGCTGTCCATGTCGATGGTATGTGAAGATCTCCCGGAGGAACTGCAGTCTCTGTGGCTCCAGAAGAAAACAAAACACTGAAAAACGGCATATCCAGACGCAGTCGACATGGATGTATATGGAGCTTTCCAGGTTTGCTCCATCGGCATTCTCCTCGCTCCAGTCACCGTCATGCTATCTCGAAGCTACTTTGAGCAAGCAGGGAGTAGCATCATCATTCTGTGGACAGCACTGATCCTTGCTGGTGAGTTGCTGAGAAGCAAACACCTGGCCGGCAGGCTGGCATTCGGCTGACCATCTATACGTTGTTTAGGACTACTGAGCTTGACTGTAGAGTTCTTTCGAACAAAGTCAACACATTGCATCGACGACGGCGCCGGCAACCCGATGCCAATCAGTGCTAAGGGCTTTCAATACGGCACGGAAACGTGTGGGCTCATATGCTCGGTCGACCAGGGTCCCTTTTCTCCCATGCGACGTGGCTCCGCGAACAACATCTACGTGATCCCAGCTCCGGATAAGCTGACGTTCAATTCCGCCACTCTCCTCGCCGCCGCCTGCTGTGTACCTGCCCTGCTCCTCCTCATCTCAAATTGGAACAAGATTCGTGAGATCAACGCCCTCGAAGCAAAACGCCTCAAGGAGAAGACGGACGCAGATGCTGAGGAGGATCAAGGGTCAATGGCACCCAGCGACGAGAATGATCAAGGAGACACGAATGTCAACCAACAACCGCCGCCACGACCGAATAGTCACGACGCGGATGATACAGAGGTACTGCTGTGCACTTGCAACGACCAAGACCCAGCAAACACCGGTAATCGACGGACTCGCAACGTCGTGGCCACCCCGATATTCGGGGCGGCGATATTGGCCATCCTCATAATCGGGGAGTGGAATTTCTTCAGCACGCAGGTTTCATACCAGACCGAGCCCATAGCGAGTATAGGTAAGGCCACCCCCGACACAACCACACTTCCTCACGAAGAGTCTACTCCCTTCGGGCTTTGTGCTGATCCAGAGTCTCTATCAAGGTCAATGGGCACCGGTCGTCGGAACAGGCCTCGCCATGGTCGGTTCGGTTTACGTTCTTCTCGCCAAAGACATCGTACTCGAAAAGAGGGAACAAGAAAAGCGAAAACAGGAGAAGAAGCAAGTTGAGAGGAGCAGTAGCATACAAGAAAAGACAAGTCCGTCTGTGGAACATCACGATGATAACAATAATGGTCAACAACAAGTGCCACCACAACCACCAACCAGGCCTGTTGCGGCGCCAAATGCGACGCCAAACGTCGCCACTTCTCCTCTTCCCAGCACTACCACCGCCGCCGTATGTGCCAATTGCGGCCGGATCATGGCGGCACGCGACGATAGCTGGTGGAGGACCAGAGGAGGCCAGTCTCGAGGTCAGAAGGTCATGCAGAGGCTCTCCGACTGGCGAAGACGGGGGACGCGAGCCATGATCAAGCTGGTCGACTTTGTCGGCACCGCCGCCGAGGACACGTTCGAGAACAAAAAGTTCAAACAGGCAAAGGAGAGGTGGATCCAGTACCCGGGAGAGAAGTACAAGAATCCCGCGTTGCGGGAGACGGCCGATCAGTACCGACGCTCGAGGGATCTCTCCTCCAGCATGAACGACCAACAACCGCGTTCGAGAAGTGCCAGCATACAGTCGAGGCGTGACGGGGAGGCCGCTTCGACGAGAACGGCGAACCGATCCCCGGATTCGCCATCGGCGGGATCACCACCGGCACCATGGTCCCGTTCGCCGCAACTGTCGCGGCTCGAGACCGGCACGACCGTCATCACAAATGGCAGCAGCGGACAGGGAGGGTCGTCCTGGGCCGGCGGCGCACCGTTGCGCCACCACACCACGACGGACAGCCTTCAGGTGCCGTCGCCCATCCACCTGGCCCGGACCCGAGACAGTTTGCCGCCTCCCGCGCCGTCATCGCCCACGGAGCCCGAGGTCCTCGTACGGGGTAAAGGCAACCGACGGCCTTCGGTCGTCGTGAGTGACGGTGACGATGCTCCCTTTGCGTCGCCGCAGGTACGACACTTCCGTGCCGACTCCCAACCCATGTCGCAGGCTCGACCACCTCGGTCGCGGCATTTCCGAAGCCGTCAAGGCACCGTGTGAAGACTGTCATGATGGCGATGTCAAATGCACATTGCCACATCAGGACATGTACATCATGTGCCCGCACGGTTCATTTCCAGATTTCTTTCAGACAAGAAGTCCTGAGCCGGAAATGGGGGCTCGAAAACATACCCAGTCAACCGTAACTGCTCGACCAACACTTTGGGCATCACCTCTGTTGAACCACAAGTTTGTCGCGGCATACCACCCTTTTTTTTCAAGTCATGAGAGAGGTCTCTGATGAAGCAGAAAATGATGAGGAACGAGTTTTACGGATCATAGACGGTCAGAATCTTCTATCTATGTAGGGCTTGCAGGTGGATGCAGAGAGAGAGAGCACAGTACGACATAGACCCTTTCGCGGATTTCATGGTTGAGGTGAAACAAGCAACTTCTATGGGAGTCATCCATCAGAATGGCGACCAGGAGAGGTGGGAAATGCTCGTGTACAACCCAGGTGGCTTTTGTGTTATTCACCTGGCTGACGGTCTCGAATTTGGATGCAAAAAGGGTAGGCTGGATCATTGCATAGGAAAGGCGTATACTCAATCAATATTAATTCGAGAGGGAGAGCGATCGTGTCTCTTGAACATCTGACTGCTTCCCACCCATCCAAAAAACCTGTCTAAAGACGGCCCGTGGGACTCTCCTCATACAAAAAGCAGTGACCTTCGGAAAGGGCCTCGCTTCTCTCGTAACCATCTGCATGCCGACGGGGTTGGTATGGCCACGACACGCATTGCTCGAGGTATATATGAGGCCTTGGAGTCAAGGACGTGGAATTCCGCCCATCACTGTACTGTCATTGCATCAGATAGCAGAGACACCGACTGGTGTCTGACCATAGTCACGCTCGAGAAAAAACAGACATCAAAGGCTTTACTCAATAAAAACTCGAGAAAGTCTAATTGATCTTTAGAAACAACTCCTTTGGTATGGTAACCACTCTCGGAGGGTTTTAGGTGGTGCTGCCTCGGTCACCATTATTCAGGCGTGGTACAGACCAAACACATTGTTGCAGTATACTGGTACCACAACCTCCCTCACCCGGGTGATAGCCTTGTATTGGCCCGCCATAGTGAGGCCACTATGGCTGTGGGCTGTGTAAGGCACATGGGCATGTCGGCAAATTGAGGCTGAATGACGCACACATGTGCCTTTTGCTACACTTGTCACATACCATGTTGCGCAACATGGTATGGTTTAATGGGTGTCCAAAACCCGCCTCACCCAATGTGAAATATTTTATCTGGTCAATGGCGCTCTCCACAGCCCGAAGTCGTCGCGACTCATCACGGACCGGACTGACCACGGGGCTTTTTGGGACGGCTGACGACTCAAAGTTCCTTCTTCAAGAAATGCTCCGGTCGATGGTCCGTTTCAAAATCAATGTGGACATATGCTCGCTCCACGTCAGGCAGCCTTTCAAGTTTCATCTGCAACTCCTCCGCGATGTCATGACAGACGCGGAGAGTCTCTTCGGGGTCCATGACGACATCGACCTCGACCACGAGTCGTGGGCCAGAGTGCCACGCCCGCACCGTGTCGATCTGTCTGATGCGGTCGCTGTGCGTCATGCTCACGTACGTGATGAGTTGTTGCGTCTCCGTGTCCGCCGTGATACCGATCAACAACTGGAATTCGGACGAAGCAGTGTGCAGCCACAGGAACGAGATGAGTGCCGAGAGCACAATGGCACCGGCCGGATCCAGCCACCAGCGCAACTTACTGCCACCGACGGAGGTGAGGACACCAAAGCCGTTGATGAACAGATCGTTTCGGTGGTCCTCCCACAGAATCCGCACCTGAGAGTACTGGTTCCGCAAAGCCCAACAGTACAAGAACAGGGCCAGTTTCGTGCAGAACGCCACGGTGACGGCGATCACAGAAGGCAGGTGGAAACTCTTAGTCCCGCTCTCGTGGCCCCGGACGAGTTCTTGGATGGAAAAGGCGATCAGAATGAAACTGACAGAGGTCATGAGGAAGCAGAAGACGATGTTGCCGGCCGTCTCGATCCGCGACCTCCCAGCGGGGAATTTTCGGGCGTCGACCTTCTTCACCGCCTTGTTCGAGAGTATCAACGTGACGTTGGACATGGGGTCGAAGATGGCGTCAGCCATGGTGGTGAAAAGAGACAGGGAGCCCGACGATATGGCGCCGTAGAGTTGTAGAATGGCCAAGATGATGTTGGCCACGAAACTGCCGTACACCGCGATCTGATATCGCAGGTTCGTCGCGCTCTGTACGTCTCTTGCTTCCCTGACGTGCTCGTCCACCGGCTTCAGGAGCCGTTGTATCTGCTCATTTTGAGACTCGTAGAAATCCGCAATCTTGGACGGTGGGATGCGTCCGGTGATGACCAGAGGGTTGCAGGCGTTGCGTTTTCGGGCGGTGTTGGCCGTGATGCGGTCAAGCTCGGACCGGGACTTGAGCCTGCGGGACAGGTCGAGAGGGTCGGAGGCGGAAGCATGGATGGGTGATTGACTCTCAGCGTCGAACATCGAGGGAGTTCGGTGACGAGAGACCATGTTGTCGCTCGGAATCGCAGATGTCTTGGCCTCGCCATGGAGCAGCTTCGATGTCGTCATCGGTCGGTGGACGTCCAGGTCCCGATGGTGGGGATTTTGCGTAAGTTCCATGAAGCGCTCGGAGCCATGACTGATAGAAGAGTCCATCGCGGCGAGGTGTTGTGTTCTTTTTCGTGGAAGGGATGCGTAGGACTCGAGCGAGGCTAATGGAACGCCGGGAGGGGGGGCGGTGGAGGGTAAGGCTGGTGTTGCAAAGACCAACAATTGTAAGGCTTTAAGTATGCATTATGATTAGGATTGAAGATTGATAGTAGCCCGTCTGGCAAGGAAAATTAGGGCATGAATAGAACAAGATAAGAGCGTTGTCGTCGTGGTCGAGATCGCTGAAGTCTTTGACCACGTTCTTGCCAAGGTGTGGTCGAACTGCTCGCGGCTCCCGCCCGATTAGGAAAATATGTGATGCCGCCCTTGCTCACCCTCGACTCGCGCGACCAGGGGTGAGTGACCACCCTTGACGCACCGATGGGAGGGGACGAATTTCTGGCGGTACACTAAGGGCCCTCATGGCTTTGATGGTGCGACGCTTGACTGGCCGGGTAAGGGACAGTGCCAGTCTATGTATCTGCTTCGCTAATTAGGGGTGTTGAAGTGCCCTGTGGGGTAAGGAATAAAGTCACAAAGCAGCGTCAGTTCCTGGCATCCTCACGGGTTGTTTTATTCAAGCTAATCATATAGTCCATTTTTCACTTCTCTCTGTTATCTAGACAGGGGTTTTGATTGTTGCTTTCGCTCTCTTCTTTACATGTTCACATCAACACTTAATGATCACAACTATCCTTTTATAATCCTGTCCCGCCTAAAACTTGACGATATCTTTTAATCTTTAAATAGGCGTAACCTTTAAGAGAGACCCTTGCGAAGAAAGAGCCTAACAATGTTAACTACTCATCTCTATCCTTGATACCTACTAAGTTAGACCAGGTTACTACATTTGTGAACATTGTGCCTTCTACACAGAGAGTGTGACACTAAGATTAACTCTCAAATCCTGATGACTTGATTTGTGACACTCCATTCACAAACAAAACACTCTGAGTAGTTCTACAGTATAGTACTAGGTCTCATACTTTGCCGCAGACTAAATGATTAATAGCATATCTAGTGTGAGCTTATGACAGAAATAGCTTATAATAATCAAAGCTTTAACATGTCTTCAAATGAGGCGGCTAGAGGTGTCAAGATATATCACTACGGAGATTGTGTTGTCAGGTTCACAGCACAAGCTACTAAATCTCCCTAACAGGTGTTGAGATTGGCCGCGAATTGATCACTAATCTACCACTGCAGGTGACAACAGATAAGTCTTAGGACAAGACGTAAAAGGAACGTACCTCATGACCAGATCTAGCATTCCGCATTTGACTGAAGGATTCGTTATTGTCAATGTGTCTTCGGTGGCAGGATTCAAGTCAAGTGCTGGCCATGCTATATCTAACGCAGCAAAATTTGGCGTGATCGGCTTCTCACAGTCTATGGCACTAGAACTTGGGCCCCCGGGGCATCAGAGTGAATGTTGTCGCTCCAGGATCGATAACTACTCCAACAAACAATTCTGTTCGTCAAGGAAGGGAGGTGATCCAACAGACGGAGCAGAGTGTGGCTCTCAGAAGGATGGGGACTGCAGAAGACTTGGCCAACATAGTAACATTTCTGTTCTCTGAGCAAAGTAGCTACGTTAATGGCAGCGTCATTGAGATATCTGGAGGCCTCTAGCGCAGGACTCAGGAGACGGGCAAATTCAATCACTGTTCATACGGCATCGGAAAAACCTAGGTATGTTTCATTCAACTTCATATGCCCATTCGTGTGATCTTATGGAATGGGACATTGTCCTATCACACCTCGACGATAGCCCGATACCTCATGTTTCCCTCATCCAACTTCTTCATGGCAGCCGTAATGCCCTCTTTGGTCATGGGAAACTTCTCCAAGATTGGCCTGATGTCATGTTTGGCAGCGAAAGACAACATCGCTCTCATTGATTGAGGATGCGCCCCGCCCGACCCAATGATGCTGTACCCATACACCAACAAGGGGAAGATAGGCACAGGCCAGGCATCGAAGCTCGTGGTAAGGGGAAACACTTTTGCAAACGGTGCTAGCACGGGAACGTATCTGTTGCAATAACATTAGTCAAGAGGAATCCTCGGAAGGTAGATTGAGAATGGGGGGAGGGGAGGTTATCCACTCACAAGGACAAATCTGGAAGGACGTTCGTTGTGATGAGGAAGAAATCAACAGGCTCGATGCCTTCGAACTTAGTCACGCCCTTGGTGGCGTGGAACTCCGACGCTCCAAGCTTGAAAGCCTCGTCCTTCTTCGACTCCGTGCCTGAGAACACAACGGCTTCCATCCCCATCTTGTTGACGAATTGAATGGCCAGATGACCCAGTCCTCCGATACCCAAGATGCCGACACGGTCTCCCGCTTTGGCGCCATGTTCATACAAAGGTCCCCAGACCGTCGCTCCTCCACACATCAGTGGTCCAGCTGACGCCGAATCAATCGCGTCGGGAATCTTGAACAGAGCGGAGACGTCCCAGGCAAGTCCGGTGCTGAAGGAGCCCTGGTCCAAGTTCGCCGTCCCAAATTGCTCCGAATTGAGACATTTGGAGTGTTGACCGGTCAAACATGGCTTACAGTGTAGACAAACCTTCTGGATCCAGCCCATACCTACGCGGTCACCGACTTTAAGATCCGAGATTTCCGGCACCATGGAACCAATCTCCTTGATGATGCCGACGCCTTCGTGGCCCAGGCCTTGGTCCTGATGTCGGAAATGTTCGTCTGTGCCGCACACGCCGCTGTGCGTAATTTGGACCAAGGCCTGTCTCGGTCCGACATCTCGGTGGCCTTTGGCCTCGACGATCTCTCCGGACTTGGAGCCCTTGAAGACTGTAAAGTCGATACCCATGGTTGACGCACTAGTTTTGAGAACGGGGTTGAAGGAAGTGAGGTAACGAATTCGCGCTGGATGTACAATGTCACGAGCAAAAAGGGGTCTTCTAAGCTAGTTCTAGAGTCTACTTAGGAGAGGATTGCTTGTGAATTTATACAGCTAGCAAAGGGAGGTAGTCTACCTCCTGCCTCCGAAGCTCCTCTCTAATCCCCGTTGCACTAGGTCCGTTCTTGTATACCCCGTTACGCAAGTATTGTTAATCAAGTTACATGCTGGGTGACGGTCCACGTCGGGAACCACCAGGCAGATGCGATGAGGAGTTGACATACACCGCTACCTTCCTACCTGTCTAGGGAGTCCTGAGGTACAGAACACGATGTCTGCACCAGTGGTTGGCTTTGTTTGATTGGCTGCTTGCCCTCCGGCCAGTTACCCAAAGCGGAAAAAGGAAGCATGGCTGGAATCATCAACGCTCTTGACTGGCGCCCTATCAATGGCCATCGGTGGCCGTCTCGCAAGCGGCATGACTAATCCATCCGTCCAAGAACCCATTCATGCCACAAGTGGCGACTGCACGGATTTGAATGTGCACTGTCCTACCAAGCAACAGCATGTAGCTAGAACTCTGCTCGTTTCAGAGAGATAAGTCGTCTATGCTCTCTGAAGACTCTGCTATATACGGTGGAGATTGCTGTAGTGTGGAGTGCGTGGCCGTCTTAGGAAAGTGCAAGGTTATATCGGCCAGATAGCTATCCATCCTAGCAGCTCTGCATTCATCGGAGCCGAGAGACCCTGGACCTTACGCATTAAAGTGACTAGAAAGGGTGATTTAGCATGGCTGATCCATTGCCCTTGCACATCGTGAATACTAGCCCCGTTCCCGTCGTTGTTGAGACGAGCGCAATGGTCTGACATTTTTGGTTATTGACATCATGGAAACTACTGTACTCATTATTACGTATAGTCTGACTGGGAGTCCACGTCCGTACGGAGTTAACACAGCTCGATGTACGTCTGAACTGCCAACCGCGTCCACAACGACCTGAATTGCACCTTGGCCGTGACTACTGCTTCACCAAGGTATACACCTGCCAGGAGTTCTCTTGGATAAGGTGCTTCCGAACCGGTCGGCCTTGGCCATCAGCGAGGTCAAGGGAAATAGCGACATTGAACCAACCCTCATACTCAATCTCTTCCCGCGTTTCACTCGCATCGTAATGATAGTGTCCGCCCTTTGCAGTTTCCGCGCTCCCATCCCTCGCCTCGGTAAAACAGTATCTAGAAGCGGTCATCAGCAGGGTGAATTCTTCCGGCCAGTTTACAGGGACTCCGTACACTACCGCGGTCCTCCAATGATTGCTCCTCAAGCCCTTGCTCTTTATTGATTGCCCGGATCTTGTTGTTGACCTTGGTCAAATTATCAAAGGCGACCTCGAAGTCACGATAGACGGTATGGAAATTCTCTGTGACTTGAGACGTGGAATCATGGGGTTGGAGCTCTCTGTTTCCTCGAGGGTTTTCTGCCTGTGTATATGTAATTTCATACTTACGGAGCGACCGTTATCATGCGGCTCGAAAGCTCCATCTTGATCCAAAATCCTCAATGCAACGAGCAACAGACCATAGTTGATAGTCTTTGCTGATACTGAGTGCGTCTCGTAATTCCGCAAACGTGCCTTGTGCCTGGCATCACCTTCGTTCAAACCCTCCAACCGCATTTCCTTTCTTGGTTGAATTATCCGATTTATTGTATGGCGGTCAATTTGTGCGAATCGTTTTAGGATATGGGTCACATTTGATGTAACAATCATTTCTGACCGAAATAGGGACTTTATCGCATCTGATGACGGAGATTTCTGGTTCGAGTGGTAGCTTTTCTTGTGTCAGGTGTAGACCGTCAAGGAACTCGCTAAGCTCTCTTGAACCATAGAGTTGGCAGATTTGCAGACCAGTGACATAACTGATATAGACTCCGTCCCAGGGGGAATCTTCTGACACGAATTCATATTCGGAAATCCACCTGGTTATCAGGACATTGATATCCTGCCTTCTCTTGCCAATTGCCTCGCAAAGTTGACCTCCGTTGATACAATAAGTTCTCCTGCGATAGTAAATTCCCCATTGCCCCACTCAAGGGACAAATACTCCGACTGCTCAACCGTGGTAATAAGTTTTGTTTGGTCAAAGAACACAAACCATCTTCACCATCTAGCCGGGTCTAAGTGGAAGCTATGTTTGGTTCATCATTGCTTTATTGGAGGTTCGGTAAATCCGAGGTCGAGTCAAACGATTCGGGAGGATTCTGACATGCGTACTTCAGGGGTATCCGAAGAAGGCTCAGATCGGTCGACGAATGAGTTATACAGCGTCCCGTGACATTAACGTTATTTGTAAAAGCGTCCTTTCTCGAAATCGGATGAGTCTAGGTTAAGCTTCGCTATTCTTCCTTGCAGTTCTGTATCCCCATGAGCATATCGAGTCAAAGTGCTTTATTGCTAAGGTATATTGGCGCGTTCGCTGTGATTTAGACGGCAAGGTAGATTTAGGTAGATCAGGTTGACAAAGAACCGATAACTAGCTTATTATTGTATTTTTACTTACGAAGTCGGCTACCCTCACTTTATTATATAGCTACCAAGGTAGGATTAGATTCTATTATTTATCGGTGCTCCCATAGATTATCGAATGAGCCTAGCTACCCCGATTTATTTTGTGCCGACTGCGGTAATAAATAACAATATCCTGATTGAAGGACCCGTTTGTTCTCTCAAAAGCAGCTTTGAAGGAGAGCCTTGCACGGGTATTCACCGGCCATGCGTTCTAGTGGGCACGCAAGCGTTTCATTCTAACGACAAGGATAGAGCAGTGATGGATCCGAAACTTTCGGCCAGGGAGTGCTTGACACCTGTTATTTGACAATTTTGAGGGGAGAGGTTGTGCTGGGTAGTCAGAATGCTAGTAAATATTAGTTTGAGCGAGGCTAGGAGGGGTTCTTGAGTAGGACGTACTCAAGCTGATGCGTTAAATAGCGAGGTCCGAGGGATAGTCTTCTGGGCCCGCGACACAGTACTTGTGGGGCGATTTATAATATGTCATCCTGACCGCGGGTATGATACCATACTCGCATACCTAGCCCATATTTGAAGGCTGAACCGTATGCCTGCCGACATATATAGAGGGCGTGTCGCAGATATAGAGCTGGGAGTCAGGTTACAGATATACTATAACACAAAAGATTGCTTCCATATTGTTTAGGACTGACGAACAACACAACACGATGAGCTCCAGAAACAACTACACCTTCGCCAACCAATGTTCTATTCCATCTCCACTCGACAAACAACTTCCTGCCTTCTTCAGATCCTGGGACGATCCCAATTCCAATCATGATTATCTCAATCTCTTCGCACCGGAAGGTCAATTAGTCTACGGTACAACGACCACAGGCCGTGAAGCAATTCGCGCTTTTCGCGACGCCATGATCCATCCCATCAACGGGCCCATCGTGGACCTTGAGCACACCTTGATAAAGTTTTATGTTGTGGCGGGCGGACCTGAGAAGGGAAAGCAGGAGGTTATAGTTAAGGGGTCACTGTGGTATAAGCTGCGAAATGGCCGGAAGATTGATCTCGATTTTGCTTCTGCCATCAAGTTCGCGGATCCGGGAGATGGAAAAGATCTGCAGGCGGAGTATTATGAGGTCTTCGTGGACTCTCATGAGTTGATTACAGCGATCAAGGAGATGAACGAGGTAGAGAGGTAGCTTGAAAGAGGAAGACTGGATGAGTTGTGTTTGCGGGGTCCCATCTCGACACCCTAGCTGCTCTGCTAGGTGAGAAGCTTCGTACGATTCGGCAGATCCATCGGTCGGTTGGTCTCATGGCGGTTCTGCTCGTGAGCTTCCACACAGTAGTACCGGTTGTAACGTGGTCATCTCTTGATTTGGACCATGTCCCGGGCTTGTCTGCTGTCTTAACTACGCCATAGAGATACTTATGCCTAGGTATAGGGGGCATCATCACTGTCGTTCGTTGTTTTCCTTCCTATCCCCATTTTTCGTCGGGTTCCTTACAAACTTTTCATATGGGCACATCTAGCTTCATCGGTGCTGGCCTTGTGGTATATCTGACGGCACTTACCCTCTGACACGCCTTTTCCCCGCCACTCGTTATAGGTGTTAGCTGGTTTGTTTGTGTTTTGGTCCCTGGTCCATGGCGATGTCATCCTAACGACGAGGTCTGGGGTGATCCGCGAAACGTGGTACGAGGCCACCAATGCGGTCAAGTGCAATTCACGATTATCAACCTTTATGAAGAAAGTTAATAACGAATGCTGGAAAACTGGAATGCTGGAAAACTGGAATGCTGGAATACTGGAATGCTGAAATACTGGAATGCTGGAATACTGGAATAGTTGAGATACTTTCATTTCAACGTTCATTCAATATGGATTAGATAGAAACAAGGTGCTGGCAACCTAAGCTTCCGGGAGGTAGCCATCTGGTGCAAGTGACTTTGTAGGGCGGGAATGGGGGAAGCGAGCGCGCAAACACATCACGAAAGGGCTTCCGGGACCACAATACGGTCTTCTTGGGAGGGATTCCTCCTTACGCTTGAGGGCACAGTCTCGCTTTGGGATGATCGGCGGACGTACAGATAACAAAGCGTTGCCTATAAATGTATTGGTCATTTCTGGACGATAAATGGAGATCCCAGCAAGCCAGCTACGCTTCATGCACGCATTTCCAATGCATACGATGCATCAAACAGCAAACCGAGTACCGCGCTTCCCTGGGATGAACTGATGCCTGCACTTACAGGAAATTGCTTTAGAAACTGTGGCACCAGAGGCAGCGACCTAGACCCAAGCTCACGAGTTGAGCATACCGCCATCACAGACGAGAATAGAACCCGTGATGTTGGAAGCCGTATCGCCCAACAGGAACAAGACACTATCTGCAAGCTCTTCTGCCTTACCCATTCTTCCTAAGGGGATGGCGGCGATCATACGTTCGGCGACTTGTGGGAAGTCTTTGATAACGGCGTCAGTCATGGGAGATTCGGTAAATCCTGGGGATCCCCGGTGTTAATTGTGAACAATATGTGAGATGTCGGCGGGTGATGGAACGGCTGTTCAACACGCAGTTTGAATCTCTCACCTGGAGCAATTGCATTCACGCGAATGCCCTCGGGGGCCCAATCCACCGACCAACATCTCGTGAAACCCACAACGGCATGTTTGGCGGTTGAGTAAACGGCCATATTTCGGTAGCCCTTTAAGCCCGCAGCACTGGCCGTGTTGACCAGGACACCGCCACCTTTCTGTCGCTGGAATTGTCGATATGCCTCGGTCCCCGTGTTCCATACCCCAGTGACGCAGACCTCGATGATCCTGCGGTAGACATCGTCGCTGGCAACGCCATTTTCCACCGGACAGATGCCAGCGTTGGCGCACATGCCGTCCAGACGCCCGAATTTCTCAACGATCTCTTCGACCCAGCTGTGGACTTCCTCCCGTGAAGTCACGTTCACTTTCGTGTAGATGACGTTAGGATTGTTGGCCAATTCTTCCGGTTGGGGAGACAGGTCGGCGACGGCAACCTTGGCTTCCACCGCCAGGAGTTTCCGCACAATCGCCAGACCAATGCCCGAGGCACCGCCAGTCACCCCAATAATCTTGCGCTTAAGTGACTTACACTCCATGGTGGAACTTTCAATCGATTGATGACCGAGTCTGCCGCTGAGTTCTCGAAGTTGGGGAAAGTTTTGCGATCACGTTGGGTGGGTGGGTGGTGAAATCCTGGAGAAATGTCACTCTTAAGTACTTTAGCAGTGTCCCGTCCCAAAGTCAAAGAAGGCGAGGTGCTTTCTGGAAAAAATCAGATCAAGCTTGCGGCTTCTTCTCGTACGTGTTCGCTTAGATCACCTCGGGATCTCACGCACGCACACACACGGTAACCGTCTGGATGACCTGTCCCATTTCTAAAAGCTGGCTAGTCGTCAAGTACCGAGGAACTACACGAAATGCGAGTGGACAAGAGAATACAGAGCATAGCTTCCAGTATCTTGCAACAACATTCTTCCTACACGCATCAATTATGTTCGAGGTCTGCATGTACAATCTTACACGACACCAAATGGAGATGAGGACAGGATCCAGCTTATCTCCCCGAATGACGTCCGATTTCTCAAGTAGCGCCGACGCGCGCACGAAAACATATATATAATCTCCTATACATTTGCGGGAATACTCGACAGAGCAAGTGATTACTTGTTACCAGCTGGTTCGCATAAGTCGTACTGAGGCACACCAACTAAGCCTTCTTGGAAACCAGGTGTGCCTCGCGAATAGCGTCATCAACCTCCTGAGCAGCCTCATTATCAACGTCACGAGCTTCCTTGATGTGCATGATGCCCTCGCCTCTGGCGTAGATTTGTCGAGGGACGTGGGAGGTGAACAGGTGGTCGTGGTCCCTCAAATAAAAAGCTGCCAAGACACCGGCAAGATTGACTGCTATCATCGCGTAGCAGACCCACGAACATGACTTGACCCGAGCGTCGACCAGCGCGTCCATGACCTGACTCTGAATCGTGGTAGTCATGCCGGGAACACCAGCGATCGCGCTTTCGGTTCCTAATGCGGTTGCCACGACCAGCTCACTCAAAGATGATTTGGCAACCCGGCGGCGGTGGTAGCTAAGGGGACAAATGCAGCTATATAGTGAGGAAGTTTTTTCTGAAGGATAGTGAGATGAATGGCCGTGAATATGAAACCCCACGCTGTTCTAAACAATAAGAGAATCCCTACCATGCCACCACCACGGCGTTAGCCCGCGAATTATTGTTTCGTTATGGGAGTGGGAGATTAAGTGGGGCGGGAGAAGAAAAGGAAAGAGGCGTACCAAAGACAGTTCCAAGGTCGGCATCATTGAAGCTCATTTGCACCAGTCCGAGGGGGGTCTACTCCATGATACCATCGGGAAACGTGGCGAAGAAGGAGAAAAGAGCACTTTGAACTTTGTTGTCTCGGTTGGCGGACGCAAGAGCACCGGAGAATCCGCACACCAAGCAAGACACGACGAGTAATTGGTATTTGACGTGCTTCATGAGGCCGATCAAGAGGCCCCAAAGCCAGATGCCGCCAATGATACCGAAAGCCACGGTGCAAGAAAGCCCGGCATTCTGTTTCCAATCGTTCCCGCCGACACCGTAAACATTGGCTACATGCGAGGGCCAAATGGTGGTCGGACCCACCTAAGCGCTGCCCGAGACGGAGGCTATGACGGCCAAGCAGCTGAAACCTCGAACATCCTTGAAGTACATAGGCACCACGCGGTTAAAGATCCGCACATATATCTCCCAGAAGAAGAAGGCGATGATGAGAGCGAAAAAAATTGTACCATTATGCGGTCAACTGCATTACCAAGAGAGACGAGGAGAAGGGGCTGGACACTGAGAATCAGAATTACAATCTTGGGAAATTTTTGAAATTGTTATAGAGATCATTGGTGAAAGTACTGTTATAGGGCATCAGTTATGAGATACAACACGGTCACATCATTCATTCTTTCCCCATATGTATGCCTTCTGCTAGGTGGTTCTGCTTCCCTCCAAGATGACTGGAGGGGTAGAAGCTGGGGACCTGCTCGGCATCATGCCTATCTAGAACGATTCCATGGAATCCTATCAACGGCACATTCTGCACTGTGTTTATTGAAGCCCCGGTCATCGCCATCAAGATGACACAGAATTGTGGAAAGTTGTGGCCGTTCTCGGACCCTGTTCCACTGCACAGGAGGCAGGCAGGCAGCCCTCCTTACGCTAACCGGCAGTGAGGGGCCAGGCGTTTGTCTACATCGACGCTTAGGCTACGATGTCTACCTTGGTTTTGGAAATGCCGTTGACCCCGGCATCCTCGACGTGCGTCTTGGTTGCCTTGACATCGACTCCGTGCCCTGTAGTTGATATGTTCTGCAACAAAGGCTGAAAGCCTGCAAAACCTTCATTAATCACTCGATGGACAGTATTGTAAAAGTGGCCCATGCCTCCAAAGTGAAAACGAATGGCTCGCTTCTTGCCCTCTACGTTGTTCCCGAAGAGCCACGAGTTGGTCTCCTTGAACAGACTGCTGTCGATGACGTTCTCAGCAGAGATAGTCCATTCATCCTCAGCTTGCTTCGTGGCTTCGATGATGGTGCCTTCGCTTCCAGGCCTGGAGCCAGGTAAACGGCGAGCCCTCTCTGCTCCCGCCAGTAAACCAGAGATCAGCTCAGTATAAGTCTCGACCACCGGAGGATAATTGGCAAAGGGACCCAGCGGCCCGCCGATCATCAAGAGGTTGGGGAACTCAGGCACAGATGCTCCGAGGTAAGCGGATGGGCCCCGTTCGCGGGCATCCCAATATTCCTGCAAGCTCTTACCTCCGCGGCCACGGATGCGAATGCGGTTGTAGTTTCCATCAACAGCATCGAACCCTGTCGCGAAGACAATGACATCGAGCTCGTGGAAGCCGGCGGTGGTTTCAATACCATCCTTTCGAACTGCGACAATGGGCGTCTCTCCAATATGCACAATGTCCACGCCGGGCTGGTTAAATGCATGGTAATAACCATTGTCGCAGATAGGTCGACGTGCATGCAGCTCGTTCGGTTTGAGCATGCGCGCCTTTTCTGGATCCTGCACGATCGAGTCGATCTTACTCCGGATGAAGTTGCACGCGTGCTCGTTAGCCGCCTTATTGAAACCAATATCGTTAAATCCACCGTAGTAGAAATTGAAGCCATTGCCTCGTTGCCACAAGTGCTCGAATATCTTCTCCGCTTCTTCGGGCGGGACTGTGTCATATGGCCTGTTCGACTCAAACAGCTCCATCCCTACATAGGACTGCTTGGCTCTGGAAAAGATTGTGTCGTAGTTGTCATTGGCCCACTGCCGATATCCGGAGGAAACTGGCCCGTCTCCACTTGGCACACTATATTGGGGATGGCGCTGAAAGGAGACCAGGGACTTGGTGTGGCCTGCAAGAGCGGTGATGACCTGAACACCGGTCGAACCGTTGCCAATGACACCCACACGCATTTGAGAGAGGTCTAAGTCGGCTGGCCAACGAGAAGTGTGGACTGTCCGGCCTTTGAAAGTCTCCAAGCCTGGTATCTTAGGATAATTCGGGGCAGAGAGGACTCCCAATGCTGTAACGACGTATCGAGCATCGATGGTCTCTCCGGTACTCAGACTAACATTCCATCGTCCAGTTTCTCCGTTATAAACAGCCGAAGTGAGTTCGGTCTGGAACTGAATGTCCTTATATAGGTCGTGTTTAGTCGCGACGTGCTGGAAGTATTGGAGGATCTCCTTCTGCTTGAGGTAGTGGTCGGACCAGGGGTAGTTCTGCAGATCATCTTTGTCCCAAGAAAACCGATATATGACGGACTTCGAGTCACTCATAGCGCCGGGGTAGCGATTCCAGTACCACGTTCCACCCACATCGCTAGCAGTATCAATGACTTTGATTGTGTAGCCTTCGTCTCTTAGGTGCTTCAGAGCACAAAGGCCGCTAAAGCCGGCCCCAATCACTAGGATATCAAGCTGCGAGGGCAAGGCCATTGCGACTTGCTTCTCAGAGTCGCTTCTTGAATGAACCAAAGGAAGTGATGTGGTGAGATGGTGAAGCAGCGACTTTTGCAGGGACTAAAACTCCACTCAGAAGAGTGCCATGTCGTAGGTTTATAAACTGTTGATCCGATGGATAGTCACCGATGGAAGACACATTCCAAGACTTGGTTCAAGGAACAACAACCACAATTCATCCCCCTCGAGCGGCGCCTCAGGCTAGCTACCTACACTGATTCTCCCGATCGGCCTCAATGGTTTCATTGACCAAACATAATATCAGCTGATAGCCGACTCAGGTGTCCCAATCCCAGGGACCCCCCGTGAGGGCGGGGACGGCGGGCCCGGAAAGCAGGCGGCTATTGGCTCCTCGCTTCCGCTCGGCCATTGATTCGACATTGCATTAGGTGGCGGTTGTGGGTCCCTCGGGCCAGCCGTCTGGAGCTAGACAGTTTCGGGGTGAACTCTGAACCTACTGTAGGTCTCTGACAAGTCGGCGATATGGCAATGCGACAGAAATGACAACATTTTGCTCGCATCCAACGAGGGACTAGGAATGAGAATGGCTAAATAACATTTGGGCATGAAGCCGTCCGAGACCTCGCATCGGAGGTCTGTAGCAGCAACGATGGTGCGCACCTAACCCCAGCTATGTTCTCGGCGATGGTAAGATGAGTCCTGCAATCGAGTGAGACACCGACCACCTCATTTCCATGCCCACCTGGTCAGGATCGAAGCATGGAAAGAGACAGGTCCGGGTCCTGGAATAGCCGGAACAATTAGCCCCTCCTTTCTTAGCGAAGGCTGGAGCTTGGTGCTTCGAGAATAAATCAAGTGACAGAACCACTGACGGCTAGATACCCGTGTTTCAAGCCAAGTGATAGTTGATTTCCGGAGACCTCGAACAGTCGACTTGAGCAAATCATGAAGGAAAGCAGTGAAGTTCAGTCACTTAAGGGAAAAGTAGTCATTATTCAAGGATGTGTCGAGTCCGATGCTGGTTGGTGACATGCCAATCCATCCCAGTACCCATACGGTGCAAATGCGTCAGTTAAGGAGTCTTGGAATATGTTTTCGAAAGTATCGAAATCCAGTTCCTGCGCCCAACAATCCTCAGGCATGATTCCCCCGCGGGAATCTACTGTCTGCGACTCCGTGGCGCCCATATAAGAACGCAAATTATGCAGCGTCGGGCTCAGTAGACCGTCCAAACCATTGCAGGCAATATCAGATGTGCCCTCGCCGGACCGTACGGTCGCTTGATCTGATAGACGAGCAATTGGGCCACTAGACTGCGGCTGGCTACCACATGGCTTTCCACATGGCGGACTACACTCAAAGCACCGATCGCGACCTGTCAAGCGGCGAAGAACCTTGTCAAAGACTCGCAGGACCCAACCAGCTGCGGGCCACAATTTTGAGAGCTCGCTCAGCGCCAGCATGCACTGCCTAGCTCGATTTTCTGCCAGCTGACTGCTTACCAGCTGCCGACTACCAATGATCAGGGAGTGGATCGAAAGTGCACCAAACAAGGTCGGGATTCTGAAAACCATCTTCGTGTCAGTCCCCTCGACCTTGGACTCAGATCTTTAATGGTAACTCACATATGTACTTGAGCATATCGGAGAGTGTCGGAACTCAGCAGGTCTTCAGCAAGGCGAGTAACGGCATCGGTGCTGCTTCGTACCGTTATATCTCGCTCAGAGTCTTGCCGAGTTACACTTTCGATGGTGCGTGGTCTGCAGAACAGAATGAGAGCATTGCTGCTTACAGATTAGCCGGAGGCCACAAGATGTACAGAAGCACGTACTGATAGCTCAAGTGTAACATGCAGGCCCAGAAACCTGGTTCTGTGGACTGCTTGAATGGTCTTTGAAACATGTCCAGTGGAAGGGCACACTGCCATTGTTGAAAATCAGCGGCAAGAAGCTTGGATGCTTCATCATCCCACGCACGCCCAGGCGTATACCCGATGGATAGGACCCGACCCACTCAACTGCAATCAGCTTCTTCATATCTGGTGAAGGGGGGGCTAACGTACGTAGAAATGCCAGGCGGACGAGTTCGACAAAATATGAGACGTGGTATGCTTCCTGTGTGCCGACCAACTCTGCCTGTACGCTTGATGGATGTTGATCTCGGAAGTCCTCCTCAGTCAGCATTTTGACGTCACAATCTTCGTCGCGAATTCGTGAAGGTCGCCCTAATGAAGAGGCTATATGCCGATCCCGTGTCTGAGATAGATCAGTTTGCGGCCACTATCGTGAAATACATTGAATCATGTGCGCGGGGGGCAAGGTATGATGAGATTCCCACTGACATAGATTGACCACCATACCCTCCTCCACAAGGATCTCCGCTTCGGGCTGAGGTTTGATCGTGCGGTTCTGTGATGGCGGTCAACCAAGGGTCTGCTATGACAAATGTCTCGCACTAGAAAAAGCCTACGTGCGGTGCAATCCGAGGCCTTGGGCAAGGCTGATGGCGGCGCCGAGCCA